GTTGGTACAATATCTACTTTTTCATATCTGAGCTATTAAAAGCCAAGCAGGTATCAACATATGAGAGGCCAAAGAACTTGGAGGAATCTGCTGTTTTGTATATTGTCCAACATTTCCAAAGGGCCTAAAATGTAAATTGGCGCCTGCTACTTTGCTGATTTCCTCAACGATTCTCATTTAGAAATATTAAATCTTAACACAGTTCAACTATATATGTGCAAAGGTACCGCTAGAGAAAAATAATTTTTCAAAAGCTGCTACATTTCTGGCCATAACCACCCTTTTCAACATGGTTTGTATATAATGTTTTATTTGTAAATGTTGAAAGAAGGGCAGTACCTTGTGACTAAAGACTGAGTCATATCAGATCATGGATAGGTAAACTAAGGATCTAAATCCAGCCCGCGGACGGTCCGGGAATCAACATGTTTTTACACGAGTAGAATGTGTGCTTTTATTTAAAATGCATCTCTGGGTTATTTGTGGGGCATAGGAATTCATTCATTCCCCCCCCCCCCCCCAAATATAGTCCAGCCCCCCCACGTAGAATCAGACTGTAGTTACTAATCTTCCAGAAAAGATGGCTTATGAAACAATGCTGATAAACTTCTCTAGCTAAAGAGATGCTGGTAAGTCTTCACAAATTCATCCTGCTCTTCATTTGGCATTTTTTCCTGCCAATTTTCTCTTTCCACTTATCTCTTGAACCCGTTACATCAGCCATCTGTCACTTAACGTTTCTGCAATGAAATGAAGACCACAGCTTTTATTCAGTTCATAATTTCCCTCTCCTCTCCCAAATAAAGTATGTTGCAAAATCTAGCTTTGATTCAGAAAAGTTAAGCAAGTTCTGTATACACGGAGCAATGGATCCAAACTACAAGAAAGAAGATTCCACCTAAACATTAGGAAGAACTTCCTGACAGTAAGAGCTGTTTGACAGTGGAGTTTGCTGCCAAGGAGTGTGGTGGAGTCTCCTTCTTTGGAGGTCTTTAAGCAGAGGCTTGACAACCATATGTCAGGAGTGCTCTGATGGTGTTTCCTGCTTGGCAGGGGGTTGGACTCGATGGCCCTTGTGGTCTCTTCCAACTCTATGATTCTATGATTTCTATGAAGGTCTGAGGGACAGTGGACTGGTCCCCTGCTGAAAAAGTTTGCTGACCCCTGATCCTCAGATCAAAGGTCCACTGAGGTAGGGGTAGCCAGTGTGGTACTCTCCAGATCAATACTCTGATCAGTCCCAGACAGAACCGCCCTGAGACCTCCAGGTATAGGGCGATATATAAATTCAATAAATAATAATTCAACAAATAACAATGGTAATCCCTGATCTAGAACGTCGTCTTTCCAGTGGAGAATGCTTTGGGGAAGTATACAAGCAGGGCAAGAAATCAGCAATCCTTTCCCCCCTGGAAGGTTCCATGTTCAGGGCTAATAGCTGTACCCAGGGCTGGATTTAGGTTTAAGTTTAGGTTTAGATTTAGGTTTAGATTTAGGGCAGGATTTCAGGGCTAATAGCTGTACCCAGGGATGGAACTAGGTTTAGGTTTAGATTTAGATTTAGGTTTAGATTTAGGGCAGGATTTCAGGGTTAATAGCTGTACCCAGGGCCGGATTTAGGTTTGATGAGGCTCTAAGCTCTTGAAGATAATGGGGCCCTTTATATGTCCAGCTGTTGTTTGTCAACAACAAATTGTCACTATTTTTTGTGTTGAATGTATGCTATATGGTAATTTATGGACAGACACAACACAAAACACTGTTGCTGTATGTAGGTTTTATTTTATTTGTTTTTTTATCTTATATTTTGGAAATGCATGTCCAGTTTCCCCCCCTTTGGGGGGGGGCAAGAGAGTGGGACCCTAAGCTATAGCTTGTCTAGCTTATATGTAAATCCGGCACTGGCTGTACCATTCTCCCAACAATCTGTATAACCTTCTGGGTTATACAGCATTTTGTGCCATCAAATTCCATATGACAAGCACGTGCTGTGTGAGAAATGTCTTGTTTTGGATGGCACAACTGCAGGAACGGTAATGTCTGAGTGAATTTAGGAAACTTCTTTGTTGTTACTGCTTTGATTCCTTTTTTCGTTTCCAGAGATTTCACTTTTCTCACACTTCTTAGGGCTTTCCCCCCTTGGGGGAAAAAACCACAGCTCTTTAGTGCTCATTTGGAACAAATAGCCATTCGGGTTTTCTCCAGATGGATGTTTCCTCCAGTTTAGAGCTAAAGAGCTCCCTAGAAAGGAAGAGGGCAAGGGGAAAAGCAGAAAACTGCTTGCCTAGAAACATGTCTAGAAACCATGGGGCAAACAGAAGTGTGGAAAAACCCTTAGCTGGCAGTGTGTGTGTCACAGGGAATCCCTCAGAGGGACAGAGTTGTCCAGGGGGACCCTATTCGATTCCTGCACCAGTCTATCACATGCCACATTACTTGGCCATATCTCTAATTCCCACAGGTCCACATCCTTAATTTTAAACTCTATTAGTATACTGCATTGCATTTGCTAATCTCATGTAGACATTCTCAGTGCCGCAGGAATAAAACTCCGGAATATGACTCCACGAGGGAGGTTTGTTTCCTCCCTGGATCCCCCTTGAGAACAGCGATGTTCTTTTGGCAAAATGATCTCTGTAACCTTGCTAAAATTAAGCCCTATTCTACTCTAATTTACTCAAGTAAGTCAACTTTCAGTTCACCGTTTCAAACACAGTGTGTGAAAGAAATAGGAAACTTTGTTTAGTGGTTCCCACAACATTATCGTGTTTCCTTGGTGTGTTTTAATGAAGTATTATTATGCCTAACTGATATTTATAGTTTCCTTACATCATTTAACTCTCTCTCTCCCCCAGCCCCCCCCTTTCAGGAAAGGAAACACAGGTATGGCAATTGGAAGCAAGTGTATTGTTCTTGAGAAACTTTCCCTGAGAACTTTCCAGTTGAAGACCGCGGAAAAGTAATGAGTCAGTGTTTAATTTGCTGTTTACAATTTTGCTTGTTTACGGTTTTCCAAAAGTAGATTAAGCAATACCCTTAAGTATATGCTATTATGGATGAATGAAGCATAATTGCATATAATACGTATTTATTAATTCCTACCTCTAATCTACAATGTAATTTATTCCAAACAACAAATGCCCAGAGTTGTTCACCCACTATCCAGAAACAAGAGATCATGTCCCCACAACTCTATTACTTCCTCACTCTTGAGAGATAGGAGGAACATACTGTGGAAAGAATTGATGGAGCCTCAAAAGCTGGAAAACTTTACTGGAAGTTGATATCGTAGGAGGCATTAGAAAAAAAGGCGAAGGACCCCTGGATGGTTAAGTCCAGTCAAAGGCAACTATGGGGTTGTGGTGCTCATCTCGCTTTCAGGCCAAGGGAGCCGGCGTTTGTCCACAGAGTTTTCCAGGTCATGTGGCCAGCAGGACTAAACCGCTTCTGGTGCAACGGGACACCGTGACAGAAACCAAAGCACACAGAAATGCCATTTACCTTCCTGCCACAGTGATACCCATTTATCTACTTGCACTGGTGTGCTTTTGAACTGCTAGGTTGGCAGGAGCTGGGACAGAAGAAAGGGAGCTCACCCCGTCGCGGGGATTCAAACCACCAACCTTCCGATCAGCAAGCCCAAGAGTCCCAGTGGTTTAGACCACAGCGCCACCCACGTCAGTAGGAGGCATAGAACTAATTTGAGACACGTCTCCCTAAAAAAATAAAACTTGATTTGAGGCGACACCAGTATTGGGAGCCGTTTCAAGATTTCCATCATATATGCAACACACACACATACATGCATGCAGTGGAGATTTAAAATCAGGGTTTTTCTTCTCTGAGATGGGCCGCCTTGCCAGGCCAACAAGCCCCCTCTGCCCCCCACTTCCCTCTACAGTACCTGCAGACCACTGGAACCACAATTGGTCTCCTCTGCTCAATCCACCAGAGCCTGTCTCTGTATTAACTCTCTGAGGGTTTGAGAACCATTGGTTACCCTCACTTGCTTTAGCTGGCTGGTCAAAGCCTTTCCTGGGGTGTGGCTGCTGCTACACGCTGGTGGCTTTTACAGACCCTCGAAGTGTCCCTATTTTCCAGGCAAATCCCTAATTTGGAGAAGCCGTCTCGGTTTCTGATTTGATCCCACAATGCCCCACTTTTCCTTAGGATGTCTCTATTTTCATTGGAGAGATGTTGGAGGGTATGGAGTTATCCAACCCCCGAGCTGTCTGAAGACAATCCTGTATAGGGAAGGTGGTTTTTTTTAAGTTTAATGTTTTATTATGTTTTTATATATGTTGGAAGCTGCCCAGAGTGGCTGGGGCAACCCAATCAGATGGGTAGGGTATAAATAGTAAAATTATCATTATGGAATGGGACGTCCCTATTCTCACTGGAGAAATGTTGGAAGGTCTGGTTTTAGAAGCCACAGGCGACCATTACAAGACATTTGTACTGACAGTAAACACAGAATGAAAGTAATATATTGAAGCATTTAATGTGCCTTGTTTTCATCAAGGTAAACCACATTCTTAGCTATTTTAATTCCAGTAAAACCAAACCAAATGCAAACAGCCAACAAGAGTACAAGTCCCTGCTCTCTGAGGACAAAGGGCAGCAGGGAGGGAGGGAGGCAAGGAGTCAACTCACTGCTCTGTTAGTGGGGAGGACATTCACTGTGTTCACCTCAGCTATGGTAGGATGAATGCTTGGTGGCCCAGCAGAAAAAGGATAAAACCCTCATGGGGGGAGGGAAAACCACAAACCAGTGGGCCGGTCCCTTTCCCCTGAAGCAGCATTTCTTCTAAACAAGCAGAAAGACAGCTCAGATAGGTGTGGAGTCCCCTTGTTCCACTGGCTACCAATTCTACAGGAAGGCCGTGAGAGACTGCTGACGAAGGCATGTCAGAGCACTGCCGGAGCCAGTCGTCCTGAGCAAGGCGATGGTGCATGGAATGGATGGGGGCAAGACAGAGGGGGAGGTCAGCGCCCTCTCTTCAATCCACCTCCTCCATGCGTGAGGCATCCTCGTCTCCTTCCAGAGGGGGAATATCTTCAGAGACAGCGGCACTAGGCTCTTCAGCAGCAACCTCATCTTCCTCAATCCCGAGCCCCAGCTTGATCATCCTATAGATACGGTTGGAGTGAGTCTGTGGGTCCTCCAAGGAGAAGCCAGAGGAAAGCAGTGCTGTCTCCAAGAGCAGCACCACAAGGTCCTTGAGGGCCTGGTCGTTCTTGTCTGCCTCGGCCTTCTGACGCAGTGTCTCTACAATGGGGTGGTCAGGACTGATCTCCAGGTGCTTCTTGGCCATCATGTAGCCCGTGGTGGAGTTGTCTCGCAAGGCCTGGGCCTTCATGATACGTTCCATGTTGGCGGTCCAGCCATAGGTGCTGGTGACAATACAGCAGGGCGAGGAGACCAGCCTGTTTGAGACCGTCACCTTGTCAACTTTCTTCTCCAGGATTTCCTTCATGAGTTTGCAAGGGTTCTCAAACTTGGCTTTGCTCTCCCCCATCTTCTTCTTCTCGTCCTCATCCTCTGGCAGCTCCAGCCCTTCTTTGGTGACGGACACCAAGGGCTTGCCATCAGATTCCTTCAGCTGCTGGGCGCTATACTCATCAATGGGCTCTGTCATGTACACCACCTCAGAACCACGTTTCCTCCACAAAGGCAGAGTTAGCCACCTGCTCCTTCCTCTCACCTGTGATGTAAGAGATGCTTTTCTGGTTTTCCTTCATACAGGACACATATTCGGAGAGGGAATTCATCTCGTCGCCTGAGTGGGAAGTGTGGTATCGCAACAGTTCTGACAGGCGTTTCCTGTTGGTAGAGTCCTCATGGATCCCCAGCTTGAGATTTTTGGAGAAGGCCTCGTAGAACTTCTTGTAGTTTTCTTGTCCTCCGCCAGCTCTGCAAAAAGCTCCAGGCATTTCTTGACGATGTTCTTGCGATTCACTTTGAGAATCTTGCTTTGTTGCAGCATTTCATGGGAGATGTTCAGGGGCAGATCCTCGGAGTCCACTACACCCCGGATGAAGTTCAGGGACTCTGGGATGAGTTCATCACAGCTGTCCATAATGAAGACGCGCCTCACATAGAGCTTGATGTTGTTCTTTTTCTTCTTGTTTTCAAAGAGGTCAAACGGGGCCCAGCGTGTGATGAAGAGAAGCGCCTGGAATTCCAACTGCCCCTCCACAGAAAAGCACTTAACAGCCAGATGGTCTTCCCAATCATTAGTCAAGCTCTTGTAGAACTCGCCATACTCCTCCTGAGTGATGTCATCAGGGTTTCGGGTCCAGATGGGCTTGGTCTTGTTCAGTTCCTCCTGGTCGATGTACTTTTCCTTGATCTTCTTGGTCTTCTTCTTGCTCTTGCCACCTTCCTCCTCTTCATCTGAGCCCACATCTTCAATCTTGGGCTTCTCCTCCTCATCCTTGGGGGCTGCCTCTTCATCCTCCTTCTCCACTTTTTCCTCTTCCGCCTCATCGTCGCTGATTTCCTTCTCACGCTCCTTCGCCAGATAGAGGGTGATAGGGTAGCCGATGAACTGGGAGTGCTTCTTCACCACTTCCTTGATGCGACGTTCCTCCAGGTATTCAGTCTGATCTTCCTTCAGGTGCAAGATCACTTTGGTACCACGGCCAATGGGTTCGCCATGGTCAGTTTTGACAGTGAAGGAGCCGCCTGCAGATGACTCCCAGGCATACTGTTCATCATCGTTGTGCTTGGTGGTAACCACAACCTTCTCAGCCACAAGGTAAGCAGAGTAAAAGCCCACACCAAACTGTCCAATCATGGAGATGTCTGCACCAGCCTGCAAGGCTTCCATGAAGGCTTTGGTGCCGGACTTCGCAATGGTGCCCAGATTGTTGATAAGGTCTGCCTTTGTCATGCCAATACCACCAATGTCCACCAAGGTGAGGGTGCGATCATGGGGATTGGGAATGATATCCATCTTCAGCTCTTTGCCACGTTCCAGCTTTGAGGGATCTGTCAGACTCTCATAGCGGATCTTGTCCAGTGCATCAGAGGCATTGGAAATGATCTCCCGCATAAAGATTTCCTTGTTGGAGTAAAAGGTGTTGATTATCAGGGACATAAGCTGGGCAGTCTCTGCCTGGAAGGTGTGTATCAAAACAAGTGCTGTACAACTACTGTTTAGATGGTTTACTTGAACCCACAGGGACACAGGTAAGAAATATTTTCATGAACAGAAGGATGGAGGATGTGTGCATTATAAGAAACCAAGTTTGTGTTCTACCAAAAGATGAGGATCTCCCATTCTTTCACTCTGTGCCGGGTCGTTCAGAATATCCTCAAAACCAATGCAGTCACAGTTGCCTTTCCAGATATCCAGGGACAAGTTAGAACTAGGAAGGAAAAGAAAACGCTGGAGCAGCTTCACTGCTTGGAATTCCATCTGCAGCTTCAGTGGTGCATGAAGCCCCAGAATATTTCTCAGAGTAGAAAAAATCATCTTATCTTGATTTAGCAAAAACAACAACAAGATTATCCGGTGTGTCCAAAGGATGAACAGGGAAAAGTTCGCTCTTCACATTTGTAAAGCCTCTATTTATCACATCACAGCTTTCAAATGCTTCAGCAGCTGACAAATCAGAAACCGGAATACAGTCCTTCAGCTGAGATCCAAACACTCTGGAATCCTCAAGCTGTGTTTTTTTTATAAAAAAAAGAAGGGGGGAAAGGACAGTGGTCAAAGACAATGGGAGATGTAGTGAAGCGACCCCTGTAGGAAGGCCCCCAGCCTTCTCCCTGCCCCATGCAAAGGTGTTCTCCCCGCCTCATGCAAAGGTACCCTTCCTCTTACCTGGTCTTTTTGGGGGAGGCTTGGGCAGCAGCCACAGCGGTGCACGATGGAGATCCTGCAAGAAAGAAGGGATCTTTGAAGCACTGCTTCTTGGGCTCGAATCCTGATGGCTGCTTTCGCAGTGGCATCTGAGTGGCCCCTGGGAAAAGAGGAGGCTGGACCAGATGGCCCCTTGGCCTGATCCTGCAGGCCCTCCTCGTGTGTGTCCTAGGGCCCCCCTCCTCCCCCCGTCCCATTACCTCAGGGGCGAGAGGCCATCGTCTGGGCTCCAGTCCCTCCCGGAGGAATGCGGCGGTTCCACGGCTGAACTTCTCCCTCGCTGCAAAGGAAACAGAGACATCAGAAGGCGCCTGTCTCCCAGCCACGCTAGCCCCCGTCTGGGGCAGGAGGGTGGGGGACCTGGGAAGGGGCATTTCCACTTACCTGATCTTATCAGGGCTCCCCACTTCTCCACCGTACGGGCGTCCGACCGGCCTAGCACAGAAGCAACAGCCAAAGTCTCCTCCCTCACCTGAGAAGCTGTTTTAATGGGAGGAAACTTTGGCTGCTGCTTCTGTGCCAAACCGGGCCGGGATGGAGCCATGCCCGTACGGAGGAGGGGCAGTGGGGACGCGCCGCGAGGGACGACAGCCGGGAACCGCCGGGATGTTGCTCGGTTCTTCATTCCGGGAGCCGGCGCTGGAGCCTCATCCCTGGAGGCGTGGCCCTGTGGAGGAAGAAGGACATCACATGAGAATGGAAGCCACAGGTGGGGAGAGTGTTTCTAGGACTCCCAAAACATGTTCCACAAAGATCCCTTCATTCCCTCTGCCCTCGTACCTGACGTTCGCCACGTCTCTCCAGGGATTTGGCCAGAACAAAATATGTGTTGGGGAAAGGCTCCCACACTGCAAAGAAAAAAGAAACATGAGCAGGTGCCTGGCTCCCTGCCATGCTAGCCCTAGTCTGGGGCATGAGGGTAGGGGACACGGAAAGGAAGCATTCCTAAAATATGGGGCACTCAGTTGGCATTTCCACTTACCTGAGCTGGGAGCCTTTCCCCCTTTGCTCTGGCCAGCCTCTCGCCTAAGGAAGAAACAAGCTCAGTTAGTATGATTGGGGGAGACAGGGAGAAATCTGGGATTGATCTCCACCAGAGCCAGATTATTCAATGGACAGAGTAGGCCTATGGGCCAGGCAACAACGGATCAGAATAAGTACTGTTTGTTTTGCCTATTAATTATTGTTGGTTGCTAAAATCAAAAACGTATCAGGATATGATTTGCAAGGAGCCCAGGGATATTTTGACTGCCTAGGGGTCTCCACAGGTTTTAATCTGGAACTGTGCCCAACCAAGGGCCAACTTTGGGCTCTCAAATGTCAAGGGCGCCCTGTAGGAAGAGCCATAGCTGGGTGATCTTGCGCCTCTGGAGAACCGTCCAGATCACGCCCCCTAGCCACGGACAAATGAGCTCTTCTTTCTGCCTCTCCTCCAACCCTCCACCCATTCAATTCACCCTCTATTAAAAACCTTTTCTTATGAGGCAATAGCCCAGTGTGAGGGCACCGGCCATGCCATCCTCAGACTGCCCCACCCCTGCCACAGAAGGGCACAGCATACCTGCAGATGTTGGTTTGAGACGTGGCACCGCTGGGCTGCTGCTTGGCTGGCGCACCCAAACCACGGCCCTGCGAAGGAAGAAGGACATTTTACTCTCCTGCCATAGGCATCCACTCTAGGGGACAGGGGCCCCGTGGTCCCTCCCCAAAGATTTTCTTCTGGGGCAGATCACCCTCCATATTTTCTCTCCCCCCAGCCACATCAGGGGGCGGCCAGCCAGCGGAAGGACATAGGGGGCAGGTGGGAGGGTGAAGGCCGCTCCCTGCAAGGCCCTTTCCACCTGGCCTGGGGGGGCGAGGCCCAGACCCACCAGCCAGCCCTACTGAAGAGGCTCCTCCTGAGGCCGGAGGAATGTCGCCCAGCTAGTGTTTTATTGATTTATTGATTTATTATGCTGTAAACCGCTTTGAGATTTTTATTAAAAATATAAAGCGGTATAGAAATATAAATAAATAAATATGTGGGAAATGAATTCCCCAAGGAATTAACATACCACAATGTCCAGGGATATTTGTTTCTGCTTCTGCCTTCCTGCCTGAGAACCTGTGAGACAGAAAGGAAAATAAAAACAGAGGAAGTTACCAACCAGTAATTCACAACAGAAAATATCTTGCCCACAGCCAGCCCCGGCTGGGCTCCAAACTCTGACCATCTTCTTACCAGCCAGATGCACTGACCCCTTGCAATTCTGCCTGGGCTGGAGAAAGGGGAGAGATGTTTTGCTCTCTGTCCCTCAGGACATGGATGTGAGAGCCACACCATGAAGCCCTGACAATATCTCAAGGGCCGTCACAGGGAGGAGGGAGGAAGCTTGTTTTCTCCTGCTCCAGAAGCCCTCAGGACCTAATGCCGTGGCTTCAAGCTACAAGAAAGGAGATTCCGACTCAACTTCAGGAAGAACTTTCTGACAGCAAGAGCTGTTTGACCGTGGGAAGAAATCCCTCAGTGGGCAGTAGACTCTCCTTCCTTGCAGGTTTTTCAGCAGAGGTGGGATGGCCATCTGCCATGGATGCTTTAGCTGAGATTCCTGCATTGCAGGGGGTTGGTCTAGATGACCCTCGGGGTCCCTCCCAATTCTACAATTCTATAATCCTATGGGGTTCCAGGTTCTCACCTTTGCGAAACTCAGCCATAGTGGAGTACACAGCAGTGGAGCAGAGTCAGGCTATTAAAGCGAGTCTGAATGTTGATGGGGAGGCGGTTGAGAGTTGGTTGAGAGTGGTGGGTTCTAGAAGGGGGGGGGCAAAGGGACGGCTTCTGATTGGCTGCAGGAGCTTCCTGCACTCAGAAGGAAGCCGTATCAGATGCTTGGCTTCCAAAGAACGTCTGCAAGCCGGACACTCACTTATAATTATTTTATTGCTTGAATTTATATTTCACCCTTTCTCCCGAAGGAGGCCAGAATGACATGAGATGTGGGTCTGTTCTTGGCAGTTTCCCATAGATATGACACAGCTGAGGCGCAACTGGGAACACTGTGTGAATAAAAACCACTGACTTAAAAGTGCCAAAACTTACCTGCTTCTTTAGATGTGTGTCAGCAATGCAGACTGTAGTGGCTAGATTTCTGATTCTGTTGGATTGCAGCTAGATTCTGGCTTCCTCACACGTAAATGTGGCAGACACAACTAAAGAACAAATACTGTTGCTCCCATCATGCCTACTTGGACCCATCAACCCTTACATCCATGCCCTATTTTGCATGCTTAAATAACTCAATAAATAAACTCAAACAACAGCAACAACAACAACTGTGGAGCTGTGAAAAATTCACTCTGTGTGTTTTTCTCCTATATTGTTAGTTATTCCCCTTGCAGAAGAAGAAGAGGGTGGGGCTTTTCGTCTCCCTGCCCATCCCTTTCCCCACAGAAGCAGCCTTCCGCTTTCCTTTCACTTGGCTGAATCAGGCCCCACAGGTTTAATCAGATGTGCATCCAAGGGCCAATTCTGACTATCTGTACTATCTGCACCCAGTTTATTGTACGGTCCTCTAAGGAGGACTTTCCCATCCACTGTCCTGTTTTCCAAAGAGCGTTGTTGGTAGCGATGGCCTTGGCTATCCATGCCAATGAGCCTTTGATAGTATGTCCACCACTTAGGAGTCCCAACGGAAGCAGAGCAGAAGGGGTGCTGCTGCCGCTATGGAGCTTGTGGCAGAGCTTAGGCTCTTCACTCTTCCTTTAGCATCATAGGATTGTGGAGCTGGGAGGGACCACAAGGACAATCCATCCGCCTGCAATGCAGGAATCTGTCGGCCAAAGTGGGGCTTCAACCCACGACCCTGAAGTTAAGAGTCAGGCTCTTCTGGCTGAGCCATGATTGGTGGTCAGCATTTAATCTCGGCCTCTCTGGCAGTGAGGAGCATTGCACCCCTTTGCCACATTTGGGGGTGGTTTTGGAAGAAGCCGGAGGCCACCACTGTATACTCTCCCATATTACATATTTAAGGTTACATGTTATCTTTATCATCCCCATTCTATAAATCAGAGCTTCCCAATTTTAAACACAATATATGCAGAATAAGGTCTTGGGGCTTACTTGCATATGAAAAGATTTTAACCCAAAGATATTGGAAATAATAATAACTACCCACTGACAGTTATGTCATTTGAATAATCCATCATCCCTTTTTTCCCTTTATTTGTATTCTTCTGGAGACTGGAGTTTTTTTCCCCTTTAAAATTTTTTGGGGCCCCCAAATGTTTTGAAGAATACACTGTTCAAAAAAGAACATGCTGATATGCTTAGACTAAAGGAGTGAAGTAGGAAAGGCACGTTTTAGAGAGATTAAATCAAAAACCTAATGATTGCAACGATAGCATTGAATATACCGTATTTTTCGCTCCATAGGACGCACTTTTTCCCCTCCAAAAAATGAAGGGGAAAGGTGTGTGCGTCCTATGGGGCGAATGTAGGCTTCGCTGAAGCCTGGAGAGCGAGAGGCGTCGGTGCGCACCGACACCTCTCGCTCTTCAGGCTCCAGGAGCTATCTGCAAGCCTTGCGCACCCGGGGAGTTCCCTGGGCACTCAAGGCTTGCGGGCAGCAGCCTGCAGCGCGGAGCACGGGGCGCCCTCCAGAGCATGCCCCGTGCTTCGCGCAGGTGCCCGCAAGCCTTGCGCGCCCAGGGGGAGATCCCCCCTGGGCGCGCCCGGCTTGCGGGTGGCAGCCTGCAGCGCGGAGCACAGGGCACCCTCGGAGGACGCCCCGTGCTTCGCGCAGGTGTCGGCAAGCCTTGCGCACCCGGGGATCTCCCCGGGAACGCAAGGCTTGCGGGCGGCAGCCTGCAGCGCGGAGCACGGGGCGCCCTCGGAGGACGTCCCGTGCTTCGTGCAGGTGTCTGCAAGCCCTGCGCACCCGGGGATCTCCCCGGGAGCGCAAGGCTTGCGGGCGGCAGCCTGCAGCGCGGAGCACGGGGCGCCCTCGGAGGACGTCCCGTGCTCGCGCAGGTGTCCGGCAAGCCTTGCGCGCCCGGGGATCTCCCGGGAGCGCAAGGCTTGCGGGCGGCAGCCTGCAGCGCGGAGCACGGGGCGCCCTCCGGAGGACGCCCGTGCCCGTGCAGGTGTCTGCAAGCCTTGCGTGCCCTGGGAGATCCCCTGGGCGCGCACGGCTTGCGGGCGGCAGCCTGCAGCGCGGAGCACGGGCGCCCTCCGGAGGACTCCCGTGCTTCGCGCAGGTGTCCGCAAGCCTTGCTCACCCGGGGGGAGATCCCCCCGGGCGCGCACGGCTTGCGGGCGTCAGCCTGCAGCGCGGAGCACGGGGCTCCCTCCGAAGGACGCCCCGTGCTTCGCGCAGGTGTCTGCAGCCTGCTGCCCGGCGCGTGGGGCACCCTGAAGCAGAGCGCCCCTCACGCCGGGCAGACATCGGCCAGCCCCACAAGCTCGGGGGACAACGGGGAGGCGCAGCGCCGCCATCCCACTGTTCCCCGACCTGGTTTTTGGGGGGGAAATAAAGGAAAAAAAAAATTTCCTTTATTTCCCCCCCAAAAAAGTAGGTGCGTCCTATGGGACGGAGCGTCCTATGGAACGAAAAATACGGTAACATATGAGGAAGTCGAGGAGTTGTGGAGGGGTGTCATGGGGTGTGGTGATGGGAAGTCTGTAAATAGTGGTTTATTTTTGTGTGTCTATGTATTGGTATTGTGTTGGTTTTTTTTCCTTTTTGTATTATCAAAACTCAATAAAATTTTAAAAATATTTTTTTTGGGGGGGCCCCAAGAGACTGGGGCCCTAAGCTATAGGTTGTTTAGCTTATACGTAAATCCGGCACTGCGTGCGCCCACATGCGCTTGCAAAACTCAATCCAAAGCCGCCCGGAAGCCAGCAGCGGCGCGCGATGGCATTGCAATCGCCTTTCTTTGCAAATCCAGGGCTCTTTCCGCAGGACGTGACATCAGGCGCCGACATCTTCCTCCCTGTTTCCCTGCCCGGCTGCGGGCGCATCTCCCCCGCGCTGCGCTGTGCGCCGGATTCTCACCCATGGCCGGTGCGCGCGTGCTGGGCGAGAGCGGGGGCGGCGGGGGCGCGGCCGCCGCAGCCGCGGCCCCCATGGACTACTCGGTGCACGAGGCTTGGAACGAGGCCACCAACGTCTACCTGCTGGCCGTGCTGGCCAGCCTGGCTCTGCTGGTGTACGCGCGCAGGTGGGCTTCCCCCATCTCTCTTTCGGTGCCAATATAGGCCGGCAGCACTGCAGCCTGCCCTTCGGAACTCCCCGCCACTGGAGATCCAGCAGGGCGCCTGCAGAGACGCCTTTAGCGTGGCGGTGCCTGCCCTTCGGAACTCTCCGCCACTTGAGATCCAGCAGGGCGCCTGCAGAGACACCCGCTGCGCACTGTTGGGAACCCCCCCATCGCATTTAGCGTGGCAGCGCCTGCCCTTCGGAACTCCCCGCCACTTGAGATCCAGCAGGGCGCCTGCAGAGAGGCCCACTGCGCACGGTTGGGAACCCCCCCCACTGCCTTCAGCGTGGCGGTGCCTGCCCTTCGGCACTCCCTGCCACACTGCGCAAGGTTGGGAACCCGCCACAGCCTTTAGCGTGGCGGTGGCGACGCCTGCCCTTTGGAACTCCCCGCCACTTGAGATCCAGCAGGGCACCTGCAGAGACGCCCAATGCGCACTGTTGGGAACCCTCCCCACCACCTTTAGCGTGGCGGTGCCCGCCTTTTGGAACTCCCCACCACTTGAGATCCAGCAGGGTGCCTGCCCTGCGCTCTTTCCGGCGCCAGCCAAAAGGAAGCCCGCTCAGGCGCTTGGGAAGTCGAGGTGGCGTGAATCTGCTTGAGTGTTTCATTTTTTTTGCTTTGCGTGTTTTCGAAGTAGGGGTGTGTGGATTTTTCTCGATCTTGTTGTTTTGAGTCATTTTGTGTGGGGTTTTTTCTTTTAAGCTTTGAAGATGTTTTATGGCACAGGCAAATAATGTGTAAAAAGGCAGTTGTGATAATGGCGTGAAGTGCATTTGGAAGGATGGGGTGGAGCAAACAGGGACGTTCAGAGTGGGGCCAGCCTGTGTGGTCTTACGTAATAATAATAATAATAATAATAATAATAATAATAATAAACATAGTCTCTGAAGGGGATGTGGTGGTATCCTGCAGTGGTGGTAAGACTTGCCGCCTAAAGGAACAGGCTAATTCTTGTGCTACGGTTGTCTAATAAATGTCCCAAGCAAGCACAAATTTCATGGTTCTGCAGATTATCTTGCCACTTAAAACCGGAGGAGACATGATATGACACTTTATTATTTATTACTTTATTGTTTACATGTTGCTTGTCCTTTTGGATTTTAGAAATAAAAGGAAGATCATGAGGATTTTTACGCTACCTCCTGCTGTAGAAGTACCACCTGAGCCAAACTTTTATGATAGTGTGAAAAAAATTCGTCTACGGCAGCAGCTAGAGATGTACTCTATCGGTAGGTATACTCCATCGGTAGGCTCCCAGTACGTTTCTGAGCACAATTCAAAGCGTTGAATTAAAGCTGTAAAACGGCCTTGGTTCAGGATACCTGAAGGAGCGTCTCCACCCCATCATTCAGCCCTGGCACTGAGATCAAGCTCCGAAGGCTGCCTGGCGGTTCCCTTTAAAAATGTGTTGTTGTTTTTTTGAGGGGGTTTATTGGGTTGTTGTTTTTAGTTTATGTATTTTGTGGTTTTATATTCTGATTTTATTCTGTGAGCCGCCCTGACACCTGCAGGTATAGGGTGGGGTGTTGCTGTTGTTGTTTATTTAAAGATACAGAGCTTCTAAAGATACAGAGCATCTATTCCTTTTTTTTAAAAAAATATTTTTTATTAAATTTTCCATTTTAACAATCCAATCAAATCACATTAAGTATTCCAGATTATACAAATACATATCATATAGTCCAAATATTCTGCCAAATTATAAATTCAACAAAAATTCAGAACATCTATTCCTTATTGCAATTCATAACTGAATATATGTCAAAGGGAGACTCAAAATAGAAATAAACATTCAGGATATTTCAAAACTCGTAATAGAAGGATGTTTCAAAAGTTTCCAAGCTTACGATGGTACAGCTCTCTTTCTGCATGTTATACAGAGAGGTGCAAGAGGAAAGTCAAAACCAGGGGTCAGCGGGGGTCCAGTCCACTGTCCCTCAGACCTTGTGGGAGGGCCGGACTATATTTTGGGAGGGGGGGAAATGAAAGAATTCCTAGGCCCCACAAATAACCCAGAGATGCACTTTAAATAAAAGGACACGTTCTGCTTATGTAAAAACACCAGGCAGGCCCCACAAATAATCCAGAGATGCATTTTAAATAAAAGGACACATTCTACTCATGTAGAAACACGCTGATTTCCGGACCGTCCACGGGCCGGATTGAGAAGGCGATTGGGCCGCATCCGGCCCCCAGGCCTTAGTTTGCCTACCCATGGTCAAAACTATAGTATTGTGGAATGTCGGACAGTATACAGGATCAACATAGCTTGTGAATAAGGGGAGTCACAAATCCCAATGGATGTTCCAGAATTTGCAGTTGGTTAGCTATGCTGGGGAATCTTGCCACATTACTGCCTAGCTGGGCAGTAGGCTGTTATGACCATGTGGTCATAAGAAGGCATACAACTGTTCATATGTTTTGCCTCCTATTTACTGTTAATGAGAAGGGAGTAGTGTTCATTTTAGTTATGATGTCCTGGTAAATGGATGTTCAGCCAGCCTATATCAGAAACAAGTACCGTAGGTGTACAAGTGGGACTTGCAAGTAAATGTTGCAGGGTGCTGTTCAGTGGGCCAGCCAGCCATGCTTTTTTCTAGGATAATTCCTCCATGGGATTTCATGTGTCCAGCTCCACTCCACCCCACCCCTGCCCTAACAGATGCTCAGTGTTGGACTTTTGCGAGAAAAATGCTTTTTTTTTTTTGGTACTTCTGCAGACCCCAAGACTGCTTGATACTTCTCTGTTTTGGTGTCAAAGCCAAACACAAAATACAAAACAAGAAGTTGGCCAGTGTTCAGTTTTCCCTGCGATAGAGAGCGACATGGTTTTTTTTTGGGGGGGGGCTACTCTTGGCCTTTTTGTCAAGCTTCCCATTTTTTATTCTAGGGATGTAAAACCAGTTTACAGAATCTAGGTTGCAGAATTACAATGGGTTTCTCGTTTGCGAGTGATTTTTCTTACTGACAGTGTCCCATTACACCCCCCACTTTTCCTTCTAAGCAAACCCTCTGAAAAAACAAAACATCATTCCATGTATAACCTTAGTATCAATCTTTGTTAGCAGGTTGGGGTGTGATTTTGCAACTCCTTACTGCCTGCCATTGTTGGACATGTGCTTACATCGATCGCTTCTATGACTTTAAATCGCTAAATGATGTGCCAGTAACAATTACTATTAAATGTGGACATTTTGCACTCGTGACAGAAGGCAAATTTTTATCCTAAAATGTGTGCATTGGAATTTGCTGAATGTGTATTGTGCTGAATTAGTTTGTTAGCTAACAGATAAACAGTGGGTTTGAAGTACCGTATTTTTCGCTCCATAGGACGCACTTTTTCCCCTCCAAAAATGAAGGGGAAATGTGTGTGTGTCCTATGGGGCGAATGCAGGCTTTCGCTGAAGCCTGGAGAGCGAGAGGCATCGGTGCGCACCGACCCCTCTCGCTCTCCAGGCTTCAGGAAGCTATCCGCAAGCCTTGCAAGCCCGGTGGGAGTTCCCGCGGGCTCACAAGGCTTGCAGGCAGCAGCCTGCAGCCCCGGCGAGTGTCCGCAAGCCTTGCGCGCCCGGCAGGAGGTCCCGCCGAGCGCGCGAGGCTTGGGGCGGCAGCTTGTCGCCCGAAGCACGGGGAGCCCTCCGGAGGGCTCCCCGTGCTTCGGGCGAGTGTCTGCAAGCCTTGCGCGCCCGGCGGGAGGTCCCGCCCAGCGCGCAAGGCTTGGGGCTGCAGCTTGTCGCCCGAGCACGGGAGCCCTCCGGAGGGCTCCCCGTGCTTCGGGCGAGTGTCTGCAAGCCTTGCGCGCCCGGCAGGAGGTCCCGCCCAGCGCGCGAGGCTTGGGGCGGTAGCCTGCAGCCCGAAGCACGCGAGGCTTGGGGCGGCAGCCGCGGGGGGGGGGGAATAATTTTTTTTATTCATTTCCCCCCCAAAAAACGAGGTGCGTCCTATGGACCGGTGCGTCCTATAGAACGAAAAATACGGTAACTACATGTTGTTGCTTTTTTTTTGAGGAGGGGCAGAATCTTACAATAGGAATTTAACAATTCCCTGTATGTTTACTTGGAAGCAAGTCCCACTGAGTTCAGTAGGGCTTAGTTTCTAGTAATACCGCCTCTCCTGGTATGCCCCATGGAGGATCTTAAGATCCATAAATAGCAACACCCTAGAGGTCCCGGGCCCTAAGGAAGTTAGATTAGCCTCAACCAGAGCCAGGGCCTTCTCAACACTGGCCCTGGCCTGGTGGAACACTCTGCCTCATGAGACCAGGGCCCGGCAGGATCTGATTTCTTTCTGCAGGGCCTGTAAGACAGAGTTGTTCCACCTGGCCTTTGGTTTAGAATCAGTTTGATTCCCTCCCCCTTTCTTTTTCCTTTCTCCTCCTGTGAAGAGGCTGCATCCTAATGTTTTAATGTTGTATTTTAATCTTGTTTTTTAAATTGTATTTTAATCAACTTGTTTTTATTATTGGTTGTTAGCCGCCCTGAGCCCGGTCTTGGCTGGGGAGGGCGGGGTATAAATATTATTATTATTATTAATACGTTTAGAATTGCAGTCTAATATATCCAAATGTGTTTATTTTTCTAGCAAGGAAATATGATCACCAGCAGCAACCGCAGAAGCAGACTGATAGTGTACAGCTATTGGTGGAATGAAGTCTGGAAGCTCTGAAGCTGAGAGGATGACGGAAAGTTTGGGATGTAGTCATTTTCAATGCGACTTGAATAGTATAGTGATTTGTATTCGTAATTATTGCCTTGAGAAGACGTATGTAAATGTACAGCGAGCATTTTCTGAAATTGGGAAAATTAACATGGCTGATACATATTGGTCCTGTTTCCCAGTTTGCATTACAAATGATTTCCAGTAAAAATAGGAGTAGATAAAGTTAAAGCAGGGCTGCTGGGACGTTCAGTGTGGGTATCACAGCTATTCCCATTCAGAAGGGATGAGAAAGGCACATGACATTTGATGTGCCCCAGTGCGGTTAATAAAGTAGTTGGTGCTGGCAGAAAACAGAATATATACTTATAGGCTCACAATAAATACCAAATGCCCTGTTTGGGTTATAGAATATAGATGAAGAGATAAAAATATTAGAATGTACAAATTTTCCTTTTTGACCTGGTAAACAGTAGTGGATAAAACAATAAGTATTTAAGGAAGTCACTTATTTTCAGGTGGAGGCTCTGCAGGGCATGAATATTTTTTTTTAACCTGTTTTACTTGTCTTCCTGGTGTTTTCGTTAATATTGTTAAGTTCCATTGTTGTTGCAGCTGCTGTTGTTTTTAAGCCAGGATACTTCCAGTTAAAATTACTTAGGAACACTGAACTCAGTGGAATTAAGCTGTTTAGGCAGTTGTGCCTGGGTAGTCTGTGGTCCTAATTAGAACTAAAATAAACTTAAAATGTTTCTGGAGAAATGCCCATTTGACTAAGTCAGTAGCAAAGCTGCAGTTCTTTATGGGGTGAGCACATTTTCTTATTGGGTTGTTAAATGGCACTTTAATGCGGCACTGTTACAAAGAGGGTTACATAGCTGGAGCACAAGGTAATAAAACTGTTCTTAGCGATTACAGCCAGAACTGCTTGGAATCGAGATCCACCTTTAATGGTCAATTATAAATGTATTTGCAAATATGTCAGACAAAACGGATTATGATGGAATTATGGAGTGATTAGGTGATGCAAATAATTTATATGTAGGTACTCATAAATATTTGAAGAAATGGGAAAAAATTGCTCTAGGCACGTTTGAAAACATAAAACGAATTAAACAATGAAAACGAATTAAACAATGAATTGCATCCCTAAGTAGGTGGCGACTTTCCAATTATGGTCAAAAAGAAAAAGAGCAGATTAACAAATTCCTGTCTAGTGTTAAATAGCCATTTCCAACACTTGTCAAATTTTTTTTGTTTATGCCCCACGTCTCCTGAACTGCTGTCCTGTGCATAAAAAACTTCTAGGAAAGTAATGTGCTCAAGTATCTGATCACAGCCAAAGTTCCTTATTCTCCCTTCCACTTCCAATAGCATTTCTGGTGTGAAAGTTTAATGCTTTGGCTGTAGTGAGAAACTATTCAAAGAGTTTCCTATTTGGACTGCAGATGGAGTTCAGTAGTCCATCCTTCTATACTTGGGATTTGGTCTCTTATTATATCATCACGACCCCTCTTTGTGATTCTTTGCAGATTTCCTACATTTGCAGCACAGACTAGTGGGGATGAGCTTTTTATTTCAACAAGTGTAATCAATCAGATGAGCAGTTTAAGGGCTGATGTTCACATCATGTTGGGGCAGCTTTTTGTAGATATAAAAGTTATCCCCAGATCTGCATTTCTGGGTGCTATATCGTGGGAGCTTGGCGCTTGCCAATCTTGGCTGTAGCGACTTCAGTGATTGTGTAGTAACAACAAAAAGGAAAGTGAATCAAGTGAATTTCTTATGCTGTATGTGTATGAGGAACCCAAGTACGTCCTAGTGCAGGCATAGGCAAACTCGGCCCTGCAGATGTTTTGGGACTACAACTGCCATCATCCCTGACCACTGGTCCTGTTAGCTAGGGATGATGGGAGTTGTAGGCCCAAAACATCTGGAGGGCCGAGTTTGCCAATGCCTGCCCTAGTGTATCACTTGTGAATATACAACTACATAGTATTATTGTAATATAATGTATCGCTTCCATTGGACTGTCTGGTACTATTGTGCCCTGGGTAGCAGCTGTACACTTGCCCTTGCAAAATGCTCCCGTACTTTCAGTGTATAAAATGTTTTTGTATTTTATTTTTAACAGTAAAATGCATTTAAAGTTGGGTCTGTGTGAAGCTTATTTTTCCTGAGCGAACAGCATTTTGATGGGTAACATGCATGTAAGTTTTAAAATATATTTCTTACAAGGATGCACGTTAAGAATTATTTATCAGACCTAATATCTAGTGAGGGATGCGGGTGGTGCTGTGGGTTAAACCACAATGCCTAGGACTTGCCGATCAGAAGGTCGGCGGGTCGAATCCCTGCGACAGGGTGATCTCCCGTTCCTCGGTCCCTGCTCCTGCCAACCTAGCAGTTCGAAAGCACGTCAAAAGTGCAAGTAGATAAATAGGTACCGCTCCGGCGGGAAGGTAAACGGCGTTTCCGTGCGCTGCTCTGGTTCACCAGAAGTGGCTTAGTCATGCTGGCCACATGACCCGGAAGCTGTACGCCAGCTGCCTTGGCCAATAAAGCGAGATGAGTGCCGCAACCCCAGAGTCGGCCACGACTGGACCTAATAGTCAGGGGTCCCTTTACCTTTACCCTTTACTCCCGCCAGGTTCTGAAGGCTTGCGAATAGGAGCCTGTTCTGGGGGCTGGGGTCGGGGGAAGCTTGGGCCTGGAGGGGGAAAATAATCCCCCCCTTTATTCCCCCCTGAAAAAAACTAGGTGCGCCCTATGGGCCGGTGCGCCCTATAGAGCGAAAAATACAGTATATAAAGCATACTGGGGGAACCTCCATTCCTCATCACCACTATGAGCTGAATAAAGAGAATGAAATCTTTTCCAGGGAATCTTCTCTTCTCATGAGGTGGCCAAAGTATTGGAGCCTCGGCTTCACGATCTGTCCTTCCAGTGAGCACTCAGGGCTGATTTCCTTCAGAATGGATACGTTTGATCTTCCTGCAGTCCATGGGACTCTCAAGAGTCTCCTCCAGCACCATAATTCCAAAGCATCAATTCTTCGGCGATCAGCCTTCTTTATGGTCCAGCTCTCGCTTCTATAGATCACTACTGGGAAAACCATAGCTTTGACTATACGGACCTTTGTCGGCAAGGTGATGTCTCTGCTTTTTAGGATGCTGTCTAGGTTTGTTGGATGGACATAATAATAATAATAATAATAATAATTTTATTATTTTATTTATACAAATAAACCACCTCCAAGCTCTTATCCGCGCCAAACCAGGCTCCGGGGAACCTATCCGTGTCCCCCCCCCCCCAAAAAAAACCAGAAGCACCCAGGTGGCGGGGTGTTACCCCATTCGTCCTCCGTGGTTCTTCCGCTTCCGGCGGCGCTTTCCTATTTCCCCCCCCCAAAAAAAACCGCGATCTTATTTTCCTGGTGCACATCCGGGTCCTCGCCGGCGTGCTTAGCGCCCGTTGTGTAGGAGAGCGGGCGGGCGCGCGGGCGCGTGACACACACAGAGAGAGCGAGGCTGAGAGAGGAGGCGGGCGGGCAGGCGAGGCGCCGGGTCTGCAGAGCGCGTGGCTGGACGGTGAGTGAAGAGAGCGGGCGGGCGGGCGCGAGCGCGCGTGTGTGTGGAGACGGCGGCTGTGTGGAGACGCGGTCGGTCGGTGGGTCGGTCGGGCCGCGTCCCGGTCACGGTGACCCGAAGAAGTCATGCAGGCTTGGGACCGCCGCCGCCGCCGCAGCGGCCTCCCCGACCCCCCCGCCCCGCGCCAGCCGCTTTCCTTTCCCCCTTCACGTGTCGAGGCTGAGACCCGCGCGTCTCGTGTGAATGGCGAGCGGCGCGGGGAGAAGGCGTGTGAGGGGGCCGGGAAGCGGGGTGGGGGTGGGGGAGAAGAAACCACAGCCACCCCCACCGAATAAAAAACGGAATAACGCCTCACCTGCCCCGTTGAAGCCAGGTGCACATCCCCTCCACGAAGGTTTGCGTGTCGCTTCTCTCCCTTCCTCGGTTTGAAGAGAACTTTTTTATGTCAGTTGCTTGACTCGCCGGCCAGGATGCACCACATGCAGCCCTTTCCCGCCCCCTTCCTCCCCCCCCCCAAAAAAGTTCAACTGTTATCACTGTTTTTTACCTTTGGGTGAAATGTCCCCTGGTTGTCCTGTCTGGCTGGGACGGAGTCCCTTCTTCAAAGTCAGCTCATACCCAGCGTCGAGGTTGTATCGACTATTCTCTCTCTGTGTTTGTTTGTTTGTTTGATTGATGGATTCCCCTTTTCGTCTTGCAGCAGCAGCAGCAGAGATAATCTCATTTATGTTTGTTCCATTTCTCAAGTTTCATAAAATGAGAGGCAAAAAGAGATGATAGGTGGGAACTGAAGGGGGTTTTTCTGGTCAGACAACCTTGGGAGACTGCTTAGCTAAGCATCCCTGCACTAAGTGACTCGTTTTCTGTTAATCTTATGTATGATCCAAAGCATGTTTGTTTAAAATTAAGGGCACGTTACTTCATCCAGGATTTTAAATGCCTACGGTCAGAGTTATAGCCCTATTCCCTCCCCCCCCCCCGCTCTTCTCCATAAGGCAGTCAGGCCAACATTTGCTATAAAAAGGTACCTAAATTGTTGAGGAAGTGGTACACTGCTGTATCTGGGAGGGGTTGTTGTACGTAAAGTAGAAAGTGGGCATGCCTGAACTATTCCTGTGCTGCTTTGTAAAGATAATATTTTTTATTTTATTTTAAGCATTGTTTCCATGTTATGTGACTGGACAGGCCAGGCTAGGCTTGATGTTAGTTATGTGGCTAGCTTTGGCATGCATGAGTTTTAAGACATAAATACCCACCAATGGGAGCTTTTCTGCCCATGCCATTGTTCCAATCTGATTTAGCCCTGCACTGATTATTTATGTCAAACTATGCACAACATTACTAACCACTAACAATATCTAGTTAGGCCCTAAGATATACAGTGGTACCTCGGGTTACATACGCTTCAGGTTACATACGCTTCAGGTTACAGACTCCGCTAACCCAGAAATAGTACCTCAGGTTAAAGACTTTGCTTCAGGATGAGAACAGAAATCGTGCTCTGGCGGCGTGGCAGCAGCAGAAGGCCCCATTAGCTAAAGTGGTGCTTCAGGTTAAGAACAGTTTCAGGTTAAGAACGGACCTCCGGAACGAATTAAGTACTTAAACCGAGGTACCACTGTATTTACAAAGAGGTTCAGACGTGCAGTTATTACTGTGTTCCCCTTTAAGGTTCCTGCCTTATTTGAAGGACACACAAAATAATACTTCATTCCTAACTACACTTACCTGGAAGTAAGTCCCATTGAATTAAGTAGGACTTCTGAGTAGGATTGCACTGTAAGGAAAGTTTGTAGGCAGTTCTTCCTTTCTCTGTGCCTGAAGACCTATTTTATGTGTCATGGCCGAGTCTTTTATAGACAAGTTTCAGCTAATATTTTTGGGTGGGTCCTGAAAGTACTTTTGTAGGCATGTTGGCACATGGACATTGTAAAGCTCAATACCTTTTACATGCATAAACATAAGGGAAATGAATAATGTCTAAAGTACAATACATTGCAATACTTGTAGTTATCTATGCTGAATCAAATATCTTGGTTGAAGAGGGCAAAAGAGCAACAGGTTATATCTAAGGCAAACTGGAGTGGCTGTTTAACAGGCATTTTGGGAATGCTAAGTATGTAACAAAAGTAATAATATGGAAGATATGTGGTCATTCACATCCATTAAAAGCTTATGGCAACATTTTATTGATGGCTCTGCATTGTCGTGCAGCTAGGCACATGACTGAAGAGCAACTGACCATTGTTAAATAAATATGCAAGTGGTGATGAGTGTGGTAGGTCCTCATTGACCTCAAATTATAGAAGGTGCTTGTGTGAAGCCTCCTGAATCTGTTCAGGCTGCCTGCATGTTCTTCAGCCTTGATTTTCCAAACAGTTTCAGAATGTCCCTCATTTTTGATCAGTCATTAAATTTCCATCTGTTCCCACCATGAATCCCACTCTTAGTGTGATTCCAGTGTGTTCCAGGAAGACTTAACTTTGCACTACGGTTAGAATACTGCTTTTTGTAGGCTGGGAGGGAATGGGATAGCAGCAGTAAATAATATCTTAATATTTAGCCCACCTCTGCCTCTGTTGGTCTTGCATTGCTGGTACAGGCATTGTTTCACAGTTTGCCCTTTGGCTTGTGCCAAGTGTGCTTCCTTTAGGTTATCTAGCGGGGAGAAGAGATAGAGCAACCTAGTGAAGAGCCACAGGCAGCTATGGGTATGCAGTCATTGACCACACAAGAGGATAAGAGTACTATGTATTTGCATTATCTATGTGAAATTTCACAATATTTTAACTTCAGGGTGGCAGTGGCTTCATATTTCACCGGAGATAACTTTTAAAGACACACAACTTTGTCTTCAATTTCCTGCCACTGAGCTGGTAAGATTTTGCTGCTACCCGTAACCCCTGTGCTTTGGATATACAGTGGTACCTTGGGTTACATACGCTTCAGGTTACAGACTCTGCTAACCCAGAAATAGTGCTTCAGGTTAAGAACTTTGCTTCAGGATGAGAACAGAAATCGTGCTCCGGCAGTGTGGCAGCAGTGGGAGGCCCCATTAGCTAAAGTGGTGCTTCAGGTTAAGAACAGTTTCAGGTTAAGTATGGACCTCCGGAACGAATTAAGTACTTAACCCGAGGTACCACTGTATCAAGTATTATCGGCAGAGACAAAGAAAGCTACCTATTACCTCAAAGGGCAGTCCTGACTCTGTTTGGTCCTGGGACAAGTTTAAGGTTTTGTTGCTGACTTAATAAAACATTGAATAGTTTTGGACCTGGTTTTCTGTTCATCTAAAATAGTATTTGTTCACCCAGGCCTTAACTGGTCATTGAAACCAGTGCCATTAAGAATTTTCTAGCGACTGTGATTGTTATTGGCTTTAATGTATTTATTGGATTTTAACATCCTGCTTTTATTGTTGTGTTTTAAATTTTCCTGGAACTTTTAATGAAGTGTGGTATTACCTGCCAATAATAAACTAGTGTGGTTGCAGATAGTCAAGACACCATCTGTGAGGAGATGAGGGAAAATGTTTGCTGAATGGTGTTCTTTGCCCATTTCTATGTGTGATGTTGGTGCTAGAGTAGTATGATGATTTGGACATGAATTCTGTTCTTTCTTTCCATCCAACATATCTACACAAGTCAGTTGTGAGGAGAAAATGGCAAGAGAGGGGTGTTTTATGCATGCTTCTCTGAAATCCTTTGGGCACAAGCTTGTTTCAAAGGTGAAAAACAATAGATTAGTGACTGGTTTTGGGTGCTTCTTGCTGTGCTGGATTGCAACATGGGTCACCATTAGTTCCTATAATTCTTGATTACATTTAGAAAAACAGTGGCTGAATCCTGAAAGTGACCAGTGTATAAGGGGATATCTCATTAAGAGATTTAAATTTCAGGTGAGATACAAGATGTTAGACTGATATCCTTAACTGAGTTTGTTACTTGCCTCATTGGTAAAAGAGAATGTGGCAAACATTTGTGATTCAATGAACAATTCAGGCAGAATGCAAAAGCATGGGTTACTTCTCAGTTCTATACACATAAAAAGATGGATAAAACAAGCACTAATTTCAGGTGCAGTATTATTCCAGTCATATCACAAGGTTCATGCCATACTGCTGGGCTTCTAGTAATAGCCTATTATTCGTTTAATGGCTCCTGCACAGAGTTTCCTTTATAGGGCAAATACTGAAAGACATTATAGCTGCAGTGGGTGGAAGGAAATGTTCGGATAGAAGTGCGGTAACAAGTCTGATAGTTTGTGATTGTTCAGTTGCTTCCAGTTATTGTATACCCGTATGAGTGACTGAAATAAGCAGACCGAAGCTTTGCTACTGCCTTAGTGAATATGTTGAACTATGGTAGATTTACCAGCATGCTCTGCATCTATCACTGTTTATGTCTTGTTTATCAAGGTTGTTGTGGTGATCTAACAATGTTTTGCATACAGGCTAAAAAACATTTTCCCATTTAATGTACCAGAAAAGCTCTGAAGTTTTAATTAGATCCTTGTATCCTTTTCCATTTATAAGAGTTTACCTTATAAGTTATGTTCTTTATCTCTAGGGCTGGTATAGTGGTAGCTGTTCATCTCTTGAATGCCATTATTATTATTATTATTATTATTAATTTATTTAATTAATTTCTATACCACTTTATATTTTTAAGAAAAATCTCAAAGCAGTTTACAGCATATTAAATTGATAAAACATAAATAAAACAATCTTAAGAAAGTCAAATATAAAATATACAGTCAAAGCAACATAGCAGAAAACTAAAATATCTTAAAGATTTCAAAATAAAACAAATGCAGTGGTGGCGATGTAGAGAGGAAGGGATTTTGCCTCAGCGCTAATGTTAATTAATTTTGTTCTTTATAATTATTGTGCTTTGAGGGCTGTTGAAAGAGAAGGCAAATGAGGGGCAATGCTAGTGAATGAGAGACCATTTGCTGAAATGCACCGAAATTGGGTAAGCAGTTCTTGGCATTGCTGAAAATCTTCATTTGAAAACTGAATAGTTTTAGTTCAGATGAGCTGAAAACACTAAATCTAATCTCTGTAGCTGATTATCATCCCCTCAGTACTCATCTGATGGTTGGAGCGCCCTGTTCTATGGGGTCTTGCTGATAGTGATCAAAGGCTAAGCCCATACGCCAGAGGCAAATGTGTACACCAAATTCTTTTGGGGGTGTTGACCTCCAGTGAGCCATATTCAGAAGTATTACTTGGCTAGGCATACTATAGATGCTGATCTGGGATTGCATTATAAGGAGCGGAGCAGAGGATCAGACTGGGCCCCAAAGGCCTGGCGGAACAGCTCCGTCTTGCAGGCTCTGTGGAAAGATGTCAAATTCCGCAGGACCCTGATCTCTTGCAACAGAGCGTTCCACCAGTTCGGGGCAGGGCTGAAAAGGCCCTGGCCCTGGCCGAGACCAGTCTAACCTCCTTGAGGCCCAGGACTTCCAAGATGTTATTGTTTGCAGGGCATACAGGAGAGGCGGTCCCATAAGTATAAGGGTCCTAGGCCGTATAGGGCTTTAAAGGTTTAAACCAGCACCGTAAACCTGACCCTGTATGCCACTGGGAGCCAGTGCAGGTGGTATAGCACTGGATAAATGTGATCCCACGGCGAGGACCCCATAAGAGCCTTGCCGCGGCGTTTTGCACCCGTTGGAGTTTCTGCGTCAGCTTCAAGGACAGCCCCGCATAGAGCGAATTACAATAATCGAGCCTAGAGGTGACCGTTGCATGGATCACTGTGGCAAGATCAGGGTGGGAAAGGTAAGGGACCAACTGTTTAGCACAGCAGAGGTGGAAAAATGCCACCTTTGCTGTAGCTGCAACCTGCGCCTCCATAGAAAGGGAAGTGTCGAAGGTTACACCCAGACTCATGGCAGAAGGTGCTGGCACCAATTGAGCCCCCGTAAGAGATGGGAGTTGGTCCCCCAACCCCATGTCATCCCGACCCAGCCAGAGGACCTCTGTCTTCGAAGGATTTAACTTCAACCGGCTCCCAAACAACCATCCAGCCACAGCTTCCAAACATCTGGTCAGTGTGTCTGGGGCCGAGTCAGGGTGGCCATCCATCAACAGATAAAGTTGGGTGTCATCAGCGTATTGATGACAGCCCAGCCCTAAACTCCAGACAAGCTGGGCAGGGGTGCATAAAGATGTTTAAAAGCACCAGGGAGAGGATTGCGCCCTATGGCACTCGACACACCAAGGGGTGCCGGGACAACTCCTCCTCCCCTAGTGCCACCCTCTGTCCCCGACCTGAAAGGAAAGAGTGCAGTCATTGTAAGACTGTGCCCTGAATACTCATGTTGGCAAGGCGGTGGTCCAAAAGTTTGTGGTCAACCATGTTGAAGGCTGCTGACAGATCTAAAAGAATCAGCAGTCCTGACCCACCTCGATCCAGCCGCCCACGGAGGTTGTCTGTTAGGGTAACCAGAGCCATCTCGGTCTCATAACCAGGGCGAAAGCTGGACTGAAATGGATCCATTATGAAGTAGTCATTAAGCTGTGGCATATTTGATTCCTGCATTGCCTGAAATATTTGCAGAAAAATAATGCAAGCTCTCAAACTGACACACATTCAATAAATAGCCTCCTGAACCCCCCCCCCCCTTTGAGCTGCTGTTTCCTTATAATGTGAATATCATACAAGTAACTGCAGGACAAAATGGTGGGGCAAGATGTTACATAAGGAATGGAATGAGTTGAAGGATCAACCATTTCTGAAGCATGTCTATAAATTGCCAAAAGTGATGCGGGACTTTTATTTTTCTGTAGAAAGTTTTCCAGTTTCAGAACTTCATTGTTAGATAACATTAATTAGTAACATGTTGAACACAAGGTCAACTTGGGAAGCTGGAATGTATGCAGGACATAACAGTCTGAAATCAATCTTATAGAGTTGTGTCCAACTAAGTTTTACTAAGAGTAGACCCATTAAAATTAATGGGCACCAGTTATTTATGTTATTATTTTCAGTGGAAAAGCAGGTGGCACTGTGGTCTGAACCACTGAGCCTCTTGGGCTTGCTGATCATAAGGTCGGCGGTGCGAATCCGCACAATGCAGTGAACTCCCATTGCTTTGTCCCAGCTCCTGCCAACCTAGCAGTTCAAAAGCATACCAGTGTAAGTAGATAAATAGGTGCCGCTAAATAGGTTTAGTCATGCTAGCCACATGACCTGGAAAGTTGTCTGCGGACAAATGCCGGCTCCCTTGGCCTGAAATGAGTGCTGCACCCCATAGTGGACTTCGAATGGACTTAACCACCCAGGGGACCTTACCTTTACCTTTGCCTTACTCAGGGCTAGCACTGATAGAAGCAATAATGTTTCCTTTCTCTCCCTCCCATGACTATTCTTAGGAAACATGTATTTATGTGCACACCACTTCTAGCATGTGAAAATTAGTATGTTAATAGTTCCTCAGTCCTTAAAATTGAAGTCTCCAAACCTGTGCTCACATAACTGGGAGCAATCCCCATTTAACGTGCAAGTAGACATGTATAGGGACGCAGGTGGCACTGTGGTCTAAACCACTGAGCCTAGGGCTTGCCGATCGGAAGGTCGGCGGTTCGAATCCCTGTGACGGGGTGAGCTCCCGTTGCTCAGTCCCAGTTCCTGCCAGCCTAGCAGTTTGAAAGCATGTGAAAGTGCAAGTAGATAAATAGGTACCACTCCAGCAGGAAAGTAAACGGCGTTTCCATGTGCTGCTCTGGTTTCGCCAGAAGCGGCTTAGTCATGCTGGCCACATGACCCGGAAAAACTGTCTGCGGACAAACACCAGCTCCCTCGGCCAGTAAAGCAAGATGAGCACCGCAACCCCAGAGTCGTTCGCGACTGGACTTAACTGTCAGGGGTCCTTTACCTTTTAGACATGTATAGCATTGCACTGCAACTAATATATGAAATGGTATGCTATTAGGTTGTCATATCCTAAAATACCTGCAGGTATTCCAACTATTTTTAACTCAGTACCATATTTGCTGTATTGTAAGCTATTTTATAAGCATGTGTGGCCTTGGAAAGCTGGATATGAATACATTAATAAATTTCCAAGCTTTGAACTTGTCAACATAAGCACAACGGCTCAGATCCTAAGTTTTTTATTTTGTGAATGGTGATTTTTGCCAGTTTCTCCCAGCAGCACCTTTCACACAGTTCTGGAGGTACCTCAGCCCTTTCTGAAGATGAAAAGGGCTGCAGGAAGGAGGGTGAAATAACTGAAATTGCTCTTCCTTCTTCTCTGTTTGTGGAGCTGTCTGCTGGATCACGATGCACAATTGATTTGAAACCAATGGATCTGTGGCACTGACACCTTTTTTTCCTAGAGGAAAGGCACTGGTTAAAGGTGTAGCAACTTCATGTTGAGTACCAGTGCCATTTTTTTTCTAGAAGAAAAGCACTGATTGTAAGCATGCCTTGTAAGGACTGTCTTAACTGTTGATCTTTGTAAGCAGTTTGGGAACTTTTATAGCTGGGTATTTTTTTTTATAATTGGCTAACGTAAATATAAAAAAAGCTTTCTAACCTTCATGTTACTTAATTTTTACTGGATGAATGATTCTCATTTGGAATATATATATATATAATCACACATTCACACCAGATTTTCTGGAAGAATTTGTTGCAGAGTGGTGCAGGGGATTGATCATTATTTTCCTGGAAGGCTGCCTAGTCCTTTGAAAAGGATAGCATGAAATCTCAGTATAAATAAATTATAAGTAATTGCCTAAAACCTATGAAGAACAGCTTTTCTAGTCATGACTTTGTCTTCTATCACAAATTGATGTTTCAGGGTTATGATTCCAAAAGATACAAATTTGTTTCATAATTAGGCAATGAGAAACAAAATATATATCCTAACATGGAGTTAGAAGCTTAAAGTAGAACTATAAATAGTGTTATCCTCAACACTTTTAAACTATTAAAATGATATGGTTTCTATCACTGGCTGCTGAACAAAGGTGCTGGTGTGGGGACTTTTGGGTGTTGGGTATTAGCTGACACAGTGAATGAATTTGTCTTGAACTGTACTCTTGTAATCTGAACTAAGGAGTTGCTGTAAATCTTGTGAGAATATGGGGTATCTGACGCCCAATATCTTAAAAGGCATTTTGCTCATTCCATGACAGGTCCCCTTAATTCCACGTTTATGTTTCCATAAAATGCATTGGAGTGTATTCGGTCAGGTCCAGTTGATCCAAAGTGGTCCTTTCATTTTGAATGGCCATCATTATATCTATGACATAAGTTTCGCCTTGTAGGACACTGGAGGAACTTATGCTTTAGGACTGCAGTGGAGCTATCCCTACACCTTTAACAGTAGTGTGGTTGCTTTAAAGACAGAGGATGAAGAAACAGCCCTTGTTACAATAATGATAGCCTTGCAGGAGCGGGAAATGATAGCTACTTCTTTTTGGGGAGTTGCTTGAGGAGGGACACAGCACTGATTGATTGATTGCTATTATAGCCTATTTCATACCAAGGGTTTGGATTGGGCAAGGAAACAGTACATTTAATCTAACAAAAAATTGACTAGGAAAGGTCTTTTGAAAGATACGTCAAGTCTCAAGGAGGAGAGTATTCTTAAGTTGCATGACAGCCACTAAGGTTTCTTCATTATGCACTAGAACTCATCTGCCTATAAAAGTTTTAAAACAGAAGAAGAGCCCTGCTGGTTCAGACCAAAGACCCAGTTAGTTCTGGCATCCTCGGGGAAACTCCAAATCTGGTCATTAAAGTATTAACTCTTTATTGGTCCCCAGCAACTGGTATTCAATGGCTTATACTGAATGGGTGTTGTGTATAGCCACTGAGGATGAGCCAGTGAGGACACTGATGCACCCATCTTTCTTACAGCTTAAAGCCAACTTAAGCTGTTGGCCATTGCCACATAATGTGATAGTGAATCATAAATTCCATATTGTGTGAGGCTGTATTTGCCTTTGTCCAGCAGATTCTGATCAGACAATTTTATTGCTTCAGGATGAGAACAGAAATCATGCACCAGCGGCACGCCGGCAGCAGGAGGCCCCATTAGCTAAAGTGGTACCTCAGGTTAAGAACAGTTTCAGGTTAAGAATGGACCTCCGAAACGAATTAAGTACTTAACCCGAGGTACCACTGTATTTAGCCTTTCCTTATAGGGAGTGTCTTTTATGCTCTTGATCCTTTTGGTTATCCTTATCTGCATCTCTACCAGCTCTCTAATATCCCTTTTTAAATGAGGACAACCAGAATGCTACATGGTATTTTAAAGGAGTAGCATCATAGAATTATATAAAGGTACTACAATACTAGCTTCTTTTTCCTTAATAATTCCTAACATTGAGTTTGGCTTTTTCATTGCTGCTGTACACTGAGATGATGTTACATGGAGCTATCCACCATGACTTCAGGATCTATTTCTTGTTTAAACCTGCCAGTTCAGTTCCTGTTACTGAATATATGATGTTTGGGTTTATTTATTTTTTACCCTGATGTTTATCACTTTACACACACCAATCAGTCTCCTTTGCCATCTTGTTGCTCAGTTTAGATGTAGCATTTTAGAATGGAGTGCTTAAATTTTCATCACCTTGAATTATTTGGAGTCATTCACAAACTTGGATACATCACTTTTCATTCCTAATGCCAAATCGTTGACAAATTTTAAGTGGAACCTGTCCCAATAAAGATCACACTGTTCAGTTCTCACCATTGTGAGAATTTATCAATAAGCTCTGATTCCTGTTGTTTAACCCTAATACAGAAAACCCACCCCTGTGTCCCTGTGTCTTCTAATTTTACTTAGTAGTCTTTGGAAGTCCAAAATATAAAATGTCTGCTGCACATGTGGGCAGCTATTGGGCTGCATGTGGTTCTCAGACCTCCCATTTATCTTTCAGTGGGTGCCAAAGCTGCTTGCTTCTCAATCAGTGGAGAAGTAGATCAAACAAAAAAGGATGAAATCCTCTTCTGGAAGGCAGGGGAGCCAGAAGAGCAGAGAATCATTCTCAAGTCCTGACTTTTTATTGTTTGTTCGGAGAGCAGGATTAATTATTGGCTCCTGAATGTTATCCCTGTGTACAGGGGTGGTTCTTGATCTTTTTTGAAGTGTTTTGGATTTATTATTTGGTTTTATTCTGAAGGTGCTCCTGAGGAGCTGTTTCTCTGTCCTAGTCCCTCTGTCAAGTCTTTAGCTAGAGTGGCAGGACTCCTAGAGAGGTGAGTAGCTGGAGGAGCCCAAAAACACAGGAAGGGTGGCTCAGAGACGCAGCTTTGCATTTGAAGTTGCTGGGAACCTTCCCAGGCCCCTTGTATTCTTTTCTCTAGCATTTTGAGTGTCTGATGCAGTTAAAGCATGCGAGAAAAGCAGCCAATCATCCCACAGTACCCAGGGAGTGGGGAATGGAAGGGTGGTAGGACTTTGGATCAACTTTCTTTATTCTGCTCACTGAAACATGCATGTCCTTTCTTCTAGCTGGCCATTAATACGTTCTTATAGTTTTGACCCTGCTTTCTGGAAGAGGATTTAACTCTTCCCTGTATACTCCACACTCTGCTGATCAGAAGAATACTCCTCACCAAGTTCAACTTTTCATAGCTGCTGAATTTACCCCCTTCACACATCTAATTTTGCTGCTTGAAGGGGAGTGTCATGTAAATTGTGTTCTACATAGCCTGCCTAACAGCTCCCTTTAGTCTTCCATTCTTCCTGCCTGGGTGGAGAGCACTCTACCCTTCTTCATCCCAGCAGGGATAGATTTTGAAAGCAAGAATTATGCTGGAATCAAACCAGCAAAATTCCTGTTTTCAGAGGACTTCCCCACCCCACCCCTGCTGCGGTGGAGAGGACTCTGACCTTCTATGCCCTAGTGCAGTGAGACTTCCCTGTATTCAAAAGATATGTGAGTGCATGCACCCACACTATAGCTACTGGCATGCAGCTCCTGAGTGTCCAACTATCAATGTACATAGCCTTGGGGAGGGGGAAAGGTTGCCCACCCTTGGTCCACTGGATATCCCTTATGCAGAGGCTTGTGGGCACTCTCCAAGAACTCTAGAAGGCTGTTGAGGGATAACTTTTCATTTACAGATGCAGTGCTGATTTTCAGCAAGTCTTATGGCTATCCATCATTTTTTCCAGGAACCAAATATAAGCTAACTGGATGAATTTGTTACTTTGGTTACTTTTATGCTCTGGTATGGCGGTACTTTTAGAGACACGTTGCATATTTTTGTTAGATTAATTTCACATTTGAATTCTTTCAGAACTATTGGACAGATGCCATCCAGACCTAGCAATTTGATGTTGCTACTTAACTCAGTTTTTCAGATGCTGTTTCTGAAACAAACATGTTCAGGCATCTGCCTTGTAGCTTTTTCGTCTTTGGCATCCAATGATCAGGTTCCTAGGCCGCATTCTTTTTTCTTCTTTACCTTTTTAAAGTTTCGTTGTGAGTTTCAGTGGTTTTCAAAAGCTCTCTTTGGAATCTTTTTGCTTCCCTTATCAACTTGCACTTGTTTTGCCAGTTTTGTGTTCTTTGTTCTCCTCATTTGGGCATGAATTCCTTAATTTGAAGGAAGCCTTCTTGCCTTTTATCAGTTTCCCTATTTTGCTTGCCAAACACACCTGCTTCTTCCTGGGTTTGTTGCTACCTAATCTGTTATATGCCCTGTTAGTGAGACTTCTGTTACTGTGGTTTTAAATGATCTCTAAGCATCTTGGAGAGAATTGGCTTTCCTAACCCTCCCTTTCAACTTCCTTTTTCATTAATATATATTTTTTAGCAACTTTATCCTTTTGGGGGGGAAAACAATTGTGTTGATTGGTCTGTATTATTACTGTGCTTGCTTGGGACATGCATCAGGAAAATAGGCTCAGTGATTAAAAAATAACATCCCAACATACATGAAGCAGCAATGTCAGCTATATGCTTGACTGCATTCTGAAGGCCTGGGTAACCAAAATATTTGTTTGCTATCATAAACCTTTCTGTAATGTATGTTCTGTCTGAACACATCAGATGGAGGTCAGGCATGGATTCTTAGCATCAGGGTAAATCCAGAATGATCAGAAGCTATTCTGACACCATGGCAAGTCTTCACTAGGCCAGAAAGCAAAGGGTTAGGATGCAAAGTTGGGCACACACACCAAGACTTCAAAGTGTGGGTTGGGCAGAGTAGCTGCCTGACGGACTGCTCTCAAGGACCAGGCAAAAATCCAGAAAAAGGGAGGGGACAGTGAGATTCTCAGTCCAGTCAAATGAGCAAAGAACACAGCGGTACAAGATCAGTTTCAGCTTTGAAAAAACAAAAACCAGGGTGGCATTTGAAAGGGAGATTTCCAGCAGAACAAAAGGGCTGGGTTGTTGTGCTTTTCTGAATAGGGGGTGGCTTCACTCTAAGTGTGTTTTGCTACCAACAGATGTATTGCTTGCATTCGGATATGAGAGATTTGTGGCCTTACTGGATCTTAGCTCAAAGCAAAGAAATCAGGATCTGGATTGCTGACCTTGTCTAGCTGAGTTTTCAGACAAGATGTAGAATGACTCATGCGGATAGTGTGGGGACAACATGGAGGAAGTTTGGTGCTCTTTGGTAATGCTTAGCATCTTTCCAACTACGTATGTGTTGAATACTACAGTTCTATGAGTCTATGAATGTACTTAAGAGTACATTGCTGATTGGTCCTGAAGGTCACGCTGTAGCATTGGGGGAGAGATGGAATCTTACACAAATTCAAAGAATGCATGCATAATTGAAGGAGACATGTTAACATGTAATACTAAAACCGTGGTTTGGTGCTATGTAAATGAGCCTCAGTGGGTCCAAATGAAGCATTCAGTTTGCACACTTGTATCTCCCCTTCCTTCACATCCAGCTTATTTTTAAAGAACCTTGAATGAATTTTGGATTTAAGCCCGTGACCATACTTTAAAACAACAAATAAGCGTTAAAACCTGTAATTTGAAAATGACTTACTATGTAGTTGACTAGTGTTTGTTTGAGTTTACAAAACTGGTTTTCAGCATCACGTCTTTGAACTAAGCCAAGTGAATTGAACTGCTGTAAATCTGAATTTGCAAAACATAAGAGCTGACTTTAAATTTGTTTTGGTCATGTAGGGCAGTTGCCATAACATTTCTGATGTTCACAGCTTTGTTTTTAGTTGTTTTGTTTTTAAAAATTACAGTGGTGCCTCGCAAGACGAAATTAATCCGTTCCGCGAGAGTCTTCGTCTAGCGGTTTTTTCGTCTTGCGAAGCAACCCTATTAGCGGCTTAACGGATTAGTGCTATTAGCGGTTTAGCGGCTTTTAAAGGCTTAAAGGCTTTGGGGATTAGCTGCTAAAAGGCTATTAAAGGCTTTTAAAGGCTTATCATTTTTGTTAAATGGGGGGGAAAATCGAAAAAATTTTCTCATGACTCGCTAGACTTTTTGGTCTTGCGAAGCAAGCCCATAGGGGAATTCGTCCTGCGAAGCAACTCAAAAACGGAAAACCCTTTCGTCTAGCGGGTTTTCCGTCTTGCGAGGCATTCGTCTTGCGGGGCACCACTGTACTGCGATGGCAGTTCTCTTCACTCTCCCTCTGTTATGTCAAAGTGATTGAATATTAGAACTAAATTTCTGAGGCCAGGGTTTAGAGGAAATACTTGCAACAAAGTATTAGTTGGTTGACTACCCACCAGTAATAACCCCATCCTTAATTTCTCATAATTAAGTAAATTGAGGGTTATCAAGCAAGAGGTTCAAGGTGAAGCTCAGCCTTTTCTTCCCACCCCAGCAATTTTGTTACATGTTACATATGTTCTGCAAGATAGAAATATTGTTGCAAAACGAGGAATGGAAGTTAAAATTATTGGAATATACACAATTGGCAAGGATGACAGGATGAATCAGAGACAATACAGAACAAGCGTTTAATAGAGAGTGGGACCCCTATATAAAATATCTTAAAGAATATTGTAATAACGAGAATTCCCTGACAGACTTGCATTGATTCCTGTAGAAACATATATAACGTAATTATATATCGGAAAAACTTGGGAGTGTTAAGGAAAGTGTGGAAAAAAGAAAGAATGAAACTTAGTACTCTCGATGGTGTGGCTGGAAGTCATAACTGAAATTGTGATGTAAGAAATTAATTTACTTTATGTAATCTGTTTTATTATTTGGTGTTTTTCTTTTAACAATAAAGCAAATTAAAAAAAGAAAAGAAATATTGTTGCAGAACATAGTTTCAAAGCAGTGTCTCTGCCTACTGTAGGAAGGTTTCAGCTTATCCATCTTTCCTGCATGGCAGTAATATTTCTGTGGACCTGAGTTAACTGAGGGTGTCCAATATCTTATAAACTTGCTGGCCATCATGCTTTGTCCAAGCCATGATAATTGCAGACATTAGATCCCTGCAGGAAAAGTGCTGTGCCTTGGAAGAAGGTTAAGGTTGCCGGAGCTCTCTCGTAAAAGCTTGTTAAATGAGGTGACAATTTTATATGCCACTTTTACACTTAGAAAAGAGGCTGTGTTTGATGCTAGCGAGAGTGGGACTATTTTCCTTCATCTTTTTCCATGGCATAGAAACAGTATGTATACTAGAGTTCATGTCCCTCAGTGGGTTTGCATTTAATAATTGTCTTCAACATGACTCACTTCCAAACTTACTGATCCTCTCATTTGAAAGGTGGGGCATGTGATACCTTTGGGAAGAATACATCAAATAAGAAGCTGTATTTTGGATTGTATGGAGCTTAACATATGCCAAAATAATAATAATAAAAAATTCCTGTCACAGGAATCGGAGGGAACATATTTTTTAAAATGGCACTAGGGAGACTTCCAGAGAAAACCGGTGGCTATTTAAGTGTGCCATATAAAGTCTGACTTCTTGAACCATTTTTGTATTGTCTTTTAAAATGACAATAACACTAATAAATTTATTATTTGTAAGTCACCCATCTGATGAGGCTGCCCCAGCCACTATGGTGGCTCCCAACAGAATAGTAAAAACATGATAAAACATCAAACATTAAAAACTTCCCTAAAAACGTCTGTAAAAGGCAAATGCTTCTTTGGAGTTCTGAGTTGAAACTGCTATGAAGTATTTTGAACCTCCATTAAGAAGCTTTGCTAGTTATTCATCAGGATTCAGTAAAACACTCATTTTGAGCTTTGCTTCTGTGTTTTGAGTTTTTTTCATAGCAGAATAGATTCTTTGCTGAAAACTGAACAAAAGTGCCAAGTGTAGGCAAATGCCCAAACAACCTACGAACACTCCAAAAGCTATGCATTTATAATATAGGCATGCATGTTCCTAGGGATAGTCACCTGAAAAAAATTAATTACAACCTTGAACCTGCCCAACTTGACTAATAATGTCCACTTATCATGTTGCTGATTCCTAAATATGTATAGTTTTAGAAATGGGGAACTTCACCCCACTTTAACCCACATATAAGATGGGTACTCAAAACATGCACTGAATTCGTCATACTATGGCCAGAATGATCAAACTTACACACATTTTAGGAAAGGAAGGAAAACAACAAAATTGGTCATGATTAACTGCTTTAGGGACACGGGTGGCATGTGGGTTAAACCACAGAGTCTAGGACTTGCCGATCAGAAGGTCAGTGGTTCGAATCCCCGTGACGGGGTGAGCTCCCATTGCTTGGTCCCTGCTCCTGCCAACCTAGCAGTTCGAAAGCACATCAAAGTGCAAGTAGATAAATAGGTACCGCTGCGGCGGGAAGGGAAACGGCGTTTCCGTGTGCTGCTCTGGTTCGCCAGAAGCGGCTTAGTCATGCTGGCCACATGACCCGGAATCTGTATGCCGGCTCCCTCGGCCAATAAAGCGAGATGAGCGCCGCAACCCCAGAGTCGGTCACGACTGGACCTAATGGTCAGGGGTCCCTTTACCTTTTAACTGTGCTTTGGTAGCCCCTAGGCTAAACAATTGCAATTAGTTGACTCTCAACTTGTGCAGGGGTTATGTTCCAGGATAGCACGTAAAGCTATTATTCCGTGTGGCCAATACAACCATTAAAAAACTAAAAAGCACAGCTCAGCACTTACTTACTACTTTCTTACTACAGACTCGACCTGCACTCTCCCAGGGTGAGTGTAATGGTGGGGGGGATTGCCAGTGGTTTACCCCTGCACTACCGCCCCATTTTCAAAATTTTATTTATTTATTTTCATGTTTTCAGCCAAGCGAGTAAAGATGTGATAGCGCAAGCACATAAAGATGTTAAATGTGTGTAATTTGTGAGTCTACTGTATTTGGGGTTACCTTTTGAACTTTATTCAGGAACCTGCAAGGCTGGGTAAATGTGACACACCAGTTTAGCATGGTGCACAAATTGGGCCAATGCATGTCAAGGTTTTTGAACACTTTCAGTATAAAGACAACATATAAATACTGTGTTTTGTTGGTCACACTAAGCTACCTGGTGGGCATCCATTGAAGTCGTGCCATGATCCCTCCATTATTTCTTAGTGCCTCCGGTTACAATCTCTGCAGTCTACATTTGTAACATAATGATGCGAAGAGAATAAAATGCTACAGGGTCATAGTGCTGATTGAAATGTCACCTGTGTCATCCCCAAAATAGAGATTGCAATGGCTTTTGACTGTGAGTGTAGGGTGTCAGTTCTGAGTCCCTGTGTAAGAAGGATGCATGGTGTTGTGTAAGGGTTCCATGTGATGTTATTTATAGAACTTGTCTCAGATGTCTTTCCATGGATAAATCAGCTGTCAAGAACTTTATACAGCTTACAGCAACAAGCGTAAGAATCCTGCACTGTAAGCTATATGTAATTTACAAAGCACAAATATTTGGCTTTTTTTGTTTTGTTTTCCCCAATTAAAAGTGTGTGTTTTAAGTCTACACATTGTTTACCCTAAAGCAGTTGCTGCTGATTTCCTGCAAATTTCCCAAGGAAAGAACTTCAAGGTTAGTAAGACATTCATATGTGCAGAGAAACCATGCAAAAATGTCAGACCCACCACCTTATCATATCTAAGCATGTGTTCTTGTTGGATTTAGCTGTTAGGGAAAGGAGATACCTAACTATGCATTTTGGAAGTTAACGTACCATTGCGTCATCAATTGTTGAGGCTAAACTTAAAATAAGCAGAGAAAGCTGTAGCTATCACCCATTTACAGGCTTAAAAGTAGCAATTTTAAAGTAGGGATTTCTAGAGAGCTAGCAGCAAGCAGCAAAAGACCCAAAATGAAATAACTTCATTGGTTCCTAATAAGTTTCCAATTTAGGGTGGATAAAAATCAAGGATTTAAAAAATAATAATCAGATTTTTTTTTATTTAAATCGTTTTTTAAAAAATATATATATTTTAAGTTGGATTTTTAAGATAAAACGCTTTTGGAGGAAAAATCTTTCTAAAGATAGTTTTCCATTCAAGTTACATTGTAGTCCAAAGGCTGTTCATCAGGAAATAAGGATTTGTTTTAAGTTTTCCATGTGTGCTAAAACTCAGTCTTAAGTTGGTATTTTTTTAAAAAACCGTTTAACCACATCAGTTAACAAACATGGATACATATGTTCTAATGTTACTGTTTTAGTTAAATAAATTGTTATTAAGGAAATGATTATTTTTCTCCTTCCAATAAAGTACAGCAGAAAAGTTGTCCAAATATAAACAGTTAACTTATTAAACCTCACAATAATTTAATAATTATCTGTCTATGTATTTCTAATAGTATAACCAAACCAGTAATTTTTGATATAACTGTAAAAACTACTCTGAAAATTTATTATTCCAAAAAAAACCCTTCATCTGGTTGTAAATATTATGATTATTCCAGCAAAAATGAGTCTTTCTGTAAAAAAAAATAAAATGATTTAAATCAAGTCTTACTGACTAGTGATTTAAATTGATTTGATTTAAATCAAATCCACCCTGTTCCAAGTTAAATTCAGAGTGCTGGTCTGAATGTTCAAAACCTTTGTGGTTTGAGGATCCACGTATTAGAACTACCTTCTCCTGTTTCAATCTCTCTGTCCCCTGAAATTGTTGCCTTTCTCTGGGTGCCCCCGTACTGTCTGAAGTGTGGGGTGGTGACCTCACTTTTGGAGTGCCCTTCCTCAAGAAGGTCTGCCAGAGGTCTTGTTAGTATCATTTAGCCACCATGCAAAAATGTTTCTGTTTTCCCAGGAGTTTAAGAACTGGTAATGTAACCTTTTTAACTTGGAGTAATTTGATTTTTCAGCCTATTGGACTATTGCTGTCTTAGTTTATTTTCTTTTTCTCTCTTAGTTTGTATGCTTTTTATTTATTTTTAAATTGTATTTTTGTTTCTTACTATTCTGTTGGCTACCTTGGGGAGAAAAAGTTATGTTGCAGGTGTGATATATAAATTATGTAAATAAATTTTCCACATGATACAAATATCACAAGAAAAATTCAAAACTTTTATTTTAGTATCTTATTTGAAAACTGTCTTAACATTTATCTTGGGCAGAGTCATATTAAGTGGAAACAATACCTATTTGAGCTAATGTTCTCTGGGACCAATTCAGATCCATGTCTAGTTATTTGATAAATTTATTTCAAATAAAAGCCTATTTTGCTAGTACAGTGTGTTGGTGTAATTTTATCTTGGGGTGAGGGTCCAAGGCTAAAATGGTGTCTCTGTTCAGCCATCACAGTGCCAGATGCACAAAGCATAGTAAAATGCCTGTCTTTACCATTAGGTTTCTGTCTTTATAACTGCATGAACAAATGGAAACAGAGTTTGTTTGTAGTTATACTGCATAACAAGACCATGATGGTTAAGAGTAAGTAATTGATCCTTGACCCTCTACTTGTATTATCATCAAAGACTAAACCAACATAAGGGAACATGCCAAACCACCCTGAATTCAAAAGCAGCATCTTTTTGTTTGTTTGTTATGAGACAGCTGTCTGTTTCTTCAAGGTTTTGCTCTTTACATTTTTTATTTATTTATTTAACTAAATCCTTCCCCCCTGCTCTTCAGTGGGCGAGGGACCCTCCCAGAGTGCCTTCTAAGTAAGACAGTTCATGCCCTTAAGGCTTATCATTTGAAAGGCATGACACCAAAGGAAAAGAGAGGAAGGAGGGGGGAAAGCACATTGGGACATTGGTTCTTAGTCACATAATTTCCATAATGACCAATTGGACTGGGGAAAGTTCAAGGAGAGGAGGAGCCTAATGTTGCTGATCTCACAGCTAAGCGGATGATGAGACCCTGCAGTTCCAACTCTGCCTCTAACCTGTTGGAATGGCTATAGAAAGCTATGTAATGTGATACTAGTCGTGAGCTGGGGAGGACTGTGTGCTCTTGTATTTTGGCACATCGTTGAATACTGCATGCTTAAAGAAAGACAACCTTATAGTGGATCAAAATGGGATTGTTTTATATTGAAGATTCTTAACCAAATTGTAGTCACTTAATCTCACTGCATGCAGTGCTAATCATCTAGAGAGCTGGTTCCCTATAGTTCCCCATTACAAGGGAACCATTCCACAATGTCATCCATTCCTCTGCATGTAATATTCTAAGTGTCAGCAAGTGGTTGCCATAACTTAAGCTCTAAGTGTCAGCCATATAGCAAGTGGTTGCCATAACTTAAGCTCTTAAAGATGCCTCCTAAAATTACCTTGAACTACATTCTGTAGTTGTCATATAGCTTGATTTGTTTTCTTCCTTAGCATGCAAGAAACTTCTGCTGAGTTAGGAGGACATTCTTCAGCAACTGTGGGAAGGGGTAAAATCGACTGTAATTCTGTTCATAGAAACTCTGGAAAAGAAACTTGGGCTGGGAAGCTATACATGTGCACAGTTATGTGGGGTTCACTGTATTTCCCCCTTAAAATGTCAAAAGATTGATGCAAGACTCAAAGACAAGAACCATCCTTCTTTCTGGTGATGTTTCCTGTTTTGCTTCTTGAGATACAGGTATCATGAAGGGGAGCGCCTCTGGAACAAGTTGGAATGGAGAAGCACAAAATCAAGAAGCTGATTCAAGCGGTCATTAAACGCACTGGATGTTTTGGGGATCACACTCTGAGAGGAAATCGGCAAAGTGGAGACATATAACTCCAGTTATTGAGCAGGGACATCAGAATCTGTAACACACTGCACTTTTTAAAGTTGACTCTTCATCTCTTATAAATGGTGGCATTTTCCTTTGCTCTCTGGAAATTCCATTTATGCCTTCTGCACCGTTGTGTATTATCTGCCATTGCTTCAGGAAAAAACCAGCTTCTACTCTTGTACCTTGGACAACTTGGTCAATGCAGTTTGCAAATCTCATTTTTATGAACATGCAAAATCCAGAGAGATCAATGCATCCCAAGTACAGATGGAATATGGACTTGTGCACATATAGAGCATGTTGTGATCCAAATGATTAAATATACACCAAGAGTTGACAGAATAGCCAATTGGCAATATTTTGCAAATGCGGTGCATGTCTTCAGAAATAGGTTTCATCCAAAATTCCATGGTGCATTTAAAACACTAGAAAAATGGCATTCATAAACTGACCAGAAATCACTGAAAGAAATTTCCCCCCCTCTTGTTATTTAAAAAGTTTGGAGGTAGTGAGTGCTCTCCATTGACTATAACTTTGGATGATGCCTTTCTTACATTGAACTAAAGGAGCAAAAGCTTATGTTGTTGGGGATATCCAAATGAAAACAGTTTAGCAACTTATAGGAAAAATTAAGGTTCCATTGGAAGCTGAGAGTCATGCAAGGTTTGTTACACATACAAGCCCCCGTAATCTCTTAATGCTCTGATCTAATGGCATTTTTGTGAAAGAAAGTTCTGTATTTCTTTGGAACTTTGAAGTGATGTGTGTTTGATAATTCTGCAAGTTGGAGTCTAGAGGGGGAGTTCTGTTAACACAATACAGTGCTCTTGTTTTATCTTAAATACTAAAAAAATCATTGTGGCATAGGCTTTTGTGCACCAAACACCATGCCTTCAAAAGCTTGAAGGATTGTGCTCAGTGGCAGATCTGTCTTTTCATCTGTTACATGATAGACTTGAGTCCGCACAAATTTTTGCCACAATAAACCTTGCAAGACTGGGCGTGAGCCAAGTTAGCAGGAGATAACTTTATTTTTGCTGATTAATGTCTGCATTTACTAGTTCTATGAGAACTTCTACCCTGCACTTCCAATAGACATGCATCACTCAGGGCAGCTTCCAACAATTAAAATCACAGCATCAAGGAAAATACAATGGAGGCAGGAATAACAGATAAAAGCATTATCTGCTTGGTGTGGAAAAGGCTGGCTTTACTATCCAGGTTGCAAGGGAATTACTGAGGGGTGTCCTGTTGGTCCCCAGAGCAAAGTACAATTTCCTAGACCAGTTTGTGCTGCCAAGTATGTGGCAAGTACTGTATTATAGTACAAAACCTGTATCAGTTAAACAGACTTTGGGCTAAGAAGCTATGCTCTGCTTTCTCTTTTCCTTTAATAGGTTAGGTTAAGTAAGTGATGTTAAAAAGTTAAGGCTATCAAGCCCAGAAACAAATAACTGCTGCTGCTTTTAACAGCTTCATAGAAGAAAAATACTCCGTCTTCCCTTCCCTTGAAAGTAACCTGCTTAAATAATCTGTCATCTTATTTAAATGTTACATTTATATCCCATGTTTCCTCCAAGGAGCTCATGGTGGTGTATATGATCCTCCTTTCCCAATTTTGTTTTCCAAAAAAAATGATAAGGTTGGTTAGGCTGAGAGAGGGAGACTGCACCAAGGTCACCTAGTGAACGCCATAGCTGAATTGGAGATTTGAACATGGATCTCTACTGTCCCTTACCATGTGTAGCCAGGTGTAAAGGAATCTTTGGCCCTCTGGTGTTGCTCAGCAACAAACCCCAGAATCTCTAGCCATTGGCCGTACTTGCGGGGCTGGGGATCCTGCAAATTTTATTCTAGCAGTATCTGGAGAGCCAGTGGTTCCCCACACCTGATCAACAGGCTTGATGCTAAAATGGCCCATGTCACCTGCCATCATGCATACCTGTTCTGCCGTACTTTAGGAGAAGTGCAATTTTCTGACCTTATCCTGTACTCCCTCTTTGTGTCAAAGAGCCAAGAGTCTTTGCTGGTCAACAGCCCTACATTGTATTGGGTCCCCCTGGTTCAGTTTAAAGAACATTGTTGGGCGATTGACTTTAATGAATTCTATAGAACTGAAATTGTATACTGTACTGGTATCTGATCACTGACTCACTTGGTTTCTGCCTCTGCTGAATGTACCTGCTTCCAATGTAGGTTGTTGCAGTGACTCTGGAAAAGGTAGTTGTGCCTGTTATAAATGTAGTAGGATCCTAGAACAGATGAGTCTGCCATAGGGATAGCAGCTGGATGCCATGGGACCAAATCTAGTCCTCCGAATTCCACTACCTGAAACCCTAGTTGCCAACCCAGCATGAAGAGATATATTCCCCGGCTCAGTCAGTGGGCACTTCACTGCTGTAATGTGTGTGTGGGAGGGAGAGGGTCAATGGTTTGCCCAACCATCCTCTTCTCAAAGATGCACTCCTATAAGTTGATAGGTAACTTAGGGTATGGCTTTAAGCAGAGTGGCAGGATTCCTGCTGAAAGGTGCTGGGGCTGCATTTTAAATTATTCCACCACAAAACCCTGTTATCCCACCTCCACCACTACCTCAGATGTTCTTATATATATTTCCAAAAATTATACACTGTTTGTTGAGTCATTCCTCATTATACTACCTTGAATATTTATTATAAAAATGCACAATAATAATGGAATATTTCTAATGTGAAAATGTATTGTGTAACACACGTTTATTTTAGGTATGTATTGAAATAAGTATATATTTTCTGTAAATTTTGTTTGCTGTATTTGCTGTAGATTGGCATCAGTTTTTGAGTTCTACTTTTTGGCAGTTTCTGCCTTGAGAAACCTGTTTTATGCTGCATTATCAGGTTATGCCTTCCTGATGTACTTTCCCATGTCTTGGGGTTTGATAATTACAAACTTCTGAAATATTTTCATTCCCTGTTTGCTCTTTGATATAAACGTTTGTTTTTATTTTGCTGTACATGTAGTAATTTTAGGGATAAAACTAAACCTTGATATCTGTTGTCTGTGGGAACTTTTTAGAGTCTTCCCACAATACTGCTATTAAAGGACTAAGTGAGTTCATGTGGCTGAAGTTTGTCTTGATTGGTTAGAATTAAATGCATTCTTTTAAATCAAACAAATGTTCTTTTCTAGCAACGTAGTCTCCTTTGATTGTTAGTTCTGTCACTGGATTTAATGACCAGATGGACGAGTTGAAGCTTGTGGGAATTTAGAGCCTGAATAGGGCTTTCTCACTCTTTAAATGGGAGGATGACTTCATTTAGGGATTTAATGTTGGTAGTGGAAGGTTGAAAAATTGTTTTCAACTCTTGGCAGGCTGAAGCCGAAGATCTGTAGAAGAGTATCGTAAACTGCACCTGTGTCAAAAATACCATTATTAATGCACTGTCCTTCCAAGTGCTGGGTTGCAGCATTGCCTGAAGTTTGATGCGGAATCATCACTGCTGTTTCCTTGTCAAAGAGAGAGTATTTGTGTTATAATTCAGTCACAAAGGTGTGCCTCAGTACCACCTTGCAGCACTAACATATGATACTAGAGTCCATGCCTTAGCTGAGACTCTTGTGTGTCCTCCAGGATAGAGTAGGGGGTTATTCCACTTTATGTTGCAGAATTTCATGTGGTGGTGCAGAGGAAGGATACTGATACATGATAACTTGTAGACTGTTTGCAACCTGATTTAATTGTAAAAGAATCTGCAGAAGATATAATAGTCACAGACAGTCCTGGGGCAGAGAGAAGAAAAAAGGAAAAACAGCCACATGTTTGAGGATTCCTATCCTATGTTGCGGGTAGGGTTGCAAGTGTGTCTCAGGTCTTGAAGCCTGCTGCCTGAAAATAATTGTATCGGTTGTAGAGCTGAGCAGCAATACTATACAAATTCTCATGCACACACAAAAATTATGAATGTTGGTTTTGGTTTTCTTAAGCAATATATTGGAGCGAGATATAAACATCCTAGAGAAGAGAAAACACTTTCCACATGCAGGAAGGTGTCTTTGGTTGGGTACTAAAAGAACAAATGGCCTTTTTGTTGCTTTTGTTTCTGCTGTAGATGTGCTCCAACTTGCAGTATGTGTGCTTTGGATTTATTATCCTAACTCTGTATATAGAATGTGGTACAGTTAAAGGCATGTCAAGGAATGTAGTATTTTTTGTTAAAATATACAGTTCAATTTTGATGCACTAATTGTGTCGAGTAGACCCTGGTCCATGAAAGTTTATGCTGCAAGCATATTTCTTGGGGGTTTTTTTTTGCTGTGAGAGACTAACATGGTTACCCCTCTGCTAATATGTACCTGATTATGATGCCAAGTTAACCCAGGAGCAATCAGTTTGTCTTGAAATGGCCACATGCTGCTTGTGAACGTCAAATGGTTAACCAGGATTTAAACTGGCATGATGTGTGTTAGGCCTACATATTCCCCATTGGCAATTTGAAAATGTCAGTTGTCATGCGCATTTTAATAGTATCCTAATGGGATAAAATACTCTTAATTAATAAACAGCTCACTTAGATTTCCAAATCTAAAAATGAGTAAATGTGTTCACTCACTAGAATTCCCCTTTGTGCCCCAAAGCATTGAGACAGCTATGAAGCTCATGTAACTTTCATTTTATTTACCTATTATTGCATTCCCCCCCCGTCTTTACTCCAAGGAGCTCAAGGTGCCACATACAGTTCTCACTTTCCACATTTTATCCTCACAGCAACCCTGTGAGGTAGGTTTGGCTGAGGGATTGACTGTCCCAGGGTCACCCAGTGAGCCTCGTGGCTATTGTATCACACTAGGATTTGCCACCACTGTGATTTAGCAATAACTTCAAAGACAAAGGCAGGTTTTTAAAAAATAATCTGGTTTGCATGTGCATTCTAAACGTTTCCCTTTTATTAAATTAGAATAATTCTGACTGTTAAATACTAATGTAATGTTTGCAACCACATGTCTAGACAAAATGTAAAAATGTGCATTTTCCTAGCCTTTTATTTCGTGCAATCCAATTCAAGCACTGAATTATTTTTCTGCATATGTAGTTTCGGTATACAACACTTGCTAAATATTGCTGGTCTGTGTGAACTGATTTTTTTTTTCCTTAAAGAAACCCTAAACTGAGAGGCACAATCAACTGTCCCTTTTGTATTCATGCTTTGTGGGGAGGAGGTGGGGCGGATTGACAGGAGCTCTCTATAAATGAGCTTCATTTGGATTGGCTTAACTCAAGTAATCATGACGCTGCGCTGTGTTTCAGTAACCACCCTCAACAGAGTGTCCTGTTAAGAGGAGGCATGTTTTCACCTTGAGTAGAAACTCGTGGTTGATGCTTATGAGTGTTGCCTTGTTTTGCAGTTCTCTCAGGAGTTTTATCTGGAGCTCGCTCTGTAAGTTGTAGAACAGTTCACTTTGCTTGAGATCTCTGCTCCTGAGGTGTGAATATGATAGGGTATCTATTTTAGACATAAGGAATGCATTTGTGACTAGCAAGGCAGTTACTTGAAGAATTAACTTTGCTTCTCTTTGAAACAGCTTCAAAGCATTGAGTAAGTTTTTAATAATGGGGTTTCCCCCCTCTTGATAAACTTCTATAGAATTTTTAAAAATCGTACACCTTCTATGGAAGTAGAAAAGAATGAGAGGCCGTTCTATGACAATTTTCTGATTCATGATGGGGTGGAATCTCCCCTTTGTAAAAAGTACTTTATAGCATCTATTAGCAAGAAATAAATTGAGCTGAAAGGAGGCAGATATGATCTTCTGTTTTAAATGGTTGAAAACTACCTTAACCTCAAGCATCACTGTCTTATTATTGGAAGTAAACTTTACTCTAGCTGAATACAAATATGTGTAGTATGTATCTGAAATATATAGTCTATAGTATGTGTAGTAAATGTGTTTGTACAGTAAATGAAATGGGTTTTATTCAGGGAAGATAGTTTTTACTGCCAGGTTTTTCCTAATAAATGATAGTCTTTCTGTAGCTGAAGGTAACAGACGCCAGCATGAGTTTTTGAAATGCAACATACCAGTGCTTGTCGTGCAGGATGGCTTACAATTAAGCAAGCTATATAAGGATGTGTAGGGAAAGTTGGAATTGGTTGGTGAAGTAACCCTTTTATATAACTGATATTTATTAGGCATTATTTCCTTCCTGGAGTATAAATCTTTCATCCTCCTTGGTCTTATTGCAAGCTTTGTGCATGTAATTTTAGAACCATGTAGGGATGTAATTTGCCTAGAACTATTTTAATTATCCGGCCTGCCGTAACAGGGTCTGTTAAATTTTAAATACTTATATGACTTTAACCTGTGGGAGGGAAAAAGCCATCTTATCCAACTTGTCTGTGCCTGACATTACAAGCCAGATTTGATATTTTATTAAGTATTGTAAATTAACTATGTTTTGTAAGAGGGGTGTGTGTATATGTGTGTACACCCCCAAACAAACAAAAAGAATTGCTTGCAAATTGCTATGAAATAATCTGTTGTTGTAAACTAAACCCCAAACCCCATGTTATTATCAATTAGAAACAAGCTTTGTCTTTGTGGCTCAATTTGATTGTTTTATAGGAAGCTCTATATGGTTGTGGTTAGTAGTACAATCCTGCTGGGCTTTCTGTTTTGAAGAGGAGGATGTGTGCAAATTTTGTAACATTTGCCTCTTTGCTTTTAAGCAGCAAAAATATTTTTCTGTGGGTTTCTACATACCAATTTTGGATGGATTCCCATGGGTAAGGTGAGGTCCATATTAAGGAAAACAAATATTTGCTGGTTGGCAAATATTCCTCTGTCACTAGTACATAATAGTCCATAAATCCTCTGTCACTAGTCCATAATAAACGCCCAAGTGATCTGTTGCCGCTTAGGTTTACATGGGGTAAAGTTCAGAGTTCTTTCAGGCCAAGTGCCTTCTGACCTATATTGTACGGGTTGAGTTGCATCTGAGTCTTTCTTAAATGCTGGCAAAGTACTGGCAGTAATTAATCTGCCACATGTAAACAAGCTCCGTAAGTCAGCAGGGTTTGCCCTGGATTCTATCACAGAGGAAACCTAAGGATAACCCATTAGAATTCCCTTTAAAGTTCCTTATTTCCATTTGTGTACACTATTCTGCTGTTGGCTGGGAATAAATTGCAGTTTCCTTGGAGTTTGAACTTGGCTCTGCAAGTGTCCTGCTTGACCCCTCACCTTTGTTTTCTGTGGTAGCCTTCCCCTTGGATATACTATTTGGCTGGGTAGAAGGGTATAAAGTGTTTTTACAAGTCTCTACTACAAATCTGCTTTTTGGGATTGGGCGTTTCACTGTACAATAAAGGGCCTACTCTACTTGACTTCTGTTTGTAAAACCATCAAGGCTTGGCACTTGCTTAATATTTTCTGATTTTGGAGATTATTATTTATTTGAGTAGTGTTGTGAGTAGAGCGCTTTACAAAATATTAGCTTAGTCTCTGCCCAAATATTTCTAATCTAACACAAACAGAAAGCAAACGGATTAGTTTGAACAGTATACAGAGCAAGCCTTGCTAATTGATGGAAACTCATCCTTTCTTTAGTTCGGTAAATCTGCAAACTAGGGGGTGTTAAATCTGGACTAGGAGGTGGGATGGAATGACGGTACCAGCCCAAGACTACCCTTTTCATTGACCTGCAAAGCAATATATTGGCTGGAAAAAAACCTGCAGAGTATTTCCATAAAACCTAATTAAGTTTTCTATTTCATAAACTATTGAAGAACCCTGTTATTCAGAAGGCAAAGAGATTTTTGAGTCCCGTAGGTAATACCACTTGTGCCTTTGTATGAGTGTGAAGAATAGTCCCCCTGAAAAAGATTTCACACAGTCTTTCAAATAATTTATGTAGTGTCTTAATGAGATGTTGTTGATGTGAAGTTGGTATTTAAAGTCAAGAAATTTGGGACATTTATTGTAGTTTACTCTCAAGGCTTCTGTCTTTTGTGAAGATATGCCTGGAACAACAACAACAACAACATATTTTATAGCACGATCATAGTGCATTTTTAAGTAGCAAGAGAGATCCCTGGAGTGAAAAGCTTTCAGTAAGAAATTTGAAGAGATAGATAACATTTGGAATCGGGTGGAGGAGAGGGTAAATGTGCTGAAGACTTTATGGATAACGTGGGCACTTAGAATGGGTTTGAAAGAAGACAGAAGGCATTATTTAGATATTCAAGAAAGCCATTCTAGCCAAAAGGGGCAACAAGGGAGAAACTGTAGGCATCTAAGGATGTTTGGAGACCTTTAGATGGCTGAGGGTGGTGGAGGTGGAGGAGAAAGGGAAATTGTTTTGGGATGGGGAAAAATGATTTTTAGTTGTTGTAATCAGAGTGAAAGACTAGGATACAAGAGCAAAAAGAATGGGATTAGGGGCATAGCTATGGAGGTTTTTGAAGCCAAGAATGAGGAGTTTATGCTGGGTTTGGAGCAGACATGGACCTGCTGAAGGCGCATCATGTGATCAGAACAATGAGTGAGCTAAATGGTTTTGGTGGCAAAGTTCTGGGTAGAAGCGAAGAGGCTGAAGTGTGACCGTGGAAGACAAGATGAGAAGTTACTAGTGTGAGAACTAGAGTCGGGGGGACAAAGAGAAAGGGGTTTATTTTTGCCTTTGTTGTAAAGTGGCATGTTATGGTGCTGAGCTGAATGTGAATGCCAAAGGAGAGGGATGATAGTGGATAATGATGCTGTCGGTGGTTATAGAAAATATATGAGGAGTGGAGGTCTTGGGAGGAAAGACGACGGAGGTTAATTCTCAACCCTCACTGTGTTTGACACCGTGATTAAATATTAAGCAGAAATAACAGACAGGTAGGCAGAGTTCTGAGATAGAGGAGGGAGTTCTGATGTGGAAGTAGGTGTCATAAGCACATAGGTCTGGAGTGCTTATTTCAGACCAATGGCCACATTCTCATCTGGACAACTTTCCAGGAGCCACATGGCATTGGTGGGTGGCACCAAAGCCCCAAAGTGTAAATTTTAGCATTGTACCATAGGTTAGTATCTACCCACCATCCGGGCAACCAAGAAACACTGCCAAAATTCAAGGACCACATTTCAGCCAGGCAAAAACACTTAAGGGGTGTTCGAAGCAGGGCTGGTGAGGGATGTAGCCTTGGGAGAATGGGTGTGGCTGAGAAAGGGGAGTGGCCTATGTAGAGTCCTGAGGGTCAGACGGAGAGTGGGGAGGGTCACATTTGCTCCCTCCCACCTGAGGTTCCCCACCCCTGATTTAGTTGATATTGAAAGTTTTAGTATGTGATGAGGTCACTAAGGGAGAGTATATGCGGAGGTCACAACAGACCATGATGGAGAGGGGGGAAAGCAAAGGAAGAGCTTCCCTCCCCTGTGGAAAAGTTGAATGAGCAATTGCGTCAACAGGAAGAGAAGCAGCTGAGAGGAGTCATGGAAACCTAGGGCATGAAGTGAGTCATGCAGGAGAGAACCATCAGTTGTTCCATAGGCTGCAAAGATAGTTGCCAGTGAGGAGATCATCAGTGAAGGGCTGATCTACTGAGGGCAGAAGCCAGATGTTATGGGGTCAAGAGAAGCTGTGGTAGAGAGAGTTGACAGTAGGTGTAAGTGATACATCCCAGGAGTTTAGAGATAAAGAACACAAGAGAAGTTGAGCAGTAGCTGCAGAGGCAGGTTGGGTCAAGGGGGTGTCTTTTTTGGAGAGGGTGGAAAGAGTGTGTCTAAATGCAGAAGGCAAGGAATGTGCTGATGAGATGGGGGGAGGCAGAGAAAAGTGGCATATTTATTAATTTTATTAAATTTGTATACTGCCCTTCATCCGAAGATCTCAGGTCAGTTCACAGTGTATTTGATTGAGGAGGAATAATGGGAGGAGGTAGATAGAATCAAAGGGGAAGATAACAGCGGAATAATGAACTAGATGGGAGGAAAGAGAAAAGGATTCAGGGAGGTGTGAACTTCAAGGAAAGAGAGTTAGAAAGGTGGTTGTTTTATTTTTATCAGGCAAACCCTTCAATGTGGAGGGAGGGCATGAAGTCCTAGTAGGACTTCAAAGGATGGAAGAGGTGCTGAAGATTCCTAGAGTTGGTGTGGATCATAGCAGTACAGTGGTACCTCAGGTTACATACGCTTCAGGTTACAGACTCCGCTAACCCTGAAATAGTGCTTCAGGTTAAGAACTTTGCTTCAGGATGAGAACAGAATTTGTGCTCCGGCGGCACAGCGGCAGCGGGAGGCCCCATTAGCTAAAGTGGTGCTTCAGGTTAAGAACAGTTTCAGGTTAAAAACAGACCTCCAAAACGAATTAAGTACTTAACCCGAGGTACCACTGTATTCTTGATGAGTCATATGGCAAGCAGAAAGGAGAGGATGACTTTTACAATGGACAAAACTGCTCAGCTATTTGATTCTCTCCCAGAGGCTTTCAGCTGCATGAGAGCAGGAACACTGGACCTGAAGAGAGGCAAGAGGGCTGAGGATTAGAGGCGTGAATACTTCGTTAGTGGAGAAGTACAAATGAGCCAAGAGAGGGCAAACAGGCACAAGTTGGGTGAGTGGGTGAAAATTGCAGATTCTGAGGAGCAGATAGAAGAGGGCGAGGGCTAGATCTGAGAGGGCTCTGAATGAATAGACTGCAGGCTGGGGGAAAAGCAAGGATGGAAATGTGGTTTGGGAAGAGACTGTACAGTGTTAAGGGTGCTGTGGTCAGACCGAGAATTCCACAGCTGAGGGATCGACTGAGAACTGTTCTTGGTGATGACAAAGTAGCATTTTTAATGTTAAAACGTCCCAGAAAGAGACTGTAAGTGGAAACTCAAATGCTTTGGTTTTGAAGTGTCGTGGCTTTAGTGGCCGACCACAAACTCAAATGTTAGAAAACCTCATAGAAGTGAAAAAATATGTCTACTTATCACACTGCTGGCATCTGTTACAGTAATGCAAGCACCAGATATTGTTTGCCAAATACATGCTGATTAGCTGCAAAGCCTCACCTTGTGTTTCAGTATATTTCTTTGTGCAGAATATTTTGCCTCTTCAGAATTTTTGGTTCCCTTTGTTTTGAATATAATTCCTGGAGGTCGTTCCCCCCCCCCCAGTAGTTGCCAAATTGTATGTCAAGTTCTGGCAGTCATAACTGTCAAGCACAGAATAATTATGGCTTTTATGTTTTTGATTTAAAAGTGAAATAAAATTTGATTTTTAGTAGGGTCTTATTATATTGTTGCCTTTTTGAAAGCACTCATGGTGCTTCCTAAAACTACTGCAACAATATAAACCATCTAGCCATTTGGTCATTAGGTGAATGGTCACTTATTAGATACTGTACTGTCCTCGCTTGGGAGTTGTAGCTGTAAGCTATGAATGGATAACAGTTTTCAGTGAAACGGTGAGCACACACTTGTGTAATGAAGAAGATAATTTGTTCCGTAAGCTTTTCCATTAAGGCAAATTCCCCTTGATACCATTGATTGATGTCAGATTAACTTCCATTCACATCTCAAGGAGCGTGTTCTCTGTGACATGGAAGTGAATTGTGTATGATCCAGGACTTTGCGTGGATGCAAGGCACTGTCAGTGGTGTAAACTTATGCCGACAATAGCCAAATAGGTTTTTACAAAGGAGGATCAGTTGTGTGCGCCCTAGGCATGTTTTGTGACTGCCACAGGTCCAATTGCGACCACGTGGAGATCTCTGAATGCCAGGTTGGTGGCTGACGTCTGCATCTGGCTGGCCCCTCTAGCTTTCTTAAGCAGGTAAGCAGAAGAGCTTATTTATTGCATTTATATCTCACCTTTTTCTTCAAGAGTAAATGGTTCACCTCCATCAATCCCTACAGCGACCCTGTGAGGTAGATTAAGAGGCTGTGACTGGCTCAAGGTCACCCAGTGAACTTCATGACTGAGTAGGGAATTGAACCCTGATTTCCCAGATCCTAGTCCAACACTCTTAACAACACAACACTGCCTTTCTAGAGTCCTTTTGTGATGAGGCAGCTATATAAATTAAGTAGGTAAATAAATATGGAGCAAGCTAAATGTCATTTAGAGAAGAATCTGAAATATTTTCCTTGAAGCTTGAATTTGTTTTATTCTAGATTGTTTTATTATTTGATGTTTTAATGTGCTGTAAACCACTTTGAGGTTTTTTCTTTAAAATATAAATTGGCATAGAAAGGAAATAAACAACAATAATAAAATGCACTGGAGAAAAATTGGCACCTAGACATTTTGTGTGTGGTGACCATAACCCAGCTTTACGGTGCCATTTGGCAATTAGCTTATATATCTGAGTTTCTAACACTGAATGTGAACCTCCACATGAATCCTTGGGCCACCTCAAACCATACATTCACACCCCCAGGAGAGTGTTTGTGCATATTTTTGTAATTAATTGGCATGGGCCCATTTACTTGTCAGCCTTTTGTACTCAAAATAAAGTATTGGGTTGGTCCTAAATTGATGCCATCTCATCCTGGGTGCATGATTTGTGATAGCCCAAGTTTACTGTGACTATGTGAGGTGCACACCCCAGTTCCTAATTCTTTTTGACATGCTAGAGCTATGCAGTATTTTGCTTCCAAAGCGCTGGACCAGGCACAATTCACTCCTATGTCTCTCTCTCTTGGAGGTGAGGATATATAATTTGGGTGGCTTAATGATTATTTTGAGGTGCACACCTCAGTTACTAATTCCTTTCTACATATTTTAACTATAGTATAATATATTAGTTCACATTATTGAAACATGCCATAAATTTTACATAAGTTGTATGGATGTAGGTACCATGGTTTATGAGACCAGTTCTGTAGGTCAGCAGCTATTTTGGAAAGTGGCTCTCACAGACTTTTGCCAACCTGTAGATGATGTCATCTCAATTGTTTTCATTGCGAACGATGTCTGCTGTGCCCTCCAAGTAGATATTGCTGTCAGTAATGATTTTCCTATAGAATTCAATTACAAGGACAACAGGAACACAGCAAAGTGTTTCACTTGAACTACCTTGAACCATTTTCATTTGGCCTCTTCAGATTTGCTTACGATTTGATCTTGTTGGTGACTTTATTTCTGTCATACATCTCTTAATTCATTCTAATCCGAATCCTTGAACAGTTCCTCCTCTTGTGGATGATAGAAAAGCTGATGTTCAAGGACAAGAGCATTGTGCTCTCAATTTTTAAACTATGAACCCAGCAGTGAAATTTAGACTATGTAGCAATATTGCAGGGAAGGAAAGGTTGTGGGTTGAGAGAAATGGGAGAGATTGCCATTATCATACTTACTGTGATTGAGCCAGTTGTAAAGAAGAGTTGCATCAGTAGATAACTTGCATAAATTGCAGATGTCCCTATCAATGCAACTACAGGAAAAATATGAGTCATTGAATCAAAGTCTCTTGTAATAGAGTATACCTAAGGGCACTCCAGATTCCCTTAAAAGATATTGGGAAGTTAATGCTGTTAGTGCAGGATGTGGTTATAAATATGCTACTTGTAGGTTGACTCAGTAGGAGCTCCCTTAGCCCTTGGACTAACCCAACACATATCTTCTAAAATCAAGCAAGCAGGATGATACCATTGCAGGTTGAGAAATTTTTAATTGAGTAGTTATCTGCAAATTGTTGTAGGCAATTTCAGATCTTGGCAGGAATTTTCTAAATATATCTTACTCAGGATTATTAAAGGTAGATCTTATGTAATGTAAGGTAAACGACCATTTGTACTGTGATTTTTGACCGCAGAGCAAAAACTTCATTTTTGAGCCATCATGACACAGGTTTTATTGGGTTGCTCTGAAGTATGTTTACCTCTTGTATTAATCAGACGATACATATTAATTGTTGCTTAGCACTCATTATACATTTGGTCTCTTTTTTTTCCCGTTACATTACATGGTTCATCTTTGTGGCCCATATTGGAATTGAGCAAGTGGATTTATGGTTATGGAAATGGGTCTTACTGTGGATGCTTCCCTAGAAGGTGGGGTTGTTTACTGTACAGGCAGCTTACTCACTGGGAAACAGAAAAAGAATGTGCTCTGTTCATCAGTGTTCTGGAATTGAGAGCAGTAAACAATGCAGAGACGTACAGTTAACTGCAGGCAATTCCACCAGCAGATTATTACAGTAGATCAAAGTGAATACTATACACCACAGTGCAGGGAAGTGATAGCGATTGATTGACGTATCATCCTGAGGGAAGTGACTTTGTGACATCTGGTTGACCCATTCCGGTTCTTTTTTGTTAAGTCATCCTGGGGTGAAGTCTGTGCGTTAGGAAGGATGTTTCTTCAGTGCTTGTCTGTGCAACAGTGTTGTAATTTAACAAGCCTTCCTTTAACGTGCCTAAATCCTGTAATTTGATCTGAATCCCAAGTACATTCTGTAGACATAAGAATTCTAGAATATAACCACCATGGAGTAGTGGTTAGGGAACGTTAGGGCTAGGATGTGGGAGATCAAGGTTCAAATCCACACTTGGCAATGAGCCCCTCTCTGTGTCCATCCTTTTCTCACAGAGCTGTTGGAGGAAGGGGGTGGGATATAAATTAAATAAACACATTTATAAATATGTCATCCATATCCAAGCATCCATTGTGCCTACTGAATGTGTTTCTTTTCTATCTCTCCATTGGGTTGAACATATGTCTCCTGCACTTGCATTACTGAGTAAAGATCAGCTGACTACTTAGCAAATCTTCTAACACTCTGGTTAACTTTGTCCCTAGCAGCTGAATACCATATTTTTTGCTCTATAAGACTCGCTTTTTCCCTCCTAAAAAGTAAAGGGAAAGGTGTGTGCGTCTTATGGAGCGAATGCAGGCTGCGCAGCTATCCCAGAAGCCAGAACAGCAAGAGGGATTGCTGCTTTCACTGCGCAGCGATCCCTCTTGCTGTTCTGGCTTCTGAGATTCAGAATATTTTTTTCTTGTTTTCCTCCTCCAAAAACTAGGTGCGTCTTGTGGTCTGGTGCGTCTTATAGAGCGAAAAATACGGTACATGACAGACATGAAAGAAACAGTGAAAAGTCTCAGTCTTATGACTGTTGCTACTCACACCAAGGTATCCTGCGCCATTCAGTAGGAATGCATCGCTGTATCAATAATGTGCTTCAATAATTATGACTGCCCATATAGCCAGTGTTAGCAACTGAGATATGAAAGGTAGGAGCCAAATGGCACCTTAAACCTAGGTAATGGGCGCAACAAAGGAATGTCTAGGCACACTTTTTATAACAAGAATACAAAGCTGAAAATGAATGAACTGCAGTTAAAATATTATGTTCATTTTTTTACATGGTCCAGTCCTTCCCCTGCCCACTCCCCATATATTTTCAGGAGGGTCTCTTCTCCATTCTTCTGAGAGTAGCTGGAAGTGGGGAGGCAGAAAAAGGTCCTCCTTACCTTCCACTCTGCAGTTTTAATCTGAAATCTCAGGCGCAGTACTGCGACCAGAACTCAGAAACTGCTCACGCTAATGGAGTTCCCTGTCGCAAAATGCACCTAGAACCAATGGGATTTTCGAACAGTGCATATAGCATCTAATATATCTGCCAAGTTTCACCATGAGGCACATGACCTATTCACAACACTTAGGTTATGTGTACAAAACAGCACAGAAATAGGGTAAGGAGGCAAAGTTTGTGAAGTAAAGGTAAAACAGAACACTTCTCATCTTATGCAGTAGTCTGGTAGCTGACTGTTGTATTCAGAAGGCAGTGGCATGAATTTTAACGACCACTCTTTCCATCTTTTCCACTTAAAAATACTAGAAACATTGTGTACCTTGATGTACAAATGGTGTTCCTCTGTTGCAGCTTAGGAGCTGCTCACAATTCTTTGTGAACATATGAAGCTGTCTTTTTCTGAGTCCAGCTAGCTTAGTACTGTTCATTGGGTGACAGTGGTGCTCCAGAACAAGAGATTATTATTATTATTAAGTTTCTATGGTGCTGTGGTCTAAACCACTCAGCCTCTTTGGCTTGCTGATCAGAAGGTCGGCGGTTCGAATCCCCGCGACAGGGTGAGCTCCCGTTGCTCGGTCCCAGCTCCTGCCAACCTAGCAGTTCGAAAGCATGCCAGTGGGAGTAGATAAATAGGTACCGCTGCGACAGGAAGATGAATGGCGTTTCCATGCACTCTGGCACTCATCACGGTCCTCTGTGCGCCAGTAGTGGTTTAGTCATGCTGGCCACATGACCTGGAAATCTGTCTGTGGATAAACACTGGCTCCCTTGGCCTGAAAGCGAGATGAGCGCCACAACCCCATAGTTGCCTTTGACTGGACTTATCCATCCAGGGGCCCTTTACCTTTTTACCTTTACCTTTTACTGCCCTTCATTTGAGGATCACAGGGTGGTTTACAGTATATGAACACAAAAATATACAACATAACAAACAACGACGAGCCTCCCGGGGGAGAGTACATTCCACAAACAGAGAGCCACTTCAGAAAAGACACAAACTTGTGTTGCCGCCCTTCAGACCTCTCATGGATACACAAAGAAGGACCTCAAATGATTATCAACAGAGTCTGGGACAGTTCATATGGGGAAAAGCAGTCCTTGAGGTATTGTGGCTCTGAGCTGTTCCAGGCTTTATAGGTCACAACCAGCATATTGAATTGGGTCTGGAAACCCAATTGGCAGTCAGTACAGTTGGGCCAAGATTAGTGTTATGTGTTCAAGCCACCTTGCCCTGGTGAGCAAACTGGCTGCTTAATTCTGCACCAGCTGAAGTTTCCAGACTTTCAGAGGCAGCCGTCCACATATAACATGCCGCAACAATACATTAATGTCTGTTTCATTGCTGCTACCTTAGATACCAGGAATTTTAACTGGGAGATTTTTGCATCACCATCATCAAGCTTTCTTAGTTGCTTTACATGAGCATCTCAGAGCAATTTACAAATATAGTAAAATATGCAATGCCACTCGTGACAAGCAAGGGAAAAAGCAGAGCACAGTAATCAAATCATAAAACAATCATTCCAGCCCCTAACATAGGTCTTACCATAGCAGATGGCCAAAGTCAGATAGACGGAAAGATATCACCAACTGCTTCAAAGAAAGTTTAACACTTGGGAGAAGAAAATGTTGGTGCCGAGTGAGCTTCCCTGGGGAGACCATTCTGTGGATGGAGGCTGGTTCCTCATGATCACCCTCCAGACAACTGCCTGCCCCTCATTCTGACTTCAGGACATGGGCAGGCTCATATAAGGGCCGGGAAGGTATTGAGGTCCTGAGTCATCTAAGGCTTTATAGGTGAAGACTACTACTTGGTCATAGAGCTCTGAAGCCAGGCTATGCCCATCCATATTGGACCACCAACTGAAGCTGGTGGAAGGTGCTCCATGCCGTTTAGACCACTTGTGTCTCCACTGACAGTGATGTATCAAAGGGTTTATCTCTGCATCTGATCTTTCAGGGAAATGCAATACTAAAGTCGGCTGCATGCCACCTGTCCAGATCAAGGAACTGTTCTCTAACCATCTGTCTTGTCTGGATTGAGCCTCAGTTTTTGGCTGTCATCCAGTTCATTGCCACAACCAGACACCTGCTCAGCATGCGCTCTGCTACACCTGCTGAAGATTAAAATGGAGCCGTGTGTCACCAGCTTACCGATGACAACACACTCAAAAAGTCTGGGTGATCTCACCCAGCAGTTTCATGTATATTTAAATAGCATGGGGGATAAGACATGAACCCTGTGCAACGCCATACTGAAGGCTCCATAAGACCAGGCAAAAATCACCCAGGATCACCTTCTGAAGCTGGTTGCTCAAGTAGGAGCAGAACAACCACTCCCCTGTCTCTCTCCTGGCAAAGGTGGTCTCAGTGCAATAGCTTGAACCCTAGTTGAAATGGATCAGGATGGATAAAAATCAATGATTTTAAAAAATAAAAAATAAAAAAAATCAGATTTTTTTATTTAAATCAGATTTTTTTAAAAAAAAGAAATAAGAGTTTTTAAAATAAAATGCTTTTGGAGGAAAAAATCTTTCTTAAGTTAGTTTTCTATTTAAGTTACTGTACTTTTCCATGTATAACACGCCCCTTTGTATAAGATGCCCCCTATTTTGGGGGACTAAAATGAAGAAACTGGGGGGAGGGGAGGGAGGAATTACCCAGAGTTGTTGAGCTTTTTTTGGGAGGAAATCACTCACTCACCTGGTCGCCAACACTCACAGTAGCACATGCCACAAAAGCCGCCAGTAGCCACAACAACAGCCAATCAACAGCAACGCTTGCCACCAATCAAATCCACCCTGAAATGGATCCAGAAATTTGGCATGTGTTCCAGTAGCCCATCCCCTTCATAACTGGAGGCTAGACTGATAGGAACAGGGCATTTCCATTGATGGTGCTTTTCTTTGGATGACCCTCGCCAAGGAAGCTTAGGAGGTCATCTTTTCCCTTACTTTACAGTTATGAGGTTTCAGAAGGTGAGGTATGATTCTGTTTTAATAGAAGTGGGAGATGGTTTTTGTACTTGGTTCATTTTTGAAATTGGGGGTTTCATGGTAACTGCATTTTTGTAAGCTGCTATGGCACCCCATAGGTCATTTTGGCAGGTCTTAAATGCAAAAATATGCTTGCTGGTGCTTTGTGACTAGCATCTGGGGCTAGTCCCAGTTGTATTCCTCAGTCTGCCTGGTTTACAGCAGTTGTGTTGGCCCAAGGGATATGGGGTGGGTATAGTGGTGGGTCTTGCATACCTCATTTTTCCACTTGGAACCCTGTAGACTCATAATGGTGGTTTCTTCCCTGGAATTGTGGACACTTCTTTGCCTCTGCCACACACAATGCTCTCTTATCTGTCCTCTTCTGCTATGCTGTGCATCTGGTTTGCTGGTGCCTCCTGCCTAACCGTGGTGAAACTGTGTTATAGTGATGTGATGCTGCTTCATGCTTGCTGATTGAACGTAGCACAGCAGCTACCTATATTGCATGAGCAGAAGGAGGCTTACTTGCATAAACAGAAGGAGGCCTAGCTTGTTCACGTGTCACATTGCTAACATAATCCTGTTCCCTGCTATCTGAAAAGCTATTGTGCAAACAGCATTGCATATTTCTGCAAAGCTGTGTTCCACTGACTTGCTGTTTAGAGGTACCTCAAACCTTGGATAAAATTTTTGCTTCGTTATTTGTATTTCTTCCTTATTTGCTGGAACCTTGGGTGTAATGCGTAGAAAAACAAGAAGAATAAGCCCTGCTTGCTCACTTTTGTCACACCAGATTCTAACCCAAGTTAAAAACACACACAGCTTTCAGATGTTGGGGCTTTGCTGAAGCTCCAAAAGAAAGGATCAGCTCCTGTGAAGAATGAAGGTTCTCTAGAACTTGTTGCTTCCTCTGCCCACATACCAATCTTTCTTCAAGGCTGGTTGCTTTTAGGGAGTCAATAGGTGCTGAAGCATGTAAAACTCTATTTCTCTCTCTTTGATTGCTGTGTTCAACAAAGAATAGTTGGGAAGTGATATTCTTGTCATAGCTTCCATGACTTACTGCAAGACATCATATGGAAGCCTGACGTGGAAATGTCTCTGAGCGGTTGTTAACCCATATCCACAATGGTGAATATATCTCCAATGGACTTAAAATATTTTCACTGATGTCTAGCTTGTTTTCAGGCACAGTTCAGGGTTTGACAAATTACCTGATCCCACACCATTTATTGTAAAAACCGCTTTTTTAAATAAATAAAAAGCTGCCTGTTAGGTACAATATTAATTGGAGCGCTTCCTCTGATCGTCCCCTGCTTTGCAGATTAGGCAGGTTGCTACCAAAGAGAAGAACCCTTTCTGTGCTTTCCACATGAATTTGGAGCATCTGTCTTTTAGGTGACAGGGAAAGTCCTTCATGCTTGCCCATGCTTCTGGTAGGCTGCTAGTTTTTATTGCTGCTTTGACTGTTGCTAGCTTGGTTTTGCATCTTGAGCGCTATGCTTTTTCCTGACAGCTCATATGTCTTTAGCACTGATTTGAATGCTGTTTAAGGCGTTATTATGAATTTTGTGAGCTGTCCGAAATCCTGTAGCAGTAGCTGTGGAAAAGGGGTTATTAGAAGAAGACATAAGTATGATAAAGTGCATTGACCCAAGATTTATGCGAATTTCTGTGGCATGCAACACTTTGAGACTTTCTAGATTGAATTAATTCTTCAAAGAAGGGTATGTCCTTTGCTTTGTTAAGGCCATGGTACTAATCTTTGTTTCTGATGCATTTATTTTTCTTCCTTATGGGGTTGCAAACTTGTGCCATATTCTTTTTTTAAAAGAAACTCCAGTTTCGCTCAGTTACAGCAAAAGCAGTTTTGTGCAGTTGGCAAGCATAGGGATTGTCACACTGTGGACTAGCTGGGCCTGAGAGGGATTGCGGCCAGGGGCCCCTTTTCTCTGAAAATAAAATAAATGATCACAAGGATTTGGCACAGTGTCAAATAGTTCACTTACTTATTTATGAGATTCTTATCCGTCCCTTCATGTTAAGGTCCCAGGGGCAGGTTACAACAATATAATCAAACAATAAGAATGGTGTATACAATTACAAAAACAATTAAACCAATTCCAAGCGAAATGTAGCACAGTATAGGTTAAACAACACAGCAGAGGTTGCCTCCACGAAAAATGCTGTTAAAGATCATGGGATAAAGGGTTGCATTTCCAGCATATGGAGGAAGCTAGACAACAAGCTTAAAGATTTCAGTACCCCTTCACTAGGGCATTACATTCCCTGTGAAACAACCCATCAAGAAGAACAGAATGCAAAATGTGTGGCTTATACGAGTTCTTTCTGCTCTTTGCTGTGACAATGTGTAATTATGAGCTGGCTACAAATGTCTAGCTTGCTGAGTTCACCTCATCCAGGACAGTTGGTTCTCTCATATTTGGAAGTATATATTGGCTGCTGATATAAGCCCGGGTTGGATGATAGCTTAGCCATCCAGCTTCAGCTCCAAATATTGATTGGCAGTCTCTCTTCATTGTTAAATTCGGTATGATTTTTGAGGAAAGCCCTTGGTGCTTGGGAGAAGGGTGCAAAAGAAGGTGCTTGGCATGTGACAGGCACAGCGTCATGTCAGCCAGCCATCCCATGACAGTATCTTGTGCCTGCCTTGTCATACTGAAGGTGTACCACCTCATTGTGCACCCTTTACACCAGCCTTTCTCAACCTTGGGTCTCTCCATGTTGTTGGACTACAACTCCCATCATTCCTAGCCAGCAGGGCCAGTGGTCAGGGATGATGGGAGTTGTAGTTCAAGAACATCTGGGGATCCAGGTTTGAGAAAGGCTGCTTTACACTTAAGAGTATTTTTAACAATGGTAACAGGGGAGCATGACCATAGTATCTCTGAAGCAGGCATATATTTTTTTGCCAACAAGTACTGCAATTGAGATACTGCAATGCCATATTCTTATTTCGTTCTTGGTTAATCTTTGCCAGTGGATTCAATTGGCTGCTCCTGTGGCAGAGCAACATCCTGTCCTTTCCCTTGCACACTGTACTGCAGGGTCAGTTCACCAGGCCTTTTCAGGACAGCAGCATCTGTCATCAGCTTTCTTTGCTTTTCTAAGGCTTGCCGCTGGGACTCTGTTTCAGTTCTCTTTTGTCACTGGACAGGCTGACACAATTTCCACTGAATGAGGACAAAACCTAGATGGAAGCTTTATCCTTACTACCGGGGTGGATACACACACACACACACACACACACACACACTTTTTTTTTTTGCAATTTTAGTGATCCCAGGTGTCAGCCTTTCAAAGTAACTGAAATGTCAATATAATATAAACATGCTTCATTTTCTACTTCATTCTTAAAGCTTAGTTTATGACTCTGTCAAACGTGCCTCTATCATTCAGTGCGTGAGCGAGAGAAGCATTTATTTTATTTTAAAGCATTGATCATTAGGAACATAGGTAGTTGAGCGTGAGCATGCAGACTAGCAGGGTGAATTGCCTGCCTGGCATGAAGATTGCGCATGTTGCCCATCACCAAGTTAGCAAGGGAGATCGTGCTGGGGCAAAGTCCGTACTTGGGGGCACATTCACACTAATGATAAGGGTAAATGCAGTTGCAAGGTCCTGGAAGCCAAATTTAGGTTGCTAGGTAGAATGCTGAAAGCCAGAACCTCCAAGGTATGCATGGATGAGACAGTGGGAGGAGGGGTTTGGATTTATTAGTCACTGGGGAACATTCTGGGGCAAGACAGGCCTGTACAAAAGTGATAGACTCCACTTGAACTGGGCTGGGATCAGACTGTTGGCATTTAAAATAAAATAGGTGGCATAGCAGCGTTTAAACTGATTCGCAGCGAAAGGCAATGGGGCCTGAGGGATGAAGATGATAAACGGGTGAATATTTAAATGGGGTGGCAGCGAACTCAGCACTGTGAGTGCCGGGGCGCAGGACAGCAATTCAGAGAAGCCAAAGCACCGCAAATCAAAATGCAAGCACCAAAGACACTTCAAGAGAGAGACTCTGTGCAAGTGTTTATATGCTAATGGTAGAAGCTCCCAAGCCAAGATGGGTGAACTGTAGTTCTTGGTTTTAAAAGGTGGCATTGATATAGTTGGTATTACAGAAGCCTGGTGGAGCAGAGAGAACCAGTGGGAGACAGATATCTCTGGATGTAAACTCTACAGGAAGGGCAGAGAAGGACATGTTGCTCTGTACATCCTCATCCTCAGGAGAGGTTTTTTGGGGAGTGTTGAAAGACAGTAGGAAAGTCAGTGTATGTGAGCTTTTCTCTGGATCCAACTCAATATCTTTTCAACAACTTTTTCAATTGTGCTTTGACTGATTGTGACCAGGTATTCTTGCTTTAAAAAACAAAACAAAATAAAATAAAAGTATCATGAGTTCATTGATCGACTGGTGCAAGGATTGCTCTTTAAATGTTCTTGAAGCATTTCTTGAAAGTATCTCAGTAACCAACAGGCAGAAGGACTGTGGTCTACTTTCTGCCACCCCTGATTCTGAGTTACTTTTAAATTGACTCTGATAGTCTTGTGTGCATTTATTGTTGTGAGTGTTACATGTCATTCCGCAGTATCATCGGTTGATTATAACCACATGTAAATCTGTCATGTTTTATCCTCAAAAAATTATCTTTTACAGGAGAGGTCATCGCAGCTTTAACACTACTGAAGCAAAATATGGAATGGGTTTCACTGGTGACTGAATCCAGCCAAACAAACAGTATTGACAGTAGCTTGAAAATCACCAGTTAGCAGTTTCTTCACGCTCCAACACTGCACAGCACTTTCCAGAGAGAACTCATTGTGTGCAAGAAATCTGCTTTACAAATCTGTCCTGGTACCCTACAGCTTTGTCTGGTTAAACACTTACAGAAGGCGAAAGAGAACCCGGAGAAACATGGAGGAATACCTGTGGATGGTTATTGTCGGTTTTATAATTGCTTTTATTTTGGCATTCTCAGTTGGGGCAAATGATGTTGCCAATTCTTTTGGTACTGCCGTGGGTTCTGGTGTGGTTACTTTGCGCCAGGCCTGCATTCTTGCTTCAATTTTTGAAACGACTGGCTCAGTGTTACTAGGAGCAAAAGTAGGCGAAACGATTCGTAAAGGTATCATTGATGTGAACCTATACAACAGCACTGTGGAACTACTGATGGCAGGAGAAGTCAGCGCAATGGTTGGTGAGTAACTTTCGTTTTATATTCAATGTCAGTTTCTTCAAGCAGTTTTGTGCTTTTCCAGTCCTGCTAAGAAATGTGACCAAAGCCTTTTGACAAACAGTAATACAACAGCTTGAGTCTTGGACGCTAATATTTCTGAATGTGCAAATTTGCCTTTCGCTATTGTTAGGAACTGCCAGGGTTGATGTAGAATCTACCCTATATAGATGTTTCACTGCTGAACTCTCAACCATGCTTAAGAATCTGGGACCTGGTGATCCCTCTCATCCCCTGTACAAATTCCACCAGCTCCCCCCCCATTGGTACCACAAATGACTGAAGATTATCCTAACCAAGTTGATCTTAAACAGAATATCAAATGAGGGTTTAGAGATAACTAAAAGAATCTGGTTAGCGTTGGCTACAAATATAATCAGTGCTTTCATGGTGAGAGAGAACTTTCATGCCCTTTGCTTCTTCTTTACAGTGGTGCCTCGCAAGACGAAATTAATCCGTTCTGCGAGTCTCTTCGTCTTGCGGTTTTTTCGTCTTGCGAAGCACGGCTATTAGCGGCTATTAGCGGCTTAGTGGCTTAGCGGCTTAGCGGCTTTAAGAAAAAGGAAACAAACTCGCAAGAACTCGCAAGACGTTTCGTCTTGTGAAGCAAGCCCATAGGGAAATTCGTCTTGCGGAACGACTCAAAAAATGCAAAACCCTTTCATCTAGCGAGTTTTTCGTCTTGCGAGGCATTCGTCTTGCGGGGCACCACTGTATTAACCAAGTTTAAAGAATTGAGGATACTAACATCTGCTTCAGTTCTTAGTAAGGCTGCTAGCCTTTTATTACTCCAGTAGAAATATACCATGTGCATTGTACTGCATATAACACCAAACTATTAAAATAAATGCTTGTGTTTATTTTGACATGGGTGTTAAAATTGTGTGCAAGAACAGAGAAAGATGACACGATTGTGCAGTTTTAAAAAGGATGATCTTAATAGGATGACAGAACAGGTTTTTTGGTAGCGCCTCCCCCCCCCCCCCCAATCCAAAATAAAGCTCAGGAGCAAAAGAATTTCCATAGCTTGTGGTTTCACTGGCTAATGCCACTTTGGAGATATGTGATGTTCCAACAAAATACATGAAGGGAAAGAGTGAAGAATAGAAGGAGTTGGATAAGTCTAACCATCACTTCTCTGGGCTGGCTAAAAATAAATTAATGGCTCCCACTTCCACAGAAAAAAAAAATCTCATCTGCTCTGAAAAAATAAGATGATTGATCAGTGTGCTGCAGCGTCATTTGCTCTTCTTTAAACTTCTAGCTGTTTCGTTTGCATTTATAACCAGACAGTATGGCAAGTTTCAGGGACGCGGGTGGCGCTGTGGGTAAAACCTCAGCGCCTAGGATTTGCCGATCGCATGGTCGGCGGTTCGAATCCCCGCGGCGGGGTGAGCTCCCGTTGCTCGGTCCCAGCGCCTGCCAACCTAGCAGTTCGAAAGCACCCCCGGGTGCAAGTAGATAAATCGGGACCGCTCCGACGGGAAGGTAAATGGCGTTTCCGTGCGCTGCTCTGGTTCGCCATAAGCGGCTTAGTCATGCTGGCCACATGACCCGGAAACTGTACGCCGGTTCCCTCGGCCAGTAAAGCGAGATGAGCGCACAACCCCAGAGTCGGCTATGACTGGACCTAATGGTCAGGGGTCCCTTTACCTTTACCTTTTTAACCACCCCTTACAGGGACGCGGGTGGCACTGTGGGTTAAACCACAGAGCCTAGGGCTTGTTAATGAGAAGGTCGGCGGTTCGAATCGCCGCGACAGGGTGAGCTCCCGTTGCTCGGTCCCAACGCCTGCCAACCTAGCAGTTCGAAAGCACCCCCGGGTGCAAGTAGATAAATAGGGACTGCTTACCAGCGGGAAGGTAAACAGTGTTTCCGTGTGCTGCGCTGGCTCGCCAGATGCAGCTTGTCACGCTGGCCACGTGACCCGGAAGTGTCTGCGGACAGCGCTGGCTCCCAGCCTCTAGAGTGAGATGAGCGCACAACCCTAGAGTCTGTCAAGACTGGCCCGTATGGGCAGGGGTACCTTTACCTTTACCTTTTTATGGCAAGTTTGTATGTTAATTATGCACACTTGATTGAAAAGTCCATTAGAGCCAGTGTGGTGTAGTGGTTAAGAGTGGTAGTCTTGTAATCTGGGGAACCGGGTTCGCGTCTCCGCTCCTCCACATGCAGCTGCTGGGTGACCTTGGGCTAGTCACATTTCTTTGAAGTCTCTCAGCCCCACTCACCTCACAGAGTGTTTGTTGTGGGGGAGGAAGGGAAAGGAGAATGTTAGCCGCTTTGAGACTCCTTAAAGGGAGTGAAAGGCGGGATATCAAATCCAAACTCTTCTTCTTCTTCTAGATCCTACTCTTTGTCCCTGGGATCTAGTGTCAGTTCTTGTATACACTCTAGAAATCAAAGGCCTAACTAATATCGGATGATCATATACCAGCTTATTAAGCCGAGATATGTGGGTCTTTTGCCCACACAGGTAGCCCCTTTGCTCAAACTATAGAAAAACCAAGAAGCTTCTGTTATCTATAGTTTGCTGTTTTGTCTGAAATGAGAATCTTTGTGTTACTAGTTTCAGAACACGTCAAGATAAACCACTGTTTGAAGTTGGTTTTACTATCCTGGCTTGTTCTGAAGCTGGGACCCATATTTTCCCAGTTCAGATGAAATGAGGAGCTATTGCTACTAAAAGACTTGTGCACATTTCTGCTTAGGAAGCTGAAGTAATATTCATCTGAACTGGCTCATTGGTTTGCATATGTAAATCCTTATCAGGATTGGCTCCCACTGTGTCTGGGATCACAGTTTCACTGGTTATTAGGATGTTCTCACCCTCCCTTCTCCTGCTAGTCAGATGTCACATCCTCTTGACTCCTTGCTGTGCGCAGAGAATGCCAAAATGAACACCGGGATATAGTTTTTGAGAGCTGCTGTCACGCGGGATGATACGCTTTCTGTCTCTCAAACTGCAAGCCCTAGATTCTTCAGTACAAGTGCATTTTTTCTCTTCCTGTTTATAGAGAAGACCTTGTGCTGGCAGCTAACTGTCAATATTGCTTGCTCTGCTTCTGATTGGCTCCAACAAATCTCACAAGATTATGGACACCTGACATAGATGCAGGGAAATAATATTGCCTAAGCCTTCCAGAGTGGCTGGGGCAGCTCAGTCAGATGGGTGGGGTACAAGTAATAAATTATTATCATCATCATCATCATCATCATCATCATTATTATTGAAAAAGAGGTGCCAAAACTCACCATGAATGCCTCTCTTGTTCTTTTATAATGGCAGTGGCGCCCACCTGAGAGCTGAGTTCTGACTGAAAACAAGCCCTGGCTACACCACACTCAATAGCACATGCACATAATAACTAGTGAAACTGTGATCCTGGGCAGTGTGGATGGAGGTCCTGGACTGCCCAGACAACAAGACCCCCCTCTCAGCCTTGCTGATGTGGTCCAAAGGAAAGCAGAGCAATACGTTTGACACCTGCTTGGCTGCAGGAGTTGTCGGAATGAGGCGTACAACGTGCCATCCAACTATCTTAGGGACTCCACACCTGATTGGTGTAGGGTTTACTCCTTAGCCTTTTCTTCTCCTGAAGATATCCCACAAGGCAGCGGAGGTTGAGGATCAGATTTTTCCTTCTCCTAGATGGGCTCTTAGGTTGACGAGCCCCATCTGCCCCTCACTTCCCTCTACAGCATGTTCAGAAACCACCTTCTTGACCTTTGGGCCTGCTATTGGTCTTGTCCGCTCAATCCACTGGAGCCTGTCTTTGCATGCAGGGGAAGTCCCTAACTCACCAAGGGTTTAAGACCCATCAGCTATCCTCACCTGGCTTGCTGGCCAGTTGAAGCCATCCCCAGGGTGTGGCCACATACTGACAGCTTCTAAGAGCCACAGGTGAGAGGTGAGTGCAGGGTGCGGACCAAAGCGGGACAAACTACCCCAGAAGGATCACAATGTGTCCCTCACCTGAGGGTACCAACCCATGCCAGAAAAACTTGAAGTGTCGTTTTCGGGAAAGTGAGTTTCTGCCCTGTTGTTCAGATTCCCTTTCCCTGCACTTTCCATTGGGGGAATCCTGCACATTTTACTGGTAGGCTGAGGGGGCAGGGCATATGACCACACCATTTTCTGTCCCCTGTCAGTATCAGGTTGATTGTGTCTCCCACTCCGTGATCCATGTGCAAAGCTTCTCCCCTCAATGAGCCTCTTTTGCACTCTTCTCCAGCTTCACCGTTCCCCTGGAACTTGGCAGAAGTAGCTTTAAGAGCCTTTGCAACTGCAGTCTCCAGCCCTGACCCTACAAATATGTTCCAAATACCACCCAGTTGGCCAGATTCTGCAGATTTTCAAGGATCAAGTTTTGTTTTGTGAGCTGGTTAGGTAGAAACGCTGGAATGGATTTTTGTGTGGTGTTGAAAACAAATAAAAAACCAAAAAACCAAATTCCTAGACTGAGTACGGGTGCATAAGCACCACATTCCTCCATCCTAAGTGTGTAGCAAGAAAACAGGGTGGAGTGGGTGGAGAAAGAATTGTGAACAAAAATTGCATAGTTTCTAAGAAAGTTGAAAGGGGCTGTGTCTAGTTTCAACACAGAATTTTGGGGCTTGTGTGTGCGCAAGATGTACAGTCACCTACTAGTCCTAGCCCTTAATTTCAAACGTGAGCGGCTGTTGGAGACTGCAGTTTCTCATTAATACTTGGAGGAAAATGCAATCTGCACATGCTCAGAGCCTGAGTTCAGCTCATTTCTGATGGTCACCTCTTGGTCACCATAGGCAACCAAATGAGTAATTACTTACTTATTTTCTCTACTTTTAAAAAAATAACTAGATAATCCTGATATTTTATTAGGATTGGAGTACAGGAGATCCAACCAGTCAGACATTGTTGTTTGGCCACTTTGTTGAGTATGACCTGGTTCTCACATCCCTGTATTGGGAAGTTTTTAACGTTTGATGTTTTGTTGTGTTTTTATTATGGTGGAGTAACTGGGGCAATCCAGTCAGATGGGTTAGCTGTAAGTAATTTATTACTGTATTATTATTATTAAGCATGCTGGTGGTGCACACTGTTGAAATTGTGGGCACTTTGCTCTATTCGTCCTGCTGCTGCGCTGCTAATAATAAAGTAATGGTATGACTTGTGCTGTCTGAACCTGATACGTTTCTCTCCAAATAAACCACAAAGAACAAATCCTGACTTACGCTCCAGGTTTGAAGGAAAATGAACTATGAGATTGAGTTTGGGTTACATAACAAGCTAGACTATAGCTTTTTTACATTAAACCACAGTTTATTTTAACTATGGCTTATTGTGATGTACGAACCAGGTCTATGTGTAGATTTGGTCTCAGATATTCTGTGAATACAAAAATGCTCCTTTTCATTGTTTCAGAACCTTGTAAAAGGCAATGAGTGCACACATGCAGATATATTCTGCCCCCCCCCCGCACTACAATGATCATTCAAATGCCCAACACAAGCATCTCTAACTGGAAATACAGAGGAGTCTGAATGTCAGAGGCATGCAGTTTGTTTATGGTTGAAATATTGAATAATATTGGAAACACTTTCTGTCATTCTGGCCAGGTGACAATTTAAGGTGCACTTGGGTTTGTCATTGTCCTGTTCTCGTGAAGAGAACTGCCCATCTCATCTCAAGGCAGCATGTGGATTATTTGAAAGAAAGGCAGAGCTGAGTCAATGTTGCATAGCTGAGCACAAGCAAATCTGCACTCATAACAGCAGTAAATATTTTCTACCTAGTTTCAGCTTCGCTGCATGTATGAGATCCACAATTTTTTAGCGCCTGATTCATTGAAGAATCTAAGATCTGTGGCTTCCAAGGGGAACTTTTAAACCAGTCCATCCATGTGTCTCCCTTTTGGAATGCATTCCTCTTGTAGGGCTCAGGGTTGCTTAGTTAGGCTATTCTTAGCCTAAAACAAGTCAATCAGAGGCCTAAATTACGCAGCAGGTGGCTTCACTTTGTGGCTTGGAAGGTAGGCCTCAGCTAGGAATAGAAAAGTCAGCAGTTTACGAATGGAGCGCCAGGAAAGAATTAGTTTTATTCATTGGCTTCCTAAAGGAAGTTGTATGTGGTGCTAATGGCTGGCTCTTAAAAGCAGAATAGATAGGTTCTTCTGGAAGGGAAATTGGGTAAGAGCTTTACCGCTTATAAAGTAATAAATCTTGCTCTGCGCTGTACATGTAATGGCAGCTTGCACTGTGCCGCTTTGTGGAGAATTAATTTGGCAAGCCTCAGCGGGAACTTCATTAGGAACCGGACGCTGAGGGCCTCACACTTTGAAGCTGGCACCTACGTCTTCAGGTGCTTGACAGTCCTGCCTGGTCTGTTAAAGCACAACTTCAGCTTCAGCTTCCCATACATATATTTTAGCTTGCCTAGCGCTTGACAAACCTCCTGTTCCTACACTCCTGGGCATGCAGCAAACAAGAGCTTCACCATTCTAGCTGGTGGGCTGTGTTCATCTTGGTAGGTCATAAACTGTGAGGGGTTTTTTATCATTTGCATCTACTATTATTAATGTCTGAGGGGCATGTGGCAAAATTAAAGGGTAAAGGGGACCCCTGACCATTAGGTCCAGTCGTGACCGACTCTGGGGTTGCGGCGCTCATCTCGCTTTATTGGCCGGGGGAGCCGGTGTTTGTCTGCAGACAGCTTCCGGGTCATGTGGCCAGCATGACTAAGCTGCTTCTGGCGAACCAGAGCAGCGCACGGAAAGGCCGTTTACCTTCCCGCCAGATCGGTACCTATTTATCTACTTGCACTTTGATGTGCTTTCGAACTGCTAGGTTGGCAGGAGTGGCAAGATTGGGGTGTGTATATTTTTCAATATATTGTGGCATTCTATGATTTTTGGGGGGTGGGGGTGCTATAGATCATAAATTATATCTTGTAAAAATACAATCTCCCAGGAAGCTAACATCTGGACCAATATCCTCTTGTTTAAAGAGCACGACTCCAGCATACCTTCGTGCCCTTTTAACAGACTGGTAAATTTTCCACTCCAGGTTTTATGCACTCTGATGCTCTTGACAGGGATGATGCAGAGCTAGTACTGAGAGGAATGGATAAATCTTACTAATAAAGCAGTTTTCCTGGCTAAATTTCTGAAAAGTTCAGTTATATAGTCCGAATTATTAACATCTCTCCAGCTAAAGGTACTTTGGTGCCAAAGGAGAACTTGACACATTAAAAAAAGCCCCCCAAAACTTTGGTTTGAATCTAATGGGGAATATAAATTTTGTGTTCTTTTAAAAATTAAATAGCAAGTGAAAATATAAAATTACATGAAATCGTTTTCCATTTTCTTTGTCTGTGCATATTTTCAAAACAGAACAAATAAAGATTGTTAAGATTTTAGACGGCTGTTGGCAACTTCACCAGTTTTGATAGCTTGCTCTTTTTCTAAAGGACTTGTGCGTATTCCTTCACTTGCAAGACTATCCAGGCACCTTAGAATTCTACTAGTCCAGGTTTCTAAATTGCTATTCCTTGTCCTGTTTTGGAGATTGAAAGCTTAGAATGTAGTGAAGAGGAGGTGAATGGATAGGCTGCAAATGACAGTGTAGCAAAAAAACCATTATTCTACTGCAGTACTGGGCTAACATGCGTTAAATAGGGCAGAGGTTCATTAAGGCAAAAGGTTCATTGTGGCCTTTATGCAGTTTAAATCTATTAGGAATACGATTTGTAGTGCAAAATAAATAGAAGCAGTGTTGGAGAAAGCTTGTACTTGAGCTCTGTAATCCTTTCCAGAAATGTTTTGTGTCCGTCTACGAGCAAAAATATGCCGAAAGGCTGGGTTGGTGTTCCCTCAAACAAGAATGCTAACATAACTGTTTGGCCATTAATGTTTATACTAATTATTTTGTCCCCGTTTTAACTTTTAGGCTCTGCTGTTTGGCAGCTGATAGCATCGTTCTTGAAGCTCCCGATCTCTGGAACTCACTGCATTGTCGGTGCCACTATTGGATTCTCATTAGTTGCAATCGGCACAAAAGGAGTTCAATGGATGGAGCTTGTCAAGATTGGTAATTGACATTTCCTTTTATTTGTGAAGGTTTGTGTACAAACATGCATTGACTGAAACTGGCATTATAGAAACACGATCGTACAATTTTGCTATACTTTTGTTTGGGAACTATAGCCAAATGATTTTGCAAAGCTTAGTTTGATATCCTGGTTTGGAGGGCTTCCTGGCCAGTGTAATTGGCCAGTTTGGACATAATAGCAAATTACCGTATTTTTTTCTCTGTAAGACTCACTTTTTCTCTCCTAAAAAGTAAGGGGAAATGTGTGTGCATCTTATGGAGCGAATGCAGGCTGTGCAGCTATCCCAGAAGCCAGTACAGCAAGAGGGATTGCTGCTTTCACTGAGCAGCGATCCCTCTTGCTGTTCCGGCTTCTGAGATTCAGAATATTTTTTTTCTTGTTTTCTTCCTCCAAAAACTAGGTGCGTCTTGTGGTCTGGTGCATCTTATAGAGCGAAAAATACGGTACAATTTTATTAGATCCAGAATAAACGTATTAGGGAAAGAGGTTGAGCTCATGGCAGTCTCTGTTTCTGTAGTATGATGACATTCTTTCACAACAAAGGGTTGGGCATGACAAAAGAAAAAAGAAAAAAAGTTTTATCTCTGGAAATGACAAACACTATCTCACATGTCCTGGGTATGACTTCTAGAGCAGATTTGGAGATCTCCCCTGATTCTTCCCATTCCTGTAATCCTAGTTAACCCTAATTCAGATGCCTGAAGTAGAATCCCTCTTCAAGTCATGGTTTTACAGCATAGTTTCAAGCAGTCCTGATACCACAGTATCTGAACTGAGGTTAATTATGGTTAAACCTTATCATATCACAGAAGGGAGGAAGAAGCATGCAAGTGCCCCAAAGTCCATTTTGGAAATCAGGTTCCGTGAAGTCTGAACTGAGCTCATGTGCACTTTAAATACTGACATGGAGAGAGATAGCAGAGCTGTTATGGCTGCTTTCCTGGGACCACTGGAAGTCAAGCTCTGGTTTCACGTCTGTTTTATTTCTCGGTTTTTAAATCCATGCCAAAGTTATGTGAGAATTGATAGCTTTACATTTCTAATTAAAGTGATCACAGTTAATATTTCAAAGCTTAATGTGCTGTGCATGCTTGTTGGGGACATGCACATTTCTTAAGCCCTCCAGAGCTGCAAGCCATCTGACCTAAAGTAGAATTTCTTTATTTTTAATTCAGTGTATTTGTGCTGAAAAATAGCACAAATTTAAATGACATCTGAAGCTGTGGTGTTCCAAAGTACTCTGTGTTGGTGTTAGACCATCATTAGAGGCATAACCATGGGTTTTCCTGCTGTGTTCAGTAGAATGTTCTTTGTATTTTAAAAGACATATAGGACAGGCATGAGAGCAATCATTCTTAAAAACTTGAGTTTTTCTTACGAATTAAAATTTTGTAACTCCCTTGTGTAGTTTGGGACTTGCAAAAATGCTCAATTCTCTCTTAAATGCCAATGTTATCTATAGAGTATCCAGTACTGAGTTGAATGATTTTTCTATCATCACTGTCTCGTTTCTATAGATTTTTATTTTTCAAATAATGGGTGAGTGGGTGAGGAGATGCAATTTTTACGTTCACTTTAACAGCTGGTAAGCCTTTCAGGGAAAAATATGCTAAATATCCAGCTAAAAATATTCCATTCTCATGCAATTTCGCACAAAACACATTGAAATCAATGAGACTTAAACATGCCTAATCTCAGGAGGACTGTGAGTTGGCGCACACTTTTTTCTTCTAACCTGTAAGCCAACTTTTTTGCAGTATCCAGGATCAATAAAAAATAAACGTGCATTGTCAAAAGCTTATAATATTTTTATTGGATAGGATTTTAGCACAGTTGTAAATTATATATTTTCAGTTTTTTCTTCTTGTTTTGCTTTTATTCAGTTGCTTCTTGGTTTATCTCCCCATTGTTATCTGGTATGATGTCTGGTGTGCTGTTTCTGCTGATTAGATTCTTCATCTTAAATAAGGTTAGTGGCGAAATTTGTGCTTCCTGTTTTTGTTGCCGGTAAGACTGTAATGTAAGTGACAAATAGGCTTTGCTGTTCTTCACCGCCAGCTACCCACCACATACTCAAAATGCACTCCAGAGGCTGTCATATGCCCTATTCCCTTAGTAATCTCAGTGCCTGTAGATTTTCTTTAAAGTCTGCAGAAGGTACATTTACTTATTCAAGTTTCAAAGTTCATGAATGCTAAGTTCATCTTGAAATGGCTTGATATTCATACAAGTTGTGAGTTCCTACGGTTCCATTGGGTTCTAGTGTTCCACCAAAAATGGAAGTCAAGGTGTTAGTGTGTAAATGAGGCTGGATTTTTACTAATGGTTCTTATTGGGTTATGAGGATCAAAGTAAACAGGCTGCGGTGTGGTACACAGGTGATAGGCGGCAAAACCTGCCCCAGGCAGTGGAGTCGCCCCAAGGAGATTTAGCCCTCATTTTATTTTGTTCCCCATTTTATTTACTCCCATGTAATCAAATCACTCTGTTCACTTATTTCAGGGAACAGTAAAGGGTTTTTTTTGTGGGGGCAGAACCCATTTGCTACCCCAATATTGCTTCAGCCTCCACTAAGTGGTACTGTTTGTGATGTGTCACTGTGCACAGAGATGCATTCCTACACATAACATGCATCTTCCCAGTAAACGGGCCCACCCCCCCATACATCACCTGCCACAGTCACTAGCATTTTCTAATGTCATTGTTTTTGGGTTTTTCCCGATTTTTTTTTTATTGCTTTTCAACATTTATCACAAAATAACATGGCAAATTAAAGGGACGCGGGTGGCACTGTGGGTAAAACCTCAGCGCCTAGGACTTGCCGATCGCATGGTCGGCGGTTCGAATCCCTGCGGCGGGGTGAGCTCCCATCGTTCGGTCCTAGCTCCTGCCCACCTAGCAGTTCGAAAGCACCCTTAAGTGCAAGTAGATAAATAGGTACCGCTTTATAGCGGGAAGGTAAACGGCCTTCCCGTGTGCTGCTCTGGTTCGCCACGTGACCCGGAAGTGTCTGCGGACAGCGCTGGCTCCCGGCCTCTTAAGCGAGATGAGCGCACAGCCCTAGAGTCTGTCAAGACTGGCCCGTACGGGCAGGGGTACCTTTACCTTTACCTAACATGACAAATTACACAACAAAGAAAAAACACACACACCACGCTATAATAAACTAAACACACAAGAAAAAAAGATTGTCTCTTCAAATATCCAACTTTCATCACATTGATGACTGACTTCCTTGAATTCCCTCTAACTGAATTTCATTATATCACCTTTATAACAGTTCTCCAAGTTCATATTTCTAATAATATTAACTCCTCTCATTTACTAACCTCTTTTCCTTTATTAATATTCTAATCCATAATATTTACTACCACGTATCCTTATTCTACCCCTAAGCCTATTTGTCACTTCCAAGGATTTTCTATTTATCTAATGTCATTGTTAAAATGGGTTTTGAGATGGCTGCCCCGTTGTTTTGCCTTTTGAAATTTAAATTGTTCAGCGGCAGTAAAGACACCCAGGACACAGTTTTAATCAGATACACCATTTGTTCAAAGAGCAAAATTATTTTTGCCGTAAGTTTAGTAAATGGTTAAAATATTGAGCTCCCATCGTGTAAGGTTCTCAGGAAAGATGCAGACATTTTGTAAAGCCCTAAAGGGACTCAAATCAGTCATGAGGTTTCAGTAGCCTGTGTTAAGGACATCGGCACTCAAGTGATAAATTCATGGGTTCTAATTATGGAATTTGAATTTGCCTGAAAGCCAATGGCGTTTTGAAATTAGAGAGTGACATGCATAAGTCAAACTGACAGTAGGTTGCATGTCTGGCCCTCTTCTGGACTAGATCTGTCCCCAGAAGCAAATGTATGGGAGGAGAGCTGAAAGAAAACACATCATTTTGCTTCTTACTCCCACTGATCATGAGTTGCCATTTCTCACTTTCCCAGTTCCTTTTTTCTTATTTTAATATTGTAGAGAGCTAACAAGGACTCTGGAATAACTCTAAAACTGAAACGTAATACACAGCTACAAGCTGTAGAGGATAACTAATATATGCCACTGTTTGTGCACGGCTTCTCTCTGTTGACTAAATAAAGAAAAGTTTATCAACTGCACCTACAGTTCAGAGTCTGAAACCGTTCTATTTGTTGCTGAGTTGCTTTAGGTGTGGGCATCTGTCTAGCAGCGTTGAAGCATCCAGAGATCAGTGTGTGCTTTCAGCACTGAAATGCAACCCATTTTAGTGGAACACTGCTACAATACCTGTAAAACATTCCTCTCCCCTTTCAAATTGCCAAAGCTTCAGAATAAGAGGCTGTGAAACTGTAAACAGAAATTATCCACTCAGTAAATCAAAACAAAGGATTGCAACCTCTTTCTGTAACCCTGATCTGATTGCTTGTGATATCCACAACTTTGATGTCCTGTAACATTTTTTGTCAATAGCTACTTATACCCACACAAAGTCCCTATTCCAAAAAGTTGCTTCCAACCTTTAGAAATGCCGGTGAAAATCTTACTATATTACTAGAAGCTGTGCCACATTCTCTGCATTTGCCAGCTCCCCTGTCACTTTTTCTCGCTCTGCTCAAACCTCTGCCATTGTTTAAAATCACTACCCCCAATTTCCTTTGTTCAAACTTCTGCAGTTGTTTAAAAACCTGTCCTCTCTTTTGCTCTCTGCCATCATGACTTCATTCAAATTGAGGGTTGTGATGATAACAGGCATCACCCCACTCATGCACGATCATGTATGTCCACGATGCTGGGAAACAACCAGCCAAACAAATAAATAAATTCAAACCAAGAAACGACGGGAGAGGCCTCGTGGCTCGCAAGGAGACCCTCTCCAGAGCCCAAAGAGGATTTCCGTGAGGGCGGAGGCAGTCCCAAAGAGACTGGAGGCGCAGCAGGGCTTTTGTTTCCACTGCTCAGCCTCCCCGCCTAGCAGCTGACACGTGCGGTAGCGCAGCAGCAGTGGCTGCTTTTCTGCACATTCTTCAGACTCCAGGTGGCTCTGGATCTTCAATTCTAGTTGAAGTGAAAGTTGTGTAGAGAGAGAGAGCTGAAGAGTAGGAAGAGGCTTTTAAGAGGGTGCTTCCCACTTACGCAATTTCTACTTACGCGCACGGGGCCCTGGAACGTAACCCCCACATAAGTGGGGCGGGGGACGCCTGTACACCACAAACCCTCCAGTGAAGGCTGATTGTTGATAGCCTTGCATTTTCATGTATATAGGGAGGCAACATTAAGTGTTTATTTCAAAGCCCCTCGAGGTTTAAAGTTTCAGTGCAATTAATTTTTAAATGGAGACTTCATATGGTGGACAGATCCAGTATTCAGTGACTGTGCTCACCCATGAGGAGCTAAACAACGTTTTCTCCCATGGTTCATTTCATTGGAACCTGTGGTTAATCTTAACTGCGGCTGGAATGAAACAAGCCAACTTCAATTGGAATAAAAAATACGTCTCTTTTAGGAGCACAGGGAACCACTATACTGAGTCAGACCATTAGGTATTGAACCTGATACGTTCTTCATGCAAACAGATACTCTGCCAATGAGCTTATGGTCCTTCCCTTAGGGCTATTTTGCTTGCTTGCTTGCTTGAACTTCCAGTTAAACAAATTCATTAAAAAGAGAGGTGGTTTCCTGGCAGCCTGTGTTTTTACCATCAAACCTGGAGGAAAGCAAGGGATAGCATGGTGCATGTAGGGATACTGAAATTTCTTGGAGACCAGCCCCGGAGAAGCATTTATTCTTTGTGGTTCCACTCCTCCCAGCAATTACTGCATAAGGACAGTGAACATAGATTTCTGTTTTGCCGTGATACTGATATGTAGTTTGGCAGCCTGCCTCCGGCTCTAATCAAAACACTCCCTTGCTTATGAGGCAAGGAAGGGTAAAGCTCGTAGACCTCCTGATAATTTCCCTTTCCTGCCAATTCTCCCTAGGGAGGCAAAGTGCTTTAATCTTTCTATCTCCTAATAAGATAATTTTCTACACTCCTAAAACTGTGTGCGTCTCTGAATGGGCAAGCCAGTGAGAGGGAATGACAGACTAGGGAACAGAACAGACTCATAAGGGATATAACTCAGACTGTCAGATCCTGTCTGCCTAGAAATCTGTCTGCCTAGAAATCTAGTACAACCATTTTCACAATTGTTTCTTACTCATGGAAATAGGGGCCCTGTCCAGCAACAGGGTGACAGTTGTGTTTCTGTGTGTCTGTGACAATATTTGTTTGGGCGTTGTTGCCTCTTACAGTGCGGACAACAGAACCAGCTGAAGGTGCCTCTTACAGTTTTAACTCATCCAGACGTTTGCTGTTGTCTGTCCTTATTTTTTAATCTGGGGCTGATTCCAGAATTCAGAAGCCACATTTTTCTTTTTTGCTTTGTGACATATTTGGGTAATAAAGGCTGGATTTTTGCTAGCAAATAAATATTCAGGGCCTCCTCATTTGGAGTGAGTTGAATTTTTTGACTGGCTGTATCTAATGCAGTATCTCCAAAGCTGTGATATTTTATCTTCTTTTATTCTTTATACAGGAAGACCCTGTGCCCAATGGTCTTCGAGCCCTTCCAGTCTTCTACGCTGCTACAATAACAATTAATGTATTCTCTATAATGTATACAGGTGCCCCTGGTGAGTATTATTTGACTTACGATGTCCACTATGTTACATGCCGGCTGTAGTCAAACACTCTATGAAGAAGAACAAAGGCTTCAAAAATTACCAAATGTAATAATTCATAGGGAAATTTTGGGACTTCTGAATATCATTCTGGATGCTGGATGATTGGTAAAGGACAAAAAGAGTTGATAAATGTTACAACTGACAAGGCTGGTTTTGCTTTCCGTAAAAGAAGGAACACATTCAGACAGCAGTTCCTGGAAAAGCAAGACAAACTAGCGTGTTTTCACCTAAGCCATTGTAGATCTGTGAGGGCCACTTTGCACATCATGTGTTTGCTGCGCAGGATTTACCACCAAGAGTAAAACCCACATGGATTCACAGCCAGCCACAGTCTCTTGACAAGTGTGCTTGCATGATGTGCATGTTTCAAGACACATATTTGTAGCACTTGATATGCCACTTAAAAAACCTTAGGCACATACCAAAGTTTAATGTCCAAAGTTGCTCTGATTTTGTTTCTGTCGAAAGCTGAAACTTCCATGTTCTAAATATGCACATTTGCTAATAAAGGGTAGCTGAATAAAATGCATCCTCCTTACTTTTTATTTTTTGTGATCAGTAGAACCAGGCAACACACCACTGTCCTGTATTATGTTGAACTTGTAAAGTGGCACAAGCTGTTATTGCTTTAGTTTTACGGTTAACACCAGATGCAGTTTAGTAGCAATAGCAGATTGTACCAATCTGATGCACAGTGCTCTGCCCATGTGTTTATAATATTACCAGTCTCTTGAGCAAGGAGCATGTGTGTCCATGTGTCCTGAGTTACAGAGGAAATGACTTGGATTTAAAATCTTGTGCTTTTACCACCATGTCATTTATTTTTTTGATTTTATTGGTGTGTTAAAAATAGGCAGCTGTACCAGATCAGTTGTATGTAGAGTGACAAAAGATATGGGCAGCTGCCATTCCCAATGAAATGAAAGTACTGACTCGATTTCAACATATTATGTATCAGATTCAAGGAAAGGAGCTGTGCTTAACAATTGCTGGTTTGTATATCATGGATGAAGTACTGTGAGGACTCCAATGACAAAAGCACCAGAAATTATGCCCGTGGCTTTGGACTCCCATGCTGTTTTTACCAATTAAAACCACATTACATCTCCTGTCAATTGACAGTGCTGGCTTGCATGACCTGTGTACAGAATTGGGCCTGTAGGTATTTAAGAGTATGCATGCTATGACGGAAGGCAGATAATTATACATGCAGCAGTATGGCAAATTCAGTGGCCCATGTTGGAGTCATAGCTGGTGAGCAATCATCATGAGCTCTATGTGGAAATTCTTTAAAAAAAACTGCCACAGAGTATAATAGATGTTTTCTTGGTGTAGAGGTCAAGCCAAAGGAGATGACCTTTACGGTGGGGTGGAAAGCCTCATACCCATTTTTCAAATGAACAGAAATGTAGAGATGCCATAGTGAACTTCAGTGCTGAACACAGTGGCAACTCAAACCCTTGTGATTTGGGCAGCTTACATGAGAGTGATAAAGATCTTGATGGACTTAATAAGAATGGAAAGGGATGGTGGCAATTGGGTACTGCATTTGAATACATTTGCCACTTTGCTTCCATAGCTTGTTGTTGTTTAGTCATTTAGTCATGTCCAACTCTTCGTGTCCCCATGTACCAGAGCACGCCAGACACTCCTGTCTTCCACTGCCTCCCGCAGTTTGGTCAAACTCATGCTGGTAGCTTCGAGAACACTGTCCAGCCATCTCGTCCTCTGTTGTCCCCTTCTCCTTGTGCCCTCCATCTTTTCCAACATCAGGGTCTTTTCCAGGGGGTCTTCTCTTCTCATGAGGTGGCCAAAGTATTGGAGCCTCAGCTGCAGGATCTGTCCTTCCAGTGAGCACTCAGGGCTGATTTCCTTAAGAATGGATAGGTTTGATCTTCTTGCAGTCCATGGGACTCTCAAGAGTCTCCTCCAGCACCATAATTCAAAAGCATCAATTCTTTGGCGATCAGCCTTCTTTATGGTCCAGCTCTCACTTCCATACATCACTTCATGGCTTACAATCCTCAAAAATGCAAAATATGTTCGGTAAGGCCTTGTTCACTTAGCTGACTTGAAAGAACTTGAGCGTACAGAGCCAGGAGGTCACTGCTTGAAATTTTGGGGTGAAACAATTTAAAAATAAATAAATTATGCAGAACGTGTAACAGAATTTATAAATAAAAACTGCAACATGCACAACAGAATCATTGGCATTGCACAAAGTAGAGAAGCAAGGAATTCAGTTTCCTATGACATGGTCAGAGTGATAATGCATCTCACAGGATTAAGAAACATCTCTTCAGCCTAGAAGGTGATGACGACAAAGCCGTATTCATAGTCTGTTAATCTCTCTGCATGACTGATGCATGATTCAGATGATGTTTTTAAAAGCCATAGAACAGTTCAAGAGGTTCAGTCCATTCAGAATAGTACCTACAGAAGTCACAGAACCTGACAGTAGCAACATACTTCTGGTCTCCCTGACAACAATTGTGGCAACAGATGATGTTCCCATTAATTTGCTGAGGGCTAATGACCAATGGATAGAAATTGCAAGACGTCATTTCATTTCTTTTTTTCTGTAGGAATTTCTAGACTGTTCAACATACATCTTATCAGAGATTAATATGAAGGTTTGATTCATCAGGGCAACTCCTCTCTCATGATCCACTGGGGGAAAAATAACTTTATAAAACTTTTGCTTCGTTGTATATTGTCAAAGGTTCTGACACAGCAGAACATAAAGAAAATGATCACGGCTGATGTTTTCAGAGACTGCATACACGCAGAGACTTGTTTAAAGGTGCTTACCAAATGATCCAGATGTTATGATGTCTAGATGGAATACGGATTCTCTGTTTCACTGTTGCTTGTGAAGGTTGGAGAACAGATGAGCACCACGCCAAAAGCAGGCTATTGGTGTAGATAACCCTACATGAGGTTCAGGACTTGTGTGCATTGATGGTAATGCACTAATTCAAGCAGCAGGGAACCCTCAGGAGTTCCTGACATTTTGTGAGCGTGCTGACAAATTCTTCTGCTCTGTGGTCTGACACTTTGGGGACAGTACTCCAGTCATTTTTGATGGATGCACTTGAGTCTGTTCCACAAAGGCTGACACACAACCCAAACAAATAGGTTCGAAAGAGGCACGTTGATGGGCCTGGTGTGCTGGTGTGAAGTCACATCACTGGGGGAAAAAAATATGTTATGGTAAATGTTAGAAAACCAATGTGGAAGGATGTAATTTTGTTTCTTTTTTCAGTCCTAGGAATCGTTCTTCCTATGTGGGCAATAGCGCTGATATCAATTGGTGTATCAGTAATATTCGCTATCTTAGTCTGGATATTTGTGTGTCCGTGGATGAAAAGAAAAATAGCAAGTATGTCTTTGGGGGTGGGGGAGGTCAAAATGTGTGTAATGTTAAATCCCATGTCTGAGGAAATACCTTTCCAGTGTGTTTTCTAGAATAGTGATGATGCTTTAAATATAACTGCGACAGGTGACCTTTTTATGTCTTGCATAGCATGACATTTTGGTTTTTAGTTGTTGTGTTTTTAAAATGCAGGCCATGTTCCAAAGATGAAAGCTCACTGTGGCTTCATACTTAAAAACAAAAACACAAACAAAAAACCCCCAGGAGATTCCTATTTCGTATCTTAAATACCTTTGAAACTTAACTTGTTTCCAAAAATTACTTACTGTGTGACAAATGGGGGGAATGATACATGAGAAACAGAAATCCCATTCAGCCAAGGTAGCTTCAGACTTCTCGTGTAGTACTTCGTGTCCCAGCCAGAGTATTTTATTTATCTAACAGCTAGGCTGCTTTGAGCTCAAGGAAGCATAGAACAAAAATTTAAGATTTAGTGATCTAAATTAGATTGATGTGTAGGTGGAAGCAAATGTTCTGTTTTCTTGGTCTCTGGAGGGAGTTTAATCTTACAGATATGGGCAACTTTCTGGGTTTCTTGACAAAAGAGGAAAGCAGTCAGTGCATTTATTTAAGTGATACTAGTGATTTCTGTTGAGTGGATAATTAACCCATCCTTATAAAAGCTCCGTGTTTTCCTTAGGTCGGTTAAAGAAAGAAGGGGCATTATCAAAGATATCTGACGAAAGCCTTGACAAAATACAAGATGAGGATACACCTGTCTTTAAAGAACTTCCTGGTGCCAAAGCAAACGATGAAAGTACTATTCCTCTTACTGCCTCTGGAACAGAAGAGGCTGGTGTATCGGATAATATAGCAAATGGAAGCCATCCACGTGTGCCATACGGTGAGAAACCAAGAGCACATAAATTATTTTCTGTTTTTGTGTTGCTGCCTCCTGATATCTAGTGGGCAATTCCCTTCTGTGCAAAACCCCTTCCCATCCCAACTTTTTTGCTGTACAGGGTGAATAAAAAGAGAGAGTATGTGGTTTTCTTTTTTGGATAATTGCTCATGCTCTTTTTCTGGGTGCTTGTGCATAACAGTTTTTTAAAGAACAACACACAGTTGTATGCTACACTGTGTAATTGTGTATTGTCTTCTCAAACAGCTACCTGTTCATTTCCCACAGTTTCTTTTAGTGGATGATGCATTTAAGGCTGCTGTCATATCAATTTCTGATATACTGGTATTGAACAATAGAAATGACATAATATTTTGGCTGAATTTTTAAATGGCGCTTTAATATTTGAGATATTTGAACTATGTTTCACCAATAGACAAGTCTATGTCTATGTCTTTGTTTTCAAAGACCGAGAGTACCGTATTTTTCGCTCTATAAGACGCACCAGACCACAAGATGCACCTAGTTTTTGGAGGAGGAAAACAAGAAAAAAATATTCTGAATCTCAGAAGCCAGAACAGCAAGAGGGATCACTGCGCAGTGAAAGCAGCAATCCCTCTTGCTGTTCTGGCTTCTGGGATAGCTGCACAGCCTGCATTCGCTCCATAAAATCCCCACACATTTCCCCTTTTTAGGAGGGAAAAAGTGAGTCTTATGGAGCAAAAAATACGGTATTTTACTCTAGTAGCTGAACAGGAATGAATGAATGAATGAATGAATGAATGAATAAATAAATAAATATTAATTGCATTTATTCCCCATCCTTTCCTTTAATGAGCTCAATGTGGTATATATGGTGTCCCCCCCCTCATTTAATCATCACAACAGCCTTGTGAGGTAGGTTAGGCTGAGAGGTAGTGATTGGCCCAAGGTCACCCAGTGAGCTTCATAGCTGACTGGGAATTTGAACCCTGGTCTCCCAAGGTCCTAGTCCAACACTCTAACCGCTACGCTGCAATGGCTCTCCATATGCAGTTATTTATGTTATTATTACACCTAAATTGGTAATTTGAAATAACATGGTTCCTGCCTGCAGATTTATAATCTGAAGGTAAAGACAAGAGAAATTGGGGAGGATAAATCAATTGGGGAAAGGTGGGTGGCTACCCCCCTCCCCTACAACAGGCCAATAGAAGTGTTTCTTTCTTCTGACATTTAACCCAGAGTGGCTGGCTGATTCTGCAGTCCAAGAAGAGAAGGGGTTGGCAATTGGCGAGGAAAGAGCCTCAGTCTGTCTCCCAAGCAACAAAGTACTTGGCTTGATCATGCCTGAACGCCATTTTCCAACTCTTTGACTAGCGTGGATTCCACTGAATATTCTTGTGTTCTCTCTCTACATATCTCTGACCAATTTGGTCACCAGAAAATGGACTTGGAGCAGCAAATATGCTCTGATGGAGCACAAATGCTCATACAAATGATTTTTTTTAAAAAAGAGTGATATTTCTTTGGAGTTTCACTGTTCTGTTGCCTTTAGGTCTTTAGCTTCCTCTGGGGAAAAAAAATACTTTTCTTTGCTGTTTTAGGAAGAGCATTTTCAATGACACAGAGTATGGTGAAATCTCCAATTTCCAACGGCACCTTTAATTTTGACGGCCACATGAAGAGCGATATTCATGTGTATCACACTGTGCACAAAGACTCGGGATTGTACAAAGACTTACTGCACAAAATACACCTGGACAGAGGCAGCGACAACCGGCCTACACAAGAAAACAACTACAAACTGCTGCGGCGTAACAATAGTTACACTTGCTACACAGCTGCCATCTGTGGGATGCCAGTGCATTCGTCCTTCAAGGCGGCTGATACGTCAACCCCAGAAGATAGCGAAAAGCTAGTTACAGACACGGTTTCCTATTCCAAAAAAAGGGTTCGTTACGACAGCTACTCCAGCTACTGCAACGCCGTGGCAGAAGCAGAAATTGAAGCTGACGAAGGTGGTGTGGAGATGAAGCTGGCGTCTGAGTTAGTAGATCCTAGCCACCCCCCTGAAGACCCCGCAGAGGATGAGAGAGATGAGAGGGACTCCTCACAGGTTCACCTGCTTTTTCACTTTCTCCAGATCCTCACAGCTTGCTTTGGATCGTTTGCTCATGGGGGCAATGATGTCAGGTAAGTGAGGAGAGCTTGCATATGTGAACGATGTCATCATTTAAAAGTTCTGTTGTTTGCTCCAGCAGTCCAACCAGGTAAAATCTGCTGCAGAATCTTAGTGATGCTGATCTGCTTTAAAAGCAGGCATTGCTCAAAAAGTTCCTGCATCTATGGCTGTATCTTCACACTGTGCGTAAAACTTCCATTTGTGTGAAAAACAAATACAGAAATGAAAACACCTATCTGAGATTGAGGGTTCCAAGTCTGAACAATTTTTGTTGGCTTTACACTGGATTTCATCTTCCCTCTTGGTGCCATATTGCTTGTGTACAGGTTTAGCTAGAATTTAACAGCTCTATTTGCTGACTACTGTATTTTTCTGTGTATAAGATGAGGGTTTTTTTAAAAAATTAAAAATATTGTTAAAAAATTTGGGGTTACCTTATACACGGTTAGGGGACACGGGTGGCGCTGTGGTCTAAACCACTGAGCCTCTTGGGTTTGCTGATCAGAAGGTCGGTGGTTCGAATCCCCGCGACGGGGGTGAGCTCCTGTTGCTCGGTCCCAGCTCCTGCCAAAAAGCACACCAAAAAGTGCAAGTAGATAAATAGGTACCGCTCCGGTGGGAAGGTAAACGGCGTTTCTGTGCGCTGCTCTGGTTTCGCCAGAAGCGGCTTAGTCATGCTGGCCACATGACCCAGAAAAACTGTCTGCGGACAAACGCCAGCTCCCTCGGCCTGTAAAGCGAGATGAGCGCCGCAACCCCAGAGTCGTCTGCGACTGGACTTAACTGTCAGGGGTCCTTTATATATTTTTTTAATACACGGGTAGTGCATAGAGGGGGTGGGCGATTGTTCGCAGCCACGAGTAGGAGATATATGGCAGTGATTGGGTGGGTGATTGATGTATGCTCCAAGGGCTGTTTGGAATTGGCTGTTGTTGCGGCAATTGGGTGGGCGATTTGTGGCTGTTGGTGGCGATCAGGCAGATGATTGTTGTCTTCTGTGAGGTGTGCGAATGGCAGCTGCGGTCAGGCGGATGAGCTCAACAAGTCTGGGCAATCTCCCCCCATTTTTTTAATTTGGAGTCCCAAAAAATAGGGGTTGTGTTATACATGGGAGCGTGTTATACATGGAAAAACACAGTACGTTTTCAGCAAGTTTTACCAAGTTGCGGGCCAGTTTCTTGTTCATAAATCAGGAGAAGGTTGCAAGGCACTTGTCAGTCCAGTGCCTTGGAAAATAACCTCCCAGGCAGGCTTAGTTGTATTGTGCATAGAAACAAAAAGCAGCTACTGTAAACAAATAGCCTGCTGTAATATAAGAGGTTGCTTCTTGCACTCCCCACAAATCCATTCTGTTTTTAATAAAGCATAGCTTGTACAACAGGCTTGCCTTTATTGGGCCAGTTTTGGGTATCTGTAATCATATCCCATTGATTTTTATACGCACCCATTTGCCACTTCTGGCTCACCGCAGTGTCTTACAGCTTTTTAGAACTTCCTGTGCTTGATCATATATCAGATTAATAAGCTGAGCTATGAATGAGCCTTCTTGGCTTCACAGACAGCCACGTCGCTCCACATTCAGCAAGCAAATAAACCAGGAAACCTTCAATTGAGTATGGAGTCTGAGCTGGTTAACAACTTTGGAGCAAGCCAGGGCATTGAACCACAACTTCAAAGCATGGTTTCCTAGTATGGGCAAAATGGCAAGCTATAGTTCAAGGTTTCGAAACGTTAGACTTGGGTCTGTGTGCTGCCCTCCAAGCCTCTCTGTGTGGCACTCAAGACTCAGCCCAGAGTCCCACCCCCTCTTGCAAGCCCTGCTTTGCATCTCCCTTGAATGCTTTTGCCTGGTTGGAATGTGTCCGTCAACTGTGATATTGCATAGAAAAGGGGTGTGTGAGCATGTGTAGAAACTAGCTCACTGTACAAAGGTAACATGTACAGGTGCTGCTATACTCACTTTTGTCTCTGGCCCTGCCTGCAGAAGGGAATGTGGCCTCCAGCTGAACAAGGTTCCTCAACAATGCTGTAGTTCATTGAAGACTTTGTGGTCACTCGCCTGCCAAAAGGAAGAGCTTAAAGGGCTGTCTGTGCATGTGGCCAAGAAACATACCCATCTCTTAACTTATTAAGCCAAGAGATGATATCCGAAGTCCCACTGCGGAAGTTGGGGCCATCGGAGAGGTTGTCCTGCCTGGATCCATGTCAGTAGCAGATAGGAGCATAGAAACTTGCTTTGTTTTGGCACTCGCTCATTGAGTGAGTCCAGATAAACAATGAGGCCACGGATGGGAAATCAGCTGTGGGATTCAAATCCCTGTGAGCATGAACTGTAACCAAGTTCTTAACTGGAGAGTAGGCACTTCCTGGGTTAATTATACAGTGTTTACTCTTTCTTTGTAAAGGAACACTCCCAAGTTATTTGGCATGGCAATGAAGTTTAGTGTTTTATGGTCAGGTGCCCTGTTAATTATTTAACGTAAAAATAGCAGCCAAAAGCAAAGGCCAGTTGTACGGCTGACATTTCATTGCCTATTTTTAATACAGTGGTACCTTGGGTTACAGACACTTCAGGTTACAGACGCTTCAGGTTACAGACTCCACTAACGCAGAAATAGTACCTTGGGTTAAGAACTTTGCTTCAGGATGAGAACAGAAATGGTGCAGCGCCAGCGGGAGGCCCCATTAGCTAAAGTGGTATCTCAGGTTAAGAACAGTTTCAGGTTAAGAACAGACCTCCAGAACGAATTAAGTTCTTAAGCCGAGGTACAGCTGATAAATAAATTCAAATACACTGTTTCGTATAGTTCAACATTTAATGGAAACGTAATGCAGTGCTCAAAGGCATTGCATTATTAAAACATATTCAACACAATGGGATATAAACAAGAATGAAATATGTCAGGTATTATGTAAAAGTGAAGATGCTACTGTCAATGGAATGGATGAGCTTTGGCTAAAAACTGCCATCACAAAAGAGAACCACATGAATAGCTCTATAGCAGTGCACAAAAATGTCAACTTGGTCCAATTACAATATAAACATAAAAGATGTGAAGAAGAAGCAGGAGCTGTACTTCTGTGCGATATACTTTTGCATAATGCTATGGAGCATTTATATACATTTGTATGTATTATGTATTAATGCAACAACCGTATGCCCAAGAGCATTTAAGCTTGAAAATAGAACCAATTCTGAAATGAGTGGAGATTTAATATTGTAGTAAAGCATTTGTTGACATCAGTGAGTACTTGAAGCAATTTTTTGATTTAGGCATATTGTGCACAAATAAGGCTTGCCTCTAAAGCAGGGGTAGTCAACCTTTTTATGCCTACCGCCCACTAATGCATCTTTCTTGATGGTAAAATTTCTTTAACGCCCACCAGTGCTCGATGGAAGGGGGATTCAGCTTGTGCCGGAGAACCCCCTACCGCCCACCTAGAATCCTGAAACGCCCACTAGTGGGTGGTAAGGACCAGGTTGACAATCCCCGCTCTGAAGGTTCACAGAGAGGAGGAACATCTGGTGTAGCACAGTGGCTAGGAATGGGAGCCAAAAAGTCACAGGTTCAAATTTGAGCCGACACGCACTCATTGAGTAGTCTACTCTCTCTCAGCCACAGTCTGGCCTCTGCAACAGGAGGTTAATAATTCTGGCCTCATTTGAACACTGGAAATATTTTTCCTCTTCCACCTTTGGTGTTATCATTCTCATTCCAAGTCTGCCCGTAAGCTGTGTAGTTTGGCTGAAGGTGCCATTGGAATGGCAGTTCTCCATGGATCATTGTCAGATTGGCGGGTGGGGATGGGGAGTGCTGAGCATTCCTCCTGCATGCTCCTTGATGTGGGCTGGTTGCTGGCTTCCTCTTTCTTTGCTATTTATAATCTGCTCCACAGTTTTATGGACCTGAATTGTGTTCCAGTGTGATGAATTGTGGCTTTATTTTCAACTGGAATTGTGCCTGTTGCAAGCCAAGCCCTCTTCAGGCTCGATTTGCATATATCACAGTGCTGCTTCCTCCAGGTGGCTCAGCCTGTTAACGTCCCTCAAGGATTGTCCCAGTGATATCTTAATTTCCCCTGCTTTTTCTGATAAAAACACAAAGAGATAAAAATGTCCTTTCTAAGTTAATGGAGCACAGGGTGAACCAGCAGCTTCTTTTCTCTACGCTGAAAGCATGGCAAATTAGGTTTGTTGGCTGATTCTGAGCTCTTAATGTGGTGGAAGACCAAAAAAAAAAAAAGTTATTCCATCAGAGAAATTACAGAATGAAAATTGAAATGTGTGTGAGAAGGGCTGAGCAGGTGGAGGCTGGAATGTGAAGGTTATGTTTGCAAGACAACCATGCAGAAAGACGGAATGCAAGAGCTATTGCCATAACTGTTTAGGGCAAAGGAAGGAGGAAAAGATAAGAGAGTTGCTATGCCTCGTGATTAAACCGGAAGAAACTGGTAGAAGGAAGTATTGCCGTATATGGACATTGCTACCCCTTTGCTTCCCTTTGCTTGTAAGTGTGTAAATGCTTGTGCAGTTTTCGTATTTGGTGTGCCGCCTTCCATCTACCTGCTGGTTGAGGTTGTTTCACATCGGCCTAGCCACGCCTGAATAAGCACCCTGTTTGAGTGACAATTTGTGTCTGGATTCTGTTGGCTGTTTCAGGCAGCCGATAGAACCCCAATATTTCCCCAAACTTCACTTGTGTGTGTCTGTGCCATGCACAGTTTTAGAAGCCTCTATCAAGTCCCTTCCCTACTCCAAGTTGTCTCTTCTTCCTAAAAGAAAAAGCCACATGCCAGGGGTGTGTGGCCCTCCAGGCCTTTCTGCCTGGCACTTGGAGCTCAGTCTATGCCACACCCTCCCCAGCCTTCCCACCTTCCTTGAGTGCCTGTTCCTGGCTGGAATTTATGCCTTCAAACTCCGATAATGACCCTTGCTTGCCTGGAATGGAGAGCAGTCAGGATTGCATGGCTTTGTAGAAACCAGTCTACTCTACGGAGGCAACTCCATAGGTTGCCTGGAAGGGAATGCGACTGATGGACTCAAAAGGTTTTCCAGCTCCTAAGTCTTGTAGGGAAGATCTCTGAGTCACATTGGCTTTGCTTTCCTGTTTGGTTTCCTGCTCTACAATATCCTTTTTGACATGAGATAACCAGAGCTTGTACGTGCTGTATTCCAAATGTGGCCAGTGCGTACAGTTATATAGACCTGTGTGCCTTACTTGAAACATTGCAGACCGTCCTGTCAAGAGAGACCCCTGGCCAAGCAAGCAAGCAGAGGCTTTCAGCCCAGGCCACACACTCCAGTACGTAATGCTTATGTGTTTCTTTGTTCACGTGACACATGTAGGCACTAGCGCTGCAGCATTACAGCATTTTTCGTGGGTGGATGGGAGCAGGCACCAGGTGGAGCAGTAAGGGAACAGTGGTGAGATGTTTGAGGATAGAGCTATGTGTGCCCTGCAGCCTGCCCAGCACTTCCTCAGCTAACCTGCTGCCCTTGGGTGTTGTGGAAGACCCAGTTCCATTGCCAGTTTTAAATTGGATCCAACTGCATGTCTGGTTGACTTCTGTACATGATTTTTTTTCCCAGGGGGGAGGCATCTTGTCTTGGACTGGCCCTGGTCTAGCAACAGGAGACCTGGATAGGTTGGAGGTCACATACTAGATCAGGCAGGCGGGGTAGCATGGGAAAAGGACAGGACAGTGACGATTTGCAGCTGATTCTGCTGGAAAGTTGTGTGTTTTTGTTAAGGCTGTGGGGTCAGCTGACAACACTCAGATAAGTACTGCAGCCAAGAGAGCAGCCTTGAACCACAAAATTGGGATTGCCTGGCTGGCAGGAGATGCAGGAGGTAAGGCACTGAAGAGTTATGGTTGGAGGTCCCAGTTTGAGGCATTCCTCATCCTTGGCACCTTACCCTACCCTACCCTACCCTTACATAACGTCAGCGGTGAGCCAGAAGCGATCAGATTTCCACAGCACCTTTTTAATAGTTTCCCACTGAGCATTAATTTGAACACCCAGTGGGTACTCTGTTGTAACACTGCCAACGTTTTGAGAATGATTGATTTTGCGTGGTGTGTTCTGCGTCTGCGATTGCATTCACTTGTGCTGTTTAGGTTTCTTTCTTCATACCACCCACGACATTTAAAATGCCGGAATAGACTCTTCATTGAGCACCATGCAGCTAGGAACACAGCTGCCAACTGGAAGGCTTATTCACTTTATGAATCAGGTGGCAAGTTGATACCTGTGGTGGAGGCAGCCTGACCTGATGAATTCCCCCGAATAACTCAAGCCTCTTATTTCCACAGCCATCAAGGCTGATGACTGCCCTGCCTGGGTGCTGGCGTTCCTTTGGTTGTGTGTTTTATTCATTGGGCACTGGCTCTTCCAACATTTGCTCTGTTCTTTGGAAATAGAACAGTAGCTTTCAGATTGTATTTTGTGGGTGCTTATTGGGGGTTCTGCACCAAGTAACTTGGTCGTAAGGACATAGCAAGAGCCTCCTGGATCATCTAGTCCAGCATCCTGTATTTATAGTGGCTGAACAGTTGCTGGTGGCAAACCAGCAAGCAGCATCCGAGCACAAGAGCAATCTCTCTTCCTGTGGTTTACAGCATTGGAAACATTGCTGTTTCCAACTGTGGAGGCATAACATAGCCATTGTGGGCAAGTAGCTTGAAAGACTGCCTGCTATTCCTGACCCTCCCTAGCTATACACAGCAGCAAAGGGCACGCTATCTGTTTTGTAAAGTAGGCTCCACAGGCTAACTTGAGAGTACATGTGTGTTCTTTGACTTGGTTTTCTTGGCCATACAGAGCGTATAGCCAGCCACCTGTCTTTATATTCTTGGATTTCTTCCCCCTGCTTATCTTACGTAACCATGGCATGGTGAGGGTCTCGTGGAGCTAAAACCGTGTCCCCAAGTTTCTTTTACTTTCTTCCATGAAGCTGAAAGCCTGCCGTTCACTCCTAATTGAAAAATTGTGATGTTGCAGTTGGACCCTGTTGTGTGAGCTGCATCTGTTCTCTCCTTCTTGCACTGGGTAGAGCTAGGCATCCATCAACAGAAACGCCTCCCGGGGGGAGGAGGGCTGCGTCTGCTTGCACAAAGCGTATAGAGATGCACTGCACCCCACTCAGGTCCCTACAATATACAATAACACCATTGTGGAGTATTTAAAGGATTAATTTAGCAGAAAGATGGTAGGGTCAAAAGCCAAGCTGTTGGAAAACAATGGAAATAAGTGTTCTGTTTCAGTTCAAGCCTGGTAATTGGATCATTCGTAGCAAACAATGTTTGTGCAAATATAAATCTAAAAGGCCCGCAGTTCAGAGAGGGAATAGTTTTTCTTGACTTTTGTCATGGCACCCAACAGAGGCAGTCCAAGGGGAAGGGCTGCTATTGTGAGCTGCTATCTTTATCGTAAGCAGCCCCAAATCCATCTAGAGCTCCTCTTGCTCCACCTTCAGACCTGGAGCCTGGATTTTACCCCTGTGACAAACAAGGAGGCACTCCTGAATGAGGTGGATCTCTGTTTTATTAAATCTTACCATTTAAGAGCCTAGAAATACAAGGGAAAAGGAAGAGGGAGCAGTTCAGAAAGCTAAAATTAAAGAGATTTTTTTTAAATTAACAAAAGCAGACATTTAAATTTAAAATGGCCATTAGTTTGGGCCAGGCCAATTTTGTACCTGATGGAAGAAGAGTAGGGAAGGCGCATAATCCCAGGAGCACTTTACTTTGGTCAGTGACTGGTGCCAAACATATGGGCTCGTCAAAACCTGGGGTATTTTTAACATAGAGGGGGAAGCAGTCATTCTAGGTAGGGGTTTGTTGGCTTGCTGGGTGGCACTGGTAAATTGTAAGTGACGGGTTGTACAACACTGAGTTTTAAATTAAATTTCTTCTCCACCTCCTTGGCCCTGATAGCTCAACTGCAATTGGGGTTTAGTTGTTCTTGAAACACCACATTTCTATGACTCTGCAAACAAAGTTGCTTGACAACCTTTTCCTGCACCATTGCAGTATAAACCTGTTTCCTACTGAGCCGTAAGAGTCACTTGAGTTTAAGGATTTCATTCTGGTTGGCAGTTAGTGTTTGTTCTTTTTTCTTTTTTGGTAAGTTGACGACTGCCTTTAACTCCTAGGGAATGTGTCAGGCACAAAGTTCCAAGATTTATATCATCTGAAAGCTGGGGCTCCCATTTTTCAGAAAATATTAACTTCTAGACTTTGCCTTCTTGTTATGCACCATGTCAGACAGTGCCACTGCCCTTGTTCCAGCTGTGTATTTTGTCAAGGTGCTTAGGCTAAATATAGCCAATGATAGTCCTTGTATCTAGCTGTCAGTTCTTCGGTTGTGCATTCCATTCTCCATTGCCAACGTCCTGAGAAAGCTTTGGCTTGTTAATTCATTAAACTTGGATTGTTAGTACTGGGTATTTTATGTATTTCTTCTGGTAACCAATTCTGGCTTTCTATGCTTTCCTAGTATTAGGTAACAGATAGCAAAATCAGTGCCATAGAATATTGCACAGGGCCATGGATGATTGGCCTATTCATTCTATATTTGGCTTGCAGTGTTCTTGCTGTGAGCTTGTGCTTCAGAAGTGCGTGTCACATAGAACTTCCATCTCTGTTTGGTAAAGAATAAAAATGTGCTCAGCTCTGCCCTGGGGAGAGAAAACTAGATCATATCGGTGTGCTTCTGAAATGTCCAGTTTTGGCTCCCAGGCTCAAAAACATTTAGGCAAGTAAGTGAGTTGCCATTGCATACCTTCAGGAGCATGATTTTATACCACTAAGCTGGTCAGACATTTCGTTAATATAGTGGTTTTCCCATGTTTCGTTTAGCAGGAAACTAGGTTTTGTGACCAAGTCACAATAGGAATCTGAAGCTAGTCTTGACTTTCTTGAGTGTATCATATCCGTATTTCCAAATATGTGTCTCATTTGCTTACCGCATTACATTTTGAGATGTACACATACAGTCACAGGAAAAAGAAAGTACACCCTCTTTGAATTCTGTGGTTTTACATATCAGGACATAATAACAACCATCTGTTCCTTAGCTGGTCTTAAAATTGGGTAAATACAACCTCAGATGAACAACAACACATGACAACACACATGTGTTGTTGTTCATCTGAGGTTGTATTTACCTAATTTTAAGACCTGCTGAGGAACAAATGGTTATTAGTATGTTCTGATCTGTAAAACTACAGAATTCAAAGAGGGTGTACTTTCATTTCCCCATGACTGTACCCATATCTTTAAGTGAGTGCTTAAAAAGATAATGTGTGGCGCAGTGGTAACCAACATGATGACCTTTGAATGTTACTGGACTACAACTGCTGTCAATCATACTTGAGCTCATGGGAGTTGTATTCCAACAATATATGGAGGGGACCGCAATGCTTACCCCTGCTGTAGAGATCCTCCAAGAATAAAGGTGAAAAATGTGTAAAGAATGTATGCTATTAGGTGTGTGGAAAGAGAGAGAGAGAATGAGAGATCATCCCTGGTTATTCTCACCCCTCCACCCCTCCCAAAATGAAGGTTAAAAATTACTGAAAATAAATTGTAGCTAGGAATCTATTTCCCGTAAAACACATGGTATCGTGAAGTGACAGTACTGGTCCACTTTCTTCAGAACTCACAGGGCTATTAGGGTTTATAAATGTTCAGGGAGGGAGCTAGGGGATCATGAACTTTCCCCTCCCCTCCTCTTTCAATGCAATGTCCTTCAACCTACCCCATTGTAACCATGATTGACTAACCAGGGGCATCCTTATTTCTGCTTATGGAACCCAATATCAGATTTACAATGCTTAAGCTAGCGATGCATACATGCCAGCAAAAAATAGGTAGAAAAGTGGTCACATTCTGCTGTATTGTTGTGAATGTAGGGACGGCAAAGGAAGCATTTCATAAAAGTGCATCGGGGTATCTTCTGATTCCTCTATTTTGCTTACTAAAAAATATTCAGCCCACCTGTCCTGTGATTTTTCAAAGTGACTCACAAGCTGACAAGGAACAGAACAGTATCCTTTAAAATATTTTAGATGCCAGTGAAACACCAGATTGTAGCTGAGTACCTTTGAACTCTGCAAGCAGCAGGAACTGAGAAAACGGTTCCTGCTTCTTGTTGTCCCCATAGTGGGTAAAGAGGGAATATGAAGCATGGTCTCTTCTGAGGATCTTGGTGTGTGTATGGTGAGAGAAAAGATAGTAACCAGAGCAAAAGCACTTTTTAAAACCAGCACTTGGAATTGCATCCAGAAACCAGTTGAGAAACTAGCTGTGTTCACAATGGATCGGCCCATTAGCCCTCATATTGTCCTATCTCTGTGACATAAGAAAAAGTTAAAACTCCTGTTTTCTGTTGTGTAGTAGCTTCATGTCTGTGAAAACGCTACTCTGGTATTTCCTTGTAGAGGAAGATAGCGTGTCTCAACATCATGGGCGCAATATGCAGCAAGGAAGGGTGTAAAAAGGTAAAGGGACCCCTGACCATTAGGTCCAGTCGTGCTCAACTCTGGGGTTGTGGCGCTCATCTTGCTTTATTGCCCTAGGGAGCCGGTGTACAGCTTCCGGGTCATGTGGCCAGCATGACTAAGCTGCTTCTGGGGAACCAGAGCAGCGCACGGAAACGCCGTTTACCTTCCCGCTGGAGCGGTACCTATTTATCTACTTGCACTTTGACGTGCTTTCGAACTGCTAGGTTGACAGGAGCAAGGACCGAGCAACGGGAGCTCACCCCGTTGCAGGGATTCAAACCACCAACCTTCTGATCGGCAAGTCCTAGGCTCTGTGGTTTAACCCACAGCGCCACCCGCGTCCCAAGGAAGGATGTAAATTGTAATAAATGAATGGCTGTTTTTGTAAAGTTCTTCTGTCTTTGTTAAGTGTGACTAGGAGGGTATTGAGTGAAGCATGTAGGATTTGATAACCTATTTTCACTGCTATGTTTTCCAGCAATGCTATTGGCCCCTTGGTTGCCCTCTGGCTTATTTATGACAAGGGTGGCGTACTGCAAGAAGCTCCTACCCCCGTATGGCTGCTCCTTTACGGGGGCGTTGGCATCTGTGTGGGCCTCTGGGTCTGGGGGAGAAGAGTGATCCAAACAATGGGAAAAGACCTCACACCCATCACGCCGTCAAGGTACGTGCCCATCTCCTGCATCTAATTGCCCTGGCATCTCATGCTAGCTATGCCGTAGCATATGTGTGCCTAATGATTTCTGGTTTTGATCGGAGTAGTGATGTACGTAGCTTTCTCTTTAAACTAATGGCACTGTTGTTTGCATTGTTGAGGTCTAGTTGGGCAGAATAGCCTACCAATGTCTGAATAGCATAGAGAGGCATAAATTAGGAAATGGCAAAAATCGAAGTAGTTTTCCATGTGCTTCTGAATGATTAAAAAAAGAAACGAAACCTGTGATTTTTTTTATTTGCTTTTAATGCATACTAGACCTCTGCTGCTAACCTGTTTACTAATTGAGCATGATTTATTGGAATGTAGTATAGGTTGTCAGTAGCAGCGAGCTGCTCAGCTAATTTAATGTGGATGTGTGTGTCCAGTTTTTGTTATTCAGCAGCTCTTTGTTCTCTCACTTAATATAACTCAAATGACCAAAGATCAGTCGGAGGGAACCGGTTGGAGACGATGCTGGTAAGACGTTGGCATGTTGCATGGTGTCAGCCCAGACTGATTGATTACACTTTTTTTTAAGAAAGAGTGACTGTGAAGTGTTTTTTTTATGCTTCCTGCAGTGGATTCACTATTGAGTTGGCTTCGGCGTTCACAGTTGTGATAGCTTCCAATATTGGACTTCCTGTCAGTACTACACACTGCAAGGTATGCCTTTGCCATGTGACTGCAGCCAGGCCGGTCTGGACTGTTCGTGTTTTAACTCTGCTGCCCAGATCAGTTTATAGCGGCATGATACCACAATGAGGAAATGCACACGTCCATTTCACATCCAAGAACTCTCCCCACCCCATCCGTCACTCCACTCATATGAATGGGCAGCCCTCAGGTTCCCTTCTTAGACATCTCACCCTTTTTTGCACATTGCGGAATCAAAGTATTTCCTCTCCCCCACAAACACTTGTTATCAGATTATTCCCTACGCATTCACATGGAATTCGGCATAGTAGTATGTTCCCCGAAAGAGCAATCCATCAGCCATTGGCCTTTTGCATTGCCCATTAATTTCAGAAGGCCTTGTGCAGGAACCGTCTAATCTCGATGTTTTCACATGGTCATGGAACTGCACATGAGAACATTTAGGAATAATGACACTAGCCCAAATGTTTTAGAGTGTAGTAGGGGCAGATGGCCCGAGGCGTTTCGATGCCTGAGGCAAGAAATCGAAGTCTCGCCCGCCTACTGGAATTAAAATAACAAACTAAAAATCTACATTGTGCTGCCCTTGACTGGTACACCAAAACTTGCTGCCATGCACGGTGGAGTTGGCCCTGAATAGCAGTAACTTTTTCCTCAGGTCATGCCATGTGAACGTTGATCTGCTGCACCCTTCTTTGTCCGGAGGTTCTGACACTGTTCATCGTTCATTCTTCTACTTTCCTGATGAATGCATGGCATGGGATTTCCTGTGTGTCGCTCTTACACTTCAAAATCTCCATCTGTCTTTTTTTTATTTCTTTACAGTGGATTTTGCATTGAAGTAATGTGTGCGCTAACCGTACTTGTAGCCTCAAATGTGGGTATTCCAATAAGCTCCACTCATTGCAAGGTATTGGAGTCTGCAGTGGTCCCGTCGATTAAACACATGCTCAATCTTTAAAGAAAAAGAAACAAATAACAAATGCTGATTCCCCCACATCCCATTTTGCCTTCATTAAGTAATATACTACCAAGCAAGTTTTAAAATTAAAAAAGCAATAATTAAAATATGGAAATTTAGTTATTTACAAAATTATACAAAACATGTGAGTTGCAAATTCCCCACAAATGTTAGAATGTTGGGGAGGTTTTCTTTTTTTAAAAAAAGAGAGCGAAAAGAAAAAGAATGTATATATTATATTATTATTCTTATTGCTGTTTATAAAACACATTGTAGTATTCATTTTGTAGTGTATTAACAAGCAACAGTCATCATCTTAACTTTTAGTTTCCTTGCTTCTATATAAACTTAAACTTCTTAGTATTAGCTTTCGACTAACAGTTTCATACATTTTATTTTCTTCCCCCAGATTTGCAGTTTCTCATATGTAACTTACATGGATTGTGGTGTGCATAATTTTAGGAGCATACATCACAAGTCATTGAAATACAGAACCGAGCATTCATGTATCTGAAGGCAAATGGTATTTGATTTCAAGCCAATCGGAACTAGAAGGTCTATACAGATTGTAGCTTTTCAGTGATTAATCTGCTTTTCTAACCTGTATTCTCATCAAAACGTAGTCAGCTAAACTTTGATAATGTTTAGAAATGGGTTAACTGATGCCAGTGTCACTGATACCCTCTAAAAATTGGCAAATTCATGAAACAAAACAGAGCATAAGTTGAATATTTTTTTAAATTGGTGTTAAAATTAAATTGTGGTACTTTTCATATACATCACTATTCATGCTTTCAGACCTGCCCCCCCTTTATTTTAGCATATATCATATCTCTACCACTGCCCACTTTCCATTTCTCTTATTCTCCTCCCCCAAGTTCCTCCCCCCCAATCTCTTTAAAAAACACCCTAACAAATAAAAAGAGAGTCGCAGTGGGGTGACCAATCTGCTAGAAGGAAAATCCGTAGCAAGTAATGAGGTAGAAGAATAGACAAAATCTCTAGGAGCTGATAACAGTTCATGTATGAACATATCACTATTCTCCTTAAAGAAGATTGCAAAATACTGTAATATGAGGTCGAATTAAACAATGTTTTTCGATACCATGATTACAGTCACATGTCCATTACTTTCAGGGCTAGAAAAGTGTGCTACATGCCCCCTACAATTTCATAAGCAGAAGCCAACCCCATCCCCACAATCCAGGCAAAGCTTCCATTTACAGAAGCCATCTGGACTGGCAATTGAATTTTACGTCCACATTGGTGACAGAACCGTGTTTTCTGCTGCACCTAAGAACAACAGGATAACTTAAACGGTCTTGGAAGGCTGCAGGGCACACAGACCTCTTGTCATCCTAAACATTATCACTGCTCACTCACCACTTTGCCTGGTGCCTGCGCAGATAAATGTTCCAGTGTTGCTGCACTAGTGTCAGCAGTCGTCATGTGAGCACACCTTGCATTTGCACACATGATTCCTGCTGGTGGTGTAGGTCCTGTTCTGGAAAGGATCAGGTGAAACTTCCCCAGGCAAAATGAAGAACAAAGCATGTTCGTGACTATCCATTTTTATCTTATGGTCTAGGGGCAATGACTGACAAGGGGGAAAAGAAATTTATTACAGACGTTGAATGTTAGCCAGTAACTTCTTACTGTAACTATGATCAGACTTGTGGCTTTCAGAACTGATTTGATCAGAGATAGTCCTATGACTAACTCTTGGTTACTAAGACTGAGCTATGCCATCAGCACTAATTGGATTGAATTAATCCCTTGGAATGTTGCATCCTAGTAACTTATCTGACAATCCGTAAATCTCTAGAAAATTTTAACAGAGGTGGATATGCCTTTCTGTTTGCACGGACTCTTCAAGAGGGAGAAGGGATAGACAAGTGAAGTAGTCATTATCCTGATACAGTTTTTATTTTTATATAGCTGCCATTGCCACTGTAGCATATATGGGCCCTTCTTACATTAATTCAGCAGTGTTCAAATCTGTGGACAGTCATTACAGTAAGAAAATGTGGTTTTCCCTACCACATCCCTTTTGAGGAGAGCCATAGCTTAGTAGTAAGTACACGTGCTGCATCCAAGAGGTCCTTGATTTAGTCTCTGCCATTTCCAGCTAATCAGGATGTGGGTGACGCTGTGGGTTAAACCACAGAGCCTAGGACTTGCCGATCAGAAGGTCGGTGGTTCAAATCCCTGTGACGGGGTGAGCTCCCGTTGCTCGGTCCCTGCTCCTGCCAACCTAGCAGTTCAAAAGCATGAAGTGCAAGTAGATAAATAGGTACCACTACAGCGGGAAGGTAAACGGTGTTTCCGTGCGCTGCTCTGGTTCGCCAGAAGCGGCTTAGTCATGCTGGCCACATGACCCGGAAGCTGTACGCCGGCTCCCTCGGCCAATAAAGCGAGATGAGCGCCGCAACCCCAGAGTCGGTCACGACTGGACCTAATTGTCAGGGGTCCCTTTACCTTTACTATTTCCAGCTAAGAAAGATCTTGGGTAGTTGGGCTGAGAATTACTTCTTTCTGCTTGAGGTCTTGCTGGTTGCAGTCAAAGAAGGCCAGATGGACCAGTATCTGTTTTTAAGGCAGCTTCATATGTGTTACATATAGACTTCTAGTTATTTGGATGGGGGCAGGGGAGATTGGGAAGAGAGCAACCAAATGTGTTGTTTCAGATAATTCTGTATGTTACTGTACCACTTACTGTATTTTTCGCTCTATAGGACGCACCTTTTCCCCTCCAAAAATGAAGGGGAAATGTATGTGCGCCCTATGGAGTGAATGCAGGCTTTCGCTGAAGCCTGGAGAGCGATAGGGGTCAGTGCGCACCGACCCCTCTCGCTGTCCAGGCTTCAGGAAGCTATCCGCAAGCCTTCAGAGTTCCCCTGGGCTCCGAAGGCTTGCGGATAGCAGCCTGCAGCCCGAAGCCTGGGGAACGCAGTGCCAACTCCCCGGGCTTTGGGCAGCTATCCACAAGCCTTTAGAGCGCTCCCCCAGCCCGCAAGCTCCGGGAGCGGTGGCAAGGCTGCGCAACCTTGCCTCCGCTCCCGGACCTGTTCTGGGGGCTGGGGTCGGGGGAAGCTCGGGCTTCCCCCACCCCAGCCCCGCGGCTAAAAACGAAGCCGCGCGCAGCCTCTCCCGGCTGGAGAGTTTGTGCGTGGCTAAAGAGGAAGCCAAGACAGCGGGATGGCTTCTTTGCTCTTTGGGGCTGGGGGGGGGGAATAATTTTTTTCCCCTTTATTTCCCCCCCTAAAAACTAGGTGCGCCCTATGGTCTGGTGCGCCCTATGGAGCGAAAAATACGGTAATTTGATGCACCTGATCAGTCAATTCCAGCCAGCTCCAAACTTGCTTGGAAGGAAATACGAAGCCTTCTTATTTAGCGTCCTTCCTTTCACAAATGGCTTCCTCTTGCCTGCAGTATCTCTTCTCCAGATGCTTTCTGACAAGAGGAAGGCAGAACATGATAGTGCCTCAGTTGTACTCAGCCCTTAGGGAGAAATGTAGGGTCATAAGAGGAAAACCTTGGCAATACAAGAAAACAAACTGTGGACTTAATGGCACTTAGAAGGGAAATTGGGTTAAGCAGTTAAAAGAAATGGCAGTTGCTCACATAAGACAAATCACAGTCCATTATTTGAGATGTGAAAACATAGTTATTCTTTTGAGCGAATATATTGTATTAGAAGCCTTCATCCAGAGAACAGCTTCAGGCAAGCCCTAAAATGGCAGTGATCAGAACAGGAAAAACACATACTTCTTCTATTTGCCAGAGTGATAGAAGATTTGTCAGCCCTTTGGGTATATCTGAGATAACGTACCAATACCAGGGATGGAAGAACACTAGATTTGCAGCTTGCTAGAAAAAGAGCTCTTGCTCTTTCCAGGATGGGGCTCAAAGCTGGACAAAATATCTAAGCTCCAACTTCAAGCCATATGCTCTTCACTTATGGAATCCAGCTTTGCCACCGATTTCCTATATTCTGCCACATAATTAATTTCCACTTTCTGTGGCACAGGACATGGGTGACGCTGTGGGTTAAACCACAGAGCCTAGGACTTGCTGATCAGAAGGTTGGCGGTTCGAATCCCCGCGACGGGGTGAGCTCCCGTTCCTCAGTCCCAGCTCCTGCCAACCTAGCAGTTCGAAAGCACGTCAGAGTGCAAGTAGATAAATAGGTACCGCTCCGGCGGGAAGCTAAACGGCGTTTCCGTGTGCTGCTCTGGTTCACCAGAAGCAGCTTAGTCATGCTGGCCACATGACCCAGAAGCTGTACTCTGGCTCCTTCGGCCAATAAAGCGAGATGAGCACCGCAACCCCAGAGTCGGCCATGACGGGATCTAATGGTCAGGGGTCCCTTTACCTATGTCACGTGTAGCAAACTTCTGGGCATTTTATTTGTTATAACTTGCTAGTTGTAGTTTTTGTTACTGAGTGGTGGATTTTTTGTTTTTTGTTTAAATTACCTTGTTAAGTTGCTTTGGAAATGGTTTGCCCTGAAAAGCAACATATATTACTTTAAATACATAAAACACGGTTGATTTTCTTATTTGTAATGGTTAGCCTTTCCTTTGAAAGGGGCATGGCTCAATAACTGCTATCACAGGCCTTAAATTAAGGAGAATGTCATGTAAAGCTAGAAATAATAAGAATAAGAACTGCCATGGAATCCAAATTATGCAAGGCACTAAAAGGTGTGTTTCCCTGTCCCATCCCAAATAGTTTTCAGTTTGTGTGATAAATTCATGTAGAGCTCTTCTCCTGTGTGAAAAGGAAGCAGGAATTCCAATTTCAGATAATTTGTAAATCTGGGCTTCAGCTGACTGGCATTGGTTTTGTCATAGATAGGGGTCCATAAATGTGTTTGCTGGTTGGTCAGCAGTTGCCACAAGTCTTTCTGGCAATTGTAAGTCCCTGGAATACCCAGTTCAAAGTGGGAGGCTTGCATTACAAAGAAAATGGAGGGGATGAGGCATGTCATTTTCACGCAACTCGTGAAACGGATTGATCTTGCTTAGTGCCAGGCTTTGGAGATACTTGGCGCATTTCCTGCTGCTTCCACGTGCCTCCAAAGCACGGTTTGGTTTGGCCCAGCCCTTCCCCTGAATCGCCTTACATGCCAGAGGGACGGTAGGGTGGTGGTGATCACAGATAATAGCTGGTTACTAAAAGCAAACCCAAATTTATGGACCCCAGGTCATAAAGCATCTGTTGCCCATGTTAAGATGCCTTTAATTCTGATTCCCTTCTCAAACTTCCAAGGTTGGTTCTGTGGTGGCAGTTGGCTGGATACGCTCCAAGAAGGCTGTTGACTGGCACCTCTTCCGCAATATCTTTGTCGCCTGGTTTGTGACTGTCCCCGTGGCTGGCTTGTTCAGCGCTGCCGTCATGGCTCTCTTCATGTACGCCATCCTGCCGTACGTCTGACATCGCTGCTCCTTCCATGGAAGAAGGGGGTGCCTCTGAGATAAAAGAAACAAAGGTCTCTCCTCCAGAGCGCAGAGCTCCCTATTTAAACCATGCAGTAAGAGCTAATCAGCAAGGATTTGTCGTCAGAATCTAACATCTGCTGTACATAACATCTGTGTCATTGGTGACATAACATGTGGTGCCGTTTTCTTATGTATTAAAGAAATATATATATATGCTTACAGTAGGTAACACTACCTTAAGTTATAAGTGAGGTGAAAATAATTGCCTAGAACTTAATCCCTAGTAAAACTTGTACATAATGTATCATTCAGTAGCCATTTTTTTAATCTTTTAAAAGAACCTGGGATGTGTTTGTCAGTTTGATAAATGATGAAGCAATCTGCAAAAAGATGAGATTCTTTTTTTGTAAAAAAAAAAAAAAAAGAGTGCTGTTCAATGATACTGGAAGCAAAGTGCAGAAGTACATTGGCAAAAACTCAGTTCATATCATATTGTTGTGTATAATACTGTATGAACATTGAATTTGTAAATACTTACAAAAATGTAACTTTTTAATGGTGCATTTCCCTCATATATTTTGGATAAGAAAGTTTAGAAAGTACCAAAGAAGGGGGAATAGCTTGTCAGTATTATATTTGTCTATCTGTGCGCTCTCTCTCTCTCTCTCTCTCTCTCTCTCTCTCCTCACCCTGCAACCCATTTAACTTTCTAATTAAAGTTATTTTCTACCAGTCAGCCACCAGCAAAGCCAGGATAGTATCGCTCATGTTTTACTGTAACAGGTAAAGTGTCGTACTGCTACAGTCTTACGTAAAAAATATCATCCACAGAGGATTTTAGTAAAAGCTCAGCTTCGTTATGTGTCAAACCTCAAATCAAACAAGTATTTTCCACCCCTTGTATATAGGTCCAATTCTGCTCTCAAAACAGCCATCTGTCAGCAAGCTCAAGGGAGGGGGGAGATGGGGTTTCAGAAAGGTTTTGCATTGCTTTTTCCTGATGCACCCAGTGTCAACGGTAACATAGATTGGCGGTGTTATGCCCAGTGTCTGAAAGGGAGCAATCTAGGACAGTTTGGGGTGCTAACCAACAGTATTTGGTGGTTAAGATTTTTATACTACAGTTACCCTCATAACTGGAGGAGGAGTGAATACAAGAACCATTTCTGATCAAATGTCGGAGCATGTGGAAGGAATCTAAGCTACAGCGCTCCCTGCCAGTTCAGTGCTCGCAGGGGAAGGAGCTGCAGTGTGGGTTCCTCTGTTGTCGCTTGGGACTTAGGACATTGCCAAGGGTGCCTGGGAAAAATCACATTGCGACTGCTTCGGAACTGCTAAAGGCAGTGTCCAATACTCAGAAACGTGTTGTCCCTTTTTGAAGAGGCATCCAAGTCTGCCAGTTGTCATATGAAGACACTACTGAAGAGACCTACAAGGTCTCTGGCCCTAGAACTGCAATTTGTCATAATTTGGTAGATACACATTGCTGAAACCCCCCCCCCCCCAAATCTTTACTAGTATAAAGGGACCGTATCAACCTGGCAGACAGTGGTTTGAATCCAGTTCCTCTTGCTATGGGAACCTTGAGTATAGGCTTTTGGGAAGCCTTGTTGAAAGGAATCTCTGTTCTTGAGCCATTCCCATCTGTTTCCATTGAGCTCATAAATGAGCACTTCCCAGAGGATTTTGCTACTTGTAACAGTGTCCAGGTTGGGTTTACTGGAGTGGGCTTGAGGAGGTCATGCTTGGAGAATGTTGGGAGCCTAGGACTGTTGAAATGCTGCTAAAAAAAATTCGATACATGAGCTTTCTTGGTACTCCATTGTGATCCTTTTTCATTGGTAATTCATTCTAAATTTATAATAAAAGAATACATTGCCCTAGAACTGCTTTCTTGTTTCTTGTTTTTTTTTTAAAAAGATACTGAACCATGTGTTTTTACTATTTACAACCTACTAAGCTGTGGGCGCTTCCTAACTCAAAGCATTCCTTGCCTACTTTGCATTTGTTATAATCCTTTCATTTGCTTTCACTCTGTGTGAGTTCTTGTTTAGAAATTTGTAACAATGGCCTGGAGGGGGGGGCACAGAGGAACACACCCATTGGCAAAGCCCAAATAAAGCCAAGTCTGTGTAAAGCAAACAAAAACTTCCATTTATTTCACTTGGGACTGTTTGTCCCAGGATGAAGATCCCCTTATGAATTACCATAGCACTCTTTCGGTAGTAATCCCGTAATGAACATCTCATACATAAAAATGCAAATGAATGTGCTTCCATGAGCCTAGAGAAAGCAATGCTTGGACGCTACTGTCACAAGCACACTTGTGCAAAGGAAATCCAGGGAAAATATGTCCTCCTTATTCAAGACCCAGTGCTGCTGTGGTTCTTGGCTTTAAAACTCAACTCTGCATTGTTTTAACAACACAAAGCACCTGAACATTAACTCATGGCTCATGACAGGATGATATAACTCACTAATGACGCAACCAGCATAATTTAAACCCTTGGTGAACTTTGTACAACAATTTGAGAATGCTTCTCTGCTTGCACATAAAAAGGAGCATGTTCATAAAGCAAACAGATTCTTTCCAGTCTGGAACATAGTCCTTAAGGAGCTTGACAGCTTTTTGGTGTTTACAAAGTGCTCCATGAGCAGAGGATGCGATCAACCGACATATATTTGAACATTCAGTGTACCTTAAGTCTGTTGCAATTCCTGACCTGTGTGACTGTCCATGAGGAATATGAACAAAAGATGTGCTCCCTCTTTTTGGTGTGTTTAGGACAAAAGTGATCACTAGCAGGGGACTGGGTGCTGTTAACATGCTATCCGGTTATAGCCAACAGTCTTGGCCCCCTCAGCTGCCATGGCAACAGGAGTTTGCTTCATTGCAGTCAATGGGCATATGTTGCCAACATCTTATCAATAGGCATTATATGTCTCAACAGCTGAAGGTGTGCTTGGCATCGAAGCAAACAAAGCCCTTGGCTTTCAATTCTGTTTATTGACTTGACCCCCCACTTTAAATCCCGCTCCAAGCTTCTTCCCAGTAATGCCAGATATTCAAATAGCAGTGTATCATTTGCCTGGTGTGACTTTGAAAAGGCTGCACTCACGATTTATTTTTATTCATTTAGAAGCTTTGTAGCTTGCCTTTTCACACACGTGCGGAAGGTGGCTCACAGTGTCAAATATAAAAACGCAGTAAAAAGAAAAGCAGAGCAACTGCAAACCAGCAGCAGAAAAAAAGCAATCATGTTAAGAGTCTGATGGTCTTCACCTGTTGCCTCAAAGAAAGGTGCAAGACCTTGCCAGGGAGTGTGTCTTAGAGACAAGGTACCACTACTGAAAAGGCCCTGCGCCCATTTTGCCACCCACACACCTGGGGCAGTGTGTTCAGGATTTGGATAATGGCAGAAAGCTTGATTGTTTCAGTTATTGCAGCTACCAAAAAAAGCAGCAGAGCAAGGGAATATCAAACCATGCAGGTATCATTCCAGCGTTCTGTGGTCTTGCAATAGAACTGCTTTGAAATGGACAAGAAACCATGCAATTGGATGTGGCTTGCACAAAGATCACTTGATGGCTGGATATGTGAAGTTTGGTACCTAGATGTATAAATGGGCTTCAGTGAAGGACCCTGAGCATAAATTGTTGATGAAAGTGCTTTCTGTTGGGGGGTCTAATGACATATAGGCAAAATTCTGAATGTTTCTGTACAGTGAAATCACTCGGCAACATCGGCATCTAACAATTAAAATGCTGTTGTATAACATTCACGGATCCTCACTGCGTGTTGCAGAAACCTGGCTACTAGTTTTCACATACAGCATATGAGTTAGTAAAACTCTTTCCAGGCAGTTTTGCTATGCCATAATAAATTTGTTAGTCTTTAAAGTGTCACTGCAGTTCGTTTTTGCTGTAAAATATTAATGTGACCACTCCTGGTACCACTTCTGGTTAGTATTTGGGGAGAAGGTATCACACAATTGAATATTCAGCTATATAAACAACCTCTTGCCCATAGAAAGCTAAATATCTGGGAGAACTAGCCCAGCCCTTTCATTGATGTGGTAACTTCATATGAAGTTTCTTTCACATAGAAGGATTCAGCTGTGCAATCTCCTACAGGTAATGTTAACAGGTAACAGTCTTAGAACATTTTTACCACCGTATCCACATTTTCTTTTGGACATCTAGACTCGCAATTCGATTTCTATCTGGCTGTTGTTTGAACAAAGTGCTGTGTATTCCAGCACCTCAGTTTAACTTGGCATTGTGCTATAATGCATCATAGCTTTGGCTGTGCTGCTTTGTCAACATGCCTAAATTCAGTTCAGCTTCTAAACTGATTTCTAGCAGATACATTTGAAGGTCAAGCTAGACGGTGATGGGCTTAGCTTCCCATGCTCCCCCGCCATACCTCCTTGTGCTCTGTTTTTTCAGACCTTTTCCTCCCAATCTGGATAATTTTTGGTACTGTAAAAATTAAGCCTCCTGCCCCTGCTAAAGACACAAACAGAAAAGACATGTAAAGAACAAGGGCAGTTGTCCCGTTGCATTTAGCTTGACTCTGAAAGATGTCTCTGTGGATTTGTCCACAAACTCTTGCACGGTGCATAATTTTGATGGAATCATTCTTGCAAAGTTGAAGGAGCATTTTTCTGTGCACTGTTATATAGAAGTACTTTTGATCTTGGCTCTTGATCCATTTCTTGGTCACAGGAGAGGAGAATAGGCAGCAAAGGATGAACCCATCTGAAGACGAGAGCATGAACTTTGCATCTGAGGGGGTTGTGACATCCAGGAACCACATTCTGACATGTGCTAGGCCCTTATAGGGCAATCATGTAACGTTCTGCATTTTCTGCTGTTGCAATCCCCCCCCCCCCCTGGTTCTGGGAGAGGCCTCCTCAAAGGCACCATAAATTTGCTATACCTGCCTTGGGGGGCTGGATTAATCATTTCCTGTCTGCAATTTGGAACTTCATGGGCAAGCTGAACTTTCCATGTATCTGCAGAAGCAGCTGAATAACTTGTAGCTTAAACAGACTTCTCACCTCCAGGTCAACTTGTCCCTTCTGATAAATGTGATCTGTCTTTTCCACCTGGGCGAAGCCTTTTGCTGTGTCACCGAGGCATATAAATCTCTGCTAATCTCTTGATTCATAGTATGGCTTTCCTTAATTTTAATGCCAATGTGTTGCTGCAAGAGTGAGGCCTCCAGGCTGCAGACAGAACCAGGAGGAACCTCTGGATTTAAAGGCATAAATCCCCCCCAGTGAGCTACAGGAACAGCTGCCTCACTTGAAACAAGCACATGGTGTGTAACCGTATCTGCAGTAGGAAAATGTTATGCAGAAATAGCATTGGGGTAGATGTTTCTAAACAATGTCGCCGCTTCTAGAGTTACAGTCCTGCCTAACATGCACTAATGTGCGGCCAGTCATGGGACGCTCACAGGAACTGTTCTGGTGTGTACAAAATTAAGAACAAAGCTCCGGCTTACCCAGAGCTTAGCTCCGGCAGATGCCGCTGCTAAAAATAAACCAACCCTTCATGATCCGAAATAATATAATATTACCAGCATGTTTGCACTCTTTGGCCCCATGAGGGATTGCGGGGTCACTGGGTTTCTCGATTTAGATCCCCCTGGGCCAAAGAAGTGTTCAAATATCATCGTCTCATGCCGCTTCTATGAAATGCAGAGAAATGGATTTTGAGCTAAGACTCTGCAATTCCACAAAGGAGCATGAGCAAAGAATTTAGAAGCCGAGCAGAAAACTTTTGATTTTGTGCAGCAGCAGCTTGTTGTTTAGCCGTTTAGTCGTGTCCGACTCTTTGTGACCCCATGGACCAGAGCACGCCAGGCACTCCTGTCTTCCACTGCCTCCCGCAGTTTGGTCAAACTCATGCTGGTAGCTTTGAAAGCACTGTCCAACCATCTTGTCCTCTGTCGTCCCCTTCTCCTTGTGCCCTCCATCTTTCCCAGCATCAGGGTCTTTTCCAGGGAGTCTTCTCTTCTCATGAGGTGGCCAAAGTATTGGAGCCTCAGCTTCAGGATCTGTCCTTCCAGTGAGCACTCAGGGCTGATTTCCTTCAGAATGGAGAGGTTTGATTTTCTTGCAGTCCATGGGACTCTCCAGAGTCTCCTCCAGCACCAGAATTCAAAAGCATCAATTCTTTGGCGATCAGCCGCCTTATGCCGGTTAAATAACTTGTTTGGATTCTGTGCTACCCACCACACAGCAACATCTAAAGCACAACCATAGCTGCAGAGGGGGGAAGAGAGGGAACGTCATAACAGCAGCCGTTCCCACCGCATTCCTAGCAATTCTGTCACCAACCACCAGCCATAAGGCCATTCACTGACAACGCCCCTACATTTACCCATCCACGGAGAGTGCAAATAACATGAAGCAATGGCAGGAACACTTCTCTGTCAAACAGAAACTGAATCCGATCTATACTCTTCCATCCACGATGCAAGGTGTGCTGCTACAAAGATCCCACACTGGTTCCCGGTAGACCTGAAGGAGCGTCTCCACCCCCATTTTCCAGCCCAGACACTGAGGTCCAACTCCGAGGGCCTTCTGGCGGTTCCCTCACTGTGAGAAGTGAAGTTACAGGGAACCAGGCAGAGGGCCTTCTCGGTAGTGGCGCCCGCCCTGTGGAACACCCTCCCATCAGATGTCAAGGAAATAAACAACTATCTGACTTTTAGAAGACATCTGAAGGCAGCCCTGTTCAGGAAATTTTTAATGTTTGATTGTATGATGATGATGCTAGGAGCTGCCCAGAGTGGCTGGGGAAACCCACCCAGATGGGTGGGGTATAAATAATAAATTGTTGTTGTTGTTGTTGTTATAATAGCAAAGCAGTGCCACAGCTCATGGGTCAATTGAACATGAAGCTAAGCCTGCAGCCCAAGGCAACAGCAGGATTCCCTTCTTTGGCCAGAGAACTAGCCAGACACAGACAGATGGAGTCGCATCCCAGTATCAGAGTAACCAAGCAGTTCTATAGCTCAGGAGGTCTGCCCATATTTTATTATTATTATACATACTGTATTTTTCTGTGTATGACGCCCCCATGTATAAGATGGCCCCAATTTTTTTTAACCCAAAATTAAGAAAATGCACTATGCGCTATCTGTGTATAAGACGACCCCTTATTTTAAACTTCAAAAATTTAGGGAAAAATATAGTCTTACACACGGAAAAATACAGTATATATTTATTTATACCTCGCCTTTTTCCCTGGCAGGGGCTCAAGGCGGCTTACAGATAAAAATAAGAACGACTGAAAACGTAGGGGGGGGGAAATATCATTATAGAGCAAACAGTGTTAGAATTAAAGCTCTACCCTACAGTAAATTGACTGCATGGGGCAAAGTGATGGGAATTTGGCTGTGAGAACTGGTGAACTGACCCAGATAAACGAATCCTCAATTGGGAAAACCCTAGCAGAATGGGAGACTTCCTGCTTCAGAGAGCAGTAAAACGAGCTCTGATTTACTCTTCTTAGAGAGGAGGGTAAGCTGAGTTTTCAGTTTCAAAAGAGGACAGTACCCCTAACCATGGGGGGAAATTCCATGGGAATTTTTTTCCGGTGAGGGGCAGCAAAGCGCACCAAAAGCAGGCTGATTCCTCCTCAAAAATAAAATAATTGCCCCATGCACATTTAGTCCCATTTTTCAGGTTCTACAACTGCTTGAAACCTTCTCTCTCCTAAATGAAAGCTGGGAGTTGGGGGATTATAGTTCATCCTTTGTAGATGCCCACACCTCTACAACTTTTCACAGTTGCGGATGAGATTTGAGCAAGGACATGTGGTGGACTTGCAAAGAGGTAAAGGCTTTCTGGGAAATGGTGTATAATGAGTTAAAGAAAGTGTTCGAAAACACTTTTGTTAAAAAACCAGAAGCCTTTCTATTGGGGATAGTGGGTGAAAAGATACCAAGGGAAGATAAAAGAGTATTTATGTATGCAACAACAGCGGCAAGAATTCTTTTAGCCCCAAAATGGAAACAACAAGAAGTACCAACGAAAGAAGAGTGGCAGATGAAGATGATGGACTTTGAAGAACTGGTGAAGCTGACAGGAAAAATTCGATCAAGTATTCCAAAAAGACGAGTAAATTCATCCGATATCTGAAAGATCATTGTAAGCAATTAACATCCCTAGCACGGTTGTCTGAAGACTTGTAATGAGAAATTTTCTATATCTATCTATCATCTATCTATCTATCTATCTATCTATCTATCTATCTATCTATCTATCTATCTATCTATCTATCTATCTATCTATCTATCTATCTATCTATCATCTATCTATCATCTATCATCTATCATCTATCATCTATCATCTATCTATCTATCTATCTATCTATCTATCTATCATCTATCTATCTCTATCTATCTATCTATATCTATCTATCTATCTGTCTATCTATCTATCTATCTATCATCTATCATCTATCTATTTTTGAGATATTCTGTAATGAGTGTAATTAGAATTGGAAAATGTCTAAATTGCAATGATATAAAAGTTAATTTTGTGTTTTTTTTTTAAATGATATTTATTAAAGTTTCACAAAAATACAGAAAACAAAGAAAAAAGTATAAATTACAGCAAAAAAGTAAAAAGTAAGAAAAAACATACAAAATAAAACAGATATAAAAGTTAATTTTGAAAGCCATGAGGCTTTCATGTAAGGTTACTGAGGTAAACCAGTGTTGCTGTGAGGGAAAGACTCGTAGCCTCTTAACAATTCAGTTTGGCTAATCTAACTGGTCACGTTCCAGAATACCGCTGAACAGCACACCACACTCGAGTTGCACAACATGACTCCTGTTTTTTCCCTGCCCGCGCTCTGCCTTAAGTAACCTGCAGCTAATGACTTAACATTCTTCAACTCCTTTGGCCGCAGTCCACTAATACCCAGCTTAAGCCTTGCTGCTTATTTTCAAAGTGCCTAAGCAGCTCCTCTTTTCTCTAGCAGCAGCAGCATCTCCCAGCCCACATACCAAACCGTTATAGTGCATTTCCAAAGTGTGGCTTGTTCCCTGGAAGTTAAAACTGAGAATCGCTGCAGACTTTGACATTATGGAGCATGTTGGGCGCCGTTGCTGCCTTGCCTCAGAGTGCAAGTAGCAGCCAGAGGCAGGACCAGATTTATCAACAGGCAAAGCAAGCCTGCGTCTCAGTCCCCAAATGGAGAAGGAAAAAAGTAAGGACAATTAACTGTACTTTTTTGTGTGTTTTTGGCGACTGAAGGAGCGTCTCCACCCCCATCTTTCTGCCTGGACACTGAGGTCAAGTGCCGAGGGCCTTCTGGCGGTTCCCTCGCTGCGAAAAGCCAAGTTACAGGGAACCAGGCAGAGGGCCTTCTCGGTGGTGGCACCTGCCCTGTGGAACGCCCTCCCACCAGATGTCAAAGAGAACAACAACTACCATACTTTTAGAAGACATCTGAAGGCAGCCCTGTTTAGGGAAGCTTTTAATGTTTGATGCATTACTGTATTTTAATATTTTGTTGGAAGCCGCCCAGAGTGGCTTGGGAGGCCCGGCGAAATGGGCGGGGTATAAATAATTTATTATTATTATTATTATTATTATTATTATTATTATTATCATTATCATTATCATCATCATCATCATCATCATCATCATCATTATTTCAGAAAATGAGGGGAGATGGCAAACAATTATTGAGCTTTTCGGAGGTAGGATTGTCCAGAGTTGTTGAGCTTTTTTGGGGGGGGGCAGGGATTACTGAGGGTTGCTGAGCTTTCTTTTTAGGGGGAAATGCCGAAAATCGCTCCCCCCCCCACGTGTCGCAAAATCCGCCTCCCATCTGTCCCCTCGTCGACAGAAGCTGCCAATCAACCGCCAAGTTGCCGCAGCAACCAATAACACGCGAGCAACCAATAACACGCACAATAGCCACTGACAGATGCGGCAGCAACCAATCAAACGTCCACCCTATGCACTACCCATGTATAAGACCCCCACTTTCTTGCATGATTTTTAAGGGGAAAAACCTAGTCTTACACACACAAAAGTACAGTACCTTCTGTGCCCAAACTCAGCTGAGGCAAACCACCATTGCCTGATGAACCTGCTTTGCGACACTGCCGACGCAACTTCTGGTTTCTATCGGATTTTGTGTCGGAGGCTTGGCAGGTCCTCAGAGGCCATGTCCAAGGCCTCATGAAACCTCTGGCATGATTTCTGTTATCTACCAGAAGTTGCATCAGAGACTTCTCAGGACCTCGGACGTCGCCTTGGAGGTTGTGTTGGAGTCCTGCAGTGTGGGTGCTGAGCACCTCCCCCCAAAAATTGTGGGTGCCCACCCACTAGTCGGTGCCAGTGACTGCTGTCCAATGTTTGTGGGGCCACGGGTTGCCTCCTCCTGTTGTAAATATTCATGATTTGATTTTTGTTCCCCCCGCACCTAGGTGAGGTACGATCTTTACCTTTTACAGTGGTACCTTGGGTTAAGTACTTAATTCATTCCGGAGGTCCGTACTTAACCTGAAACTGTTCTTAACCTGAAGCACCACTTTAGCTAATGGGGCCTCCTGCTGCCGCCACGCCACCAGAGCATGATTTCTGTTCTCATCCTGAAACAAAGTTCTTAAACTGAAGCCCTATTTCTGGGTTAGCGGAGTCTGTAAGCTGAAGCGTATGTAACCTGAAGCATATGTAACCCGAGGTACCACTGTACAGTGCTTGAGAACCTCAGTTTTTAAGCTAACTAGGGCCTCCACAAATCTGCACTTGGCCTGACCTTGGTCTGGGGCTACAGAAGCAAGCCCCTCTAACTTTTCCTGAGTTCATACCTCTTGAAATACTGTCTAACCCAGGGGTCAGCAACCTAAGGCCCATGGGCCGGAAGTGGCCCATGGAGGTTGTTTGACCGGCCCACAAGCCACCCCTGAACCAAGCTGCCCACTCGCGCGCTGCGCTAAACCGCCGCAGCATGGCTCAGAGACTCACTTCTGCGGTGCCGAAAATCATGTCTGCGTAGACACCAAAAATTGTGGGCAGACGTGCTCATGCGCACATGCAATCTGTTTATCAACTCCATCTGGTACGCAGGCTGAGACCCTACCTGCCCACGGACTGTCTCGCCAGAGTGGTGCATGCTCTGGTTATCTCCCGCTTGAACTACTGCAATGCGTTCTACGTGGGGCTACCTTTGAAGGTGACCCGGAAACTACAACTAATCCAGAATGCGGCAGCCAGACTGGTGACTGGGAGCGGCCGCCGAGACCATATAACACCGGTCTTGAAAGAGACGTTTCCGAGCACAATTCAAAGTCTTGGTGCTGACCTTTAAAGCCCTAAATGGCCTTGGTCCAGTATACCTGAAGGAGCGTCTCCACCTCCATCGTTCTGCCCGGATACTGAGGCCCAGCACCGAGGGCCTTCTGGTGGTTCCCTCCCTGCAAGAAGCCAAGTTACAGGGAACCAGGCAGAGGGCTTTCTTGGTAGTGGCACCTGCCCTGTGGAACACCCTCCCACCAGATGTCAAACAGAAAAATAACTACCAAACTTTTAGAAGACATCTGAAGGCAGCCCTGTTTAGGGCAGCTTTTAATGTTTAATAGGTTATTGTATTTTAGTGTTTTGTTGGGCGGGGTATAAATAATAAATTATGATGATGATGATGATGATGATGATGATATTATTAAGATCTTCCTTTAAAAAAAATTAAAAAATATTTTTATTACAATATTTTTATTAAATATTTCTCAGTTTACAAAAATACCTGCGTTGTCTCTTTATTTTCAAGTTGCGTTTCCTACAGATCAGTTTCGTTTGCTGACAGATGTTAATCTGGAAGATCTTTCTGACGATAAGAGCTGTTTGACAGTGTTGGAGGTGTAGTGGGAGTAATGGCGACATGTATCATATGTGGTGGACATGTAGGAAGATCAAAGTGTTCTGGGTTTAATTTACGAGGAGTTGAAAAAATGGTTTGGAATAACTTTTTTAAAAAGACCAGAGGCATTTCTGTTAAGCATTGTTGGCAGGGACATCCCAAAGGCCTTTAGGGAGGTATTTTTATATGCAACGGCCGCAACTCGGACTTTGGTGGCAAAGGGGTGGAAGGAACAAGAAGCCCCGACAATAACAGATTAGCATAACAAGCTACAAGAATTTGCTGAAATGGTTCAGTTGACAAATAGCCTGAGAGGCAATTCAAAACCAAAAATTATGGAAAAGTGGGATAGATAGAAGATATACGTTCAAAAATATAGTAAAGGTTCCTTATCTATGCTAGCATTCAATTGACGTTGGAGAGAGACTGGGTTGCGAAATAAGACCAAGGGTACATATTGATATAGGAATGTATTAGATAAAATGTAAAGAAATATACAATAATAAGAGTACATTCATTTGGAAAAAAGGAATCTGCAACGGGATAGACAGGAAGTCTAGTGTGTTGGTATGTATATGATTTTGGGGGGGGGATGGCTTTTGGTTTCTATTCTTTGTTCTTTCTTTTTTGTTTCATTTTCTTTATAGGTATATAAAATTTGTATATAATTTTTGTATACAGTGGTACCTCGGGTTACATACGCTTCAGGTTACATACGCTTCAGGTTACAGACTCCACTAACCCAGAAATATTACCTCGGGTTAAGAACTCAACTCAGGTTGAGAACAGAAATCGTGCTCCGGCAGCGGGGCAGCAGCAGGAGGCCCCATTGGCTAAAGTGGTGCTTCAGGTTAAGATCAGTTTCAGGTTAAGAACGGACCTCCGGAACGAATTAAGTACTTAACCCGAGGTACCACTGTACATGTTGGAAATTATATTATAGTAAGTCCTGTAATGTAATATGACAACCTTTATCGATGTAATATAAGAATGTTAACAAATAAAGAAAATGCAAATTCAAAAGAAGAAAGAAAAAGAGCTGTTTGACAGTGGAATGGACTCCTTCGCAAGGCGGTGGAATCTCCTTCATTGGAGGTTTGTAAGAAGTGGTTGGATGGCCCATCTGCCATGGATGCTTTAGCTGAGATTTCTGCATTGCAGGAGGTTGGACAAGATGACCAACTACAATTCTGTGATTCTTTGTAGATCATAGCTGTCAACTTACAGATTTGAAAATAAGGGACCAGCAGCCTTGAAAATAAGGGATCAGCGGGACAAAATTTTGGGCCTGCATTACGAAAAACCTTTGACAATCATACAATCAAAAGTGGAAATCTTTAAAGATATACCAAAACATCTTCTTGACTTAAGACAGGATTTTGGAGACTTGGTGGCCTTGTTGAGAAAAAATAAAATCCTTTTCAGGTGGGAATTCCCCCAAGGTCTATCCTTTAGTTTTAAAGGAAGAAAGACCAAGATTAGATCAGTGGAGGAAAAGAACAAGTTTTTGAGTGCATACGAAGAAGATCTACAGAAAGGATTGGGAAAAGACACTGCGATACTGGATAAGAGTCTGCAAAAAAAAGTGAAACCAACGCCACCGACAGACATAGACAATCTTCTTGGGGCTGTTGGAGGAGAAGGAGAGTAACTACAAAATGACACTACAAGTTTTAAGCTGGAATATTAACGGTCTAAATTCGTCGGCAAAAAGGGGGAGAGTATTCCATACATTGAGAAAAGAACATTTGGACTTGATTTGCTTACAAGAGACTCATGTGACAAGGCTACATCGGAAAATTTTGATAAATAAAAGATTGGGAGAAGAATTCATTTCATCGGACAATGTAAAAAAAGAGGGGTAGTACTTTATGCGAAGGAAAGCCTGTCACCAAAATTTATATTTAAAGATGATCAAGGAAGATATATAGCAATTGAAATTCAGTTCCAAGGACAGAAATTTTTGATAATAGGTGTATATGCACCAAATGAGGGAAAATCAGAATTCTTTAAGAAATTGCATGAAACTCTCCTGGATTATTTGGATTACAACATTATTTTGATGGGAGATATGAATGGAGTAGTGTCTACAAATATGGATAAAGCCCAAAGACAAACAGTGACAAAAGATGGAAGACTACCAAGGACATTTTTGAAATGACTGACAATATGGATCTTGTGGATATTTGGCGAATAAAGAACCCCTTGGAAAGAGAAGGAACCTTCTTCTCTGAAGCAAATATGACATGGACAAGAATAGACCAAATCTGGATAACTAGAGGACTGGCCCCTAAGATTAAAAAAGCGGTGATTTGCCCGAAAATTTGCTCTGATCACAATCCAGTAAAGATTGAAATGATATCAACGCCAATTGGAGCTTTTAGATGGAGGATGAATGACTCCTTATTTAGGAATGAGGAAATTATTAAAAAGGCTCAGAAGAATTTGAGAGACTATTTTGAGATAAATTTGAATACCACGACAGAAAAAGAGTGATTTGGGATGCCAGCAAAGCGGTGATGAGAGGATTTTGATACAACAAAACGCAATTAGGAAAAGATATCAAAATGAGAAGAGAGAAAAATTTTGGAGAAAATTAAGGATGGAGAAAAAAGACTGAGGGCGAAACCGAACTCACAGGAGATTCTAAAAGAGATAAAGCTATACCAAGTACAATATATGAAATTGATGAACCAGGAGATAGAATGGAAGGTCAAACAGATGAAACAAAAGACCTTCGAATCGGCAAATAAATGTGGGAAATTACTGGCCTGGCAAATGAAAAAAAGACAAAAGCTGAATACGATTACGAACTTGGTAGTAGAAGGGAAGAACATACAGAATCCTGGAGAGATTCGGAAGTGCTTTCAGAACTATTTTAAACAGTTATATACGCAGGAGACTCAGAAAGAATTAGACATTGATCGATTTTTGAAAAATAATGGATTACAAAAAGTATCTCAAGAGAGTAAATCAATATTAAATTCTACAATATCTGATCAAGAGGTGGAAGGAGCCATTCAGAATATGAAATTGGGCAAATCTCCAGGACCGGATGGACTAACTGCAAAGTACTACAAATCTTTGAAAGAATGGTTATTGCAACCGCTGAAAGAACTTTGCAATGAAATACTACGGGGAGGAAAAGCACCCGAGTCGTGGAAAGAAGCATACATTACACTTATACCAAAAACCGAAGTGGAGAAGACACAGTTGAAGAACTACCGTCCCATATCCCTACTTAATGTGGATTACAAAATTTTTGCGGAAATTATGGCTAAAAGATTAAAATGTATTGGTAAAAGAGATTCATAAAGATCAGGCGGGCTTTCTCCTGGGAGACATCTGTCAGATAATACTAGGAATATTATCAATATTTTGGAAAAATTGCAAGTTAATATCAATACTAAAGCTGTCTTAATATTTGTAGATGCAGAGAAAGCGTTTGACAATATTTCTTGGAGTTTTATGAAGAAAAATTTGCAGGGGATGGGGGTAGGCCAAAGTTTTGAAAATGGTATAGGTGCAATTTATTCGGAACAAAAAGCTAAGCTTATTGTGAACAATGTAGTTACAGAAGAATTTAAGATAGAGAAAGGAACAAGACAGGGTTGCCCAATCTCCCCATTGCTTTTTATATCGGTCCTGGAGGTTTTGCTCAATATGATTAGAAAAGACCAATTGGTTAAAGGTATACAACTCGGAGCTAAACAGTACAAATTGAAAGCTTTTGCTGATGATTTAGTTTTGACATTACAGGAGCCAGAAGCCAGCACAAAAAGAGTATTACAATTAATCCAAGAATTTGGTCAAGTAGCAGGTTTCAAATTAAACAAGACGAAAACTAAGGTATTAGAGAAAAACCTTACAGAGATTGAGAAGGAGAGGTTTCAGAAAGAGACAGGATTAACAATAGTTAACAAAGTGAAATATCTAGGGGTGAATATGACTGCTAAAAATGTGAATTTGTTTAAAGATAATTATGAAAAATGTTGGTCAGAAGTGAAGAAGGATTTAGAAATATGGTCAAAATTGAAGTTATCATTGTTGGGCCGAATTGCTGCGATAAAGATGAATGTATTGCCTAGAATGTTGTTTTTGTTTCAAACATTGCAAATTGTGGATAAAATGGACTGTTTCAAGAGGTGGCAAAGAGATATTTCCAAATTTATCTGGCAGGGCAAAAAGCCTAGAATAAAATTTAAGATATTAACAGATGCGAAGGAAAGAGGGGATTTGCCCTGCCAGATCTTAAACTTTACTATGAATCAGCCGCTTTTTGCTGGCTGAAAGATTGGCTACTTCTTGAAAATGTGGACATTTTGGATCTAGAAGGTTTTGATAACGTGTTTGGATGGCATGCATATTTATGGTATGACAAAGTTAAAGCGCATAAGGCCTTTAAGAATCATATTGTCAGGAAAGCATTGTTTAATGTTTGGGTGAGATATAAGGATTTGTTGGAAAGTAAAACACCAAGGTGGCTGTCACCAATGGAGGCAAAGGCATTGAAAAAAACTAATATGGAGACAAACTGGCCAAAATATTGTGAAATTTTAGAACAAGTTGGAGATAAACTAAAACTGCAGAGTTTTGACAAATTAAAAACTAAAGTCCGAGATTGGCTTCACTATTATCAAATAAGGGAGGTTTTTAACCTAGAGAAAAGATTGGTTTCCAGGAGGAAAAATCTAAACTGGAAACGGAATTGTTAGAACCTAAAACTAAAAATCTGTCAAGAATGTATAATCTGCTGTTGAAATGGAATACACAGGATGAAATGGTTAAGTCTGCTATGATTAAATGGGCACAAGATGTTGGGCATAATATTATGTTTGCTGACTGGGAACGGTTATGGACCACAGGTATGAAGTTTACGGCTTGCAATGTATTAAGAGAAAATATAATGAAAATGATTTATAGGTGGTACTTAACCCCAGTCAAGCTAGCCAAAATTTATCATTTGCCCGATAATAAATGTTGGAAATGCAAAGAAAATGAAGGAACCTTTTTCCACCTTTGGTGGACGTGCCCAAAGATCAAGGCCTTCTGGGAAATGATATATAATGAACTAAAAAGGTATTGAAATACACTTTTGTGAAGAAACCAGAGGCCTTCCTCTTGGGCATGGTCGGCCAATTGGTGCGAAGGGAAGATAGGAATTTTTTATGTATGCGACAGCAGCGGCAAGAATACTTATTGGGAAATACTGGAAGACACAAGAATTGCCTACCCGAGAAGAATGGCAGAGGAAAGTGATGGACTATATGGAACTGGCTGAGATGACCGGCAGAATTCGAGATCAGGAAGAAGGGTTGATGGAAGAAGACTGGAAAAAATTTAAAATATATCTTCAGAAACACTGTAATATAAAAGAATGTTAGAAAAAGGTTGGAGAAGAATATTAGACCGTATTGGCAGACAGGGTATAATGGAATAAGTAAATATGAAGTGTAAAATGAGGATAGAGGAGAATTAAATACTTTCGAATGTTAAAATAAGTAAAAGAAAAGAAGGTTAGAAGGATTTGCTGGAGATACGATTTAAACTAGAATACAAAGCAGGGAGGTGAGAGGAAGTCATGGAAACAAGTAAAAGGGAAAAAGGTTGTAATGGTCTAATTTGATTTTTGTTATTTTTTACTGTGATTTTTTGTCTTTCTTATTTTTTTTTTTAATTGTCTGTTTTTTGTAAGATGTGTGTGGTTTGTTTTTTCTATATTTTTTGTAACTTTAAAACTGGAATAAATATTCTTTAAAAAAAAAAATGAAAATAAGGGATCAGCAGCCAAAATAAGGGATTTCCCAAGCACAGGTATGTTCAACTTCTGGGCCCCTCCGAGCCAAAGGCAGAAAGCCCAGCCAGCAGCCAAACGAAGTCTCAAGCGGTGGTTCCCACAGCGCAGCAACCCAGCAAAGGGGATGCAGCAAGGAAAACCACCGTCACCTCTCCGCTGGGAAGCGCTGAGCAAAGGCGAGTCCCCAGGCAATGCGGCCGATTTGATCGGCACAAGGCATGCAAGCTCCACCCCACGGTCGTTCTTAGACTCCTTATTGGGTGAGCAATGCAGCCAAAGCAACACAGTTGGAGCCTCCCTCCTCCCTGGCCAACAGGGAGGAGCTGCTTCCTTTGAAACCCGGGAAATTTAAGGGACATTATCAATAAGGGACAGCAGTGAGACACAGCGCAGGGATAAGGGACTTTCCCGCCAAATAAGGGACGGTTGACAGCTATGTTGTAGATGTTCCCTGGCATGTCTCTCTTAAAAGCTTTTTAGGTAGCAGGATTAGAGAACATCCCTTTTAAGGTCCCTAAGAACTGCTGCCAGCCAGTAGACAATACTCAGAGGCACCAGTGATGTGACTCATATGGCAGCTTCCTATTTTCTTAATACACTCTCAGGTTTTCATAACATGCTCTCAATTTACATTAATGAAAGGTGTGTTTAAAAATGGGTTTCATGGAGCAGAATAAATCACCCAAGAACCCAGGATGCCTTGGTTCAGTGGAAACGCTCATCAATTCAGGAAATATCTGGTTTCATTTTTACTAGACCTTTTAAAAAAAACCTGAACCATCCACACTGTCATCTTCTATTTTAAAAATAACTTATCCATGCAGAGCTTTCAAGCTCAGTGTTTTCCAGAGAGGGAGAGGGAGCTTATTGAGGAAATTAAATTATTTTGACAGTCTAATGCTAGGAAAAGCTTATGAAGGGAGGGTTAACTTTATTTGGGGGTCATAAGAACTGGCAGGGGAAGAAAGAGAGGATGGTTTGTTTTTGTTTTAAATTTTTATTTGTGATTTTCAGGTTTATACGTTTCAATAATTTTACAGTCATTTTAGCATTTCCAAACTTGACTTCCTTCCCCCTCTTTCTGCGGTCCCTTGAATTTATTTTGAATAACTTCTGCATATCCAAATTAATTTAATTTGTTCATTTATCCATCTCCTTTAAATATATACTCTTATGAAACTGCAGGTTATTATAATAATCCTGCCAATATTCTTATTTGTTTACAATTTGTCTGCAAATATTCAATAAACCATTTCCATTCTTTTATAAAAAGTTTGTTATCTTGATTTCTTATTCTTCCGGTAAGTTTCACAATTTCTGCATATTCCGTTAGTTTTTGTATCCATTCTTCCTTTGCTGGGACTTCTGCTTCTTTCCATTTTGGGGCAAGTAACATTTTTGCAGCTGTAGTAGCATACAGGAATAAATCTCTATACAATTTAGGTAGTTCTGTCTCTATAATTCCCAAAAGAAAAGCTTCTGGGTTTTTTTCCCCCCAAACGTTATTTTTCAATTCATTATATATCATTTCCCAGGAAGCTTTAACCTTACTACAAGACCACCACATGTGATAAAAAGAACCTTCTTTCTCTTTACATTTCCAACAATTATTTGATTCAGATTTATACATTTTTGCCACTTTATTCGGTGTTAGGTACCATCGATATATAATTTTTTGTTAGACCATAACATGCCGTAAATTTTATATCCATATCCCACAATCGTTCCCCTGCTGCCATATCTATATTATGACTGATATCTATTGCCCAGTGTATCATTGAGGGTTTTACTTGCACATCCTTTGTCTCCCATTCCAATAATATCTTATACATTTTAGACAGCGCTTTTACATTACATTCCTACTAGTCTCTCTCCAGTTGTGATATTTGTTCCCCAAATTCTCGGAGGAGGATGGTTTGTTATGATTCTGCCAGAGTTGATCAGTAAGGCCTGAATCATAAGTTACCAGGATACTAGCTTTATCGAAGGTCACACCCATATCACACATGAAAGAATCCTGGGAATCGTTTTGTGAGGGACAAAGTACATTTCCCAGGATTTTTGGGGGGAAGCCCATTTAAGTGTGTGTTGAATTTGCTTTAAATATATGGTCTGTATCAGGGGTCAGCAAACTTTTTCAGCAGGGGGCTGGTCCACTGTCCCTCAGACCTTGTGGGGGCCAGACTATATTTTGGAAAAAAGAAAGAAAAAAAGAACGAAGTCCTATGCCCCACAAATAACCCAGAGATGCATTTTTAATAAAAGGACACATTCTACTAATGTAAAAACACGCTGATTCCCAGACCATCTGTGGGCTGGATTTAGAAAGCAATTGGGCTGGATCTGGCCCCCGGGCCTTACTTTGCTTACCCATGGTCTGGATGGTGTCCCTAAGGAACAACATTCATCCTTTCAAGTTACAAGGTAAGGAAGTCTGAGCTGGGTCATGGGAAGCTGTCGGAGAGGAGCCACCAGTCAGGAACATTGGACAAAGCTAGCAATTGGGACAGAAGAGTCCCCAGGATAAGGTTACCAGACTTCCCCTTTTCCGGGGACAGTCCCCGGATTCACAGATCAGTCCCCTAGCAAAATCCACTGAATTCGGCTGAAGTTGAAAAGTGTCCCCCGATTCATTGAAAAAAATATGGTAACCTTATCCCAGGAGCAAGTTGGAGAACAGGACTGAAGGACAACCAAAGAATATAGGAATGCAGCAGAGCTCAGGAAGACCTTGCCACTCAAGCAAGGCTTAGATAAAGCAGAAAGTCCTCTGATAGTCCTTCCTGTCCAGGACGATCTGGTGACAAGACCGTGGGTGAGGTTAGTCCATGGCTGGAGGGAACTAGGTAGATGCCATGGCTTGCAGTTCAACAGCTCACAACACAAAGCTGCTGTACACAGATCTGAATGTTCCCAGTTCAAGTCCTATACAGTGGTACCTTGGGTTACATACGTTTCAGGTTACAGACGCTTCAGGTTACAGACTCTGCTAACCCAGAAATAGTACCTCGGGTTAAGAACTTTGCTTCAGGATGAGAAGAGAAATCGTGCAGTGGCAGCACGGCAGCAGTGGGAGGCCCCATTAGCTAAAGTGGTGCTTCAGGTTAAGAGCAGTTTCAGGTTAAGAACGGACCTCTGGAACGAATTAAGTACTTAACCCGAGGTACCACTGTATTGTCCCAATGAGTACTGCATGTACAAAAGAACGTGCCAATCAACATCTGCTTTGTTTGTGTCTCCGATGGCTATGTGAAAGATCGTATTCCTTCATACAAACCTGCACAGGTTTTGAGATCTTCAGGGAAGGTCCTTCTTAGGCCCTTTTGGTGGGGACATGGGACAGGGCCTTCCTGGTGGCGGCTCCCAGACTCAGGAACTCCCTTCCTCCCTCCCTTCTCTCTCTTGCTACCCCACCATCATCACACTAGTTTTTGGGAGCATCCTCACCCTGCGCCTGCCTTTGAACCCTTTTGAACCTTGGCAACTAGCCGATGAAAACAGAGTGCTCACGCCTTACAATTTTATTATACAGCAAGAATAAGAAAATAATCTGATTTTTGTGTGCGAATGTTCTCAGGTCCACTGTTGTTCTTAACTAGCGTTTCTGTTTTAATGCAATTAATTACAACTTGTGCAGATGTGCGAAGGATGGGTGACTATTTGGAAAGGTGGTTCTGAAAGGTTGCTGGACTCAAAAGAGAAGCAAGTTTCTGTGGCTGGTGCTTACAAACAGGACTTGGTTTTCAGTACAAAATCCGATTAAAGGAAAACAGCATTTCCACTACGGAAACGCTGAAAGATGAAGTTGTGATGTAGGAGGAGAGCCAAGTGAAAACAGCATTAAGTGAGACTTAAAGGCTAAAGGCTAAACAAGAAAGTGATAACAGGTATTTAACAGGTATTAGCATCTTAAAAAGTAGAGACATCACCTTGCCAACAAAGGTCCGTATAGTTCAAGCTATGGTTTTCCCAGTAGTGATGTATGGCAGTGAGAGCTGGACCATAAAGAAGGCTGATTGCCGAAGAATCGATGCTTTTGAATTATGGTGCTGGAGGAGACTCTTGAGAGTCCCATGGACTGCAAGAAGATCAAACCTATCCATTCTTGAGGAAATCAGCCCTGAGTGCTCACTGGAAGGACAGATCCTGAAGCTGAGGCTCCAAGACTTTGGCCACCTCATGAGAAGAGAAAACTCCCTGGAAAAGACCCTGAATTTGGGAAAGATGGAGGGCACAAGGAGAAGGGGACGACAGAGGACGAGATGGTTGGACAGTGTTCTCGAAGCTACCAGCATGAGTTTGACCAAACTGCGGGAGGCAGTGGAAGACAGGAGTGCCTAGCATGCTCTGGTCCAGGGGGTCACGAAGAGTCGGACATGACTAAACGACTAAACAACAACAATGGCAGCAAAGAAGAAGGAGGGAGGAGCAGAGGCTTTTGAATTTGGCAGTGAGGAGATTGATTATTTTGGTGAGTTTAGGGGGTATATAAATTTTATGAAACGACAAATAAATAAATAAATACACAAATATAGGACACGAGCCTCTTTCATATTTGGGGTTAGCCAATGGAATTGATCAGTAAGAGATAAAGAAGAGGCAAAAGTAAGGACTATTTTTTACATAGCATGTTTTGTGAAATCTTCTGCCACAACAAGTGTTGATGTTCACTAGCTAAATTGGCTGTACAAGTGGTTTTGATGAACTTATTATGGAGGAGAGGCTATTAGTCATATAGAATCTCTTGATCCACAGCAGAAGAGGGCTCTTGACTTCATGCCCTTATTCCGGACTTGCCAGAAGGCATCAGGTTAGCCACTGCACAACATAGATGCTGGAGCATTGGTCTGATCCAGGTAAAGGGACCCCTGACCATTAGGTCAAGTCATGACCGACTCTGGGGTTGCGGAGCTCATCTCGCTTTATGGGCCGAGGGAGCCGGCATACAGCTTCCGGGTCATGTGGCCAGCATGACTAAGCCGCTTCTGGCGAACCAGAGCAGTGCACGGAAACGCCGTTTACCTTCCCGCCAGAGTGGTACCTATTTATCTACTTGCACTTGACGTGCTTTCGAACTGCTAGGTTGGCAGGAGCAGGGACTGAGCAATGGGAGCTTACCCCGTTGCGAGGATTCGAACCGCCGACCTTCTGATCGGCAAGTCCTAGGCTCTGTGGTTTAACCCACAGCGTCTGATCCAGGAGGGCCGTTCATATGTCAGCTGCATGCTGCTGTTTTCCCTGATTTCTCAATGGAGATGAGTTGGATGCTTTGGAACGGCTGCAAGGCATTTACTGAGCCGTGTGACCATGTATGCCTTTCCTTCCATTGAACACTAGAGGCCAGAGTTGACACACTTAATCCTTTCTCATTGATTTCCACCGGTAACTTACATAACTCTTAATTCTCTTGTACACTTTACTGCCGAGGCTTATCTTGCAAGTCTGGCACTGGGGTCACATAAAACATAGCTGGAAGTGCAAGAGCTTGCCAGCATCTTCGTATATACCGTACATTTCCGTGTATAAGACTAGGTTTATTTTACTTTAAAATAAGGTTGAAAATCTGGGGGTGTCTTATACACGGATAGTGCATATGTCAATTTTCTAAATTTGGGGTCCCCAAAAGTAAGGGGCGTCTTATACATGGGGGCGTCTTGCACACAGAAAAATACGGTAATTCAAACAGCCTATTATATATTCATTAGGGCCAATTACAAATCAGAAAGCAGGGAGTTAGCATTTGGGTTTCACATGAAACTTTTTTTAAAAAACAAAAAAGGTATTGTTATTTTTACCTTCCGCCCTTCCAAATGGGAGTTTGCTGGGTGCTTTCCTCAATTATAATATCAGCTCCTGCATCATACTACGGTTTCCAGGATTCCTTGATCTTCCCTCCTGTTTGTCAAGGTTAGTTTTGGCTTTCACCTATGCTGGAGAACTCATATCATGGAAGTTTGGTGCAATCTAGGCAGCATCTGAGAGAGATTCTCAGACTGAGATGATGCCTCCTTCCACTAAGCCTAACAAGACTGTAGGACTTGACGGACTGAACTACTTTGGCAAGGATGCACCAAGTTCCCAGACAAACTGAAGGACAGACAGACACAGTACATTGCTATTAATAAGTTTGTGTCTTTAGACCCTGTTCCGGACAGTGTTGTAAATAATACATGGCTTTGAGGCCACAACTCTGCAATTTTTGAACAGCCATTTTGTGAAGTTCCTCCATCGACCCTTATAAACAGAATATTCAATATATATTTATGGGGAAATGGCCATTTTGTAACAGAGGGCAAATTCTAGTCACAAAATATATAATGGGGGCGGGTGGGCTCAGCTTCTTAGCTATGATTTGTTCACGAAGGGAATCAGCACTCAATTATAGGTTAAGGAAGGGAGATAATATATTTTCCCCAAATAACTGGAGGGGGGCATCCCTTTACACCCCCGTTCTTTTCCAGGCACCTCTGCTTTTCTTGCTTTCTCGCAGTCTTTTTCATTTCCCTAAATCTGCCGGCTTTCCTTCTTTCTGTTATTTTTTCCTTCCCTCCTATTTCTGTTAATTCTTCCCTCTCTGTCATATTCTTTCTTTCAGTTACGGAATGGTTGGGAATGGGGAAGTGTTTTGGCTGCTTGTGCAGTAGGGGGGAAAGGCTTAGAATAAACACGGGAGGTTTATTTCAGGTGGGAAGGCTGAAAGCAGAACAAACACAAAAGGGTCTCCCCTTTCTCTTAGCTTAATAATAATAATAATAATAATAATAATAATTTATTATTTATACCCAGTCCATCTGGCTGGGTTTCCCCAGCCACTCTGGGCGTCTTCCAACAAAACACTAAAATACAATAACCTATTAAACATTAAAAGCTTCCGTAATCAGGGCTGCCTTCAAATGCCTTCTAACAGTTTGGCAGTTATTTTTCTCTTTGACATCTGCTGGGAGGGCGTTCCACAGGGCGGGTGCCACTACCAAGAAGACCCTCTGTCTGGTTCCCTGTAACCTCACTTCTCGCAGTGAGGGAACTGCCAGAAGGCCCTTGGCGCTGGACCTCAGTGTCCTGGCAGAACGATGGAGGTGGAGACGCTCCTTCAGGTATACTGGGCCGAGGCCGTTTAGGGCTTTAAAGGTCAGCACCAACACTTTGAATTCTGCTCGGAAACGTACTGGGAGCCAATGTAGGTCTTTCAAGACCAATCTTATATGGTCTCGGCGGCTGCTCCCAGTCACCAGTCTTGCTGTCGCATTCTGGATTAGTTGTAGTTTCCGGGTCACCTTCAAAGGTAGCCCCACGTAGAGTGCATTGCAGTAGTCCAAGCGGGAGATAACCAGAGCATGCACCACTCTGGCGAGACAGTCTGCGGGCAGGTAGGGTCTCAGCCTGCGTACCAGATGGAGCTGGTAGACAGCTGCCCTGGACACAGAATTGACCTGCGCCTCCATGGACAGCTGTGAGTCCAAAATGACTCCCAGGCTGCGCACCTGGTCCTTCAGGGACACAGTTACCCCATTCAGGACCAGGGAGTCCTCCACACTAGTCCGCCCCTTGTCCCCCCAAAACAGTACTTTTGTCTTGTCAGGATTCAACCTCAATCTGTTAGCTGCCATCTATCCTCAAACCACCTCCAGACACTCCAATGGTCTCTAATGCACCTGGACGAGCACAGTCAGAAGGGCAGACTTATAAATATGAAATATTATATGGAGAAATGTCCTGCAGTTGTGCCCATGCAAGCATTTGCTCAGATTACTTGATGGATTAAAACTCCCTGTTCCTTTTATTCGATCTCAAGGCTTTTGTTATCAGTGTGATACGAGTTTGGACTATGTCATAGGAAACACCCCGCCATTAAAAAACCCCTCTATAGGCACTTTTACCCTGCAGTCATAAAGCTTTTTATTTCCGTGTTTAAGCTAGCTTCTCCTGAGAACGTTGAAATCTACCGCTAGAGCAGTGCAACCCGTTTGAGAGAAAAGTCTATGCAATCTGACGCCTGGCTGAGAGGCAGCAAGGCAGGCAAAAGGAACAAGTTCGTTCACAAAGGCTTCAAGGAGTTGGAATTGTGGCTTCAGATCAGCTACCAAACTCATACTGCGAGTACACCATCTATTAGTGCCATCTTACAGCACTAAACTAACTACAGGTAAGCAAGATTCTTTTGTAATGAAATTACCGGCAGGTGCTAAAAGCTCCTTCAGTGCAGCCGCAGGGCTCTCTTGAAGGCCCACTCAGAAAGAGATTTGATTTAAGGGTAACAATATTTGCTCATTTTCTGTGGAACAAGACTACAGGAGGTTTCGCCGTCGAGGGGCCCTTTCTGTCCGGCTCTTTCTGGGGGTTGGAGGGTGGTTGCCACTAGCGGAGAGGCTAGGCTTATGTGGCTGCAACTCAGCTGAAGGTGGCTTTAGAAACAGGTTCCATCTAGATATTGATGACAACACAAATTCATAGTAGCGGGCATGTCGTTTCCCAAACAACTGATTACTCACCAGTTTAGTCATGGAGACAGTGAGTTATTTTTGTCTGTATCACCGTATATATCTTACTCAAGATCATCTCCTTAAGGCTGATGGTGCAAGACTCTAGCACTGCAGAGCTTACTCTCTCCACCCAGTGCCAGATTTACGTATAAGCTAAACAAGCTATAGCTTAGGGCCCCTCTCTCTTGGGGGGCCCAAAAAAATTTAAAGGGAAAAAAAACCTGGATGTACATTTCCAAAATATAAGATAACAAATAAAATAAAACCTCCATACAGCAACAGTGTTTTGTGTTGTGTAGGCTCCTATGATGTAAGCAATGGGCCCCGCCTGCTCCCTAAAATATCACTATCACTATTAATATACTTCTTCTTAATTGTATTTCACTATTAATATACTTCTTCCTAATTCAGTTCAACAATTACTTTGGTAAAATACATATTTTGTTATGTGCAAATGGCTTTAGATACCTATTAGGTCCATAAATTACCATATAGCTTATATTCAACACACAAAAACAGTGACGATTTGTTGTTGACAAAGGACAGCTGGTCATATAAAGGGCCCCATTACCATCAGTAACTTAGGGCCACATCAAACCTAAATCCAGCCCTGTCTCCACCCACAGTTTTTCATCTGTTGTCAGGGCAATGACAGCTTTCCTATCAATTTCCTATCAATTGAGCGCGGGTGGCACTGTGGTCTAAACCACAGAGCCTAGGGCTTGCCGATCGGAAGGTCAGCAGTTCGAATCCCCACGACGGAGTGAGCTCCCGTTGTTCAGTCCCTGCTCCTGCCCACTTAGCAGTTCAAAAGCATGTCAAGTGCAAGTAGATAAATAGGTACCGCTCTGGTAGGAAGGTAAACGGCATTTCTGTGCACTGCTCTGGTTTGCCAGAAGCGGCTTAGTCATGCTGGCCACATGACCCGGAAGCTGTCTGTGGACAAACACCGGCTCCCTCGGCCAATAAAGCGAGATGAGCGCCTTTGACTGGACTTAACCGTCCAGGGGTCCTTTACCTTTTGCCTTAATGCAATTTATCCCCCCCCCCATGTTGTTTGCTAGGCATGCTGGGAATTGTAGCTCTGTGAGGGGTAACTTACAGCTCCCATGATTCTTTGCAAGAAATAATATGTTTTAAATGTACCGTGTGTACGCGGCGTAACTTTCTCCCCTTGAACAAGGGGATAAAACAGCATTGGATAACATTGTTATGCAAGAGATAATCCCCACAGGTTTGCTCTCCACAGGAGCACAGCAGAGCTGTGGGAGAGAAGCAGTTCACTCTTGTGTGTTTCTTTCCTCTGCCCAAAGGAAATTCTGGTCCTTGCCTGATTCCAGGCAATTCAGGTGTTACATTTTGTACCTCTGCGACACAGAAATAATTTCTTTTGAAGTATGCATTTGGGCAGGTTCCCCATGTATGGGGCTCATTTTCTTGCTCCACACAGGAGCTTCTCCACAGCACTGCTGCAATGGTTTCCATGATATGGCATGGGGGACAAGTAGAAGCCAGTATCACCAACTTTGGAGAGAGGAAAGACAAATGGGTAGTGTAAATTCAGAACGGTTGGTGTCAATTTCTGTTCTTGTTATGTACTGAAGTTCTCACCCTGGGCCAGCATGGGGATACTGTAGATAGTTCAGTCCACATATGCAAATAAGGGATCGAAAGTGACGTTCAGTGACTGGATAGTTACAGAAAGTTGTTACAGTTACGTTGTACTGGAGCTCTATATAAGCAGGCTGGCTGAACCCTTCAGTTCGGTTCTGTTCTGGCCTGTGAATAAACAAGAGCTGTTTGAAGAATCGCTGTGTCGTCTGATACGTTCACCCACAATTTAACAGTTCTCATCTCTGGAAATAATCCAGCTATTCTCCTAGAACAGAGCTGAGGAAACTTTGGCTCCCCAGATGTTGCTGAACCACAGCTCTCTGGCCATTGGCCATGCTTGCTAAGACTGATGGCAGCTGGCATCCCATAACTTCTGGGGGGCCACTGACTACCTGTTTCTTTTGCCTCTGCAAGTAGCAGTTGTGGGGGGATTTAAGAAGGGGTGGCAACACCTGGGGCAGAAATTAAAGTTCTGCTTTCCCAGAGCTATATCCCTAATCCAAATAACCTCCTTGCTGTTACTGACACTTCTAAACAAACAAGATATCAGAAAAGTCTATTCACAAATCTCCCATGTCTTATCTAGTCCGGCCCTCAAATGGGCAGAGGTTCAAGCAGCCCAGAAGCTTATTTTGTTTTTGTTTTTTATAACCCTGCAATTACAAAGCCTTTATTATAAGTTTTAAGGCCACTTGACATGGGAGCGGTATTTAAAGAAGGCCTCTAACCAAGGAGTTTGGTTGGTTGTTGCTCTGGGGGTACCTTTGGTGGCAAATCCAGGGGTTTGCCTCCATATGATTTGTGAAATTCCCCTTGCCCAAATTCCATGGGCGGTTGTAAACATGGATTAATAAAACCTTGCCGTAGCCGAGAGTCTCATTAATGTGCAGCTTCTAGAGTGTGCTAATCTCCAGGGTCCTCTCCTATCATTAAGTAAACAATGATGTCAGTGGAAACCAACACCTCCTGACATTATGAAGGGTACCTTAAGCCACCACAAAGTATGAGTCTGCCGGATTTCTGTGCACAAGATTATTCACAGCTGCTAGGGATTTCAACTCCATAATATTCTTTACATCACAATGGTTTTCTTTTCTTTTCTTTTCTATTCGGTGGGACATATTCATTGCAGATAATCCTTCCGTGTAATGCCAACAAAGGATTCCATACCTAAGGTGTACCTTTGGCTGTGAAAATCCATAAAATCAATACCGTGCTCTAATTTCCACAATTCAAAACACATATGTAATTGGGAGACGAGTTACCGATACGTTTCAAGCCCGTTTCTTTCACTGATAACAGAAAAAAATTGTCTATGTTGGACCACTGCAATGTTGCTGTGTTTTAGATAGTTTTGGAATATGCAATATGTCCATTACTGAAATCAATAAAAAATGAAGGCTTCATACACATGTAAGCTGTTGCTGTTTGCTACTTCTTCCTCTTTTTCCTTGCCAGAGGATGGAGTCGAAAGAAGGTATCTTCAGGCGGCAACTGGTAGATGTTCATGGTGTTGCCTTGTTCTGGAGCATCGCTGAGGCATGGACCCAGGTGGAGAACTTCCAGGCCAAGAAAGATGATCTTCTGATTGCCACCTACCCAAAATCAGGTGCCTGAGCCTAAGGGCTTCCCTGGATTTTTATGTTTAATGCATAGAATGCACAACGGCTGCTTATCTGTTGCAGGGAATTGGGACATCTTCAGGAGTGGGATTCAGTCTAGTTACACACTGCAAAACGTTGCTTGAAAAATATGCACTTCTGCCAGAAATCCTGGCAGTGTTTGTGAGATTGCCGCGTCAAATGAGAATATGTGACTGGCAGTTGTCAGACTGCTACATCTTCGCCCATGGTACTCGTGATGACCATGCAAGGTCGCTTCCATGCCATGTTGAGCTGTCTTCTCCCATTGGATTAATCTACAAGAATCCCTTGATGGATGGCAGGTCCTTCTTTTGTGCCAAAGTTATGTTAATTGTCAGGGGTTCCAGGGTTTGGGATAGCAGACCTTATGGCCTGAGGCTGGAACTGTTAGTGCTCATGCCAGAACTTTCTTCTGACATAAAAAAAAGAATGGCAACATCAGCTTTCTATCTGCTGCCCTAATAATAATTTATTATTTATACCCCGCCCATCTGGCTGAGTTTCCCCAGCCACTCTGGGCAGCTCCCAACCGAGTGTTAAAAACAATACAGCATTAAATATTAAAAACTTCCCTAAACAGGGCTGCCTTCAGATGTCTTTTAAAAATAGGATAGCTGCTTATTTCCTTGACATCTGATGGGAGGGCATTCCACAGGGTGGGTGCCACTACCGAGAAGGCCCTCTGCCTGGTTCCCTGTAGCTTTGCTTCCTCGCAATGAGGGAACCGCCAGAAGGCCCTCGGCGCTGGACCTCAGTGTCCGGGCTGGATGATGGGGGTGGAGACACTCCTTCAGGTATACAGGACTGAGGCCGTTTAGGGCTTTAAAGGTCAGCACCTGCAAAGCATAGTTACAAACAAAAACAATGCCCATCTCCAGATTAAAAGTCCCTAGATTGTTTAATTGAACAAGGGCCTACGAGAAGAGGAATGTTTTTGCCTGGTGCCTAAAGACTGTCGGAATGCTGTGATGAGATGATGAGCTGCTTGTGCGTAAAATCGTATCCCCTCAGAGTTTGTTCAAGTCCACAAACCTCTGTCTGTGACGGAGCCCCTCAGACATGGCTCCTCTAGTCACTAGCAGATTCCGACAGTGGTTGCTTCGTAATCGCTTCCAACATAAAAGCTCCTTAACGGAAACACGTCTTCTGGACTCTCTGCGTGACAGTTTCCGGCGAGGAGTGGGTGTTCTTACAGGAGGTCCTGAAACCTCCCCACTGTTTTCGCTGGAAGTGTCTCTGAGCCATCCCTCCAGCTGGTTCCCTCTTCAGCTGCTGCGTCTCTCCCAACCTGTGTGAGCCCTTTCACCTCCCTGCTGGTTCCCTCTTCAGCTGCTGCGTCTCTCCCAACCTGTGTGAGCCCTTTCACCTCCCTGCTGGTTCCCTCTTCAGCTGCTGCGTCTCTCCCAACCTGTGTGAGCCCTTTCACCTCCCTTCCGTCCGATGGCAGTTCCCTGACATCCACCTCCCCTCCAGGGCCCCCTTCACCCCCTCTCGCCCCCTCCTCTACGGGCGGTGAGGAGGCAAAACCCCGGAATGAACTTCCTTCATCTTCCGATGTCTCGAACACTTCTCTCAACCTGTTGCGGTTCCTGGTCTCGAAGTACACCTCCTCCTCAGAGTCCATCTCCCCTTCCCCTTCCGAGTCCGGGAATCCTTCCAACTCCTCCCCGTCAGCAGTGGTCCCAAAGTATTCCCTCCGGAACCTCTCCACAGGCTGAGGTTTCCTTGGGAACCTTTGATGGAACGTTTCTATCAATACCTCGTCATTGATATCTTCGGCCATTACCCAAGTGTTTTCTGACTCCGGTTCTCCTTCCCACGCTACCAAATACTCCACCTGATCCCCCTTCCACCTGGCGTCGAGGATTTCTGCCACATGGCTGCTGCATTCTCTTTCTTCTACGACCGGTCCCCGAGTGGCCAGCCCTTCTCGTCGCCCTTCGTACGGTGACAGTAACGACCTGTGAAATACTGGGTGCAGTTTCATGTGGTTGGGTAACCGGAGCCTGAAAGCCACTGGGTTGACCTGTTGAATGACCTCAAAGGGACCCAACCTCCTGGGTCTTAATTTCTTACAACCTCCTTTGAAAGGCAACCCGTGTGTTGACAGCCACACCCTATCTCCCACCCTTATGGTTTCACCTTCCCTCGGTTCTTGTCTGCCTGCCTCTTGTATTCTTCCTTCGCCCTTTCTAAGTTGAGTTGGAGCTGACGATGGATTGCTTCCATTTCTTCCACAAAATGCTCGGCTGCCGGGACGCTCCATCTCTCCCCATCTCCCCCTGGGAAAGCCCTGGGATGACACCCATAATTAGCCAAGAAGGGGCTCATCCCTGTGGACACATTCTCGGCATTGTTGTAGGCAAATTCCGCCAGCGCCAACTTTTCTACCCAGTCATTCTCTCTGTCATTGACATAACACCTCAGGTATTGCTGGAGGACACCGTTTGCTCTTTCCGCCTGCCCGTTGGTTTCAGGGTGCCGGGCAGTCGAAAAATTGACCTCCACCTGCAGTAAGCTCATGAGCTTCCTCCAGAACCTGGAAGTAAATTGTTTTCCTCGGTCTGAGACCACCCTCAATGGCACCCCGTGCAACCTAAAAATGTGTTCTACAAATAACTTCGCTGTCTCTTCCGCCGTGACTGCATGCGAGCAAGCTACAAAGTGGCACATCTTTGTTAGTAGATCTACCACCACCATGATGGCTGTTTTCCCTTTGGACTTCGGCAGATCAGTCATAAAATCTATCGACACTGCCTCCCAAGGTCGTTCTGGGGTTGGTAAGGGTTCTAATAGCCCCGCCGGCGCCCGCCTTTCCCCTTTGGCTCTCTGGCATTGCTCGCACCCTCTTACATACTCACGTACATCTTCCCTCACCTTAGGCCACCAAAATTCCCTGGTGACCAACCACATGGTTTTGTGTTGTCCAAAATGCCCCGCCGTAGGGCTGTCGTGCAACTGCTTGAGTACCCTCCCCTTAACTCTCCTTCAGGGATATACAGTGCCCCTTTGTAATACAAAGCTCCATTTCTTTCCTCGAAACCCCTGGTTCCTCTCCCTCACCCCTAAGACCTCTGAGCTTATTCTGGGCGTATTCATCATTCTCTGTTTCCTCTACCAGTTCTCTTTGTCCCACCAATGCCGCCCCACACACCCAGCGGTCCTCTGGAATGACATGTCTCTCTTCGGGTGCCCCTCCCCTCCAAATATTCTGGTTTGCGTGAGAGAGCGTCCGCCCTAATGTTCTCTGGGCCTGGCACGTAATTAATCTCAAAGTTAAATTTGGAGAACTCCTGGGCCCATCTCACTTGCCGTTGGTTGAGCACTCGTGCCGTCCTCCAATACTCTAAGTTCTTGTGGTCAGTGCACACTTGCACCTTATGTTGTGCGCCAATTAGCAGGTGCCTCCATCTCCGGAACGCCTCATGAATGGCTAGTAGTTCTCGGTCATACACCGTGTAGTTCCTCTCGGATTTGTTCAGCTTTCGCGAAAAAAGGCACACGGTCTCCACTCTGACCCCTTCTTCCCTGGCTGCAGAAGCACCGCCCCAATCGCTCTGTCTGATGCGTCAGTTTCCACTCTCATCGGTTTTTGTAAATCCACATGCAGGAGTTGTTGTTCCGAGGCGAAGGCCCTTTTTAGTTCCTCAAATGCTCGCTCCGCCTCCTCAGTCCACACGAACTTCTTCTTACTGCTGAGACAGTCCGTAATGGGCGCCGTCAGGTGGGCAAAGTTTCGGATGAACTTACGATAGAAGTTCCCAAATCCTAGGAACCTCTGCACATCCTTCTTTGTTTTGGGTGTTTTCCATTCCAGCACCGCCTGGACCTTGCCGGGATCCATGGCCAATCCCTTGTCAGACAGGCGATACCCCAGGAATTCCACCTCCTTGGTATGAAACTGACACTTCTCCAGTTTCACCCACAGCTGGTTGGCTTGCAGCCTGCTCAACACTTCTCTGACGTCTCTCACATGCTGCTCCTCATTCTCAGAATACACCAACACGTCGTCTAAAAAGGCCACACAATTCTTGTAAAGCAAAGGCCCCAGGACGTGGTTCATAAACGATTGAAATGTTGCGGAGCCTGCTTGTAGGCCGAAGGGCATAACCAAATATTCAAATGCCCCTAAAGGGGTGAACATAGTGGTTTTCCATTCATCCCCCTTCCTTATTCGTACCAGGTTGTACGCCCCCCTTAGGTCCAGCTTTGTGAAAATCTTTCCCTTCCGCACCCTTGTCAAAATGTCGTCAATCCTGGGCATAGGGAAGGCTACTGGTTCTGACACTGCATTTAAGGCCCTGAAGTCACACACCAGCCTCGGCTTTTTCGTGTTTTCTTATCCACAAAAACACTGGGCTGCCCCCACCGCCCTGGACTCTCTGATGAACCCTCTCTTCAGGTTCTTGTCAATGAACTCTCTTAACTCCTGCATCTCTCTGTCTGACATGGCGTACAGCTTGCCTACAGGGAGCTGTGCTCCAGGGAGTAAATTGATTTGACAGTCAAAGGGTCTATGCGGGGGTAGTTGGTCAGCTTCCCTTTCGCTGAAGACGTCACGGAGATCTGCATATTGTCGTGGTACCTTCACGTTCTCTGTTACTTCAGTCCCTGCTAGGGTGGCTTGGACCCCTGCCAAACCCTTTCCCTCTTTGCAGTGTTCTAAGCAATGTGCTGAACCAAAAGAAACCACTCTCTGATGCCAGCCCACCAGCGGATCATGTAACGCTAGCCAGCTCATCCCCAATATAATGGGAGCTCCTCCCAAGGTGGCCACATTAAAAGCTATCAGTTCGGTGTGCCTTGCTACCTTCATTATCATTGGGACGGTCTGCAAGCTGACTTCTCCTCCCAACAGCTCCCTGCCATCGATCGTGGTCACCTGCAGGGGGCTGCTTAAAGGGATCGTCTGTATCTGGTGTTCAGCTGCAAACTCTTTGCTCATGAAATTGCAGGAGCTGCCTGAGTCCAACAGCGCCTTTATCTTTAGAGGGTGTCCGTTTGGCAGCTCTAGCGTCACTTCTATCACTAGGGCGGGTTTAGGAGGTTCTGGCGTGGGCACTCTCACTGCTCTTTGGCCTGGCTGCTGTGCCCCGACAGTGGCAGCCAGGCGTTGGCTTTTACTTGCTCCGGTATATCTTCCTCTCTTCCATCCACAGCTCCTACCATCCCTTGCCATTCTTTCCTCTGGGGGCAGACTCTGGCAAAGTGACCTGGCTGTTGGCAGAGATAGCATTTCCGGGCGCCTTTTCCCTCCTTTTTCCCCCTCACTGGGCTTTGAAACTGCGCGCGCGCGCTGTTCCGATTTCCATCGGCTCTGCCGGTGGGAAAGTTGGCTCTGGAATGTCTGGAATGCGGAACTCCTTCCAACGTTCCCCTTTCCCTTCCCGCCTCTCCAATGCTCTCGCCTCCTGGCGCGCTCCTATGGCCAGCGCTGATTTGGTCAGCTGGTCCATAGACTCCACCCTGGGCGCCCGGGAAAGTTCGTCTTTCACAGCCGAAGAAAGCCCTTCTTCAAAGAGCATTTGAATGGGTTCCGCCGATAAGTCCCACCCCAATCTGTGAACAAGCATGGTGAACTCAGTCCAGTACTCACGGACAGATCGGCTCCCCTGTTTGCAAGCCATTAACTGTCTGCGCACCACTCCCTTTTCAATATCGCTGGAAAACATCAGATCCATGGCGCGAAAGAACTTCATTGTGTCCTTTAGGACGTCACTATTCGCTGCCATCAGGGGTCTAACCCAGTCTCTCGCGCCCTTTTCAAGATGCTCAATCACGAAAGCCACTCGTGATTCCTCGTCAGGGAATTCATCAAACTGCAGATTGAGGGCATATTGCATTTCTGTCCGAAAGCCATGATAGTTTTGGGCTCCCCAAACTTCTGCACCAATCCTGGTACCTTTCTGGCGAGCTGGGTGGCTTTCCCTTTTGTCTGCATCCTGAGCCCTCCTCTCCTCAAGCCTCGCCGTCTGCATCGCTAGCTGGACCTCCAACACCCGGTACCTTTCTTCCAGGCTTGGACCCACTCCAGCTCCTGCTTCTCCGGTTCCGGCTGGGTTGCTCATGATGCCTTCTCCTGCACAAGCTGCTTTCAAAGACTGTCGGAATGCTGTGATGAGATGATGAGCTGCTTGTGCGTAAAATCGTATCCCCTCAGAGTTTGTTCAAGTCCACAAACCTCTGTCTGTGACGGAGCCCCTCAGACATGGCTCCTCTAGTCACTAGCAGATTCCGACAGTGGTTGCTTTCGTAATCGCTTCCAACATAAAAGCTCCTTAACGGAAACACGTCTTCTGGACTCTCTGCGTGACAGTTTCCGGCGAGGAGTGGGTGTTCTTACAGGAGGTCCTGAAACCTCCCCACTGTTTTCGCTGGAAGTGTCTCTGAGCCATCCCTCCAGCTCAGCTCCTCTCCCCCTGCTGGTTCCCTCTTCAGCTGCTGCGTCTCTCCCAACCTGTGTGAGCCCTTTCACCTCCCTGCTGGTTCCCTCTTCAGCTGCTGCGTCTCTCCCAACCTGTGTGAGCCCTTTCACCTCCCTGCTGGTTCCCTCTTCAGCTGCTGCGTCTCTCCCAACCTGTGTGAGCCCTTTCACCTCCCTTCCGTCCGATGGCAGTTCCCTGACAGATATGTTACAAAGGAGCCAGGCGAGCCTCCCTAGGGATAGAGCATTCCATAAACAGGGGGCTACCTCAGAAAAGGCCTGTACTCATCTTGCCACGCTCTCACGGAGGAGGCACATGAAAAAAGGCCACAGATGTTGAATGTAGGAGCCAAGTTGGTTCATATGGGCGGAAGAGGTCCTTGAGGTATTGCGGCCGTAAGCCATTTTAAGGCTTTATAGGTCAAATCCAGCGTATTGAATTGAGCCTGGAAACTAACTGGCAGCCAGCACAGTAGAAGCAAGATTGCTGCATTCTGCTGTAAAGGACTGAGTTTACTATCTGCAAATGGGCGTTTAATGCTCACAACTATATGCTCAAACTGTCTTGCCCTGGTGAGCAACCTGACCACTGAATTCTGTACCAGAATTTGGACCGTCATCAGAGGCAGCTCCACAACTTCAGAGGAATTTCACAGGAAGCTTCAAGCATATCTTCACAACTCTAAAGGATAGATTTTGTTTGTTGGTTTTTAACGATAGCTAAGATTCACAGGAAGTGGAGTTCTGTGTTTAATTTGAATTAAAACCAATTTTTCTGTATTAATCAGCTGATTTTAAGGGACTCCCTTTTAAACTTGTGTGCGGTGTCAGCAATCTATACCCATTTTGCGTGTTCAGACCCAGAGACCTCCCCCTTAAATAAACACTCATTTGACTCAAATTTTAGTTTTGGTTTTTGGCAGAATTTAGGCCACAACTTTATTGATTACAGAAAGTGAGTGGTTGCATAGGCTCTGGTTCGACTAGCTCCCTGCACCCTTGCAGGTAGCACTGACCCAGAGCTCTATCATAGGTCAGTCAAGAGTGAACACCTGAGGTAGGTGGAAAGCCCAGGAACGGACTATGTCCACTCCCCAGATGCTCCCCTGGACTCAGACATGGGCACAACCTCCTCTCGGGGGTTGACTAAACCAAGTTTAGTCCCTGGATTCCTTTAATGTAATACCCTTCACATAAGGATGGCGAGAGTGTTCTCCCATCCCTATCACCTGAACCAGAGCCTATCCTCAACCTTACAAGTTGTGACGATTTGCTACGCGGCAAGCGAAACCCAAATGGCACCAGCCAAGTGGGGAAAATTCCTGCCGTGCCCCTGTCCCAACGACAGACGACACACGACGGCATAGCAAGGTCAATCGCAAAATGCCCTAAATATAGGGAGAGGTGGGTGGGTGTTCCGATGCACAAGCCGAAAGAGGAAGTTCTGGGTCACGTGCATAGGTATATATAGGTCCCTTGGCCCGTTTAGACGGCTCCCTATTGGCCAGATTAAACCCAGCAATGAGGGACCTACCAATCGGGTGTTGTGGTTGTCCAATATACCCACCCACAACCAGGAGGTCAGTCTCCAAGTCTCACTGCAACACGTACCCTCTTTTTGGGAGGACGCGCTTTACAAACCCAGCTGATACCTTATGCTAAAATTTACTCTGTGGGTAATTTTATCTAATTTGCACATGCATTTACATTTTCAGGCACAACCTGGGTCAGTGAGATTCTGGACATGATTTACAACGATGCAGATGTGGAAAAGTGTAAACGAGATGCCATTTTCAACCGTGTTCCTTTCATGGAGCTGATTATTCCTGACATTATTAATGGTAAAGCCTTTGCTGTATTACAAAGTACAAAGAAGGTGATGAATTCATCTTCCCTACGTGCCCAGTGTATGAGTTTTCCCCACACTTTTGGTACTTGAAGCACAACTTTTTGCTTTCCGGTTAAAAAGTGGAAATGATGGAAACAAAAATTATTGATCAGCTCCAAAAGCAACGGGCAGATACAGTTTCAAGCTTTCAAAAAGAGATAGCTGAGAGTGATACGAAATTACTTTAAAAACGTATAATCTCCTACTTTATGGGGAAACGTTAGATGAAATTGTAAAGTCAGCACAAATAAAGTGGGCTCAGGATTTAGGTCATAATATACAACTTGAAGATTGGGAAAAGGTGTGGAAGGTGAACCTAAAATTTACAGATTGCATCTTACTGAAAGAGAATTATATGAAAATGATGTATAGATGGTATATAACACCTGAGACAGTGGTCAAAATGTATAAAAAGGGATCAAAAACTTGTTGGAAGTGTAAAGAAAAAGATGGTACATTTTATCATATATGGTGGGAATGCAAAAAGATTAGAAATTATTGGGAAATGATATATAATGAATTGAAAAAAAGTTTAAAAAGACTTTTGTTAAGAAACCAGAAGCATTCCTCCTAGGAATTTTAGACCAAGATGTAAAAAAAGAAAATTAGAAATTATTTATGTAAGCAACAGCAGCGGCAAGAATTATATTAGCACAAACAGAAGAAATACCCACGAAAGAACAGTGGCAAGGGAAACTTATGGAATATGCAGAACTGGCAAAACTAACAGAAAAACTACATGAAAAGGACAACAAAGACTTTAAAAGAGAATGGGAACCATTTACAACATCTATGAAGAGGCAACATAAAGAAATGGACTCATTGGCAGGGTTTGAGTAAACAATCACAACTGTATACAACAGAATATAAGTCTATATGTATTGGGAAAACTTTGGGAAACAATACGCAGAGTGAATGATATGAAACTAAAGGAAAACAGGAGTATGAGGAAGTCCAGGGGAGGAGGGTGGAAATATGAAAAATTGTCAAAGATATATTGTTAGAAGAAGTATACATGGAAAAATCAATTAAAAATATTTTTTTTAAAAAAGCAACAGGCAGGTATCCTTCTTGTAACAGGTGAGCTCTGTGCAGTTACTGGGATGTTAGAGCCTCTGTCATTGGTAAATAACCTGTTTTAGCTGGGCAAGTCTTCATGGGTAGACCCACAAATTCACTGACAAATTCCACCTGTGCAAGAATTCAGGGGCATCTCTAGATCAGGCCAGAAGAAATTATTTTTTCAAATGTTTTCGTCCCCTGCCCACTTTAATTATTTTCTCTCTGTTTTCAAGGTGTAGAACAACTTGCTGAGATACCTCCTCCACGACTAGTTAAGACTCACCTCCCAGTGCAACTTGTCCCCGAGTCCTTTTGGGAAAATGGTTGCAAGGTAAAATAAACCTGCCTTTCATTAGGATGCACTACAGATGCTATTGCTTACTTTTGCCTGACTACGCATTCTGACTGAACCATCTCTGAATTTGCTTCAGCCTTGGATTTGATTCTTTGAAGGATCAAGGAGTCCTGTATACCTGAAGGAGCGTCTCCACCTCCATTGTTCAGACCAGACACTGAGTTCCAGTGCCAAGTCTCCTGGTGGTTCCCTCACTGCAAGAAGTGAAACTACAGGGAAACCTGGCATTTTTGACAGTCACATCTGCCCTGTGGAATGCCCTCCCAGCAGGTGTCAAGGAGATAAATAACTATATAATTTGAAGGCAGCCCTGTTTCAGGAAGCTTTTTGTTATTGAGGTTGTTCTTGCTGTGGTTGTTCCTGTATTTTTGTTGGAAGTCTGCCAGGGTGGCCTGGGCAACCTAGTCAGATGCGCAGGATATAAGAAATACATTATTAGTCCCCTTTTGGCTCTTGACATATCTATCTCCCATCTCCTGACTTGCTTTTCCATGGAGTCCACTGCCATTGGACTGCCATCTTTATACAATTCTCATAAGATGTTGCACTTGAGGAACTGAAACAATTTTTCATTTGTGGAAAATTGCGCCATGGAGGCGCAGATTGCAGCTATAACAAAGGTGGCATTTTTTCATCTCCGCCAAGCTAAGCAGTTGGCTCCTTACCTCTCTCGCCCTGACCTAGCCACTGTGATCCACGCGACGGTCACCTCCAGACTGGATTATTGTAACTCGCTCTACGTGGGGCTGCCCTTGAGACTAGCCCAGAAACTCCAGCGGGTGCAGAATGCCGCGGCGAGACTCCTTACAGGGTCTTCGCTGCGAGATCACATTCATCCGGTGCTATACCAGCTGCACTGGCTCCCGGTGGAGTACAGGATCAGGTTTAAGGTGCTGGTTTTAACCTTCAAAGCCCTATATGGCCTAGGACCCTCGTACCTACGGGACCGCCTCTCCTAGTATGCCCCACAGAGGAACTTACGGTCTTCAAATAAAAACATCTTGAAGGTCCCAGGCCCCAGAGAGATTAGGCTGGCCTCAACTAGAGCCAGGGCTTTTTCGGCTGCGGCTCCAATCTGGTGGAATGCTCTGTCACAAGAGACAAGGGCCCTGCAGGACCTGACATCTTTCCGCAGGGCCTGCAAGACAGAGCTGTTCCACCAGGCCTTTGGCCAAGGCACAGTCTGACACCCTCCTTTGGCAATCTTTACAAAACTTTAGTTTATGGTTGCCATCAATTTTGATTTTAATTAATTTTTATAATGTTTTTATAATGTTGCACTATTTTAGTGTTGTTAGCCGCCCTGAGCCCGGCTTTGGCTGGGGAGGGCGGGATATAAATAAAATTTATTATTATTATTATTATTATTATTATTATTTGAAACAAAAATAGCTATACATCTTGTGAGATTCCAATATTCATATCTTTATTCCATTTTATTATGTATTTGTGTACTGTTGTCTCATTATGTACATTGTTGACATCTAATAATATTTCATATCCATTCTTTCCACTCCAAAACTGTTGACTTTTGCTAAACCTACTCAGGAAAGGCTGAATTTGCATATACTGGAACATGAATGGGTAGTGGGTTCAAGGTCTAGTTTATTCTTCATTTGGTCTAATGATTGTATATCCTTCCAGTCTTGGAATGTCTCCAACTTATCAACCTTCCCAAATTACCTAGTGGACCTTTCAGATGGGATCTTTCATCATGTATCAAAGAGGCATATGGCTGTTTGTATTGGTCCCATATTTACCTCACAGATCTGTCAACTTTTATAGTCAGGGCACTTCACGCAGGTATGGAGGGAGCATTCTTGCCTGCCAATACAGACAGTGTGCACCTGTAGTGAAAGAGATAGGGAATGTTTTTGAAATTTGGGTAAAATGTCATTCCATAAAATGCAGCCTTACCTTTTTATAAGTTAGTAAGTTCATTATGAATTTATTTAAGAATGAGGAATGGGGTGTACAGATCATAGAACTTATTTTTTAAATTTCAGACTTTCAAGAAAAGGATCAGTTTTTCAAACGTACATTTTGCAAATTTGGACAAAACCACGGTTAACAGAAACACTCAATGTTCATTCCCACAGATGATCTATGTGGCCAGGAATGCCAAGGATGTAGCTGTCTCTTATTACCACTTCTACAAGATGGCAAAGATGCACCCAGAACCTGGAACCTGGGATGAGTTTCTCGGGAAATTTGTGGCGGGGGAAGGTAGAACTTGGAAAGAACATTTCATTTCTGAGCACAACCTGTGGACCTTCTCCTGGTCCTTAGTTAGGCAAAAGTTTTGTTCCTCTTAAACAGTCATGGTGTCCCCCAAAGAATCCTGGGATTTGTAGTCTGGTAAGTTGTTGTTGGGAGGGACGCGGGTGGCGCTGTGGGTTAAACCACAGAGCCTAGGGCTTGCCGATCAGAAGGTCGGCGGTTCAAATCCCCACGACGAGGTGAGCTCCCGTTGCTCGGTCCCAGCTCCTGCCCACCTAGCAGTTCGAAAGCACGTCAAAGTGCAAGTAGATAAATAGGTACCACTCCGGCGGGAAGGTAAACGGCGTTTCCGTGTGCTGCTCTGGTTCGCCAGAAGCGGCTTAGTCATGCTGGCCACATGACCCAGAAGCTGTACGCCGGCTCCCTCGGCCAATAAAGCGAGATGAGCGCTGCAACCCCAGAGTCGGTCACGACTGGACCTAATGGTCAGGGGTCCCTTTACCTTTACTTAAATTGTTGTTGAGGGCCAAATGGCAGGCTCCTGTGTTAAGGGCAGGTCTGTTCCCATCGGGTGTAAGACAGGGGTGGAGGTATAGTGATTTAGGTTGAAAATCAGGAAGGTGGTGGCAGACTTTGGGCTCTCAGAGTTAAGCCACACTCTGCGCGATGCTCAAATTGGGTACCTCCCCACTTCATTCCATAACATTGTTGTGGTGCCCCCTTCAGCGCAGTGCCCAGTCGCGCTACCCAAAAACCACCTCTGAGGATGGGGTTAGTATCTCCTTGCCTACGGACACATTTTCACTGTAAATTTCCTTCCTTTCACATATGGGAGAGATGCACATTTTAAAAGGAAGTGTGTGCTTTGGTCCAAAAAAAAATCTCTGTTAGGGTCTAATAGGGTTCCCCTCCTCCTCCAACCAGGGAATAAAAATATCAAAGGCCCCCATAGAGGAGGGGGAGACTGTTGAACTCCTTAAAGCCTGAAGGATAGAGTTGCCCTTAATGTTTGTGGTAAGCAGGACACAAAACAATAATGGCCTTTCAACACAACTACTGCTCGAAAGCAGGCAACGGAAGTCCAAAGATGAACTGCATATAACTAGGAATGTGACTTTGCACATATTTGCCATTCAAAATACAGTGGTACCTCGGTTTTCGAACAGCATAGTTCACAAACAGCTTGGAACCTGAACACTGCAAAACCGGAAGTAGGTGTTCCGGTTTTCGAACTTTCTTTTAGAAGCCAAATGTGCTCAGTTTTGATTCCCCCTGTGTTTTCTGTTGCGCTGCTAATTTGCGTCCCCCCCATTGTAACTCAGCCTTCCGTTTCCAATTGCAGTGTTCTGAGGTGATATTTGAAGCTTATATTTGTTGCTTTTGTTTTTGCTATTTATTTCGCATTTTTTGTTTTGAGGCTTTTTCAATTAATTTGTTTTTGTGACTGTGTGGATCCCAGTTCAGCTACTGATTGAGTGATTGATTGATTGATTGATTGTGTGACTGTGGAAATGGATAAAAGCCCCCCCTCCAAACAATGACTATCATCAGTGCAGGTAAGGGAAAAAAATTTATTTTTATAATCTACAATACTGTTTTATTTATTTTATAGTACAGTACATTGATTATTGCTTTCATTTTTTGGATCGATGGTCTCGTTAGATAATAAAATTCATGTTAAATTGCTGTTTTTGGGGTTGTTTTTAAAAGTCTGGAACGGGTTAATCCGTTTTGCATTACTTTCTGTGGGAAAGCGCTCCTTGGTTTTGGAACGCTTTGGTTTTGGAGCAGACTTCCGGAACTGATTAAGTTTGAGAACCAAGGTACCACTGTATAGTACACTTGGGGTTTAGCAAATGTGATATATCTGCAATAGAAAGGTAGCTTCTGTGGTATGTGCAAAGCTGGAAGAATTAAGAAAGAAAACAAATATTGTGTAGAAATCCCTCCATCTCATGTAGTCAGAGCCCATGCAGAAGCAAGGTCCACGTGTTCAATCGGACTTACAGTGGTACCTCAGGTTAAGTACTTAATTCGTTCCTGTGGTCCGTACTTTACCTGAAACTGTTCTTAACCTGAAGCACCACTTTAGCTAATGGGGCCTCCCACTGCTGCCGCGCCGCTGGAGCACGATTTCTGTTCTCATCCTGAAGCAAAGTTCTTAACCTGAAGCACTATTTCTGGGTTAGCGGAGTCTGTAACCTGAAGCGTATGTAACCTGAGGTACCACTGTACTTCTTAGTAGCCTTTGACCATTGATGCTTTTTCATATTGATGTTCTGTCTGTATTCTTTTAAATTTTTTGTAATCTGAGTTTTAAAAGAATTATTTGCCCATCTCTCTCTCCCTTTGTAGTGGCATTTGGATCCTGGTATGACCATGTAAAAGGATGGTGGGATAAGAAGAAGACCCACCCTAATATTCTGTATCTCTTCTATGAAGACATGAAGGAGGTGTGTGAAACCTCTGATGCTAAAGGCATGATGGTCCCAGACAGCCTGTTTACTCAGCATTCCTGCTGATTTCTTTTTATGGAGAGCAGACAACACATTTGGCTATTTAATGAGCATTTATTCTTATTTGTTTCCTAGGAATTGAGATGGTCTTTCATCAAAAAAAGTGTTATCCCACACTCCCTAGTGCCTTTTCCAGTCATTTTTGCTCATTACCAAAAGTCTGATCTTTTGGGTTTGTCACGTAAGAACTCACAATCAGATAATAATGTCAAAACCTGAATTTGCTGACAGAGCCTAGGACTTGCCGATCAGAAGGACAGCAGTTCGAATCCCTGCGACGGGGTGAGCTCCCATTGCTCGGTCCCTGCTCCTGCCAACCTAGCAGTTTGAAAGCACATCAAAGTGGAAGTAGATAAATAGGTACCACTCCGGTGGGAAGGTAAACGGCGATTCCGTGCGCTGCTCTGGTTCACCAGAAGCGGCTCAGTCATGCTGGCCACATGACCCGGAAGCTGTACGCCGGCTCCCTTGGCCAATAAAGCGAGATGAGCGCCGCAACCCCAGAGTCGGCCACGACTGGACTTAATAGTCAGGGGAATGAATCCCACCCCAAAAGACTGACAATCAGGAAGCATCTGCTGCCTCTCTTTTTGCAGGACCCCAAGCGTGAAGTAGAGAAGGTGATTCGGTTTCTGGGAAAGGAGGTGTCGGAAGAAGTGGTGAATAAAATTCTTCACCATACGTCGTTCAAGGAGATGCAGAAGAACCCCACTTCAAACTATACCATGATGGCAGGTGACCAAATGGATCACAGCGTGTCTCCTTTCATGAGAAAAGGTCAGCTTCCCACAAATCGTTAATCGGGACCAGAGATTTTTTTTAAAAAAACAACAACAGAACAATAGTTTTAAAAATTGGCAATTTAAGATCCTTACACCTTTTAGATTACAGTGGTACCTCGGGTTAAGTACTTGATTCGTTCCGGAGGTCTGTTCTTAAGCTGAAACTGTTCTTAACCTGAAGCACCACTTTAGCTAATGGGGCCTCCTGCTACCACTGCACAATTTCTGTTCTCATCCTGAAGCAAAGTTCTTAACCTGAAGCACTATTTCTGGGTTAGCAGAGTCTGTAACCTGAAGCGTCTGTAACCTGAGGTACCACTGTATTTTAATATTATGCTGAGTTTCTTCACGTCACATTTTCAAGTTCTCAATAGATACGAAAGTTAGAATTCTTGTTCGTAAGATCTGTAAATACTTACATTAATAAATGTAATAGTTTTCCATGCGTATACAACACGTGCATTTTTTTCAATTTTTTTTTTTTATTAATTTCTGCAATTAAACATTATCATCACACACACAAAAAATAGAAAATAAAACATTTTCACACAATATTAAATCCACATTTTGGGATCCCTCGGATCCCTCCATTCCCTCCCCGGGTTCTTTTATATTATCTTAATTTATACATGTCAATAATTTCCTTATCTTTAATTATCTCCAAATTTAAACATTCTCCTTAATGTTACAAGTGTTTTTAAAAACCTGCTACTGTATTAACTTCCTTACAATGCTTTTGTGCATATGCAATCAATATTTTCCATTCTTTTTTTTATATTTGTTGTCTTCTTGATTTCTAAGTCTTCCAGTTAATTTAGCCATTTCGGCATATTCCATTAATTTGAGTTGCCAATCTTCTTTAGTGGGGGCTCTCTTTCTTTCTTTCTCTCTCTCTTTCTTTCTTTCTTTCTTTCTTTCTTTCTTTCTTTCTTCCTTCCTCCCTCCCTCCCTCCCTCCCTCCCTTCCTTCCTTCCTTCCTTCCTTCCTTCCTTCCTTCCTTCTCCTCCTCCTCCTCCTCCTCCTCCTCCTCCTCCTCCTCCTCCTCCTCCTCCTCCTTCTTCTTCTTCTTCTTCTTCTTCTTCTTCTTCTTCTTCTTCCCCCATGAAAGGGCTGTCTGTTGTTCCCCAATGCCAGTTTATATTCCCTGAAGTGGGTGAAATCTTTAAGTATTGCTTTGCTCCCAATTCCTTCCCCCTTCCCCCCTTAAAAAAAAATAGTGAAATAACCGTGGCTCTTTAATGTTAGCTATTATTAGGTACTTCTACTGAAGAAAAGCAAATTGTCTCAAGCGCTGGGAAACGGAATTGTTTGACCCACCCTGCCAGCAAATGGTTTGTGCCCATGCTATCTGGGTCAAAACCTATGCAACACTTTGATTTCTATGGTCTGAAATGTTCCTAGCTCTGGGCTAGAATGAGTACAGTGCTGATGGTTATCTGCAGAACAGAACATAGGCCTTATGATGGTCACCTAGTGATTTTTTGGTTTCCTTCTCCACAGGGATTGCAGGTGACTGGAAAAACCAATTCACCGTAGCTCAGAACGAGAGATTTGATGAGGATTATGCGGAGAAAATGAAGGGATCTACCTTGCTTTTTCGAACGGAGATCTAAGGGACAAACATTTTTCTCTACAGCGGGGTGAAAGCCGCTGGCTTCTCCTCTCTCAGCACTGCTCCCACAATGATTAATTTGAGATTTGTTGTGCTTTATCACTACCCAGATTGTTACGGAAAAATCTCGGTGTGAGGCTGCTCAGTCACCCAGCTCGTCGGGCAGAGCCCGCGGGTCCCTGCAGAATAAAGGAAGGAGTCCAGCCACCAACCGGAGCAAATAGCTGTAGATCAGTTTATTGCGCAACAGGTTCAAAGAGGAATTTTGAACCCTGAGGATGGGGTGATAAAGACTTTTAAAACTTTCCCACCATATCCCAGAGTACAGTTCGTACAGCATCATTGCTACATCACTGACATGTCACAAAAGGGGAGGGGTAGACAGGGGTTACACTAGTTTAACCTTGGCAAACATGTCCAGACAAGTCCTTGGTACAAGATTAGCATAAGCAGACATGGCAGGGCAAGACTCAGGTATAAGATTAGCATAGACAAATATGTCTTAAGTACCCACCACCCAAAAGTACAATAGAACTTCCTTTGCATGTCTGGAGCCTGAGGCAAGTCAGGTGATGAGATTTGGCTTCCCTTGGCTAACAATGAGCCCAGCAATTGTCACCTCTAGGAACTTCCTGGAGTCCTTTTTCAAGGGGAAAATAGCTTTGGAATGGCGGAAACTGGCAAAGGAGTTGATTTTATATTATTTTTAAAGCTAGGTAACTTCCCTGAGCTGTCAAGTTGAAAGGATACATTCAGGCATAATATTTGTAACATTTAACTTTAAAGATGTGCCCCCCTGTAATTTCCGTAACACAGATAATGGCCCAGAAGAAGTCATTGCATCTCAGCAGCTTAGTTGTCTTGAGGAGCCAATAGGTTTGCCTCATAGAACCATTCCTTCAGGCTAAGTTCCTCAACAACCCGTCAATAAGAAGAGCCACGAAGAATCTTGCAGCTTGCGTCTCGTCCCTCGGACTGCTCCTTCCTCAGAGCTAACCACTTACCTAACCTTTGCAAAGTCCCTGCCTCTGTCCTTTCTGATCTACGCTTGCTCCCCTGGACTTTGGCTCTCCGCCTGACCCGACTACAGCTCTGCCTCTGGGACTTCTGACTTTTATGCAACTGCTTCAGAGAGAGTCCCGAAGGAGTGGCCTTTATCTTGTTTTCACTTCCCGTGCTTAGTTGACTCTTGTTTCCAATAAAGTCTTTCAGACCAGGTGCTTCTGTAATTACCATACAAAGTATATTTGCTAATCTGTTTGGCACATCACACTTGGCCAACTATAACATTTCCTCAGCGCTGGCGGCCTGAGGCATTGTTCCGGCATCTCAAGCACACAGTCAGAAGGGCTCCTTGCCTGAAGTGATTTCTCAATGTCATGGTTTAGGGCAGGGCTGCCCAACAGGTTGATCGCGATCTACTGGTTGTTCGTGGGGTATCCCTGGTCGATCCTGGTTGGTCACTGGACCCTCAGCTGTTGTGCTGCTAACTTTCTTTAGGGAGCTCAACAACTGTGGCTCCCCAAAAAAGCTCAACAACTTTAGTCAATCCATAGCTGTCAAGTGTCCCTTATTTGAAGTCCCTTATTCCAGCGCCATGTCCCGCTGCTGTCCCATATTGATGGATGTCCCTTAAATGATGTCCCTTAAATTTCAAAGGAAGCAGCTCCTCTCCCTCCCTCCCTGCCAGCCAGGGAGGAGGGAGGCTCCAACTGTGTTGCTTGGCTGTGTTGCTCACCCAATAAGAAGTCTAAGAAAGACTGGGGGGTGGAGCTTGCGTGCCTTCTGTGTGGCTAATTAATGCAAGCTGAGGGGTTTTTTGAATGCTGGACGCCATTTTGTTGCACGTGCTGCTGCAAACTTTGCAGTGCAAAGCAAGGCCGGAGAGCCATCTTAAGTTGAGGCTACATAGGCCTTGTGGTGCATGTGATTCAGATTCTATTCAGCTGAACCTCTGGTTACAAAGTTGGTTGGACAGTGTTCTCGAAGCTACCAGCATGAGTTTGACCAGACTGCAGGAGGACAGGAAGACTGGAGTGCCTGGAACAGGTGAGGCTGCAGGTCCCTTATTTTGGCTGCTGGTCCCTTATTTTCAAGGCTGCTGGTCCCTTATTTTCAAATCTGTAAGTTGACAGCTATGAGTCAATCCAATAGGTAGATCACTGCCAGTTTATTTACAGTATGAATAGATCGCTGTCTCTTGGAAGTTGGACACCCCTGGTTTAGGGTACCGTATTTTTCGCTCCATAAGATGCACTTTTTTCCTCCTAAAAAGTAAGGGGAAATGTCCGTGTGTCTTATGGAGCGAATGTGTGGTCCTGGAGCCAAATTGCCTGAGTGCGGCACGCTCCTGGGCTGCTCTTTGGAGGTGGGGGAGGGAGCCACGCTGCTCTGCAGGCAGCCTCCTCTTTCCCCTGAAGCTCTGGGAAGGTTTTGGAGCAGGGGGAAGGCTGTGTGCCATTGCTCCGCGCTCCTGGGCTGCTCTTTGGGGAGGGGGGAGCCACGCTCCTGTCCAGCTTTGCTGCTTTAAAGCGAATTTGCCATCTCTCAGTGCCTCCTAATTCAACTGCAAAAGGCTTGATTGCCTAACTGGATTCTGAGCTCCATTTGAAGTTTAAAAATACTAAGTTTGGGGATTTCTTCAAGTAGCAGTTTTGCGGAACTAGTCATAAATACATGCAAAGCATCTCCACAAACCAGTAATAGTGAGCTCAGCTAAAACCAAGCAGGCATCTGGCTCAGTAACAGTTTAAACTGCACAACTATAACCAGACATGCTGTGTGTTTGTATGTGGACCATGCTCTAGCAGCTAATCTTTATTGCTGAAAAGAGGCACTGATATTCTATAATATCTAGAATTCATTATACAAATTCTTACAAGTACAGTCCACCTATACCAAACCAAAAACATTGTGTTCTCTTGGTATTGAATGGAAGCTATTTATCTGACCTCTTTTCCTCCTCTGTTCTTTGCTCAGTCACTCCATTTTGAATCTTCCTTTCAAAACAACCATGCCTGTTTTGAGAAAAAGTCACAGATTTAGGAACTGGAGCGCAATTATTTGATCTCTTTGCTGTTCCTCCATACTCCAAGCACTTCTCATTTGCATAGCCCTGGTTTCTCTCCCTGACTATTACCATTCTTGATTAATAACGGTAAAATGCTCAAATTTTAGTTTATGTGACGGCTGCCAATACTGACTTCCCAGTGATAATGAAAACAGCTACATTTTAATGGAATGTCTATCCTTTTTCCATTCTCTTCATTATATACCGTGGCTCGCTTTAAAGCAGCAAAGTGGACAGGAGCCACCTGCTTTGGTGTTTTAAATAGTTTAGTACAACATTTGATTCAGATTTTTTCCCCTTGTTTTCCTGCTCTAAAAACTAGGTGCATTTTATGGTCAGGTGTGTCTTATGGAACGAAAAATACAGTATTTGGGCAGATCTGCTTTCAATAAATGGCTTTGTCACCATCATGGTTGATGAACGTTGCTAGCTGACTAGACGGAAAGCCACCATGACTTGCTCTTTGGCCCCTAAAACAAGGGTTTTCTTCCGCAGTTTGACTTCACAGAGGCACACTCCATTTTCTCTTGAGACAGATTGTGTTGTTGTTTAGTCGTTTAGTCGTGTCCGACTCTTCGTGACCCCATGGACCAGAGCACGCCAGGCACTCCTGTCTTCCACTGCCTCCCGCAGTTTGGTCAAACTCATGCTGGTAGCTCCAAGAACACTGTCCAACCATCTCGTCCTCTGTCGTCCCCTTGTCCTTGTGCCCTCCATCTTTCCCAACATCAGGGTCTTTTCCAGGGAGTCTTCTCTTCTCATGAGGTGGCCAAAGTATTGGAGCCTCAGCTTCAGGATCTGTCCTTCCAGTGAGCACTCAGGACTGATTTTCTTAAGAATGGATAGGTTTGATCTTCTTGCAGTCCATGGGACTCTCAAGAGTCTCCTCCAGCACCATAATTCAAAAGCATCAATTCTTCGGTGATCAGCCTTCTTTATGGTCCACTTGAGACAGATGGATGCCAACAAACAACTGGTGAAGTGTGCACATCAAACTGCTGTCGGAAACCCTCATGACTGGGTGGGAGGGGAGAGGGGAAATAGAACGGAATGGCTGGAGCAGGAGAACAGAGATGAGTCACCTGCCCATAACCAACAACGGAGGAATTAAACAATTGAGTGTAGCTGGGATTGGGCAGGAGCGTCCACTGAAACTGATATGGAGATGAGGAAACTCAGGCAGCCCAGTGAGCATGCTCAGAAGGCGTGGCATACTGACCAATGGGAGGGTGAGAAACCAAAGGGAGGAGAGCTGGAATGGGGTGGCTTGAACCCTGAACAGGAGCATTCCAGCACATTTTGTCACATGGTCCCATTTGTCCATATGCGCTGATACCAAGTTGTGTCTTTTCATGCTTAGGCAGCCGTCATGACAACCAACCTGCACAGAAAAGATGTATCAGCAGACTCAGGGTAACCCTGAGATATGTGCACATTTTTAAAAAAATGCCACAGAAAACCCCCCACAGAGGAACCCATAATTAGCCCCATAATAGCTCGATGGCAACCTAGCAGTTCGAAAGCACGTCAAAGTGCAAGTAGATAAAGAGGTACCACTCTGGCGGGAAGGTAAACGGCGTTTCTGTGTGCTGCTCTGGTTCGCCAGAAGCATCTCTGTCATGCTGGCCACATGACCCGGAAGCTGTACGCCGGCTCCCTTGGCCAATAAAGCGAGATGAGCGCCGCAACCCCAGAGTCGGTCACGACTGGACCTAATGGTCAGGGGTCCCTTTACCTTTACCTTAGCTCGATGGCACATAATGATGAGAGACTGAGAGGGCAAAAAATACCTGACAACAGGAGGGGAGAACAGCTGGACCTAAAAAGGGCCCCGTTACCTTCAGGACCTTAGGGCCTTGTCAAACCTAAATCCGGCCCTGAGGAGGAGGAACCTGCAATATGTCAATGGCATGGATTCTTAAGAGGCTGAAGCTCTCTTTGAGTGCTCACTTGAACACGTGAGGGTCAAAACTATGTACAGGGGCAAGCCCTGTTCTCAGAATCCCTATGCCCTCTCTTCTCTTGACCTTTCATGTGGCAGGAATCCCAATTGCTCAGACACTTCGAAGCGTGCATCTCACTGAGCGTAGAAACCTCCTTGCAGACCTTTGCTCTGAACCTACGATGGCCTGAGAGGAGCCCAAGCATGCAGGGAACATTGGTGGGCAGAGGCTGAATCACGCACACACCCGACTGAAAACACAATTGGAACCCTCACGTGTTCAGCTGAATGCCTGAAAAGCTTTATTTCACACAGGTCAAAGACTCAGTTTGGCACGCACGCACACACATGCATTTGCGGGTACACACACACACACACACACACACACACACACAGGCTGGGGGCCTCAATGGCACCCCTCTGGAGACTTCACCCGGGGCAAAAAAAAACCTGACTAATGGCATGCATATTTGTGGTATGATAAGGTCAAAGCACATAAAGCATTTAGAAACCACACTGTCAGGAAAGCGCTATTTAATGTTTGGATAAGATATAAGGATTTGCTAGAAAATAAAACCCCAAGGTGGCTGTCACCAATGGAAGCGAAAGCCTTGAGAAAGGTCAATATGGAGGTCAAATGGCTGAAATATTGGGAAATTTTGGAGCAAGACGGAGATAGACTGAAATTGCAGAGTTTTGAAAAATTAAAAAACAAAGTGCGAGACTGGCTTTATTATTATCAGATAATGGAGGCATTTAAATTGGACAAGAAAATTGGCTTCCAGGTGGAAAGATCAAAATTAGAAACAGAATTGTTAGAACCCCAAACTAAGAATTTGTCAAGAATGTATATCTTGCTGCTGAAATGGAATACTCAGGATGAAACGGTAAAATCGGCTATGATTAAATGGGCACAGGACGTTGGACATAACATTATGTTTGCTGACTGGGAACAGTTGTGGACCACAGGTATGAAATTTACGGCATGTAATGCCTTAAAAGAGAATATTATGAAAATGATATACAGGTGGTACATAACCCCAGTCAAGCTTGCAAAAATCTATCATTTGCCCGATAATAAATGTTGGAAATGTAAAGAAACTGAAGGTACATTTTTTCACCTTTGGTGGACGTGCCCAAAGATTAAGGCTTTCTGGGAAATGATATATAATGAATTTAAAAGGTATTTAAATATACCTTCCCTAAGAAACCAGAGGCCTTTCTCCTGGGCATAGTCGGCCAAATGGTGTTAAAAAGGATAGAACTTTCTTTATGTATGCAACAACAGCAGCAAGAATACTCATCGCAAAGTATTGGAAGACACAAGAACTTCCCACGCTGGAGGAATGGCAGATGAAACTGATGGACTATATGGAACTGGCGGAAATGACTGGCAGAATCCGTGACCAGGGAGAAGAGTTGGTGGAGGAAGATTGGAAGAAATTCAAAGATTATCTTCAGAAACATTGCAAAATTAAAGAATGTTAGAGTGATGTTGGACTGAAAATAAGTGGTTTCCAGCTGTACAGGTTAAAGTTAATGATAGACTAAGATTAAAGATTAGGATTAAAGATGTTTAAGGAAATGGAAATTTGGTAATTAAGAGGTAAAATTTCAAGGTTATATTACATTAAGATCAAAGATTAGGTCTAAAGAAGTTGAAGTTATACATTATATTAAAATTAAAGATTGGGATTAAAAAAGTGGAAAAGAAATTGCTGGACAAACAATTTGAATTGGAATACAAAAGAGGGAGGTATGAGGAAGTCCAGAAAATAAGTAAACTCAAAACGGAAATGGAAAAGAGATATTGTTTTTAATTGTTATGTTTTTTTTTACTGTTGATTCTTACTTTTCGTGTTTTTTTAATTTTTTTTCCTGAGATTTGTATTGTGTATTTGTGTATCTTTTTTATGTTTTTTTGTTGTTGTTTAATTTTTGATTGAAACCTTAATAAAAATTATTTAAAAAAAACAACAAAAAAACCCCCTGACTAGCCCCCCACCCATAGGTAAGGCTCTGAGGGAAGGACAGAATGGTGTAACCAGAACATGGCGGCAGAGAAACGAAGTGTAGAAACCGCTGTTGCCTGGGTTGATTCCTCGTTCACACGGAAAACCTATTTCTAAGCATCCTCAGGAACAGAAGCGAGTGCTTCCCACAGAAATGAATGGATAAATTCAAATTGTTAATCTGGCAGGGACTGGGCCCTTGTATGTACGCCCTTAAAAGGTAAAGGGACCCCTGACCATTAGGTCCAGTCGTGGCTGACTCTGGGGTTGCGGCGTTTATCTCACTTTATTGGCCAAGGGAGCTGGCGTACAGCTTCCGGGTCATGTGGCCAGCTTCTGGCGAACCAGAGCAGCGCATGGAAACGCCATTTACCCTCCCGCCAGAGCGGTACCTATTTAACTACTTGCACTCTGACGTGCTTTTGAATTGCTAGGTTGGCAAGGAGCAGGGACCGAGCAACGGGAGCTCACCCCGTCGCGGGGATTTGAACCGCCGACCTTCTGATCAGCAAGTCCTAGGCTTTGTGGTTTAGCCCACAGCGCCACCTGCGTCCCTATGTATGCCCTTACTCACCTGAAAAACAAACAAATCCGAAAGGTAGCAGCAGAGGGGGAAATTCTTGGTCTCTCTAACTCTGTTATTATTTTAGCATGAGACTTTAAAACACCAGCAGAACAGAGCCAATACAATTCATTGTCCATGTATTTCACACTGGAAGGGGCTGTACCTGGAACCGAATTACTTACGGCCAGCCTGCAAAGTTGCACATAGTGAATTTTGCAGGCCAGGCTCTGGGTTGTTTATAACAGGGTGAGGGACCGTGGCCTTGCCAGACGTTTTTGGATTCCCAACTCCCATCATCCCTGACCACTGACCATACTGGCTAGGACTGGTGAGTCCCACAGACTCCCAGTCCCTGGTTTGCAACAAGCCTGCGGTGTTGCACCATGGCTAGCAAACCTGACTCGGGCTTCCCGTTCAGAATTGCCAGCAGGGACAGCTGGCAACCTTGCCCACACATCGTATTTGTTCAGAAAATATAGGTCAGGGGGGGAAACCATTGACTAGGAAGAAGTAAGGACAGATCTCTTGAAAACCATGAGCAGCAAAAGGAGGTGTTTGGGATTTCTTTTCCCTTCGGATGCGGCTAAACTTGGCTGTTTTCAGACTTCTCCTTCAAACTTTTTTTTATTTCAAAGCCATTCAGCGAAGGACATTCTTTCTCCCCTGGCATCGAGCCCAGCTTCCATTCCCCAACCCCTCCTACATGACACACACTCTGTTTGGGCAACTGAGACCTTTGGTTTCCTTGGCCTTATTCCCGAGGGTTGGTTTTCTTTTGTTTGTGAAGAAAGCCTCCCTAATCCCTTCTCTGTTTATATCCCTGTGAAAAAATCACACCACCTCCTGGGCGACTCTCTGTCTTTCACCACTAAAGCAGTACCATCTGTCTATGAGGAAAGGTAAGCCTCCGTTTTCCCCCTTTTGTCCGTCTAAATAACGCAGCAGCTTTTCAGAAAACAAGTGCCTGTTTTTCTCCGAAAGTCGATTAGGGCTCCAGGTTTGGGAACTTGTTGAAACAGGGCGGAGCCGAGCAGAGCAGGAAGGGGGAAAGGCAACGCTTCAATCTGGAATTGTTGTTAAAAGTTTGGGAGGAAAGTTTGCCTTTGAAAGCTGCAAAAGCAAAGAGGAACGAGGTGCCTGAACTTCTAATGTGAGGTGGACATTTTTCGACTACTCTTTAACGAGGAGTGACTTGAAATATTCAGGGGTGCAATTTTGGCTGACTGGCTGTTCAGATCCTCCCGGCAGGGCCAGTCCCCGCCATGAGGCAAGGTGAGGTGACCGCCTCAGGCGGCAGGACCCACGGGGCAGCAGACCCAGCCTCCAAGGAATGCATCACCTGTTAGTGCTGCCAATCCATGCGCGCCTTGGAGGCTGGTTCTGCCGCCTCCTTGGCACCTCGTTCTAGATGCTGTCTCTACAGCAGCCTCTTGGCAAATAGGAGGTGCTGCTGGTCTCCCCCCAGCCCAGAAACTGCTCTCTGGGGTCTCCTGGGGTCTGACATGATTCGAAGCGGGCCTTTGATTCCCACTTCAAATGCCCTAGCCCCATTTCAGGGATTCGGATGAAATCGTGGCAAGCCCCTGGATTCCTTTAACGGAATTCCCTTCCGCACCAGCATTGGAGGGGCAGGCCCAGCCTTTCCTTCCCCCTTCTCCAACCAATGTATAACCAATGCCTAACCTCAACCTTACAAGTTGTGACGATTTGCTACGTAGTAGGCGAAAACCAAACGGCACAGCCAATCAGCCATGTGGACAAAATTCCTACCAGGTGCCTGCCCCAACGGCAGATGACCCCATGACAGGCATAGCAAGGTCAACCAAAACACCCTGAACTCAGGGCGGGCTGGCGGGTGATCTGATGCACTCAGCGAAAGAGAAAGCAAAAAGTTGAGTGCCCCAGTATTTAAAACCTTCGATCCCACCCACCACATTGCAACATGCAATTTGCTCCAGCAACCCAGCCTTCCAATCAAATGCCCTAGATCAGCATATTTAACCCTGCCTGGCAACAGAGGGATGGCTCGGCGGACTCCACTGCAACATGTGCTCTCATTTCAGGGAGAACACGCTTTGTGCATTGGTATGGGAGAGCAGGCTTTGGGTGGTAAAGCCAACATTTTCGGCTCTTGGCGAGAATAAATGAGCACCAGTAGCCATATGCATGTCTGCTCAGCTGCCCCCATACTATAACACCTTTAAAATGAAAATAGATGGCCAAAATAAACTCTGGAGGGGTGGGGGCAGAGCATGGCCACAATGGCCTAAGTGCTGGCATTGGGTCTGTTTGCCACTGGCCCCATCATCTGTCCCTCTCTGGATGGTCATTTGGAGACTTTGACCACCAAAATTCAGCCATAGCTCCACTTCTTCCCCCTCCTGCATTTTATTCGGCTAAGTGTCTTGCAGGTGGTCCTCTCGTCTTCTCTTATTTTGACTGCACTGCCTGACGCCGCCCCAAAGATGGGCAGCCCAGATGCTTATCTTCGGAAAGACTGGCAGATCGTCCGTGGCATCCCCATGGTCTGCGCGTTCTCCTTTGACTGGGACAGGATCGACCGTTTCCAGAGCAGGCCTGATGATATCGTGATATCCACGTACCCCAAATCTGGTGAGCGTTGCATGGGGAACAGGACCACATTGACAATCCGCTGCCTTTTGATGACCGCCTAAAATTCGCTGTCTGGTGTGGCCCATCTCGGTGTGTCTAACGGTGGCAGTCAGTTCCCAGAAGCCTGGTGGAACAAGGAAGTCCTCGCCTGCCGCCAGAAGGACAGCAAGGAGGGAGCCAGTCTAGTTTCTTCAGGGAGGGAGTTCCAGAGTCTGGGAGCAGCCACCAGGAAGGCCCTGCCCTGTATCACACTTTCCTACACACTTACCCACCTATTAACTTGCCCTGATTACTCTAATATTATTACACGGACACACTATTATTTATAAACACCAGAACATCACAAAGCCCATGAGAGGAAGCCAACTCCTAGTGGCCAAGGGTTTTTCAGCCCCTCCCCAATAAAATATTTGATGGGCCAAGCTCTACCAAAGTTGATGGGCATTGCCAATCAAATGTTGTGCTCGCACTGCGTCACATAAACGATTATGCTGGATGGGGCTTTCCTGGGCCCCACCCCAATATTTTATTCAGCTTGGCACTCCTGCACCCATTCGCTGCCATCGTTGCCCTCTATGAGTTAGGAGGGCAGCTTCTGAAATGTGTAGGTAGTATAGAAGGCTCGCCTGTAAGGGGGCTTCCATCTTGTACAAGAATGCACAAGAAGACGCCAGGCTGCCATTTTGTCCCCACTGCTCCACCCCCATCTGTTTACACATTTAGGGAATGCCTGAAGAAGAGCGTGCCCTATAGAACAGGCATAGGCAAACTCCAGGCCTCCAGATGTTTGGTACTACAATTCCCATAATTCCTAACCACTGGTCCTATTAGCTAGGGATGATGGGAATTGTAGTCCCAAAACTTCTGGAGGGCCAGAGTTTGCCTATGCCTGCTATAGGGAGTTTGTGGCTCGAGTCATGTATGGCTGAGCAAGCCCTACAAGAAAATAGTGAGACTTGCACCCTAGTAAGCACATATGGGGTTGAGCCACATGGCTGTAACCTATGCATGTAAATAGATTTTAATTATTAGGAGCTTTTCGAGGGTTCCACAAAACACACCCTACAACCCACTGGCTGCATAAAAGGTAAAGGGACTCCTGACCATTAGGTCCAGTCGTGACCGACTCTGGGGTTGCGGTGCTCATCTTGCTTTATTGGCCAAGGGAGCCCACGTGCAGTTTCCAGGTCATGTGGCCAGCATGACTAAGCTGCTTCTGGCGAACCAGAGCAGCCCATGGAAACGCCGTTTACCTTCCCGCCGGAGCGGTACCTATTTATCTACTTGCACTTTGATGTGCTTTCGAACTGCTAGGTTGGCAGGAGCAGGGACTGAACAACGGGAGCTCACCCTGTCGCGGGGATTCGAACTGCCGACCTTCTGATCGGCAAGTCCTAGACTCTGTGGTTTAACCCACAGTGCTACCCGTGCCCCTTAGGACACCCCTATTGATCTTAAGGCATTGGCTGGAGATGTTTCAGCAGGTGTATCAGCCCATTTGGACTTCTGAGAAAATTCCCTGTCTTACCTTTCGTTTCTGTTTGTTTGTTTGTTTCCAGGAACTACATGGATGAGTGAAATTGTGGACATGATTAGGAATGATGGCGACCCCGACAAAAGCAAACGGGCAATTTTCAATAAAGTGCCCATGCTGGAATTTGCTGCCCCAGGAAAGATGCCAGCAGGTAAACTTGCGTGCGAGTTACCGAGAGAACTTGCATTTCAGAGATCCGAGGTGAACAGGTAAAAATTAAAGTGGGTGGAGGAATAAGCAGTTTCCTCTGAGTTTGTGCTTTCCTATCTTTTCTTGATCTCTGGCCAAGGATCAAAGCTCCTCTTCCCTGCCTTGAGGAAAGGGAGCATAAAAGAAACCTGCATTTCTGGCAGGTGAGTGAGACTATTTTATATATTTAGATCACACGTAATTTTCAGAAGGTGGTTTTCCCTCTTCATAACATCCAGCGCCCAAACTGGGAGAAAAAAGAGAAGTGGGAGCAGGTGCAGGGAGGAAGTTAGGATGGTTGGGCCACCATTGCTATGCATTTTAAGCAGTATCATGCCACTTTAAGCAGTCATAAAAAAAAGTAAAGGGACCCCTGACCATTAGGTCCAGTCGCGGCCGACTCTGGGGTTGCGGCGCTCATCTCACTTTATTGGCCGAGGGAGCCGGCGTACAGCTTCCAGTTCATGTGGCCAGCATGACTAAGCCGCTTCTGGCGAACCAGAGCAGCGCATGGAAACACCGTTTACCTTCCCGCTGCAGTGGTACCTATTTATCTACTTGCACTTTGACGTGCTTTCGAACTGCTAGGTTGGCAGGAGCAGGGACCAAGCAGCGGTAGCTCACCCCGTCATGGGGATTCGAACTGCCGACTTTCTGATCGGCAAGTCCTAGGCTCTGTGGTTTAGCCCACTGTGCCACCCGTGTCCCTTTAGCAGTCATGGTTTCCTCAAGCATTGTGGGAACTATAGTTTGTTAAGGGTGCTGACAGCTCTTAGGAGGCCCGTTTCCTGCTCACAGAGCTACAATTCTCAGAGTGGCTTAACAGCCTACACCTCTTCTTTGGGAATTGTAGCACTGTGAAGGGGATCGGGGCCTCCTAACAACTCTCAGCAGCACCCTTAACAAACTACATTTCCCATGATGCCTTGGGGGAAGCCATGACTGTTTAGTGATTTGATACTGGTTTAAATGCATAGCGCAAATGGAGCCTCGACTACTTCTGCCTGAAAATGAGTGACATGACAGCTCACCTCACTTCAGACAACAGCCTAGCACTGTGATCACTAGCAGTGGAGATCAGGAGAGGCATGTGCTGGATTGGACCCAAGTCAAAGAAGTCTTATCCTGGCTCTTGGACCATCCTTAAGTGGACCTTCAGGAAAAGCCTGTAGACAAGGCATAGGCATTGGCTCTCCAGATGTTTTGGGACTCCAACTCCCATCATCCCTAGCTAACAGGACCAGTGGTTAGGGAGGATGGAAATTGTAGTCTCAAAACATCATGCCAGGCTATTGTCCATGCTTTGTTGGGCTGATAAGAGTCGTAGTCCAGCAACTGGATAGCTCTGCAGGTTATAGCGTGGTGCTGATAATGTCAAGGTTGCAGGTTCGGTCCCTGTATGGGGCAGCTGAATATTCCAGCATCGCAAGGGGTTGGACCAGATGATCCTTGGGGTCACCCACTCCACAATTCTATGATTCTGTAACATCGGCGAGCATGGGGTAAAGGTGTGCTGGTCCTGGGGGCTAACCGAGAGGCGAGGTCCGAGTCCAGTCCGAGGTCGATGGTGCGGTATGGAGGCTGTCCATCAAAGCTGTAGCTGGGTCCAAGGCAGGAAGTTGGGTGGGGTCAGGAACTCTGGCAGAAGAGCAGGAGAGGATGCAGGCAGGAACAGGCTAGCAACAACGTTGCTCCCGCAATCTGGGACTGGGGCTGGCTGGCTTTTATCTGCCCCAAGGCATAGGGTGGCCCTGGTCCACAGGTGACATGCCTCTCCTGGCCTGGAGGCGAGCACTCCTCCTGCAGGAATTTAGTTCCCTCCGCCTCTCTGCCCTGAGCCTCTGCAGCTCTGGAGAGGCTGGAGGGTGACCGGACTCAGAGGCCACCTTACCTTCCCCTGACAGGGCTGAGAGTGGAGCACCTGCAGGCAATGGGTCCTCCATCACCTCAGGGGCCAGAGCAGACTTGGCAGGTGCCTGCACCTGAGGATCCAGCGTAGGTGAGGACCCTTCAGGCTCAGGCCCCAGCCCCGGCTCAGCTGGTTCTGGAGGTGGGGACTCCTGTGCAGGCTGGAATTCTTCAGGTTCAGCCTCTGAGTCTGAATCCCAGGCCATCACAAAAGGTTTCCCGCAACTACCATACTGAAAGCTTTTTCTAGTGATCCATGCATTGTCTGAGTTGCTTTAGCCTACTGGTGCAATGAAGTTTCCTTGGCCTGCAGGTCACAGATCTCACCACAGTTCCCTCTTCTGCCCACAGCTAGGTAATGACGGCCGACAGGAACAGTCAACTGTCCTTTATGCCGCAGGTCAACTGTTCAACCATATTACCCAGTAACACTCTTTTGCTCACCAGGCACAGAACAATTAACTCAGATGCCATCTCCTCGCCTGGTGAAGACCCACCTCCCAATTGACCTCCTTCCCAAGTCCTTCTGGGAAAATGGCTGCAAGGTAATCCTACTGGGCACCAATCCCACAAGGCAGCTAGTTTCAGAGTTTTGCAAAAAAAAATCCACACCTAGTGTGAAAAACTACCAGTACAATTTGGACTGTGTGTTTTCCCCCCTGCTTCCCTTCTATGAAGATGATCTACGTGGCTCGCAACGCAAAGGATGTCGCTGTCTCCTTTTACCACTTTGACTTGATGAACAAGCTGCACCCAGACCCAGGTCCCTGGGAAAACTACCTGGAGAAATTCATGGCTGGAAAAGGCAAGTCTGCCCATCCATTCACCACTGTATGTACTTAAACTTTTCACTTTCCCAGGAAACATAAAGTATTGTTATGGGTTTGGGGCAGAGGGTCAGTTCAGCCTGTGATCCTGCATCCAGTGAGCTTTATAATTTAGTACAGTGGTACCTCGGGCTAAGTACTTAATTCATTCTGGAGGTCCGTTCTTAACCTGAAACTGTTCTTAACCTGAAGCACCACTTTAGCTAATGGGGCTTCCTGCTGCTGCCATGCCACCAGGGCACGATTTCTGATCTCATCCTGAAGCAAAGTTCTTAACCCGAGGTACTATTTCTGGGTTAGCGAGTCTGTAACCTGAAGCATCTGTAACCTGAAGTGTGAGTAACCCGAGGTACCACTGTACAGGCATGCCCAAAGTCCGTTTTGGGGGCCTAATCCAGCCCCTTGGCCAGTTTTATCCAGCAGTCAAATTCTAAAAAAGCTCAACAACTTTGGTCGGCCCTCACGCATGTTTACTTCATCAAATCCGGCCCTCTTTGAAAAATGTTTGGGAACCTCTGATCTGCTAAAACAGGGGTAGGCAACCTAAGGCCCATGGCCACAAGCGGCCCGTGGGGGTCATTTAACCGGCCCCTGAGCTGCCCCCAAACTGAGCCGCCCGCTCAGCGAGTCCCTGCCCGCCGTGCTAAACTGGCGCAGTGTAGTACGGGGACTCGCTTCCGCGGCACTGAAAATTGTGTCTGTGCAGAAGCAGACACCGGAAATTGTGGGTGCGCACTTACGTGCGCGTGTGATCTGGTCCACAGAGGGATCTTGGCTGGAGTGAACCGGCTCAGGCGAGGTAAACCTTGCTGACCCCTGTACTAGAAGATGCTGCTCAAACCAGTTCCTTGGTTAATAGCTAGCCAGTTAAGTGCTCTCATCAGCATCTCAAAGAATGACCTAAGTGGTGGGGCACTCCAGGCATTTAAGCTATAAAGCCAGGAGAAAACTCTATGTGTGTCAAAGCTGAGGAATATGTGGTTTATATTGTACTTATCATCATCATCCAGGTGTTAAGACTACAGGGATTAGATCCAGCACCTGTGGATTACAGATCTATGTTGATCCACCATCTATGTTGATCCACCATCTTCATGCAGAAATGCACAGGGAACGTCAGTGGAATTAGGTTCTGATCTCACAACCATTTTAGCCTTGGTTTTCTTTAAGATTTAAGTAATGCTGCCATAGATGGAACTGGCCACACACATGATGGTGGACTGAAATTAACCAGTGATACTTAACCCTTGGAGCGGGGGCACAGGCCCCTTTGAGAATCTGATGAAAACTACAGACCCCATCTCTTCAGAAAAAATGCAATTATAAATACATACACACAAAGTTTTGCATGCACTTAATTTTATTGCACTGGCAAACATTTTTCCTTTTGTGTCCGGTGCACAGACCCCCCTGAAGCTCACAGGGTCCGTGGGCCACATCTTAAGAACCCCTGGCCTAACTCACCCCTGGCCAATCTATTCTCATGCTGCTGTGCCAATAGCTGATCTGGAGTAATATCAGAGCCTGCACAGCCCTGAGTGAGCCAGTGGAAACAGAAGGAAGCAGCGTGCAAGTTTTATGAAATGAATGAATGAATAAGGCAGCAGTGGCTAGTCGAAAACTACTGCTACCACAAGCTGAGATCATTGTGAGAATTGTCATCGCGCCACTCCTTGGTGGGTGCGATACTCTCCCCGATGCTTTTCAACATCTTTATGCGCCCCCCCCCGCCCAGCTTGTCCGGAGTTTTGGGCTGGATTGCCATCAGTACACCGATGACACCCAACTCTATCTGTTGATGGATGGCCATCCTGACTCGGCCCCGGACACACTGACCAGATGTTTGGAAGCTGTGGCTGGATGGTTACGTGGGAGCCGGTTGAAGCTAAATCCTTCAAAGACAGAGGTCCTGTGGCTGGGACGGGACAATATGGAATTGGGGGGGCAACTCCCATCTCTTGCGGGGGCGCAATTAGTGCCAGCACCATCCGTTAAGAGTTTGGGTGTAATCTTCGACACCTCCCTTTCCATGGAGGCGCAGATTGCAGCTATAACAAAGGCGGCATTTTTCCATCTCTGCCAAGCTAAGCAGTTGGCTCCTTACCTCTCTCGCCCTGACCTAGCCACTGTGATCCACGCGACGGTCACCTCCAGACTGGATTATTGTAACTCGCTCTACGTGGGGCTGCCCTTGAGACTAGCCCAGAAACTCCAGCGGGTGCAGAATGCCGCAGCAAGACTCCTTACGGGGTCCTCGCTGTGAGATCGCATTCACCCAGTGCTATACCAGCTGCACTGGCTCCCGGTGGAGTACAGGATCAGGTTTAAGGCGCTGGTTTTAACCTTTAAAGCCCTATACGGCTTAGGACCCTCATATCTACGGGACCACCTCTCCTGGTATGTCCCACAGAGAAACTTACGGTCTTCAAATAAAAACATCTTGAAGGTCCCAGGCCACAGAGAGGTTAGGCTGGCCTCAACTAGAGCCAGGGCTTTTTCGGCTGTGGCTCCGATCTGGTGGAACACTCTGTCACAAGAGACTAGGGCCCTGCGGGACTTGACATCTTTCCGCAGGGCCTGCAAGACAGAGCTGTTCCACCAGGCCTTTGGCCAGGGCACAGCCTGACTCCCTCCCTCGGCAATCTTCGCGGAGCTCTGGCCCAATGGTTGCCAGTGGCTTGATTTGAATCAATTTTATAATGAATGATTTTAGAGTGTTGTGTTGTGTTGTACTGTTGTACTGTTTTATTGTTGTTAGCCGCCCTGAGCCCGGCTTTGGCTGGGGAGGGCGGGATATAAATAAAATTTATTATTATTATTATTATTATTATTATGTGCGGTTTTTTTCAGTGATCTTTACAACAACCCTGGGAGGTGGGCCAGCATCATTCCCTCTATTTTGCAGATGGGGAGTTGAGGCTGAGAAAAGTGTGGCTTGCTTAAAGCCCCCTAGCAAATATGTAACTGAGACAGGATTAGGTCTGGGGACTTCTCTGTTTACAATTTAGCCAATAGGCCCTTGTATTCTATTACAAGATTCAACTTGTTAGGGTTTTTTTTTTAATATATAAAAACCATCTATTATTTCCCCACTTCTCTGCTCTTTCTCAAAATTTAGTGGCTTTTGGATCCTGGTATGACCATGTGAAAAGCTGGTGGGATAAGAGGAACGACCACCCCATCCTATACCTGTTTTATGAAGACATGAAAGAGGTAGGAGCCAACAGGATAAGCCCCTGAGGTTATTTTATGTGACATATTGGAAGAAGCAAATCTTGCAGGGGATTATATGCGGTATAATTTTTGTTTTTAAAAGTGTGGAAAATCTTAAGAATTGCCTTCCTGACTCGGGCCAAGGGTCCAAAAAAAAAAGATAATGGGTGTCTTTCATTTTCTCCTGTGTGGGGTTTTATATATTCAGCAAAGCTTGCTGAATTAGAAGCACAATTGCTTCATCAAATACCCAAGAACCATCAAAATGCTGATCTATTTCAACACCGTTTCCCACAGGATCCAAAGCGCGAGATAAAGAAAGTGGTACATTTCTTGGGAAAGAACCTGGAAGATTCTGCTGTGGATAAGATTGCCTACAACACATCCTTTGAACTGATGAAGCACAATCCTGCCACAAACTATAGGATGGCTCCAGCTGCCATGATGGACCACAGCATCTCCCCATTTATGCGCAAAGGTAAAAGACTTGCATCGTCCTCTCTGACCACCGTTCCGTAAAGATTTAGGATCATGAACAGATCAGTAACTGACTTCGGTTTTTTTTATTATTATTGATTAATTAACCACCCCGATTCAACTGAACAATAAATCTGAATAGTACCAAAACCTCAATATTGGTACTAGAAGGAAAAGCCATAAATACAGAAAAAGAGTTCTGCTGGATTAGGCCATTGGCCCAGCATTCTGTTCTTGCAGTGGCCAGCCAGGTGACTGCAAGAAACCTGAACGCAGGACCTGAGGACAATAGCACTCCCCGCTTCTGAGATTTCCAGCAACTGGTATTCAGAAGCATTCCTGCCTCTAACTGTGGGAGTAAAAAGGTAAAGGGACCCCTGTCCATTAGGTCCAGTCTTGGACGACTCTGGGGTTGCGGCGCTCATCTCGCTTTATTGGCCGAGGGAGCCAGCGTAAACCTTCCGGGTTGTGGCCAGCATGACTAAGCCGCTTCTGCCGAACCAGAGCAGCTTCCTGCCGGAGTGGTACCTATTTATCTACTTGCACTTTGACGTGCTTTCGAACTGCTAGGTTGGCAGGAGCAGGGACCGAGCAACGGGAGCTCAACCCGTCGTGGGGATTCGAACTGCCAACCTTCTGATCGGCAAGTCCTAGGCTCTGTGGTTTAACCCACAGCACCATCCGTGTCCCTCTGCTCTACAGTTAGAAGACACCATGTCAGTCATCTAGTCCATGGGTAGGCAAATTAAGGCCTGGGGGCCAGATGCGGCCTAATCGCCTTCTAAATCTGGCCCATGGACAGTCCAGGAATCAGCGTGTTTTTACATGAGTAGAATGTGTCCTTGTCCATGGAGTTTTCTTGGCAGGGATTATGGAGCTGGAGGAGACTCTTGAGAGTCCCATGGACTGCAAGAAGATCAAACCTATCCATTCTTAAGGAAATCAGCCCTGAGTGCTCACTGGAAGGACAGATCCTGAAGCTGACGCTCCAGTACTTTGGCCACCTCATGAGAAGAGAAGACTCCCTGGGAAAGACCCTGATGTTGGGAAAGATGGAGGGCACAAGGAGAAGGGGACGAAGGAGGACGAGATGGTTGGACAGTGTTCTCGAAGCTACCAGCATGAGTTTGACCAAACTGCGGGAGGCAGTGGAAGACAGGAGTGCCTGGCGTGTTCTGGTCCATGGGGTCATGAAGAGTCGGACATGACTAAATGACTAAACAACAACAACAAAGAATGTGTCCTTTTATTTAAAATGCATCTCTGGGTTATTTGTGGGGCATAGTAATTCGTTCATTCCCCCCCTCCAAAAACAATATTGTCTGGCCCCCCACAAGGTCTGAGCGACAATGGTCCAGCCCCCTGCTGAAGAAGTTTGCTGACCCCTGATTCTAGTCTAACCCCCTGCAATTCAGGGATTCAGGCTTGAACCCACAGCCCTAAGATTAAGAATCTCATGTTGTACCTATTGAGCTATCCTAGCTAAAGTAAACAGGTGGCCCATTACCTTCCAGCCTGACTAAAACTGGCTTTTACCAAATAAAACGTATCTTTGCTGATTAAAACGTCAGTTGATTAATCTACCACCGGGAGCTCTCAACTATCCACCCTTTTTTAAATGACTGAATCTTCCAGAGAGCTCGTGAACATCTGATTCATATTCTTCTTTCTTCTAGGGATCGCTGGAGACTGGAAAAATCACTTTACAGTGGCTCAGAATGAGGTATTTGATGAAGATTATAAGAGGAAAATGGTGGACACAACGTTGCGATTCCGAATGGAGATCTGAAGCCCCGTGTTCTGTACTTTCGTACCGAACCCACCTGTCATTCAGTAGAGAATTAAAAAGAAGAAGCAAGCCACTGACCTGGATGGTTGTGGGATACATGTTTGAAAAAATGTGTATGTAGTCTCTGGGAAAGTATTCAGTGCTGAGGGGCCAGAACTCATGATTTGCACAAGCAATCTCTCTCTCTCTCTCTCTCTCACACACAGAGGGAGAGAGACTCTGATCATGTACCAATAAACCTCTCCTATACCTCATTTCTTGTTTTCTTCCACAATTCTGCTTCTAATAGCAGCTTAGGTAAAGGTAAAGGGACCCCTGACCATTAGGTCCAGTCGTGGCCGACTCTGGGGTTGCGGCGCTCATCTCACTTTATTGACCAAGGGAGCCAGCGTTTGTCCGCAGACAGCTTCCGGGTCATGTGGCCAGCATGACTAAGCCACTTCTGGCGAACCAGAGCAGCGCACAAAAACGCCGCTTCCCTTCCCGCCGGAACCTATTTATCTACTTGCACTTTGACGTGCTTTCGAACTGCTAGGCTGGCAGGAGCAGGGACCGAGCAACGGGAGCTCACCCCGTCGCTGGGATTTGAACCGCTGACCTTCTGATCAGCAAGCCCTAGGCTCAGTGATTTAACCCACAGCGCCACCCGCGTCCCAATAGCAGCTTGGGACAACAATATTGAATGGACAATTGGCAAGAAAGCAAATGCTGAAGCAGGACCTTCCTCTCTCCCTGGTTTCAGTGACATCCTGCTTTTCATTTTTAAAATAGGGAAAGAATCATAGAATCGCAGAGTTGGAAGGGACCCTGATGATCATCTAGTCCAACCCCCTGCAAGGCAGGAATATGCCGTTGTCCCATACGGGGATCAAACCTCCAACCTTGGCATTATCAGCACCACGCTCTAACCAATTGAGCTATGCTTCAAAAACTTCCAAAGCCACCCCATCATGTATTATTAACAAAACGTGATTATTAAAAAGTTAAGGATAAAACAGACGTATCTGGCGGCTTTTAGTCATATTTGAGTATATTGTGCTGATCTGGGTGAATATATTTTGTGTGAGTTTGAATTTCCTTGCGGCAGAATATAGTATGTTTCTCTGCACAGAGTACAGGCATTTCTCAGTTATGAGTTAATTCTCTGTGGATTTCTACTAATTTATGCTGTGGTATAGTATTGTAAATCATCAATACTCAATTGGATGGACAGATGGATGGGCAAACAAACCAACCAACCAACCAACCAATCAATCAACAAATAAAGAAATAAATGAGTTGGGAACCCAGGGGGGCAAAACATTTTGACAATCCCAACTGCTATTGCACCCCATGTGTTTGACTAGACACAATTTTGGGCCTAGGCACGATCCCCAGAACCGAACCCCTGCATAAATTCCTCAACTTGTACGGTTTTAATAGGTTTTATATAGCAAACCCACATTTACTGTAGAAAATCTATTAAGACCATACAAATAATTGTCTCGCCGGTTTGCCCATTTATACATTTATTCTGTTCACACCCCACCTTTCTCTCCAAAGGAGCTGAAGGTGGTGAACTTGTTTCTCCTCCTTCTCCTCTCCATCTTATGCCCAAGACGACACTGTAAGGCAGGTTAGGCCAAGTGGCAGCCACTGACTCACAAGGCCACCCAAGTGAGCTTCATGGCTGAGTGGGAATTTGAACCCTGGTTTCCCCCAGGTCCTAGTCTGACGCAATAATAATAATAATAATAATAATAATAATAATAATAATAATAATTTATTTATACCCCGCCCATCTGACTGGGTCTCCCCAGCCACTCTGGGCGGCTTCCAACCAAATATCAAAAACAATACAGTGGTACCTCAGGTTAAGTACTTAATTTGTTCCGGAGGTCCGTTCTTAAACCTGAAACTGTTCTTAACTTGAAGCACCACTTTAGCTAATGGGGCCTCCTGCTGCTGCCGCCGCAGCAGGTGTTCTCATCCTGAAGCAAAGTTCTTAACCCGAGGTACTATTTCTGGGTTAGCGGAGTCTGTAACCTGAAGCGTATGTAACCTGAAGCGTATATAACTCGAGGTACCACTGTACAGCATCAGACATTAAAAACTTCCCTAAACAGGGCCACCTTCAGGTGTCTTTTAAAAGTAAAATAGTTGTTTAGTGCCTTGACATCTGCTGGGAGGGCGTTCCACAGGGCAGGTGCCACCACCGAGAAGGCCCTCTGCCTGATTCCCTGTAACTTCACTTCTCGCAGCGAGGGAACCTCCAGAAGGCCCTTGGAGATGGACCTCCGTGTCCGGGCAGAACGATGGGGGTGGAGTCGCTCCTTCACGTATACAAGACTGAGGCCGTTTAGGGCTTTAAAGGTCAGCACCAACACTTTGAATTGTGCTCGGAAACGTACAAGAATATAAGGAAAGCTTTGCTGGATGAGGCCAATGGCCTCATCTAGCCCAGCATCCTGTTCTCCCAGTGGCCAACCACCAGGTGCCCCGAGGGGAAATCCCACCAACAGGATCTGAGCGCAGGTAGCTATCCATAGCTCTCTCCTGGCCATGAATTTGCTTAGTCCTCTCTGAGGTGTTTGTGTGTCCATGTGCCAAAGCAACCGAAAGCGCAATCGTAGGTTTGCGCACTCGGAAGTTAAATCCCATCAAAGTGAAATCTCACTGGAGGTTTTTAAGCAGGTCACCTGCCAGGGACGCTTGAGGGCAGATTCATTCCTGCGTGACTCGCGGGTCCCTTCCAACTCTGCAAGTTTAGGATTCTAAAATTCAGAGACAGGGAGGCATATTTATTTGTTTGTTTCAACTTTTATACTGCTTTTTATCCGAAGATGCCAGGATCTAGTCCTTCCCAGGTAAGGGGGGGGGGGGGGCGGAGGTGAGGACTGCGGCCAAACACACGAACTCGAATCCAAGCCCGGGCTTAGCAGTTGGAATCCTTGCCAAACCGAATTTTGAACTGGAGCTTGCTTCGATTTCCGTCTCTCCCCCACCAAATTTTGCACCGCAATTGCTGGACGCGAGCGCTGCTAAAGCGCACGTTCTTCGACGGAGCTGGATCCGCCACGGGAAGCAGCGCTTAGTTGCGAGGAGGAGGAGGAGGACGGGGCGCAACAGAGGAATCCTGCCCGCGTGACGTCAAAAAGCCTCTGGGTGACGTCATGCCCGCCGTCGCTCAGAGCACCGTCTCCTGGCTGGAGCGGCGGGATGCTGGGCGCGCTCAGTGTCGGGCCCAAGGGGGAGCCGGCAGCAAGCAACGCCCGGCTGCTGCCGAGTTAACAACTGCATGCGGGGCTACACTGGGTGTGCAAAACATGGGGAAGAAAAGAGGTGAGCGTCTTTCAATGGGGGGCGGGGGGAGAGATGTTAGGGTTAAAGCTGTCCGGGATTATTGCCCTGTGAAGGATACCGGTGTAGAGCCTCCATATTCAGAGGAAATCTACCTCTGCAGAAACCATGCAGAAACCATGCGAAATCCTGAGTACAGTGGTACCTTGGGTTACAGACGCTTCAGGTTACAGATGCTTCAGGTTACAGACTCCGCTAACCCAGAAATAGTACCTCGGGTTAAGAACTTCGCTTCAGGATGAGAACAGAAATCGTGCTCTGGCGGTGCAGTGGTTTTAGCTAAAGTGGTGCTTCAGGTTAAGAACAGTTTCAGCTTAAGAACGGACCTCCGGAACGAATTAAGTTCTTAACCCGAGGTACCACTGTATCTCTTTCTGAACTTTGGGTGGCCACTGGTTAGATAAAGGTAAAGGTAAAGGGACCCCTGACCATTAGGTTTAGTCGTGGAGGACTCGGGGGTTGCAGCGCTCATCTCGCTTTATGGGCTGAGGGAGCCAGCGTACAGCTTTCGGGTCATGTGGCCAGCATGACTAAGCCGCTTCTGGTGAACCAGAGCAGTGCACGGAAACGCCGCCAGAGTGGTACCTATTTATCTACTTGCACTTTGATGTGCTTTCGAACTGCTAGGTTGGCAGGGGCAGGGACCGAGCAACGGGAGCTCACCCCGTCGCGGGGATTTGAACCACTGACCTTCTGATGGGCAAGCCCTAGGCTCTGTTGTTTAGACCACAGCGCCAAACCACAGTTTGTTGGACTACAACTCCCATCATCCATAGCCGGCTGAAGTAGGTTTTAAGGCCAAGGGAGACCTGCAATAAAGTGTTGCTGCCTTGAGTGCCTCTACTCTCCCATTCTCTGGTTCCCCCGCCCTTCCAACAGTCAAATCAGCATCCCATGATCCCCGAGCACACATATATCTCTTTTGCGCTTTGGGTGGATCCTCCAAAAGGATTTTTTTTCTACTTCTGCAAATCTTGGGGTTCAACCCAGCCTGTGGTTGCTTGTTATTGTGTATGGTTGATGCTGTTTTACCTTCTACAGTGGTACCTCGGTTTAAGAACAGCCCTGTTTATGAACGATTTGGTTTACAAACTCCGTAAAACCGGAAGTAGTGTCCCGGTTTGCAAACTTTACCTTGGTCTAAGAATGGAAGCTGAACAGTGGAAGGGTACCGGCAACTGGAGGCCTCATTAGGGAAAGTGCACCTCAGTTTGAGAATGGTTTCAGTTTAAGAATGGACTTCCGGCATGGATTAAGTTCGTAAACCAAGGTACCACTGTATATGGATTGGCACTTGGATACCTGATTGCTATGATGGGAGTTTAGTGTGTTCCTGGATATGAAGACTCTAATAGGCAAGATTGAGGCTCTCTTAATCCAGACCCTCACTACAGGGAAATTCGGGTTGTGAAACAAACTTGTTTCCCCACCTCTTCTCCACTCCAAAATAAACCAACCACCCAGACAAGGAAAGTAAAGGATGATGATTGCTTGACATTATATTCTTCAACTGAAAAAATATCTGAGTAAACGCTCAATAATAATGACTGTCACATAATCTCCTTGGAAATGTTTATAAGAATGATTGAATGCTTAGTAAACGCGTCATCTCGAAGTCACCTGAAAGAAGAATTTCCTGGAAAATAAAAGCTGAGTTTACATTACCCTGAATTATTTCCCCTTGGGCTACAATTAAGTAAAATCTGTTGAATTCTAGTAGGTAGAAATATTGATTTTTAGAGCTCTATAACATTTCCCAAGAAGATTTGTTCTATGTTACACTTGAGGATTGCTTATAGACCCACAAGGAAGCTGTGCTTGTCTTTTGAGGTTGTTCTCTCTTCCCAAACATAGGAAAGCATTCACACTAATTCACTTTAATGTTCTCTCTTTTTCTGTTAAAACAGATCTGATGACATTCTCTATCACTATTGTCTATATCCATGTGTTAGTGAAGAGTTAGTTTGGATGTTCCTTTCATTAAAAGAAACACAAAAGGACAAATAAATCTGTTTCTTTTGACTCTATAAAAATTGTATTATGGCCACAGATACATAATTTTCAGAATCAGCTGCAAAGTTTGTGTTCCAAACTTTAAAAGATTCATAAGCAACTCTAAAACTTTGTCACAAACTTTTTTAACAATTAAAAGAACGTATATTTACAGGGCTGTCTTATATATTTGAGTCTCTCTTCTTGCACGGAATCTAAACATTTGTTTTGGAATTTGAAAGTCTCTGTGTGGATTTTTAATACACCTGAACCAAAAACCATTCTGATACAGTGGTACCTCGGGTTACATATGCTTCAGGTTACATACGCTTCAGGTTACACACTCCGCTAATAAAGAAATAGTGCTTTAGGTTAATAATTTTGCTTCAGGATGAGAATAGAAATCGTTCAGCGGTGGCGCAGCAGCAGCAGGAGGCCCCATTAGCTAAAGTGGTGCTTCAGGTTAAGAACAGTTTCAGGTTAAGAATGGACCTCCAGAACGAATTAAGTACTTAACCTGAGGTACCACTGTGCAGTTTTCTCCCTCTGCCCCAACCACTACTAGCCATTGAAAACATTCTGTGTACACGGGATACTTCTCGTGTGTGCTTGCTCCCTTTCCCTGCACAACCCGTTGTTCATTGGTATTCACCTACCCTGTGTTCCTGACCTATGATTGGGTTGCAATCTGACTGAAGCAAAACCAGCATTGCCACTTACCCTTCCTTTTAAAAAGGTTTTTAAGAGGAGGAGAGAGAAAACCTCTCTCTGCCTTCGGGACATCTTTATGCAGCGCACAGTTCAACTATGGAACACAGTAGTGGGCACCAACTTGGACGGCTAAAAACATTAGGATTAGACAAATACATGGAGGATAAGGCTTATCAGTAGCTGCTAAAGCTGATGGCGATGATCTACCTTCACTTTCAGAGGCTGAATACCAGTTTTGGGGAAATTGTAGGAGGGGAGGGGACTGTTGGGTTCAAGTGATGCTTGCAGGCTTCTTCTCGTAGGCAACTGGTTGGCCACTGTGACAACAGGATGCAGGAGTAGATGGGCCCTTGGCTTGATCCAGTAGGTTCTTCATTTTAATTAATTAATAAACATTTTATTGGCATCACATACAAACATCCAAAACAAATCAGTACAGAATTACCACTTCCCCAGTGGCAAAAAACATTTGCTAAAAGAAAGGAGGCAGAACAGTCTATCGTCACATCTCTTGGTCTCCAGGGAGATCAGACGTCTGCAGTGTATTTCGACGACAAAAAACCAAATAGAGATATTTAGCCACTAACTTGGTGAGCTCTTGGTCATTCCCCAGTAATAGAAAATGTATGACCTTCAACTCTGGTTTCCATTTGGGGATACAGAGTTGATCTAGAAATTGCTGGCAGAGATCAGCATGTAGTTTACAATTGAGAACCATATGTGTAAGGGTTTTCACCAGGTGGTCTTCACATGGGCAAGTTCTTTCTCCTTCCACCCTGCCTGAGAACCTTCCCCAAAGGAGGTTGGATGGATTTGAATTAAACCTGGCCAGCGAAAATGCCCTTCTTTCTTGAGTAGCAGAAATTCAAGGTAATTGTGGCTAGTTTCATGCGCCCAAGAAAGTTGAAAATAAAAAGGGGAGCATGTTTTCTCTGCTGCTACTGTAAGTTCTTGGCGTTAATATCCCACAACCTAGTTTTTATTATAGCCTTGGCAGATGGTAGGGACATCATATGTTCCTATCTAGTTTTGAGGATGGATTCCTGTGGGAAACACAGGCTAAAGCTTATTTTTACTTCTGTCTGATTTTATAGGAGGCTGGAGAAAATTTTTCTGTTGTACTGGCCCACCGGAAACGCAGTCTTCAACATGGTGAGCTACACCTCCCTTTTCGTAGTGAACGCAAGGGAACCATGTACGCCCTTTGGATGTTTGGCCCAGGCATGAGATGTATGTCTCATTGATAGAGAACAGGAATTTAGTGAATGTATCAACCCATTATATGGGTTTCATCAAACTGCTTGCCAGTTAAAACTCATACCCACTGTAGGGTATGGAGAGCTTGTTGAAGAGCAAGTCACCCAGTTGCATATATTTTGCATAAACTATTCACCCCAGGTGAGAACAATGGAGCTGAACAATGCATGCTTGAAGGAGGTGACTTATTTGAGGCAAGTGTTGCTCTTCATTGTGACACTGGCTTGTGCAACCTCAAAAATGCAAATACTGCCCAGTAAAACTGAGGACCTCTGTGTAGTGCGTTGTGTGTCTGCAATAGCAGGCAAGAACACTAGCAATCAGATTGGGTTGAAGTTACATTTGTAAGAGAGACATAGTGGGTTTTCCACCAATGATGGCCAACAGTGTTGCTGGGAGTCATCAGGACCATAGGGCAAGTTGGAGCAATTCCGAATGGCCTGCATTTATGGATGAAATTGTTCTGACTTGGGCATCATATAAAATACATATATAGGTCTGGCTATGACTACGGTCCCCTCTTATCCCCCACTTTAAGGAAATATTTTCACATCCGTCAATACGGATTGATTGATTGAGGTTGAATCCTGACAAGACAGAAGTACTGTTCTTGGGGGACAGGGGGCGGGCTAGTGTGGAGGACTCCCTGGCCCTGAATGGGGTAACTGTGCCCCTGAAGGACCAGGTGTGCAGCCTGGGAGTCATTTTGGACTCACAGCTGTCCATGGAGGCGCAGGTCAATTCTGTGTCCAGGGCAGCTGTTTATCAGCTCCATCTGGTACGCAGGCTGAGACCCTACCTGCCCACAGACTGTCTCGCCAAAGTGGTGCATGCTCTGGTTATCTCCCGCTTGGACTACTGCAATGCGCTCTACGTGGGGCTACCTTTGAAGGTGACCTGGAAACTACAACTAATCCAGAATGCGACAGCTAGACTGGTGACTGGGGGCGGCCGCTGAGACCACATAACACCGGTCTTGAAAGACGTACATTGGCTTCCAGTACGTTTCTGAGCACAATTCAAAGTCTTGGTGTTGACCTTTAAAGCCCTAAACGGGCTCGGCCCAGTATACCTGAAGGAGCGTCTCTACCCCCATCGTTCTGCCCGGACACTGAGGTCCAGTGCCGAGGGCCTTCTGGTGGTTCACTCACTGCGAGAAGCAAAGCTACAGGGAACCAGGCAGAGGGCCTTCTCGGCAGTGGCGCCCGCGCTGTGGAACGTCCTCCCATCAGATGTCAAAGAGATAAACAACTACCTGATATTTAGAAAACATCTGAAGGCAGCCCTGTTCAGAGAAGTTTTTAATGTGTGACATTTTGATGTATTTTTAATCTTTGTTGGAAGCTGCCCAGAGTGGCTGGGGAAACCCAGCCAGATGGGTTGGGTACAAATAATAAATTATTATTATTATTATTATATAATACATATTAAAGTTTTGGTTACTATCGTTGTCTGTCCTACAAGCCCTGAAATTATTTGTTGCCTTGTGTCTTTTAGCCTTAATATCGCTTCGTCTGAGCAATTTAAGCCTCCCTCAGAGCTAGACCCCTCGGAACCAGACCCCTCAGAGATAGAGCCAGACCAGGACCCGGTAATTCATTCTATATCTTCATTATATTGCCATCCCTAATTCAGATGGACTGCTTAGAGAACATTTGTTTCAGGTGGTATACAGATATAGTTGTTCATACCAACACATTTGAGGGAGGTGTGTTAATTTGTGGTGGACAAACGGCAAGGCGTCTTCTGGTACCTTTGAGATTTAAAAGATTTGTTGCACTGGGGGGTCACCAACCTTTTTGGCCCATTTTGAGAAGTTACAAAATGGCCATCATGGCTGGGTGGGGTGGGGTTGCAACGTAAAACACTATGGCTGGGGGAGGCATGGCATAACACAAAATTAGACACTGCAGTCCTTAATGTCCACACACCCCACGCCCCATCGCAGGACAACATCCTGGTTACTGTGGGAAGTCAGGTGTGTGCTGATGGTCTCGGTTGTGGAGGTGACACTGTACTGATTCCCCACCTGCCCACAATGACACCGTATTATAAAACTGCAGGTTATTGCAATAATACTGCCGTTGTTCTTATCTGTTTACAGTTTATCCAATAAACCATTTCCATTCTTTTATAAAAAGTTTGTTATATTGATTTCTTATTTTTCTGGTAAGTTTTGCCATTTCTGCATATCCTGTAAGTTTTTGTATCCATTCTTCTTATTTGGGATTTCTTCTTCTTTCCATTTTTGGGCAAGGAACATTCTTGCTGCTGTAATCGCATAAATGAATAAATTTCTATACAACTTGGGTAGTTCTGTCCCTATAATTCCCAAAAGGAAGGCTTCTGGGTGTGTTTTTTTGTTTTGTTTTTTTACAAACGTTATTTTAAACATCTTTTTCAATTCATTATATATAATTTACCAGTAAGATTAAACCTTACTACAAGACCACCACATATAATAAAAAGAATGTTCTTTACATTTCCAACACTTATTTGATTTAGATTTATACATTTTTGCCCCTTAACTCTGTGTCAGATACCACTGATATATTATATTCATATATTTTTCTACCACTGCATCAGTTTTAGGCCTCGTCAATTGCCATGGCTTTCTGCAAAGCATACAGTGGGTTGTAGAGGATGAAGGCTGAAGCTAGATAGGATTTCTCAGGGAGAGGGAATATCCATAGTGTGTATATGCTCAGTACTGACACGACTGCTTAGCTCTTTTTGGTTGCTAAATCACCAGTTCAGTGCAGCGTAAAAAGAATAGTAGCATTTATGTGTGCTATGGGTAGGAGTGTTAGGATTCTTCCTCCGTGCTTGCAGTCATGGGATTGTTGTCTATCACACGACGGTGTATGTTTTCATTCCACAGTGTGGGAAGTGACGGAGACAGGATGTTTTGTACTACTGTGTTCCGGAATGTAGGACTATTGTCCTTTGTTTCTTTCTCTTTGCTGTCTGATGAGAAAGAGGAAGGAGCTAAGTCAGAACGCTCCGAGTGTATTATATGTAAATAAAAGTAGATTAGCCAAAATGCTGAGCTATTGAGTCTGTTATGCGAACTGCAGATACTCTGCAGGATCCCTAAGCTTGCTAATGCCTCTTGGTATCAGTCGCTGTGATGTTCAGGTTGGAGAAAGCTTTTGAAGCTCCCGAACGATCGACCAGGAAGGAGAGAACATGCCAGTAGGGCATGTGTCTCTGTCAGGGTCCTACATGCGAGTAGGACGATCCTAAAAAGGAGAGGATATATTAATAGCAATTTATCCCTCCAGGCTCCCACATGTGTGGGTTCAACAGAGTTTCCAAGTCCTATACTTGGCAGTAAAACTAAAAGCATAGGAATTAGGCTGTAAAAACCTTGTTTTGAGCAAGTCCAGCTATGAAGTAAGCTGGCTTCCCTCCTCTTAAGGTAAAGACCCCTCCTCTTAAGGTAAAGACCCCTGACCATTAGGTGCAGTCGTGACCGACTCTGGGGTTGCGGCGCTCATCTCGCTTTATTGGCCGAGGGAGCCGGTGTACAGCATGTGGCCAGCATGACTAAGCCGCTTCTGGCGAACCAGAGCAGCGCACGGAAACACCGTTTACCTTCCCGCTGGAGCGGTACCTATTTATCTATTTGCACTTTGATGTGCTTTCGAACTGCTAGGTTGGCAGGAGTCCTTCCTCTTACCCTGCTTAATAAAGAACCAGGCAACAACTTTCCAGAGATGGAAAGAAGATAAAGTTCCTACCAGAGAAGAATGGCAGATGAAGTTGGTGGACCATACTGAAATGGCTAAAATGACCGGAAGAATCAGAAATCAGGAAGACCAAAATTTTAATACGGAATGGGGAAAATTTATAATTTATCTTAAAAGACCACTGTAAACAATTAAAATTGTTAGTAGGATTGGAATATCACTTGTAGTTTAAGGGTGAATTCTGGATACAGTGGAGATGTAAAAGATTTGGATCATCATAAAAGATGCATAAATGATTAATAATAGGACCCACAAAGGGGAGGATGGAAGTCCAGGAGATTCCTTGGAATCTTGTTTTTATGATTCATGTTTGATATATCTCTGTGAAATTTTAACTTGAGAAACCAAATAAATATTTTTTTAAAAAAATCAGACAACAACTTGTAAAATAAGTGTAAAAGTAAGATTTACTTTATAATCATGCATTGGTTCCATCAGGAATAACTATGCAGGCAAAATATTATGGTATAACCAGCTTCAGGCATGTGTCAGCTTCAGAGCATCCAACTCTGGTCAAAGGAAGAGTGAGAGGAACAGGAAGTGCTATATGCTCCTTCCTCTCCAGGAGAGGAAGGGGAAATGACATCACACAGAGTCCTCTCTACCAGTTGTATTTCTATGGTCTATCTACCTATCAGCAATACGGCTCTGTGGACTTAGCCCCTTCTGATGCTAACTAGCAAGAATATGCATCTGTCAGGTTGGGCTGCCAATTTCTCACATTATGTTCTTCCCCTCTCTCACCCATCCTAAGGGCTTTCAAGTAATGCATCTGGTTAAGAGCCCAGACCCCTGCCTGCCTATCAGCAAAAAGGGTGTCTCTTTAACTTCGTAAGTCAACTCTTATTTTGAATGTAAGGTGTCGGTGGTCATACACACATACTATTTCTTTCCCCAAACAGGAAGATGGCTTGTATGTTGAGAATGAGATACAAACTTCGAAAGTGGATATCCCAGAAGGAAATAGGTGGAGGTGGTCTCGATTACACAAAGAAGTAGAGCAGCAAACCTCAAGGATGGCTGTACTCATTCCAGAGATAGAGACATCATCCGAGGCAGACGTTCAGGTCCAAACCTCGTTTTCGAGCCTACCAAGAGGAAGGGAGGCCCAGGCGCAAACTTCATTTCTCTCCCTGCGGTCTCCAACCCCAGTGGAAAATGACGCTCAAGTGCAAACGTCATTTATGGAATTGCCAAGAGAGGCGGAAGCTCAGGTCCAAACATCCTTGCTTTCGTTACCTGGGGAAAAGGAGATGCATGCCCAAACCTCGTTTAGCTCGTTGCCAGAAAGGAGGTCTGTGGCATCTTTTGCAGGATCTGCCCAGTCCTCTTCCTCCTATCTAGAGTTGTTGGAGAAGTTTCCCTCTCTGCCCATGTTATCTGAGGCGCAGGTGCAGACCTCACATCTTGACATAAGAGTTCCTTCGGAGATAGACATCCAGTTGCAGACTTCATTTTCGGACTACATGTCAGAAAGAGAGTACGCATCCTCCTCTGAGCTTCAGAGTAAGCTATCACCCCAGTCATCAGTGATAGAACAAAGCATGATATATCCCGTATATATTGATACTGGGGTACAAACTTTACCTGTGGAAATACCACCCGGCAACGACTGGCGTTCTGCGCGGTTAAATACTGCGGCCCAGGTGCAAACGTCCTTTGCTTCGATGACAGAACAACGGCCAATGCTTGGGTTAGGAAAAGACAAGGAGACAGCAGGAGAAGTGGAATCCCTTTTTTCCATAGAAGAGGCACCTCTGCCTTTTGAACGGACTGAAAGAGCTATGCAGACATCTGAGACATTGCTTCGGCAGTGGAGGAAATGGCATTCATTACAGCCACAAACTGATGCACAGGTGCAAACCTCCACCATTGAACTGCTAAAGAAGCTTTCTTTGCTATCCCGGATTCAGAGCATGGAATCAGCTTCCCGTGCTGAGTTACTAAAGAAAGCTTCCTCCCTGTCAGTGGGTGAACCCCACATGCAAACTTCAAGTCCTGAATTACTGAGGAAGGCTTCTTCTTGGTCAAACTCTGGGGTCCAAGACCAGATCTTAAGTGATGAGCTGCTGAAGAAGCGTCCATCTTCGGCACAAGTGCTTAGAACCTCAGATTATGAACTGGCAAGGTTGTTATCTCCCAAGTCAACAACCAAGGAGGCCCAGATACAAACATCTGAGGTAGAACTCATTAATAAACTTTTGTCAGATAGGTCAACAGACACTCTCTTCCGAAAGTCCTCTTCTGCGTCATATATCAAACCCCAGGAGAGGACCTCAGACACTGATTTCCCAAAGTCCCATTCTGCATCATTTGCAAAAACTCCGGAGAAGATATTGGACAGTGATTTCCAAAGCTACACTTCCATGTCACATGCTGAACCCCAGAAGAGGGTATCAGACACTGATTTTCAAAAGTACTCTTCTTTGTCATTGATTGAGGGTGGGGATGATAATCAAGAAGCTTTAACAGAAGGGAAGGAGCACCTTATTACCCCACAGGTGATGGAAGCTCAGATCCGTAAATGGTATCATGAACTCCCAGAAGTTCAGACATCAGCCTCTCAAAAAGAGCCTCGTTGGACGCCAACAATTGACAGTGAGGTACAAACATCACATGTTGAAATACCATATGGAAACAAGTGGCGTGAATCACGTTTGCAAACCGAAGCTCAGGTGCAGACTTCAGGGCTTAAAGTACCTGTGGAAAAAGCGGAATCCTTTCCCCAACTGCAGAAGGCTAACCAGACCCAAACATCCTTGCTTGAAATATGGCGAGCAAGAGAGTTAGCTGAAGCCCAGAACCAGACTTGCGGCTTCGATGAAGCCGAACCAGAGGAGTTCCCTCACGCGTTACTAGTTGATAGCCACGCACAAACATCAGATTTTGACTTTTGGAAAGCAAAGGAACAAATGGATATTGAATCACAGACTTCAGTAGACAAAATTCTACAGCAAGGGATCAGGCCTTCTCCCACTGAACAGGTTGACAAGCTTGTGCAGACATCTTTTCTTGATCTGGGGAAATCAAAAGACTACATGCAGCAGAAGGCATCTGAGACAGACTTAACGGAGCCTGAAAGAACGTATTTCACCCCATTACAAAGTGACTTGGAAGTGGAGACTGATACTCAGGCACAACGCTCCATCTCTGATTTCCTAGAGGCACAAAAAGAGCCGCCTCTGGCGCAACAAACCAATGCTGAGGTGCAAACCTCAAATGTCGAAATACCTGCGGGGAGCTTGTGGCGTTCATCACGCTTGCATTCTGATGTTCAACAGCAAACTTCACTGGAATTTGACGAGGAAGAATCAGAAGCTTTTCCCTCATCACAAAAGGACATTCAGTCACAAACCTCCCTTCTTGACATATGGAAGGCAAAACAGCTCCATGATGCCCAGATCCAAACTTCTTGGATGGATTTCCCAACAGATGTGGAAGATCCTTTTCTCTCACCACAGTCTGAAAGCCCATCTGACTACTTCATGCCTGAGGAAGAACAGTCTCCTCCACCTGCCCTATTGGATGCTCAGATGCAAACCTCCCTCCTTGACATTTGGAAGGCAAAAGAACTCCATAATGCCCAGAAGCAAACTTCTTGGATAGATGTGCCAGATCCCATGGAAGAACCTTTTCTCCCACCACAGTCTGAAAGCCCAATTGAGCCACCTATGCTTGAGATGGAAGAGGCTCCTCCTCTAGCCAGAATGGACAACCAGGTGCAAACCTCCTTCTCTGACAGGTGGTGGAAGAAAGAACGAGTGGACGCTGAGATGCAAAGTTCCCTGGCAGATTTGCCACAGGGCAACAAGGTCGTGCCTCTTCTCCCACCACAGTCTGAAAGCCCAATTGAGTCAGTTGAGCTTGAGATAAAAGAGGGTCCTCCTCCAGCCAGAATGGAAAACCAGGTGCAAACCTCCTTCTCTGACATATGGCGGAAAAAAGAACGAGCGGACGCTGAGATGCAAAGTTCCTTAGCAGATTTGCCACAAGTCACCAAGGTCGTGCCTCTCCTACCAGAAAGTCCAATTGAGCCAGCTGTGGTTGAGATAAAAGAGGCTCGTCCTCCAAGTAGAATGGATAACCAGGTGCAAACCTCCTTCTCTGACATATGGCGGAAAAAAGAACGAGCGGACGCTGAGATGCAAAGTTCCCTGGCAGATTTGCCACAAGTCACCAAGGTGGTGCCTCTGCTACCACAGCCTGAAAGCCCAACTGAGACACCTGAGCTTGAGATAAAAGAGGCTGCTCCAGATTGCAGAATTGACAACCAGGTGCAAACCTCCTTCTCTGACATATGGCGGAAAAAAGAACGAGCGGACGCTGAGATGCAAAGTTCCTTAGCAGATTTGCCACAAGTCACGAAGGTGGTGCCTCTGCTACCACAGCCTGAAAGCCCAACTGAGCCAGCTGTGGTTGAGATAAAAGAGGCTGCTCCTCCAACCAGAATGGAAAACCAGGTGCAAACCTCCTTCTCTGACATATGGCGGAAAAAAGAACGAGCGGATGCTAAGATGCAGAGTTCCCTGGCAGATTTGCCACAAGTCACCAAGGTGGTGCCCCTCCTACCACAACCTGAAAGCCCAACTGAGCCAGCTGTGGTTGAGAAAGAAGAGGCTGCTCCTTCAGCCAGAATGGAAAACCAGGTGCAAACCTCCTTCTCTGACATATGGCGGAAAAAAGAACGAGCGGATGCTAAAATACAAAGTTCCCTGGGAAATTTGCCACAGTCTGAAACCCCAATTGAGCCAGCTGTGGTTGAGTTAAAAGAGGCTCCTCCGGCTTGCAGAATTGACAACCAGATGCAAACCTCCTTCTCTGACATATGGCGGAAAAAAGAACGAGCAGATGCTAAGATGCAAAGTTCCCTGGGAAATTTGCCACAGTCTGAAACCCCAATTGAGCCAGCTGTGGTTGAGTTAAAAGAGGCTCCTCCGGCTTGCAGAATTGACAACCAGATGCAAACCTCCTTCTCTGACATATGGCGGAAAAAAGAACGAGCGGATGCTGAGATACAAAGTTCTCTGGGAGATTTGCCACAGGTCACCAAGGTGGTGCCCCTCCTACCACAGTCTGAAAGCCCAATCGAGCCAGCTGTGGTTGAGATAAAAGAGGCTGCTCCTCCAGGCAGAATGGACAACCAGGTACAAACCTCCTTCTCTGACATATGGCGGAAAAAAGAACGAGCTGACGCTGAGATGCAAAGTTCCCTGGCAGATTTGCCACAAGGCACCAAGGAGGTGCTTCTCCCATCACAAGCTGAAAGCCCAATACAGTCACCCATGCCTGACTCAGTAGATACAGCTCCTGAATTTCCTCCCCCAATTGAACCTAAGGAGCCAACTTCCTTACCTGAAATGCCTGAGACGATGAAGCCAGTGGATGTTCCAAAGTCACTTCCCCCATCACCAAGTGACAGCAAGGACCAGACCTCCCAGCCTGATATGCAGACTCCAGAAGAATTACCCATAGCGCAGGAGAAGTCTTCGAAGACCAGTTTGGCAAGTGCCAAAGTTGTAACTCCTGTCTCATCACACACGTCTTTGAGCCCTGTTCCATCACAAACTGCTGTCTCTCCCACCCACTCTCGCACTGCTGTCTCTCCTGCCCTCTCTCGCACTGCTGTCTCTCCCACCCACTCTCGCACTGCTGTCTCTCCTGCCCTCTCTCGCACTGCTGTCTCTCCCGCCCACTCTCGCACTGCTGTATCTCCTGCCCTCTCTCGCACTGCTGTCTCTCCCGCCCACTCTCGCACTGCTGTCTCTCCTGCCCACTCTCGCACCGCTGTCTCTCCTGCCCACTCTCGCACCGCTGTCTCTCCTGCCCTCTCTCACACTGCCTCTCCCTCTCACTCTCGCACTGCTGTCTCTCCTGCCCTCTCTCGCACTGTCTCTCCTGCCCTCTCTCGCCCTGCTGCCTCTCCAGCTTCCTCCCATCCCGCTGTTTCTCCTGTCCCACCATACACTCCTGCATCTCCTGCCGCATCAGAAATTCCCAGCCCAGTTCGACCACCCTCACCTGCATCGCTGTACGCAGAGGAGCAGCACTCTGACCTCGCAGAGCAGAAAAGAGCTTCGATGGAAAAAACACTGCTGGAATTATGGAGCACACGAGAGGAGGCCGAGGTTCAAAAGCAAACTGACCAACTTCAGCTTCACCTCGAGGATTTGCCTTTATTCCCAAAGCTGGAAGACAGCCAGGTGGAGATTTCAGAGGTGACAAAACCTGAAGGGAAGAAACCAAAACAAGTGTCTAAAGTGCCGAAAAAGTCGAAAGCTCCTGCGTTTGCTGAGGCCCAGGTCCAGACCTCGTTTGTCGAAATACCCCGGGGGAAGAAATGGCGTGCATCTCGCATATTTGCTGAGGCCCAAGTCCAGACTTCTTTTCAAGACCTCCATGTGAAAGAAAGGGCCCCGGTTTTGCGTGATCACGTGGCAGCCAAAAGGTAGGAGACGAATACTGCTGTGCTGTGATGGTTTTCATTTCCGTTCTGCGGTCTACCTCAGCTTCAGAGGTTGACAGCTGAAGCACATGAGTAGAAACCTGCTACTGCTTCACCATTTGAAGTGGAAGGTGGGCTCCCCGTGTTAATTGCTCCCTGTACAGTGGTACCTCGGGTAACATATGCTTCAGGTTACATACACTTCAGGTTACAGACTCCGCTAACCCAGAAATAGTACCGCGGGTTAAGAACTTTGCTTCAGGATGAGAACAGAAATCGTGCTCCGGTGGCACGGCAGCAGCAGGAGGCCCCATTAGCTAAAGCAGTGCTTCAGGTTAAGAACAGTTTCAGGTTAAGAACAGACCTCTGGAATGAATTAAGTACTTAACCCGAGGTACCACTGTACATACAAAGCTGGAGCATTGGGGAGAGGTTTTAAAGCAAGCTTCAGTGGCATAGCCAGAGGGGCCGTGGCATCGGGCACAACATTCTGAGAGGGTGCAACCAGGTGTCCCCACGTAGGCGCCGGCTTCCATGGGGATCCTTGTCCCGACGAAAGTGGCAGAGCAACCTAGTTCCACAGTGAGCAGGCACAGACAGGGAGGCAGGCAAGGCATAGCTCCTTTCCGTGGGCGTTGGAGGGATTTGCCCGTTAGCACATAGTTGCCTTCTTGCCTTATTAATTGCTGTGTACCATATCACTGCCTGAGGCAAAACAGGAATGTGCTGCACATGTTGTGCGCCACTGCCCCCTTCCCTCCTTCCCCCTTTCTGGGGTCGCACATCAGCGGCTTCCAGGATCCGGCGAGATCTTGCAAGAGCCCTGCGAGATTGTGCAAGGCCTCTGTGTAATTTTGCGGGGCTCCCGTGGGGATCCCGCCGGAAGTGTTGCCTTGCTCCTCGGGCCGTGGGGGCAATAGAGCACCCCGCCAAGAAATGTCAAAACTGTCTTCAAAAACTTAAGAGTTCTGCTTTGAAATAGCAAAGTTTTTGCATCTCTGCTGGCTCTAGCAGGTCTGACCTGATCTTTTTTAAAAAATAAATAAATGCATTAACAGTGGATGAAAACTGGGAGTTGTACAACAGAAAGTTGTACAGATGCCCCAACAAAAATATGTGCCTGGGATACTGCAAATATGCTAACAGCTGGTGTGGAAGTCCCCCCCACCCCACTTTAGATAGGTTGTCCTGTGAGTAGACAGAAAGCAATGAAATCTGAACAGGAAACTTAAAGGCAAAGAGACCTGGGAAATCTCAGGAGGACTTAGTAGGAATACAATGAGTTGACAATGACACTGTCTGGATTCCCCATAAAAACTGAGTGTTTTATTATGTTCATTCCAGACTAAACTGCTAGTGTGGAAGCTTCCCTTGTAAGGCAATTGGATGGATCCAGATTAAGTGAGTCGCATTTAGTTCCCACTGAAATCAACAGGTTCTTAACTTCAGTTGGTGCAAAATTTAGCAGCTAGGTTGCTCCCCGGGACAAGATGGTTTGATCATATTACACAGACCCTGGTCTGACCACACTGGCTGCCAATTAGTTTCCAGGCCCAATTCAAAGTGCTGGTTCTGACCTACAAACCCTTAAATGGTTAAAGACCGTAGTACCTCAAGGACCGCCTTTCCCCATAGGAACCAACCTGGACCTTGCAATAATAACCCAAGCCTTCTTTGTGAGCCTCCTTGTGCCCTCCATCTTTCCCAACATCAGGGTGTTTTCCAGGGAGTCTTCTCTTCTCATGAGGTGGCCAAAGTATTGGAGCCTCAGCTTCAGGATCTGTCCTTCCAGTGAGCACTCAGGGCTGATTTCCTTAAGAATGGAGAGGTTTGATCTCCTTGCAGTCCATGGGACTCTCAAGAGTCTCCTCCAGCACCATAATCCCTGCCAAGAAAACTCCATGGACAAGGACACATTCTACTCATGTAAATGTCCACGGCTGGACCTAATGGTCAGGGGTCCCTTTACCTTTACATGAAAGGTCCGGAGGGTGGCAACATGAGAACGGGCCTTTTCTGCGGTGGCTCCCCATTTGTGGAATGCTTTCCCCAGGAAGACTCGCCTGTTGCCTTCATTACATATCTTTAAGTCCCAAGCAAAAGCACCCCCCTTCTCCCAGGCCTTTGGCTTATTAAACAATCTACAGCCTATTAAACTGTGTGCGGGTGGAGTAGGGGGTTGTTACTGTTTTGTTTGTTAGTATGCAATGCAGTTTTGTGTTTTGGTATAATAATAAATAAATCTTTATTGTGGTCCAAAGACCCATAGAACAATTTCAGAACAAAATACAGTTAAGACAGCCAACCACAAAAGAGAGAGAAACTGAGGCGGTCATTTTGTTTTGTTTCAAGCTCGATGGTCTTTGTTTCTTTTGACTTCAGAAAGAAACTTTGCCACAGCCAGTGTAATATCATTAGACCTGTCAGCCAAAAGATATTTAATATGGGAGGCTTCAGATTTTCCCAGCAGATTTGCCAATAGGGGTTTGATCCCTTGCTTGCCCATAAAAGGTAAAGGTAAAGGGTCCCCTGACCATTAGGTCCAGTCATGGCCGACTCTGGGGGTGCGGCGCTCATCTCGCTTTATTGGCCGAGGGAGCCGGCATACAGCTTCTGGGTCATGTGGCCAGCATGACTAACCCGCTTCTGGCAAACCAGAGCAGCGCACGGAAACGCCGTTTACCTTCCCGCTGGAGTGGTACCTATTTATCTACTTGCACTTTGATGTGCTTTCAAACTGCTGGGTTGGCAGGAGCAGGGACCGAGCAACGGGAGCTCACCCCGACGTGGGGATTCAAACCGCCGACCTTCTTATCGGCAAGCCCTAGGCTCTGTGGTTTAACCCATAGCACCACCCACATCCCTGCTTGCTCATACTGCCCACAATTGCTTTTATATTGTAAACTGCCCTGTGATCCTCGGATGACGGTATAGAAATGTAATAAATAAATAAAATCATTTCATTGGGACCAAAGTGTAGCTTCTTGTGGATCCATCCCATTAGCCTCTCCCCAACCCCCACAACCACCAGAGAGTTGAAGGTGAGAATTGAAAGAGAGATCACCGTTTATGCTGTGTTCATGTGTTCCATTCTTGTCTCTGAGTCATGAGCCAGGATAGCTCAGTTGGTTAGAACATGGTGCCGATAACGCCAGGGTTGCAGGTTCATTCCCTGTATGGGACAACTGCATCTTCCTGCTTTGCAATCAATTGGACCAGATGAGCCTCAGAGTCTCTTTCAACTCTACAGTTCTATGATTCTTTCCCCAACTATTTTAATATTCCATGCTTACATGCTGGTGCTAAATAGGTTTGGAGGGTCTTCATATTCTTTCAAAAAAAAGCAAAGCCTGTTTGGGCCAGAAAGCAACAGTGGGTTGAACGAATTGTGACTGTTCACCATGCAAAGGGGCTGCCCTCAAAATGGTTATCTGCCTACGAAAACCCTTCATAATGTTCCCTTTCATTGTGTTTCAGGGTACCAAGGGGACCAAAGCGAGCAGCGCCAGTGTCCGTGCACTTACACGTAAAGATGTCTCCAAAGCGTCAAACTAGCAATGAAAAGAAATAGTGAATTCTTGAATTTAAAGAAATAAAAGATTGCAAAATACCAGAAACGTAACCAACGGCTATTTCTGTAGGTGGGTGAGCAAACACAGAAGCAGGCAGAGGCGTGCGAAAGGGCGTGAGCAAGGACAGGTGCAGCAAAGCCGTCATTAGGGGAAAATACAGGAACAACTGGTGCACATTTTAGTTGCAGAAAGGCTGTGGGATGGCACACAGTCCATGTGTGTGCGTGTTTTGTCTGTAATGCAACTGTAAGTCAACACCCCTGTAATCCCACTTCAAATATTTTAGTCATGGATTCAACAGCATGGGGAAAGGCCAGTTAGTGACAGCAGATGTAGACTCTCAGGATGTACCCAGCGGTTTAGACCACAGCACCACCCGTGTCACTGCACATAGCATACTAGAGTGACTATAGTAAGGTGGGACCTATACAGGAATTGTTAATATGTGTGGTGTAGTGGTTCAGAGCGGTGGACTCATAATCTGGTGAACTGGGTTTGATTCCCCGCTCCTCCACATGCAGCTGCTAGGTGACCTTGGGCTTGTCACACTTCTCTGAAGTCTCTCAGCCTCACTCACCTCACAGAGTGTTTGTTGTGGGGGAGGAAGGGAAAGGAGATTGTTTGCCGCTTTGAGACACCTTTGGGTAGTGATAAAGCGGGATATCAAATCCAAACTCTTCTTCTTTTTCTTCTTCTTACTGAGCCAATGCATACGGACAATGCCTGTTTGAGAAAATGTGTGCAGGAAGTAGACTTCCGGGTCAGCGCCATCGGTGAATGGCGGAGTTCCTCCGACCGGAGGAACAGGCTCCGTGGAAACTGGGTCTTCCCGCCGCGGCGAAGGTGGGGACCCGCTAGAAATCCCAGGCGGAGGAAGCCTGGGAACGTGGGGTTCGGCAGGGCACCAGGAGCGCCCCCCCTACTCACCGGGAACCCCATTTTGGGGCGCCGGAGCGCAGTGGGGTGAGCGGCGCGGTGCTGCGAACTGATTGCTACTTTCACAGAGTGAAGCCGCACAGCCATTGCCGGAGAGCGCTGACTTTTTCCTGTGGACAATTGGATTTAAAACAAGTACCCGTGAGTAGAAACGGAAAATTGGATCAAGAAATATCTTAATTTGACATCAAAGCGGGAAAGTTCAAAACAGGAAGTCCGCCTTCAGCTTTTTGTATATAGACTAAAGCAAAAACCTTGTAAGCTAAAGCCTGGAAAGCCGTTAAAAAAGTCTAAATTTCCTTCATTTATAATTACTGAAACCCCCTTGGAAGCAGGAGAAAAGGGGGGGGGGCTTTGTTTAACCCCTGCAGGAGAGGGAGTGAAGAAGGATAAGTTTCCACCGTCTCTAACCTGGGAATGGGGTGTCAGAGACAGAAATAGTTGGAGAGGTTCATTGACTGTGAATGGAATACTTTGACAGATAGCTAAAGAAGAGAAATAAACTGATTCCAATGTTGCCTTTTGCATTCTAAAGAAACAAAATATCTGAAAAATATCTGAAAAATGAAAGTAATTTTCCTTTGTTGGACTTGCCTTAAAAAAATGGATACAAATAGAAATTGTCTCCTCTAGAGGGAGCTTGTTAAATTGTTGCTGTAGTCTACTTGAGGACTCAACAGCTGTGAGATTAAGATCGTGGGACCAGTCTTTTCTGACCTTGACTAAAGATGAGCTGGGAGGAAGTTTGGGTGCCTTGCTGGAACAGATGCATGAGAAGATGGATTTGATGAATGAGAAAATGGACTCGATGACTGTTGTGGTCAATAACTGTGGACAAACAGGGAACATTGATACAGAAACCATTCAGGGACCAACTCATGAACCTGTACTGACTGGGCAAGTGCAGAAGATAATGGAGGAGGATGCGGTTGCACCTCAAATAATACAAATGGAGAGACCCGAGGCCCTACAGGAGCATAAGCCGCTGTCATTGAAGATTGAAGTTGGAGCGGGCAGGGGGAGTCTGGAGCTGAGGAGGTTCTTAACTTTGGAGAGACCTTGAAATATGCTTTTAAATACTTTTGGATTACATTGATGACTGTGGGGAGTGGGACTGTGGGGAATGGGCGGGTTTGATGAAGGGAGATGGAGACAATTTTGGGTTGGAATCCCCCAGAGACCTACTCCTCAATGAGAAAGGAAAGAAATTAAGAAAGAGACCAACAAAAGACAAGGAAAAGGGCAAGTATAAACAACAAGAAGAAGATCTGCAGAAGGGACATGGAAGAGACTTAAGGGCCTCGGACATAAGACTTCCAGGTTGATGGACTACATGGAATGGACAGTAAGGACTGACACGACCCGAGACCAGGAAGAAGAGACGTTGGATGAAGATTGGAAGAAAATTTATAAAGAAAATTTTTTATTTAGGGAATTAGCCTAAAATTAATGAATATTAGGGAAAATGTTGGAATGAAACTATATGACTCTAGCAGAAATGACATCAGGAGTTATGTATAACTGAGTATTAAGTTTTAAGCTTTAAGGTATTTTATGGTAAGATAAGGTTAAATAAATTAGGGTAATTTGAATAACAGAATATGGGGAAAGATGGAAAGGATCTGTCGAGTTAATTAATAGGTTAAATTGTGAAGATAAATTATTTAACAAAAATGGAGAAAGATGGAAAGAATTTGCTGAAATAACTAACTAAACTAGAATACAAAAAGGGAGGTGTGAGGAGGTCAATGAAACAAGCAAATGGAAGTTGAAGATATGTAATGTGGGATTTGTGTCTTTTTTCCCTTCCCCTTTTTTTTCTTTTTTTACTTTCTTTTTTGCTGTATTGTTGTATTGGTTTTTATGTTTTGCGTTTTTTTTCTTCTTTTTATGTATTGCAGTGTTGTTCTTTATTTTTTTCTTCTTTTGTAATTCTGAAATTATTAATAAATATTATTTTTTTTAAAAGGAGAGAAAATGTGTGCAGGAAAATGAGGATTTGTTTGATTGACGGAGGGGAGGTCAGGCCTCTCTGAACAGCATATAATGCCACAATGGGAAACACATTTTACAATCTCACAACAGGAAATACCACATAGGAAACACAGGGTAAAAGGTAAAGGTAAAGGACTCCTGGATGGTTAAGTCCAGTCAAAGGCGACTATGGGGTTGTGGCACTCATCTCGCTTTCAGGACGAGGGAGCTGGCATTTGTCCACAGACAGCTTTCCAGGTCATGTGGCCAGCAGGACTAAACCGCTTCTGGCACAATGGGACACTGTGACAGAAGCCGGAGTGCACGGAAACACTGTTTACCTCCCCACCTCAGTGGTACTTATTTATCTACTTGCACTGGCATGCTTTCAAACTGCTAGGTTGGCAGAAGCTGGGACAGAGCAACGGGAGCTCACCCCATCGTGGGGATTCAAACCGCTGACCTTCCGATTGGCAAGCCCAAGAGGCTCAGTGGTTTAGACCACAACGCCACCCGCTGTATGACCTACTAACTCTGGTGTATTATTCGGCATGAGATGTACAGGGATGAATTGGGTCATGTTATCTCTCACAGTATGTCATGATTGTAACCACTTGGGTCAAAATCATATCTGAACATCCAACATACCTGATAGATCCCCTGGGAGAACTGGACTATGAAATAAGGCGATCTAAGGCTGCAATCCTCACCCCACTCACCTGGGAGTAAGACCCATTGAATTCTGAGTAGGCATGGTTTGGATTGCAGAGTAAGTAAGTATCACAGTGGAGAGATTCAGGGATGGCTACAGGAATGCTTTGAACATGGTCGGGAAGACGTCTAGAGTGGAAAGCAGAAAAGAAGGCTCTGCGAGAATAGCTGTCCAAAGTGTACAACTATTAGAGAGCTGGTCAAAATGGTTGCTAATGACAGCCAGAGGAATGCTATTGATAATAATAGAAGGGACCAGGCAGATGTTGCCATCTAGATCAGCCATTAAATTGATGAACAAGAACAAAACTAGAAGTCTGTCAACCGCAGAGCACTAAGGGTACTGCTCTGATCTTTTCCTTTTGAAAATTTTTATTTTCAGAAAGAATTAACTCAGTATAATAAAACAACGGAGGAAAACAATGGAGAGGTAAAAGCTGATTGTAGAGAATTATTTGATGGTGCTAATGGATTTTGTGTGGTGGCTTGTGGAAGACTCACCTAGCACCTTTGTTACATTATCTTCAGGTGCCAGTAGAAAATATTCCTCTTCTCCCAAGCCTTTGGCTGATTAAACAATATATGGGCTTTTAAACTGTGTGGGTGGACTGCCTTTTGCTTTTGTTTGTTATTTTTGTTTGTATTTTTGTGTTTTTATATTGTAAACCATCCTGTGATCTTCAGATGAAGGGTGGTATAGAAATTTATTATTATTATTATTATTATTATTAGTAGTAGTAGTAGTAATAATAATAATAATAATAATAATAATAATAATAATACAATGGTACCTCAGGTTACATACGCTTCAGGTTACATACGCTTCAGGTTACAGACTCCGCTAACCCAGAAATAGTACCTCGGGTTAAGAACTTTCCTTCAGGGTGAGAACAGAAATCGTGCAGCAGCAGCAGGAGGCCCCATCAGCTAAAGTGAAGCTTTAGGTTAAGAACCGTTTCAGGTTAAGAACGGACCTCCGGAATAAATTAAGTACTTAACCCGAGGTACCACTGTAATAGTAATAATAATGTACCCAGGAAAAGGTTTGAAAGGTGCAAACAAATCCACAGAGAAGCTAAAAGGTAATTCTGCTTCCTAATTTGTAGTGAAAACAAACAAACAAACAAAATTAGCTACCTTTCCAGTAACAAAAAGCATCATTCCCAAAACAGAAACCTATCAGAGATCACTTCCAGATGACTGGCTTAATGTTTAATGCGCATTCAGCCAGATTTTTTTGCAGAGTGATTAGACAAGCTAATTAGTGAGCTTTCATTCTGATTTGTGTGCATGTATGGGACGCGGGTGGCACTGTGGGTTAAACTACAGAGCCTAGGGCTTGCCGATCAGAAGGTCGGCGGTTCGAATCCCCGCAACGGGGTGAGCTCCCGTTGCTCGGTCCCTGCTCCTGCCAACCTAGCAGTTC